TTACCCAGTCTCCCATTTCCCTTTCTTTCAGTCTCTCCCTCTTTGACTCTTAGGCGCGCAATAGAGTTGCTTGCACCTCTGCAGCCGCCTGTGAAACCCCTCCTCCCTGCTCCACCCCCCCACCCCCCCCCCCCCCCCCCGCCACCGCCCCGCCCGGCAGAGCGCCGCGCAGCGGACGCGTGCAGCTGTCCGCCNCCCCCGCCCCCCCGCCCCCCACCCCCCCCCCCCCCCCCCCCCCCCCCCCCCCTCCCCCTCCCCCTCCTAAACCCCCGCCAGTGAGATAAGACCGAGAATGAGCCAAGCGGCCGCAACGGACCCCTCGCCGGCTCCAACTTCTCCTCCGTCCTTCTCCGAAGACGCAGCAACGACAGGAACCAACACCACCACGACCACTGCGACGGCGTCGCCAGCCCTGCAGCAGCAGCAACAGCTAGGAGAAGCCACGCCACCGACGGATCAGGAGGTCCACGAGATCACCACCACGCTCGCCGCAGCCGCAGCCGCCAAGGATCCGGCCGCCGCTACTACTGCTGCCTTTGCAGCTGCGAGTCCGTCGGCTGCCGCGGCCGAAGGTATATCCGTCACAACTACTGCTACTAGCGAGACGAACGACAACAACGATCACAACGGTAACCCGAATCCAGAGGGGATCCTCATCCTCGACGACGACGAAGAGGTTACGAGCTACTGGGATGCTGAGGCCATGGCTCCGCTCAACGCAGTCTCTGCGGTTAGTTGATTTCTTTTTCTCTCTCGCGTTCCGTATCCCTCCATCCATTCCCCCCTTATATGTCTATGTAGACTGCTGTTGGGGTAGATACGACCTAGATGCAGGGTTGCACCTCTACCTTACCTCGCTCCTTGTGTCGTTCTCAGCCTATCACCACTGTTGTATTATGCTTCCCCCGAGTGAAGCTATATTCTCACGCCCTGCACCCCCTCCTGTTCGATGTTATGGCCCATCATCATGTCGCCGCATATCAAGCGCTGTGTCACCCCGATGAACTCATGACTTGATGCCTCTCGATCCTTCCTTTCTTTTCCTTTCCCGCGTCTCTTTTCCACCCGTCACTTGTGCATTGTTGTGTTTCTTGCTCTCTCCTTCTTCTTTTTCTCTCTGTATTTAGTATTAGTACATAGAACCTGCCGTCCGCCATGTACCTCTGCGCAAACAGGATGCTAATGCGCTCCAAGGCGGCCATCGCGCGCCTGCGACGATACGTCCCGCCCGCATTCCCGCTCTGGGACCGACTTCCTGTGAGCCGCCGAGCGGCCGTTTTGGTTTTACTCTACGCAGATCGCAGGGGCGATTTGCGCGTCGTCATCACGATGCGCGCGGCCAGCCTGCGGAGCTTCTCAGGACACGCGGCGTTCCCGGGAGGCAAGGCAGATACATTGCAAGAGACACCGTGTAAGTCAAAAGTTTAACAGCACCGCGCCACGTGTGGCCTTGCCAGTAAATCACACACGAGGAAAGCTGACCGACAAAACCCACCGTAACAGACGAGATTGCTAGAAGGGAAGCGTGGGAGGAGATTGGGCTACCCATGGACGACGCCCGCATCCCGAAACCCTTCAAGATCGAGCCCCTCTGCTACCTCCCCTACAACCTCGCCCGGACGGAGCTCGTCGTCCGCCCCTGCGTGGCCTTTCTCCACGCCGACGAGGAACCGGACGAGGACCCGAGCCCGCTCGTCGAGGAGCGCATGATCCCGCGTCTGGACGCCAAGGAGGTCGCCGCCGTCTTCTCCGCGCCCTTTCAAAACTTCCTTCGCGCAAAGGACGCAGATATTCCCTCATCCTCCTCAAAGGTCCTCCCGCCGGGCCACTGGTACGACGGCAACTGGATCCAGTGGAAAGATCACCCGTGGCGTGTGCATAATTTCTACGTCCCCGTTGACGACCAGCGCGTTACGACGCCGGGGAACGCGATGGAGGTGGACCACCCGCAGAGCAATCTCGCCGAAAAGCTCGAAGAGGAGACGGAAAAGGAGGGCGGCGGGCGGTTCAAGGTGTGGGGTCTGACGGCGCACATGCTCGTCGATTGCGCGCGGATCGCGTACGGCAAGGACCCCGAGTTTGAGTGTAATTCGCACTTTGGCGACGAGGACATTATTCTACAGGCGGAGAGGGAGGGGAGCCTGGTGGAGAAGAAGAGGAAGCGGGATGATGTGGCGGCGAAGACGACGACGGGCACGGAGGATGGGAGGGCAGAGAAAGCGGAACCTGCGAAGATGTAAAGCATCCTAGGAGGCCAGGTTTTCGTCTTGGCCACGATTGGCCCCCCAGGGCATACAAAAGACGTGGTTGGGAGAGTTGGGGAGTTTGGGCTGTTTACATGCATCGCCCCACCCGCCCTCAGATGTAGAAATTGATTATATAGAGTCTGCAGCTAGAGCAGCCGCAGCCGCCATGATGAATGAAATATTTGCTTTCACATTTGATATATAGTTCGAGTTTCCGTCCCTCATTCGGGTGGTTTGCTCTTCTCTTTGCCAGACTCAACCGTCGCCGCCAGTCTTCGGCATGGGGAGTGGGAGCTAATGCTATAAAAACGAATCGAATAACGCCCGTGAGATAAGATGCGCCCTTGCCCCATTGGTACCTGTTCAACAAAGAAGCTATTGCGCGCAAGAAATACAAAGCATGTCTAGGATTTGGGTCGATTGAGATTGTGAAGCTATCGAGACCTCGCGCGCGGACGCAGAGGAAATCAATGGCAGGCGTTGTCCTTGGTCGAGGAGGTCGAGCTGCCGAACGCGGCGTAGCCCACAAAAGCGCCGACGGCGACGGCGACCATGACCCAGCCGTTATATGTCATGAAGACGAGCCTGTTCTTGTCAGTTGCTTCACTTCTCGGGTTATATGCCAGGAAGAGCCTATTTCTCCCCTTCCTCCCCCCCCACCTCCCACGCGCGCGTTAGCAGGAACTCGCTTGCTTCTGTCCACCACCGAGAGAAGCCAGCTAATTCTGATGCGGCGCGCAAGACTGAGGAGGGAGGTCGGAAAGAAACGAAGGAGTTAGAAGCGGTAAACTCACATGAGCATAAAGGCGTAAAAGTTCTGCGCGGCGTAGAGGGCGGCCTTGACGAGGTGTGCGCTCCTGCTGGCCTCTGCCTGTTCGCGTCCTGTCCATAGGAAGGGGGTTGTCTCAGTAACGGTTCCAGCGGCGCCTCGAAAAGACACAAGACTTCTTAGCTCATTTGTGTTCACATCACATGTAGTTAAGAGGGTCGGGGATTGTATGCGCTCCCCGAGGTCCCCTCCACGTCGGTCGGGAAGAGGGGCGCTTGGTAGGGGAGCGCAGGTTTCATGTAGGAGCGTGTGTATGTGTGTATAGGTGGATGTGGGAGACATGAAGCATGGGTGTATGATCATGGGCGGATTGCAGGTGGATGGGTTTATAAAGGGGAGTATGCATTGTCTGTATATGTATGTGTGATGGTTGTGGCTGGGAGAGGAGAGATAGAGAGAGAAGCTGGGAGAGGGTGCTTACTCGGGAGCGAGTCAACGCGCTTATTTACAGAGTTCTCGTAACGGCGGGAAGCGGCGCGGAGGGCTTCATAGCCTGCGGCGAGTGCGACGACGAGGAGGAGCGAGATGACGAGGCCGCCGGTGGAGCGGACGTGCCATTGGCGGAAGACGATGCAGAGGTTCTTGGTGTCCCAGGTGAAGAGCATCTGGAAGAGGAGGAAGCGCAGGTTAGCTTGAGCTGCCTTTCATTGCGATACGAGCTGCCGGTCGCGGGTAGCGGGAGGAGTGGGTGTTTCCCCGGGGAGGTGCTCTACAGCTCGCGAAGAGCGGAGGGGGATGTCGCGAGGAGATTGAGAGGGTCCGAGGAAGAGGGAGCACATCGCGTGCGTAGGTAGGGTAGGTTTTGTGAAGAAACGTACGTTCATGCTGCACCGGTCGCCCATTCCGCCTCCCATTCCGTGTCCTCCCATGTCGCCGTGATCCATGGCGGAGTGGTCCATCTTTGAGTGATCCATGTGCGCGTGATCCATATTGTAGAAATATTTCGGGCGAAAACGCGGGGTTTTTTTTTCTCTCGTCGTCGAAGCTATCGATATTCAATTTTCTAGTAGGTATGTCGAAATGTTTTTTTGGCTTCGTTCGGTCAGGTTTCAGAATGGGCGGTTGTTGTTGTAAAGGGGAGGTTGCGTTTGCCCAGTGCGTGGTCGGTCGGTCGGTCGGTGAGGTATGCGAGACCGGGGGTCGGTTACGGGTTTCGCGGGGTGGTAGGGGCGGTCGTTTAGGGACCTTGCGAAGCGGGAGCTAAGGAGATGTGGTGAATATCTCGCAGACGGCACAATTGCTGAAGGACGAGAAGTGCGTTGTATAATGTACGGTGGTCATTTACGGAGAATATGTACAAGCTATTCCGCAACTTCACGACGAAGGCTGAAGAAGGGTGGCGGCCCGTGGCTTGGGATGGAAACTCGCTCAAATGTGCGCAGGTTTCCAGCCTTTGAGACGGGGTGTTCCCTTCTCGCGGTGCCTCTCTCTCTCTTTCTCTCTCTACACCTTGGATTTGGTTCTGAGCGCCGCTGTGTCGGTGTAGGGAAGAGGTCGGTAGCGGGCTATCCGCGTACGCATACCTACAACAAAGGCAGTAGAAACTAACCAGAACGGGGGAGGGGAGCTGACGTGCTGGCTAGCTTGTCCTCGTGAGACGACTCGAGGGAATCGACTGCAGAGACAGAGGTAGAGGGCGCGGCCTGCTAAGGGGAAGGGAAGAGCCTGCGAGAGCTGTCGCGGCAGCTAAGGCGTTGTTGACTCGTCTGAATTGCGTTTTCCCACGACGGTGAGATGGCTGTACTGCACGCCCGGACCTTTTTCGGGTAGTGATGCTGTGAGAGTGTGCAGTGAGACGCCGTCTCGCTGAGGCGGCTTGCAAGATCGCCAACCCGCGAGGCGGGAAAGTGGGCGCAGACGAGACGGGTAGGGCGGGGCGGGGGGTCCGTCACATGGGACTACACTACCTTAGCCAGGTGGCGTCCTCTGCCAGTGACATTCTTACCTCAGGTTCACCGTTCTCATTGGTAATCGCTGGCATAGGGTGACGTGACTTGAGGTTTAGACACTCCTGCATGGCACTCCTGGGACGTGTTGGTACGTACGGTGGGGTTGTTTCTGATGGGAGGGGTCGGGGGGTGATTGTCGCCGCTCGCTCTCGGTTACTCGGAGGCTACTAGGTACCTACTCACGCAATCACGTAAGGTACTGTAGAGTCTACGGCTAGATATGCTGGTGAATCACGCTCTAAAGCTCGAACTGGACTGACAGCCCGGCAGGATTTCATAGTGAACTCGGACGTGGTTGTCAGCCAAGAGCTGGTATTCGTCCACTTCTGTTATCAGCCTGTTTCTGTCAGCCCTTACGCGCCACAAGACACTGTGAGCGGCCCGCAACTCTCCAGTGGCTCCGAAGGGGGGAGGGACGATGCCGATGCGCCGACGGGCCCGTCCGGATGATAACTGGAGCGGCTGATAAATGCAGGAATACTTCTTGTACATACGCGGAAACCGTTGACAGAGTTCTGGTCATCAGAAGCCTTAATAATAGTTCGCACGGGCTGTTGACAATTTCATTCGCCACGGAGGATAGAGAGGAAATGGAGTTATCTGTAAAACCCCCTCTGGCCTTCGCCTAACTTCGACTCCAGCAACCCAGCTAAAATACCTTTCTTACTAACTTGCTGGCTCTGACCACTACATCTTTTTCTTAAAAAAAAAAAAGGGTTTTGAAACAAGCTCATCCGCGACTCAAGTGACTCACGACACGACAGGCAACCACAATGCTTGGACCCCCTGTCAACCTGCCCAAGTGGTGAGTTCCAACTCTACTACCTTACCTAGCCTATTCAAGGATGCGGTTCTTGAGGTTATTCGCACCGAAATCCAAGTCATACTGACCTGTTTTTCTCACACACGCCAGGCTAGAGGATAACTCCCATCTCCTCAAACCACCAGTCAACAACTACTGCGTCTACAATGAGGACTTCACCGTCATGGTAAGCACACACCACCCAACTCATCCTCTTTGCCCCCTCTGACTCTGACGGCACAGATTGTCGGCGGCCCCAACGCCCGGACAGACTACCACATCAACGAGACCGCCGAGTGGTTCTATCAGTACAAAGGCGCCATGATGCTCAAGGTCGTCGACGAGGGCAATGTCTTCAAGGACATCATCATCAGGGAGGGCGACATGTTTTTGCTCCCCGGAAACACCCCACACAACCCTGTACGCTTCGCCGACACGGTGGGTGTCGTCCTCGAGCAGCGCCGCCCCGAGGAGTCCCTCGACCGCATGCGCTGGTACTGCGAGTCCTGCCGAGAGGTCGTCCACGAGGCCGCTTTCCACTGCACTGACCTCGGCACGCAGATCAAGGCCGCCGTCGAGGCGTTCAAGGCCGACGAGGGGGCGCGGACGTGCAAGAAGTGCGGCGTTGTGGCGGAGGCGGCGCCCAAGCCTGGGTCTATTAAGGATCCCAACCTGGAGTGATTTTGTCATGTTGCCTTTTGAGGGAAGGGGTTTTTGTTCCTATGGTGTGTACTCTTCAAATTTGGGTATTTGTGTAGCCGACGGCGAGCAGACGGTCTATGTAACTTAAAAGTACAAGTGATCTCGATGATCCAGACTCGGGAGTTTTACACCTCGGCCCACTGTGAAATCCAACATGACTTTCCCGTAGAGAATATTGCAAGTTAATCGCTCAAAAGCCCTTGTAAGTGGTCCTTGTCAAAGCTCATCAACCGCAATCACGTCTCAGCAAACTCATACGAGCTAGGAGACTCCTCAACAGCGACCTCGATCTTGGCCTCGGCCAGCTCCTTGCCTCCAACACGGAGACCGGCGCGGATCACGTCACCGGGCACTGCCGGGCCGACACCAGCGGGAGTTCCGGTAAGGACGATGTCGCCGGCCTCGAGGGTCATGACCTTGGAGATGTCGCTCAGGATGCGGGGGATCTGGAAGAGCATGAGGTTGGTGGAACCTTGCTGCTTAATCTCGTCGTTGACCTTGAGGAAGAGCTCGATGTCGTGGGGGTCGGGGATGGCGGACTTCTTGATGATGTCGCTCATGGGCAGGAAGGTGTCAAAGCCCTTGGCAATGGACCAGGGGAGACCCTTCTTCTTGGCCTCGTTCTGGTTGTTGCGTGCCGTCATGTCAATGGCGAGGGCGTAGGCTGGCTTGGTGTCAGTGATTGTGAAGATGAGGGCGGGGTTGTATCCTCGAGTGAGTGAGTGAGTGAGACGGACCCTCAATGGCATCGATAGCGCCTTGGTGGTCGTCGGCCTTGAGATCCTTGACCTGCTTGCCGAGGATGAGGGCGAGCTCAACCTCGTAGTGCATGTCGACGCCCTTGGGCCTCAGCACTGGGCCGGCTCCAGGGAGGAGAATAGACGAAGTGGGCTTGAGGAAGAAGAAGGGCTGCTTGGGGCGGGTGTTGTTGAGCTCCTTGACGTGATCGCTACCAATAAGTCAATAATCTTCTCTTCTCTGTTCCTGCATCTTACGTTTATGAGAGCCTAGGGGCAATTGACGTATCACTCACGCATAGTTGCGGCCGATGCACATAACCTTGCCGGCCCTCTTCAACGAGGCGGCGGTAGCCATTGAGCGTCTGAAAACCATGGACATATTGACGGTTGTGTCTCTACGTTTTCTGAGTTACAACAAGTCCTCGTCAAAGTCAAGGATTGTTAAATTATGAGAGCGCGAGAAGTTGATAACGAGCTCGGAAACAATGCCGAAGCGATGCCGGAGGCTGTGTCGGATTCTCCGAATAACCGGGGAACGAAGCCCTGGGGGACTTGGGAATGCTTAGTCAGGTTCTGCAAAGGTTGGAAGTTGAGGTGCATCGGGAGACCTGCCGGCACTAGGCGCGGAGGCTTGCCAATCTGGTTATGGCGATTCGGAGCATGGACGCGTCAATCGGCGGCAGGCATGCTCTGGATGGAACGAACAGCTCATAACTATCGGGCGGAGAGCAGTCCTATACTCTCGAGATCTGTGACTGGACGGATTGTATCGAATTGGATTGGATGTCCATCGACTTGAAGCTCCAGGGGAGACACTTCCCGCCCATCCGGTCGGGGAGAGAAGGCGACTGACGTCCCAGCAGTCGCTTGAGTGGCCAGAAGACGACAGGGAAGTGCCTGGGGTTGCGCAATGTGGCTGAAATCGCCCAGTGTGGGGGAAGGTGCCCTGTGTGCCTGTGTCTCTCACCCCGCTTCCTTCCTTACTTCCCTCGCTTTCGTGGAGGTCGCATTTCAAGGTGGCATTCGTCCTACATCTAGGTAGTCAGTCACCTTCTACAGCCTGTTCACCAAAGCAATATATACCTCTCAGCATCATTACACGGTGAACCCTTCTCCTATCCATTGCAGAAAACGCACGAAAACACAAACAGCACAGCACTTAACACTCACTCACACACCCTCCGCTCTGTCCCTCCTCCCCCACCTCTGACATCTCTCACAGACCCGACACAAAGAGCCTTACTGCAGGGCACTTGTGAACTTGGGGCCGACTCAGTGGTACCTGGCCTTAAAAAGTCAAAAGTTTCCTTAGCCTGGCCTGGAATGACGGCGTCGGTGGGTTCCATACTCCCATGTTCCGTCCCTGCCCAGATCCACTCTCTTCTGCGAAACTCACTGCTAACTGCCTGCATCCACTTCCAGCTTGTTGGCCAACAACCGCATTTTACAAGGCCTAATTGACAACATTCTTCATTCTACGCACTACACGACACGAGACCACCACCAAGGAGAACCGGCACACCAGCATTGAAAGTCGCCATGGAGAGCCTCCAGCTGGCGCAGATGCTCGCCGACCTAAGCAGCCTCAATGCAACCGTTTGTTTCCCCTATTTCCCACGATCATTATGTCTTGTCACGGTCGCATTCTCTGACTCGCCCATGCAACTACCCTGAGAGGCTCTTCACTGGGCGCTTCGGCGATCGCAGGGGGTCATGGGAAGGAGATCCGCAATTAACTTTTTAACAAAAAGTCCATGTTTCCTATCTAGAGGAGTGCTGATGACCTCATTCCACCACAGGAACCCCATGCGGCAGCAGCTCTCGTCACTGCAAACAAGGCCATCCAGACGGTCGAGAAGACCAACGCCAACCCCGCCGCCGGATTGCCCAAGCGGCCCACCGACGAACTCCGCCGCGTCCACAGCTCCCAGACCTCGAGGACAGGTACGGGCACCGCCTCGCCTGCCCGCGTTGACAAATTTGGCCGCCGTATCATGATGAGTCCGCCCGTCTTGTCGCGCTCCAACTCGGCCCAGGGCTCCATCCCAGGCACTCCTAAGAGAGACTCAGATGTAAGAAGCACCACCTTGCAGCACCTACAACCTGGGACGGGACAGACAGCTTACATCATGGGTACTGAACAGGCCGAAGACGATATGGACCGGGCATCGACCCTGATGGCGTTGTACGAGATCCGGGCAAAGCTCAAGCAGCAGGACAACAGCAGCCTCATGAAGGCCCGGGAGAAAATTGCCGACCTCGCGGCGCGGCAGCAGCACACAACGGCGACGCCTGGCAAGAAAGAGCCCGAGAAGATTACGTCTCGGTTTACGTTCCCGAAATAAGCGAGGATTCTGTCCAGCACACGCATACTTTCTTAAACATAAGCGGGCGGACGGCGTTTGGGGGATTTGACCTGTTTTCGACAAAGCTCGGCATGATGGATACTAAAAGTCACGACGAATCGGTGTTACGAGTCACGAGCGGTACTCAGTTGGATGCTGAGCACATATTTTGCGGGTTTTTGCGTTTTTATCTTGGGGCCGGCAAGCGGTCACTTAGGGATATGTTCGATGCAGTCTTGGTCCTCATCCTGTTTCTGATTATTGGAGGAAGGGGAAGACTTGAGGGATCACGCCGGTAAACTGCGAAAGCCGAGTCCGGGGGGCGAATCCGGGGTAAGTTCATTCGTCGACCGGCCGTGTTTCACAGCGCTTGCTGGAATCATGCCCTCAGAACTGGCCAGCGCTGGGTTTGTATGTCCGTAGAGAGACTACACTTTTGATGTCGAGAGCATTCCTCGAATACCACAGACTTTTACTTATTTTCCCTTGGCAAAAAGCTGTCCAAAGACATTGTAATACAGCAAGCTTCAGTATTGAGACTGCGCTGAAAAGAAAATAGGAAGACTGGACAGTTGATCGCCAAGGCCGGAGTGTTGCCGGGGTGTCGCGGAACTTTCAGGCGACGGAGCGGACGGTTTGAGACCGTCTTATGTGCGCGGCAACTTGCTCCAACAAGCAAGCAGAGTTTGGCCCGGATTTTCAGACACAGTCTTGGCGATGGGCGAGGAGTAGTCGGACGGGTCGGGTCGAGTTCCTGTGTAAGATATTGGGAGAATACGTCCAACACAGAGCCGCTTAACTCCTCTAGCAACCCCTCCGCCTGGCGGATTGTGCATGCTCCACCTACACTGTGACGTCTTTATATGGGTATATATTGCGTCCGTTGTTCGGATTGACTCCAAAGATTCGCAAACACTGATACTAAGTATCCAATAAGAGCCCATGATGGTAAAGAAGTTGGAGATGATGGCTGTTTGCAGCGAGGTGGGCCCAGCGGTCTAAGGTTGGTGGGGTCACCGGCACTGGGCGGAGCGAGGTGGGGAGAGCGGCCGCACCACCTCAGCGTCAATCGTATTGCGGCAGTGCCTACCTTCGCTCTCTCTCTCTCTCTGTCTCTACACGTGTAGGCTTCCGGGACTCGCGGATCGCGGGTCGCGGGTCATCGGTTTTAAGGTTGGGTTCTAGCAGTGGTACGTGGGAGAATCGAACCACCCGTGAAGTTGCCTCTCTGTGTTCAAGATGCAGACCATGACCGGGAGATGTCGGTCTGCTGCGACGTAAGATCAGCTTCCATCGCCCGGATCCATCCCGGCATGTCGCCGCCGGTGAGGCCGGTCCTGGGAATAACTAGGCACACTGAGCAAGAGAACAGGCACACGAAGAAACCGCAGTGCTAACGAAACTGAGGCTGCATAGTGACGGCGACCTCAAATCGGATGACAAGATGACTACTAAACTAAGTAGGTCATAGACGAGAGAAACGCGACAAAAAAAGATGACAAATAAGAGACTGTTTTTTGTGGGAATTGTTTGAATAAGCTCCCGAGGCGTGCACCGCCCGGTCTTGCTTGGTGGGGGGTTGAACCTGGTGAACAACATACGTCCGGTTGGTTACCTTGAGCTATGTTAGGCTTTTTGCGAGCAATGATTCCAATTCTCAGAGAGAACACAGAATATATGCTATCTATCTCGGTTGAAGAAGTCATGCTACCGCGGCACCGCCACGGGTGCACGAGGATGAGAGGAGGATGTGCGCAAATGAATAACGGCGGCCAAGCCTCGCTCGTGCTGGTGATGTCAGGCGCCGCTCGGAGAACTGGTTTTGCTCACCTCATTTTTCTTCTTCTTCTCGTCTCTCTCGCTCTGCCTTTACCGGATAGGTGTGCCGCCTCTGCAATTCGTTCACGAGGGGCGTGCCACAGCACGGCAATAGACCTTGTAGGCGTTGGTTGGGCCCGAAAAGGCCGAAAAGCGAACACAGCCACTTCGATGCCGGAGTACCGCTTGGAACTATTGTCGGGCGATGTGGTTGTTGATAGCTTGGGACTGGGCGAACTGGACGAACTGGGCCCTTGATGGCCTGAAGAAGGGGATCCGGGGTCGGTACCTTGCATGTGCTTTGACGGGTTCATGTCTTGGAGTACCGTTGGCCTCTTGGTGATGCTGGTGTATCCGTATGTGCGCGCGAGGAATCGATCCAGACGAGAAGCATCCAAACAAAACATCGGAGGGACGGAGGAGAAACTTACTGTAGCCAAGGGGGGGGGGGCGACATTCACTTGAAGTGCCGGTGAATTGGCGGTAGAGGTCGACGGGACTTTCGGTGACAATGATGTATACCACCTTAGTGTACCACCCCAATGACTGCGCGATGACTGGCCACCGCAGAAGAAGGTGTGGGTATGCCGCATCACTGGAAGCTTCGCCGGGGGACCTAAGTCTGGGCAGAGGAGGGAGGCCACGCAATGGCTTTGGGGCCAAGTGACTGCCCAGCCTCCAATACGTTGCTTTTGTCTGGCGACGGCTTGCTTGGCCTTCTTCATCACGCCGCGGCGAAATATAACTTGATCCCTCTTTTCCTCAGAACCGAACTCTCCCCCTTCGCTACTTCCGTCTGACCTTTCCCTCCTCTTGAAGCTTTCATCATCCAATCTTGTACCTAATCAAAACCTAAGCGTCCAGACTCTTTCTCTGGCGCTCCAATACTGCTTCACTACTACCTGCCTGCGAATACAAAACAGAAACCTCACAATCATTATTTGATTGATTCAACCTACCTCTCTCACGTTGCACTCTACATAGACTGCAATCCTATCACCCAAACCTACCTACTTGCCCACCAACGGTACCAATCGTCTACATTTGGTGCACGGCACCACCGCCGAGAGGCCTGCGAAGCTCTAGACCGGATCTCGTATAGGACGTTTAAAAAAAGCCATCACGTCATTGAGCATCACTCACCAACTTCCCTCCCCGCCAACGAAAAGCATAGCAAACGCCACGCAAAGGTGAGCTGTTGAGCTCTTGCCCTTACTCTAAAAGCACAAACAAGAATACAATAGTCGCAGGGAGGAAGCTTTTCCTTCTACCCTCGGACAGCTCTCCAGCCGTCTGCATCTCGTCTTTTTTTCTTCAACTGCACCATACCCTGTCCACAAAAGACTCGATAGCAAGTTCGGCCGACTGTGATCCCGCAGTCCAGCCTTTTCCTCGCCTGCTACCCCCACCGTGCCCTTCGCGAAATAGTCTACTTCCCATTTGGCGACAACATCACCATCAAAATGGCGGGCTTTAGAAGCGAAGCTCACATACTACCCTATCCCATCGACACACTCGACAAGAGGTGAGCCCTCCCCCCTTCCATCGGTGCATGCCATTCCAAATGGATCTGCAGGACCCTGCATATATCAACCCCCCCGGCGATGCTCTCCGGACGCTAACGTCAATCCTGCAGACAATATTACACCTGCGGCTCCGGCCAAATCTACAGAGACGGACTTTGCTACGAACGTGGCGCATGGTACTGGTGGGGACGCTGGGTCCTCGCCGCCGTTGTCGTCGGAATCGCACTCTTGGTCCTCATCTTGTTAGGGTACTCCCCCAGTGCTGTTCGGCACGCACTTCCACTACACTCTCATAATGCTAACCCAGAGTTTCTCATATAGTTGCTTGAACTCCCGCCGTCGCAGAAAGCGTGGCGTCCAGCCCTTTTATGGCACCGGCTGGATGAGCAACAACAACAATAACAACAAGCACAACCAGCAGGGCACCTACGCCTACAACCAACCGTACAACGGCCAGCAGCAGGGCTACGGTGGCTACCCCCAGCCGGGCGGCGCCTATCAGAATCCGCCGCCGGCCTACGGGCAAGCCCAGCAGCAACCTCAGTACACGGGCACCACGTTCAACCCCAACGACGGATACTATGGCGGTCATAACGAGGGTATTCAATTGCAGCAGCCGAAGAATGCGTACCAGCGAGACTCGTACGCCCCGCCCGCCGGCCCGCCGCCTGGAAAGTAGACGATTGGTGATGATGAATGGGGGTTTCCCAAGCGTGGATGTCTCGAGGTAGAGAAGGGAAATTTTTTTTTGACTGCTATGAGTGCGATGACTTGCGAACAAACGACACATATGATACCTTGATTGCGAAACAGCCGGGTTAGGCGTTGGCGGGTTGCTTTAGGTGGGCTTTCGACGGTAGGGACCATAGCGGAGGAACGATAGGGTAGTCAGCAAACGTGTATGATGACATCGAGACCTGGGCTTGAGCTTGCGCTGGATAAATAGTCGAGAAGACTCTGGACCACTATCCCATAAGAAATTTTAAGATTATCGATGCTCACATGGTATGATCCAGGCTTATGAAGCGTGGTGACGAAGAAGCAAATGTGATTCCTCATCCAGGTCGGGCCTCGCATCTTCAATCTCAAGGTAGGTCCATTTCACAACATCACGTCGTGAAATGTTCCGATTCAACGATCAGTTCACGGAGTATCTTTAGGTCTGATAATCTCACGGATCAGATTCCCAGCTTAGCTTCTGCACCAGACGGACTCTCGTTGAAGAATGCTGCAGCTGCGAATTTCACTCCCGTCTAGACAGACGCCGACAGACTTTCTAGAACGTGCGGGTTTTGCCCCCGTGCTCCGTGTCCCGTGCCCGGTGCCCGGAGCCTTTTTTTTTTTTCGACGTTCGACATCCCGGAGCACCTCTTTAGCCTATGTGGGTACTGAAGTACTCAGGGCAGTGCGGCGCCCGTCTGTCTTTGATGCTACGAAACGCTTAGAAGCGTGGAAGAGTAGCGATGAGCCAGCCATCGGGACTCTCTAGCCATGAGCTCGATCCTATTAAGGTTCTGAGGTGGTGGCATGGGGGGCGGTCGAGATTTGTTCTCGAAGCTGGGGAAGACAGTTCCAGAGACATGAGGAAGGTGCCTGTGTCCGAGATGACTACCCTTGTCGAGACTGCAGCATCACAATAGGACCCGGGGCTCTGCCGCCATCTCGGCCGAGTCGATGAATCGCACAAACACATCCTGTAAAATGTCACGGTCGCAAGGTGGATGTGGCGAGTATGAGTGGCTGAGCAAGAAGCTGGTGTGGCTGGAAGTAACCATTACGTTTTTGTCAGTAGGTATTCCCGTCGTAGCCGAATGCGACCTGAGGCGAGGGGATTGAGTCGATAGACCCAGACGCTTTGGCCAATGCCAAGTCGTCATGTATGTGTGGATGCCTGAGGCCAAAAAGGGCGCTATGTTTCATCGTATAGACTCCGCAGCCTGCATGCTGCTACTGGCGGGTTGTCTCCCGTCGTTTACCTTAATCATAATCATAATGTACGATATGGTTGGTGCAGGACTGCAGGTGGTTGCGCGGCGGCAGACACACGCTGTGATAGTGAATACCTACTCGCTAACTGCGGATGGTTAGTAGTAACCAGCCGGGGACGGCTTATCGGCGCAATCAAGATTGTGGTTGACGAATCCAAAATCATCTCCGACACGACCCCTGAGGAGCGAGGAAGGGGAAAACGGAACTTGCGCGATTACAAGGGACTTGCCAGACAGCCGTTTTGGAGTTGAGGTGCAAGTGGACACGAACATTGGCGCTGCGGGTTGCAGGCAGAAAGAGAATGCAAAGAAGCGCAGCAGGCCGCAGCAAAAGCAAGCAAGGAGCAACCAGGAGAAGGGGGGACGCCGGGACGGGAACTCAGGAACCCCTTCCCGCATCCAAGTTCGTCTGAGCAGGGATATTCCGTCCGCGAGTAGCGCATGGCATGGCGCTCAATCGCAATTCAAATTTCCCTCTGGAAATCTCCCTGTGCTCAGGACTCAGGTCGCGCTCGCTCTCTCTTAGGTACCTCGGGGTGGGAGGTTGCTGATGTTTCTACCGTTTGCCCTTCCTCTCTTTCTCTCAGCCCCCGTCCTCTCCTCCCCCTTCCCACCGGTGCCCCCGTGTCCCTCCCCCCCTTGCAACTTTTGATCGTCCCTCGTGGGTTTCCCGGGACAGTAACTCTCTGGCTGCGTCACGTCAATCTTTTCCCGTTCCTTCATCCTTTTCCCACACCAGACTGCCAATCCTCCTCTCGTTCTGCTGCTCTTTTGACCTTTGGTCAACAGAAACAAACTCTCTTCTTCATCTCATCTACGGCGGCTTCTTGTCAATCTCTCCATACCACCTCCCGGGGTGCATACTGGTTTGACAACCCGGCAGACTGCGTCCTGTGCCGTTTCGCTCCTTTGCATTCCGTCTCATCTCGTTCGCCATTCCCGAGGCTGTTTGACGGTGCTCCTCGTGTCTCTCTTTTACCTTTTTTTCTTCGCAAACTACGAATAGAAGGGGGCAGAGTTCCAACTCAGTCATTCTTTACCCATACGAATACTCCGCCTCTCGTCGCCACTCTGGGATTTATTTATCCTCAACACGTCTCACGCAACGACCCACCCTCAGCTATAGCCTCCATCTACTACCTGGGATATCCGTGTCTCTCTCGACAGCTCGGACACGAATTGCGACCCACCCCTTTTCTCAAGACTCGCACCCAGCAGCGTCACCAAGCAATCAGACCAATACACCCATTCTGTTAACCACGGATCGCCTACTCTTCAGGATCATCCTGTTGGACGTTGTGGTGCTTGCTGGCTTGCACCGCCCAGTTTCAGTGCCATTTTGAGACGAAAGCCTCTGGGCTTTTTGCTCGTTTGTCGCTGCCATTCGCCCGACCTCCCCTACCACCCGTCCAACAGCCCACCCACGCAAGGGGGCGAACGCTTTGCTCTCCCGCAGTAACGACAGGAATACTTCCACTCATTACCAGCAGCACAACGGCGCTATTCATTTCAGTTCTTCCCCTCCTCGGTCTTCAAGGCTCGACGGTTTTTTGTTGTTAATTTTTTTTTCACGCCTACCCTTTCCTTTGCCTTCTTGGCCTCGTGCGAGATCTCTTTCCGCGAATTCGGCCGTCTGTTACACCTGCGCTACGTCCATCTTCAGTACCACGAAGCGGCTCGCCGTATCCCCCCGACTGTCCGCCGATCATCGTTCCAGCCGATCAAACAACGAAATCCCGAGTACATGAGATGATGGAGCCGTAGCCTCGCTTCTAATTTCGAAATTTAATTATCCTCCACCAACCAAGTTCGACTTGCCCTGATTGTGTTGGGTAGTTTGCCGAGAACCGCGTTCTTTGTTGGAGGTAAAAAAAAATCATTTCAAGATGCCATCGATCGATGTTGCCATGGCGAGGAGCCTTCGGGGAGGCGTGTGGGGGTCAGTGGTGTCAAGCATGGCTGCGGACATTCAGAGTCGTGGGATTACAGACACCGTAGAGAGCGCCGGAAACTCTATCAACGAAGTGAAGACGGCATTCTCCAGTTGGGACAATTGCATGGCGGTCACATTCTGCAAGTAGGTTTCGGTCACAGCCCCACTTGAACTCCGAAATACTAACTCGCGCAGGTGGCCCGTCATTGGAGTGATGATATTTGCCGGCCTCATCATTTTTTCTATTTTATGGTGTATCATCCGGTGCGCTTGCTGTGGGTTGTCGTGTTGCTGCCAGTGCTGCTATTGCTTGAAATGCTGCGGTAACTGCTGCGGTTGCTGCGATACGCCCAAGGGAACAGCTCACAAGCACCTAGACGACGAGTCTTACGCACCGTACAACCAGGGATACAAGTCACAGGCGCCGATGGCCCCCTTTTACAACAATGCCGGCACCACGCCTTCGCATCAGGCGAATTTTGGAGCACCTATGGCCACCGGAGCTGCGGCGCCGCCTCAGTATGCCGAATTCGAGGTCAGCAAATCAGGTGCCAACCCGGCAGACGCCGATTCACTCCCCGCGATGCCCAGCTGGGAGGGTGCGGGCTCAAAGAAGGTGGCGCTCGAGGAAGAGGTGGAGTTGGAGCAGATGAACAAACCAGCTGCATCACCGAATCCAAATGGACAGAACATGCCTCTCATGGCACCCAACGCCATGTCCCACCCCAACAGCCCTATGCCGGGCGACAGGAGTCATTTTGGCCAAAATCCTCAAGCTGGTCCTAGTGGTTACTTCACTAATGCTAATCAGCCTGCGGGCCCCTACGAGATGGCGGGTAACGGCTACAACAACGGCGCATATGGACCATCAACGTCCTCCTTCGGAATGGACCAAGGATACGGAAACGGAGCTGTGGCTGCAGGAGGTATGGCGATGCAGGGTAGAGGTACGCCACACCGAGATTTCAGCAACGCTGGCTATGGGCCCCAGAGGGGTCAGTCATATCCCCGGCCTCAACAGGACTTCGATCAGGGTTTCGGCGACAACTACGAGCAAGGAGGCTATGGCATGGGCCGCCCTCCCCGTACCGGTCCCAGTCCGGCACCAATACCCCGAAGCTTCACGGCTCCGCCTCGCGATGGACCCAGCCCTGCACCGGCTGGATACCGCCGCTCTCCTGGTCCTCAAAACGGTCATCGCGGCCCTCCACCCCCTCCTAACGACTACCGACGATCTCCCGCACCTCAAAACGACCACGGCTATGATCAGCAAAACCAGCAAGGCCAGTTCCTCAACGACGATTACGGTCGTCCGCAATACGGGGCAGGCTCGCGCCAACCTTCCTCGGAGTCGACTCGCCCTCTTCCACCCCAGCGCAGCTATACCGGCGACCAAAACATGTCTCCCGACCTGCATGACTCCGGCGGCTTTGACTTTAGCTCTGGCTACAGCCGTCCGCAACAATACAACTACAACCGCGGCCCGAGCGGTGGCAACCAACATATCGATGACGAAGAAGAACAGCGACCCCCGCAAAGCAGCGGCGGCACCTACCCAGGTTACAAGGCGTATCAGCCGACAAAGGACGGTTGGAGCGGCGTCTGAGCGGAATGGCAACAATAACGACAGAAGGCAAAGAGCATTTGCGCATATGCCCAACGGAACCACCAACCCCTCGCACTGGGGGCGACTTCTATTTAAAGACTAATGCTGTCAGAAGTTTATTCAAGGCGGCGCTACTTTGAGTTTCCAATAAAGATGTGTCTTGGATGGATAATCCTTGCCTCTCAGACGCAAAATTACCTGACGTTTGCTTGGAAACACCAAAAAGAGAAGCGTTTTTTCTGGGGCCGTTTGGAGTTTCGGGCATACAAAGAGCCACTGTTTTTTTCAACTCATGACCGAGGAGCAAATTGGAGCTGTATAATGACCACGGTCAAGATTCTGTTTGGATACATTTCAGTTGTCGGATTTCCTTTTCTTCTTAGGTTGACATGGCGTGGCATTGTAGGTGCGGCATTCTGAGATTCTGTCTTTGGCCTTTCTCTTCAGCATCTTCTTCGAGTGGAGATGGCCAACCACATGGCAACGTTCTTCTTTTTTAGCGCTGAATGCCCCGCGGGTTGGCGACGTACCCTGACGCCATACCATTCCATTTTGGAAGTTTTAAAGTTTGGTGCTGTGCGTGGAGCAGGTTACTTTGCGTAACAGACGCAGTCGAACAGGATAGGGGAGTGAGTGGCTAGGGGGAAGAGGCTGGTGAGATGAGGATGGCTGATTCAGCTGGCTTGAGGTAGCTATGCTTAGCAGGAAGGAAGCCTTATCACCGGGCTTCCCGCTGATGGCGTGGTGGGTGAATAGCAGAAAACTTCTGATCACACTTCTTTGAAATGTTATGTGACAAGTCTCGAAAGCGAGTCAGGCTTTGAGCTCGCCTGGATGAGAGACACGGGATGTCCGAAGGCCATAAACGTACAGGGTACTCCCATCAGCACTTTATCATTTCTTCCCCGGTAGACCACCGTGATTCAACATCGTCAACAATTGACGGGCAGGGTAAACCCGCTTCGCGTGCCCAAGGTTGCCAAGCGCTTGTGCACTGGACACCCCTATGTATAAAGACTTTTCCTCACCCGCTAACCCGGGGGCCGGCCCGGCCTGCATACGACCCCCGGCGCTTCTCCCCCCCATGCGCCGACGTCGTTCCATGGCGCGCCTGTGTGGAAAGGATTAGCGGGCTCTGCAGATCCACTCCCCTCCGCCAACGCCGCTTCACATTCCCAATTTGAAAGCTGCAATTTGCAGACGTGCATATGCTGTTGGTTCCCTAGTTTTTGGAAGAGGAAGAGAGGGGTCGGCGTCAAATGGAGGGACGGGGCATTTGAAGGATGCATGGGTTTGGGGGGGGGATGAGGAAAGGACGGGTAGTTGGATTTGTGACACGATTTCTTCTTTCTTTAGTTACTGTTTCTTGGGCGTGTTTGCCTCAATTGGGTTTTTGGGAAGCTTGTCACATTACTTCCTCGAGAGACGTTGTCAATTGAGGCGACGAGTTTGAACGTTCTCCCTCATACCAACCACCCTCCCCCCCTGGAGATGTCACCCTCTGCGGCGCCTGTTGGACGAGAGACCGGCAAGCCTGGGGATCTATCGAACACCAACTGGCGGCTGATGTCGAGTGAGGGAATGAATGGAGACGGAGATTTGATCGAGCCGGCGAGGCAGTCTCCTGAGAACGACGATGGCGATGACGATGACGATGACGGCAGCGGATGTGCTTGCGCCACGGGCGAACATGGACACTCTGAAGATGTTCCTGTGAGTTTGCTTTTCTCGAGGATCTCACTCTTCTCCAGCCTCACGCTCACGCTCACGCTCACCCCCGAACCTCCCTTCCTCTTGATTCGTTTTGTTTTCTGTATTTCTCCAACAATGATAAACTGACCGTGTCGGCTGTTCTTGGGTCAAAGGGCTTGTCGTCTTCAGGCATCAGTTTGAGCGAGTCCATACTAGAGTACCGAATGGAAAACGGGAGGACGTATCATCGGTATAAAGACGGCAGTAAGCATGACAGACAGCTCTGATTATCTCTTCGTCTCCCGGGTTCGGGTGGTGGTGATAGTGGTGGTGGTGCTACTGGACTTTTTTCCTGACTGGCCTTTGCAGAGTACACTCTTCCGAATGACCAAGCCGAGCAGGAGAGGTTAGGTGAGTCTTTATGTTTCTTGACGCCGACGTTGGCGCTGGCGGCTACTGCTGCTGCTGCTGCAGCTGCATGTTGTAGGCACAGCAGTAGCTTGGCTTGGCCCAGCGTTTCCGTTTTCCCCTTGCCTCAAAGCAGTGTCCTTCCCATTCCCATGTCTGTGTAGCTGACTGGGATATTGCGTCAGATCTTCAGCACAATGTCTTCCTCCTCACCTTTGATAACAGGCTCGGTCTCGCGCCGCCGTGCCAGAAGGGGGCCGTCGTCCCGGGGAGGGTCCTCGATATTGGGACGGGGACGGGGATTTGGGCCATTGATTTTGGCGACGAGCATCCCGAGGCTGAGGTGGGTAGTGACCGGTTGAACAAAGCGAAGCGAAGCTGTAGTAGACCATCTCGAGCGTTGAGTGTGTGCTAATGTTATGGCGACAAAAGGTTCTCGGGATCGACCTCTCGCCTAGTCAACCTACGTTGTGAGTTTTGGAATCTTCTCCTTTCGTCGAGCGTGCATTCGTCAAGAAGCATGAAGGGTCAAGATCATTTGCGTTTCATTCGCGTTTCTCGCTCAACAGATCCTGACGCTTTATCTTCGTTCATCATGTAGCCTCCCACCAAACGTCGACTTTGAAATCGACGACCTCGAAGAGGACTGGGTTTTTGACGAGCCCTTTGACTACATCCACAGCCGCCTCATGACCTCCAGTATCGCAGACTGGAAGGAATACCTACAAAAATGTTACGAGTTGAGTCCCCTCCCCCACTACCTCCCCATGTAACCACGGACGCTCTGCGTTGGAACTCAGACCCCTTACACTCGCATCAGCAACCTTGCACCAGGAGGCTACCTGGAGCTCCAAGAAGTCGACGTGGGACCCTCATGCGACGACGGCACCCTCGACCACACGACCTCGGCGCTGGCGCGGTACTGCGCGCTCCTGTACGACGCGTCAGTGAAGCTGGGCCGGCCTTATCAGGAGATTCCCAAGCTGGCCGACCTGATGCGCGATGCCGAGGTGGGCTTTGTCGATGTCGAGGTCAAGGTGTTCAAGTGGCCCACCAACGGCTGGCCGGCGGCGGACAGCGACGACGGGGGAAGGCTCCGGGAGCTGGGGGTGTGGAGCGGGGAGAACATCGTGGCCGGGCTCGAGGCGCTCGCCATGGCGCCGTTTACGAGGGCGCACGGGTGGTCCAAGGAGGATGTCGATGCGTTTTTGGTTGATGTGAAGAGGGAGATGAGGGATGAGAGTATCCATGCTTATGGGCTTGTGTAAGTGGTTTCCCAGGACGGCTGTTTGGGAGGTGTTGTGTGTATGGGTCGGTATCTGTGTGTCTCTAACGTTCCTTGATAGGTATTCCATCGTTGGGAGGAGACCGTTGGAGTGAGGATGGTTGGGCGTCGGTGGACTCGAGACGGAGTACTTTGATGCAAAAGGGATTGGGATTGGGGTCCGTACTTTATTAATGAGCAGACATGTGATTGGTAACGTGGGTTGGGAGGCACCATCACACTGGGAGGCCGAATTCCAATGTCTCGAAGATTGCTTGATGAACTAGGAGGAGAGCAAGGACGGAGTCTTGGTTGAGATGTGAGTGTGTTCTGGCCTCTTGTCTTAGGAGATTATGAGAAAGGGGCAGCGCGAAATCTTGTTCATACCTATCCCCATGCGACAGTGGACGCTGTTGAAGTCGAAACTGTTCATCACGGTAGACTCACCTCTCCGTATGTCTTGTTTCAGCTCGCCGCCACGATCACGAGTAATCTTTCTTCCCATTGCTGAAAAGAGGCCTGTGTAATTCGAGAGGCAGAAGATGATGCGCCAGAGGAAAAGACTTGTGCTACTGTTGCTAGAGTACCTGCTCAGGTATATAAATATGTACTATGATGCCTTATGAGGCGGGTCAGAGGCAAGGTTTTCGCAGATCATCGCAAGCCCACCAATACAATTGAGTAGATACATGTCCTTGCCTGTTGTGCTATATTAGGAAAAGGATACGCGATATTGGAGCTCTACGTGGCCAACCCTGTCACCCCCCCTTCCACGGGTCTCAGGCAGCATCCTGCTCATTCTTCTCCGCCTAAACCTCGTCTCTCTCCGGTTTGCGCCCAACGATGCAGTAACTATCTCTCACATTAGCATATCGATATTTGGCGGGGGTATTGGTCTCTCAAAAGACGAGGGGCTGCAACTTACGCCGGCATGTAAGCGTGGATGGCCTTGTTCCTGAGGTCATTCCGGACGTCGACGAGGAAGACGTTCACCTCCTCGGGCGACCACTCGTACGCGCGCGTAAAGGCTGCCATGGTGAAGGCCTCCATACCCGTGGTCCCGTTCTCCAGCTGTATCCGTCCGAGCTGCTTGTACTTGGGGTCCTTGGGCCACTCGTTGAGCGGCCATTTGAAGGTCGTGATGGACACGTCCACAAAGCCGGCCGCTTTCAGGTCCAAGCTCTTGGGGTCGATGTAGGGGCGCCCGAGCCTCTCCGAGGCGCCGTAGAGCAGCTTGCTCCACTTTGAGAGCGCGTGCTCCTCTGTGAGGGTGCCGTCGTCCGAGGTGACGAAGAGGTCGAGTTCCTGTAGCTCGACCCAACCACCCGGCACGAGATGACTGGTCTTTTTGTAAGTTTCAACTTCCCGGAATGATGGTTTCCCGTCACGGGCGTCGGACGCGGCTTTCAGACTCACTTGTAAATCTTGCGGAGGTAGACGTCCCAGTCGTTGACGGCGCCTGTCATGACTCTGCTGTGGATGTAGTTGAAAGGGCGGGACCATGTCCAATCCTCCTCGAGGTCGTCAACCTCAAATTTGAGGTTGGGCGGCACGCTACCATGATCAGTCATCATAATGAATAAACCCGGCTTACCAGAAAGAAAAAGGAGGGGAAAAAAAACCGGTACGAGGCACAACATACTATTCAACCATGGGCGGCGAGAGATCGAAGCCGATGACCTGTAAGAAATAGGTCAGTTGGCACAGTCATCTCAAGAATTCGTCAATGGCATCTCTTCTGACCTCAGACTCGGGATGCTCGTCTGCAAAGTTGATGGCCCAGGTACCAGTGCCAGTACCGACGTCAAGCACCCTCGCACACGAGACCTTGGAATCTTTCACGGCGGGCGGAGCGACGCCGGAATCGAATTCGAGAGAAATCAGCCACAACTCATTCTCCAGCTCTGGATTTCGTCGTCAGTTTTAGGACAAGGAGGACGCAAGGCGCAATGGAAGATTTTTTTTTAAAAAAAAAAAAAAAAGAGAGAGAGAGAGAGAGAGAGAAAAGTACCCAGTCTGTCCATTTCCCGCTCATCGTTGGGTTTCGTGTATTCTGTATCCATTGTCAGCTCAGTCTCGAACGCGAGAGAGGGCCAAAGAAAACTCACTGCCGTCTTTATACCGGTGGTATGTTCTGCCGTTCTCAAGACGGTAGTCAAGAATGGAATCGCGCAGACTTGTGCTGGACGAGGCAATCTGTACATGATATCAGCGATATCATCCCGCTTTGTACATGTGTGTTGCGCTTGACGCGATCTTACACTCTCAACCTCTGACCGATTCTCGTCTTCTTCGTCCCCCAAGACCAGCTCATCAGGCCGTATCTCAGTCGTCATCTTGTACCAAAGACCTGGCAGACTGTATATGAAGTGTGCAATGTCGCCTTGAACAATGTCGCTTCCCTTTTCTTTTTATATCGCTGGATCCCAAGAAAACGGGCGATGAGAGATAATAAAAAAAAAGAGGGGTTAGGCGGGTATCCGATGATTTTGTTATTATGGGAACGCCGGATCGGTCAAGGGCGGAGAGATACTCGGATTCGAACATGCCACTCAAACGGCGCAGCTCCCCTAACCGCCCAGTCAACTGTGGGACCCATCGAAGAACGAATGAGCAGGGAGTAGGGGGACTGGGGAGACCCGAGGGGATTTCGACAAGGAGGCTAGTTCCATCCTGCTTTTACCACTTTCCGTATCAGGTTCTTTGTATTGGCAAGCGACATGTCTGGCCCGCTGCTCGTTGGTTTTCGTTCGCCTCTACCTCGCGCAGATCAAGTTGGTCACTTGTCACTTTTTCCCGAGGAAGATGTTCGGTGATTGGAGCCGGCTAATTAGCCCGTCGGAGCGATCGAATGCTGCGAAAGGTCCTGAAGGAATAAGTTCCTTGGAACCGCATACTGAGATTGTCCCACACACATGCTGTTGGTCGCAACGACGGTTGGGCTGTTGGTGCATGGGTAGAGGCGGTATGGGTTGCGGATTCCTTGGACAGTAGAAACATTGCAAATCAATTGACCGTCGGACGGTTTCAGCGAAGAAATAGAGCTTTTGTCGCTGGCGGTATAACTGCCTCTTATAATGGAATGATCGTCATGGTTTTCGAAGTGTTACTAACCCCCGATCCGCCAGTAATGAAATCGAGACCTTCGCGAGTGCAGACAGTTACACATGCCGTCGCTACGAATCACTCATAGAGAACCTGACTGAGAATAGTCTCGATTTGATCTTGCAGGGGACAGGCGAAATCGTGGTCCGTAGTCTACCGGTACCTCAAAGCCAGCGGCTCTCCGAGTAACGTTCGTGGACTGGTGTAATGGAAGTCACCACATCCCTGCAAGGATGTACGACCCACGGCGGGACCATCCATCTCACTAGTCACAAAGTTATATTAACTTTTGGTGCGAGAGCAACGCTGGTCAGCTTTATACGTATGTGCTGCGCGTCTCGTCCACTCTAGCGTAAACCGACCTCTTCGCCACCCCTCAGTTACTCGATGCCGTTGGGTTCAGGAACGGGCTCCCCAACCAAGACCGTGCTCTCTTCCGGCCTCTCCTGCTCCGGTTCGGCTTCCGCCTCCGCCCGCTCGTCCTTCTTCTTGTAAAACCCCTCAACATCCTCGACCACCTGTCTCCCCGAAAAGTTTCTCATCAGCTTCTGCGACTCGCCCCGGATGCGGTGCTGGTACCAGTGCGGGAACGCCCTCAGCGCCGTCAGCACGTTGCCGTACGCGGGCAGCACGACGTGGCCGCTCTCGCCCGAGAGCACCTGCTTCACCACGGCGTCGGCGACGGTCTCGGGCTCCAGCGCCGGGAGGATGAAGTCGAAGCCCTGCTCGTAGCCGGTGAACAACGGAGTCTTTGTGAACCCTTGGTTGACTAGTACCGTGCGCACCCGCGGGGCGTTATACCGAGTGACTAGCTCCGCTGTGATGCCCTCGTGGAATGCCATAGCGGCGGCCTTGGACGCGCCGTAGTCGACCTAGACAGAAATGAGCCACTGTCGAATCGCCAAAACAATGTCAGTATCGAGAACGAATCTCACCATATTGGGGACGCATAGGTAACTTGCGTACGACGCAACCGTTACAATTATTCCGTGGTTGGTCTTTGCCATGTGCGGGAGGAATTCCTTGGTCGTCCAGTAGTGTGCAAGCGTGTTGACATCGAAAGTGAAGCGAATATCCCGCTCCGTCGATTCGAGGACCGTCTTGCCGCGCGCCACGCCGGCATTGTTAATGAGCACCGTTGGGTGGCCGACCTTTGCGCGAATGTCGTTGGCTACGGCCGCGAGTGCCTGGGTCGAAGTGATGTCGCACTTGAAATAGTGTACATTGGAAGCTGCCGGCGGGTTTTAGACGGCGAGTCACACAGAGAGAACGTCACCAAAGGTTTCCCTTATCAAAGGGGACTCACCAGCTGTGAAAGTCAAGTCCTGGATATCCAACACAACGACAGTGGCACCCTGCTCAGCCAACAGTCGCGCAACATGCCCGCCGATCCCACCAGCACCGCCTGTGACGAGAACAATCTCCCTGGGCCAGTTGTACCGGTCGTCGACCCAGTTGTTCAGGGCGCGCCGCGAGAGCCAGCTGCTCGCCCAGCGCGTCACGGCGCAGTACGCCAGGAACTTGATGCGCGAAAAGGCCGTGGGGTGAAGGATGGCGAGGTCGCCGCCCTTCTTAGTGTAGCGGGCGAGGAGCAGGAGCGGAAGCAGCAGGGACGGGTTCAGGGCGGTTCGGGCGATGAGGCGGAAGATGGGGTCGGCGGTGAGGCCCTCGCGCGGGAGGAAGCCCTGGTGCAGAGGCATCGTCGAAGTTCGTTGTTACTACGTTGGCGATGTGTGCGTCGGGTGCTTAGGCAGGCTATGAAGTCCTCTGCGGGGCCTTCGTTTCGAGACGATGATGAAATCAGATGGCGGCTGCGAGGTGATCCTGAGATGGGAGTTCCGACGCCGGCGAATCGAATGAGTACTCGCCGCCAAACTTGGTTGTGATGCAATGAAGCTTCGATTAGGTAGAGCTTGGGTTGTGCCGCGTTTCCAAGACAGAAGGGAATGTCAAAAGAAACACATTTTCGACGTCACACTACTGCACAACTAACATGCGAGCCCCCCATACTTAAGGGTGTGTCAATGACGAGGGGGGTTTCAACAGTCATAGGAAAAGAGAGGAAGCGAATCGGCCAGGGTCGCCCGTCGCACACCGGGCGACAGACACCAGAACAGCTCCAGCGATATGATGCTTGGCGGGAGTAGAAGCTGCAACCGTGCCGTCCCATCATGCTTGCCGCAGTTGTACAATGTGCAGCCCGACTGACCTGCGCGCCTGCATGCCTCCAGAGGGATCTACAATGCGCAGCCGAGGTCTACCTTCCATTGGTGCGGCCAAAGTGCGGGGAATCCGGGGGGGCGACCGTTGTCCAAGTCGTCTAAATGGCTTGGCATCTGGGTGGCGGCCATGCAGAGCGTGTCGAGTGAGTATTGTGATAGGACAGGGCTGTAAGGAAACGTGATAGACGGGTGAGCTCGCTCGACTTTTACTCATACCGTATCCGTACTAGAAAAATGCTGAGCGAGTAGGGTGCATAACGAGTGCAGGTGGTTGGTTGGCCACATGCAACGGGGGTTGTCGCTAAGGTAGCGCGTGCGTGTTGCCTTTTTCAGGAAGCAGTTCGTCGGGCGCGGCATGGACCCCCCGAATGGCTAAGACGTCAGCTCCGGATGGTCACCGACCCGATGGGGAGTGGGAAACGAGCAAGACCCGGGAATGGTTCCCTACTGCGTAATAGATCCCTTCGTTGCGATCGGGTTTGGTGTTATGCTCATAATAATTATAGACTCATTGGGCGAGAAACTTTTTGTGATCCCTGGGGAAGGATTAACCTTACCTCCAATTGAATTAACTTCATCTTCGTATCGAGTCAACTTCTAGAAGAGATCAATGTTCGGCCGTTTGGAATATCTGTGCGTACAAGGGATACAAATCCATCGGTATCGGTTTCGGTTTCGGGACCGCAAAAGACCCACGAGTCCCGTCGGGGATATCGATTAAGAAATATGTACTAATACAGCTTCCGCGTCTGGGTATCATATAGGGCACAAAGGTTACCACTAGCGCGCCTCCTCACTCAGCAACCTCGCTCGCACGCGAATTAGCGAAACCTCTTCGAGATAGGTGAAGCTCTCGTCTGCTCAAAATTTCTCAAAACTTCTCTTCAAGTTCAGAGCATTAGCGCGGCGCCGATGCTCACCAAACACAACCAGTGCGCGCCGTCGCTCCAGCTCAAGCTGGCTCCCGCGCCAAGGCCGTCACCAGGCGTCGCCTCAGGCTTCGTCCCGCTGAGCCCATCGTCGCCGCTGCCGGAGCCCGATTTTACATTGATGGTGGTGGAGTCGCCGGGAGCAAAGAGCACGCCGACGCCATTGGCGGCCGTGGCGTTGAGCTGGTCGGCGGTGAGGAGCGGGTTGTTGAGGGCGTCACAGGAGGGGCGGCCGTCTTTTTTCTCGATGCTGTTTGTGACGGAGATGGGCACGTCAAAGATTGTGTAGTGGTCTTCACCGTTGAGGCGGAAGTTTTGGCGGATGGAGATCTGGGTAGAGGTGTCTGTCAGTCACGCCTACCTCGGTGAGAAAAGGTTCGTGCAAGTGCCGACGTACGTTGTAAGCACCGCGATCGCTGGCGGCCGAGCTGGGCTGTCCGTTGCCGACGAGACAATCGGGCCAGATCCAGTTAACGTGCTTCACCGTGCTACCGGGCTCCTGGACCATGATCTCGCCGAGACTGGCGTTGTTGGCGGTCGCGGTGCCGTTCGAGATGGTGAAGTTGCGGCCGGTGGTGTAGCTGGACAGAAACATGGTCACGTTGAAGATCTTGGTTGGGCTGTCCGAGGCGTACGGCGGCAGCGGCATCTTGCCGTTGGTCGAGACGTCTATCGCAACTTGCAGGTTATCTGTAATTGACCTCTGTTGTTAACAACATGTGGCCATGAAGCCAGACAACTTTTGCTGCCAGCCTTCATCCGAAGTTTTGTGAGGTATAGCTAGTACTAACCGCCGCCCAGCGGAGTTCCCGGCTGAGGTGCATCCAAGATGACAAGCCCGGGCGTGAAGATTTGGCCATTGGCGATGGTGAAGTTCTGGGCCGATCCGGAAGCCGCGAACAGGCCTAGCACCGCCGCCGCCGCGTACGAAGTTGAGTAGACCATGACGTGAGAAAGGAATGTAACGCTGCGGGGAAGGCAAAGCTGGGTCCGAGAGAGTGTGGAGGATTTGGCAAAATATGCGGAAGCAGAACCAAGGAAAAAGGATAGGAAAAGACCAGCAGAGTTGCGCCTGCGTGGGGGGCGAAGGCCAGTTGATCAATTATTCGAGCCCACGCCTGAAGCATCCAGGACGCTGGCAATGAGTGAACAGGGTCCTGGTTTCCAGCAAAAGTACGGAAAAAGTGGGAACGACAGCCGATATTTCGTTGGATGCGGGATGATGGATCCGGTCAGGGAAATGAGCATACGGGCCACACCTGGAGTAGATTTGCCAGGGATGGTGGGAACGAGACGCAGAGGCAAACGGGATAGGATCAGGTCAACGGCAAGATCCCGCAAGGATGGGACGTCAGCCGTTCTTAAGGCGGAGAGGAGGACGGGACAAGAAAATCTTCCAGGTTGCTTGAAATTCCGATACTGTAAGCTACGTAACAAGCCGTCTCCCAACAACTCCTCTCGGTCGGTGACAGCGGCGATCCGACGCAAGAGACGGCAGAAAACCTTGTTCTTTATTAGCCTTGCAGGTTCTGAGCCATCATCATTCATGCCGTGTTTGTGTGACTGTAAGTGTGTGTGTGTGTGCCTCTTCCCGGAAGCCGAGAACCGGGGCCAGGCATTCCACCGCTTACAACAACCTTACAACTCTACCACCTGCCACCGTGGCACCATGCGATACGCGACCTCCGTCTCCTCGGGAATGGCGTCTGTGCATGACGCGGGTTCGCCAGGGGAATGGAACAGAGGCAACAGGGAGGATGGGGAGTGAGGTGGTCAATAGCGGCTGGTAATTAAGATGGCAGCCGGTGCGACGCCCTGTTGATGCATGGCAGGTTTCAGATTGAAGAAACTGCAGGAAGACTGACAGAGACTCAGAGAAGGAAAGAGGGGCCGCGCAAAAGAAACAGGACTTTGCGTTCCGTCACTGAGAAATGAGAAATGAGACGGCGAGACGCACGAGCCAACGCCTAATTAAACTTGCAGCCAACACCTTGCGCCGGCGCGGTGGGGTTTCCGGCCCCTTCGGTCCCTTCGGCATCGTCTTCCGCCGCCAAGTGACCCCCCGGTCCCACTGTGCGTCTTGTAAGGGTCCTTCCTCGACGGGAGTTTCTACTCGTCAAGTACGTAAATACGTTAGTATCAGTACTCTTCACGTTAACACCAAACACCAAGTATTGTAAGCGGCATATTGTCCTTGAACAATCATTTGTACAAATTCGACATCCATTAATGACACCATCCTGCATTGTAAATCGAGGGCGAATTATCTGACATGAACATTTTTGAAACAAAAAAACAGCAAACTTGTCCAGTTTTCTCAAAGGATTTCTTTTGGTTCGTCTTGGTTCTTCCCAACGCCTCGCTGTCTTTTTTTGAAAACCTTACAAGTATCCTCCTCCCCACCAGAGACTCGGGGCACAGATCAGGTCCAGAGGATACAGGTGCCGTCGGCGCCGGCACTCACACACCAGGGCTCCGTGGGGTGCCAGTCTACGTCCAGGACACCGAGCTTGTTGACAATCTTGTGGCCCTTGAGCATCTTCACGGGCACAATGGTCGGGTTCTCCATGAGATCGGTCACGACCTTTCCGTGGAAGATCTGCAGGGTGCCGTCGTCACTGGCGTCGGCGAACAGGGGGAAGCTGCGGTGGTACTTGACAGCACGGATGGCCTCGGAGTGGAAGCGCATCGTCTTGTAAGGGCGGTTGGAGAGGTCGAGGTCGTGCCACAGAAGACGTCTGTCGTAGGATCCCACGACGATGTTGTCACCGCCCGAGTGGACGTCAAAGGACGAGATCCAGCGGGCGCCGGGCTGGATGACTTTGACGAGCTCCTGTCTTTGGAGGTCGTAGCAGCGGATCATGCGCTGGGTCGCGACAAAGAAGAGGGGCCGCGAGGGATGGAATTGGGCTGTCTGGGCGAGACCGGGTAGCTTGCGGAAAGGAATCTGAGTCAGATGCTTCGAGAGAGTGTGAATGGCGACTGCGCTGCGCTGGCCGTTGGGAGAAACGGTGCTGAGGAAGTCTCCGCGTCTGTGCCAGTTGATCACCTTGATGACTGACCTGACGGTAGCCTTGAGCAGGACGCCGGCGGCCTCCAACTTGGAGCCGGGTCTAGCCCACTTGCCCGGGTGCTCCTTGGTAACTGCAGCTGTGGGCTGAGGGTTCTGTGTGGCGTAACCGAAACCAGCGTCGAGAATGTCGCGACTGGCCTTGTCAATGCCGTCGGCACCGCGGGGAGGAACCGCAAAGAAGAGATCTTCACCGGCAGCGGCGGCCAGGATGAAGGTCTCCTTGTTGGGACGCCAGCGGACAGCGTTCACGGCCTCATCGAGACTGAGCTTGGCCATCCACTCCTGACGGCCGGTACGGAGATGCCACAAGCGCACAGTACCGTCGTCACCACCGCTTGCAAGCCATTCGCCGTCAGGGCTGATGGCAGAAGACCGCACACGACCCTCGTGGCCACGGAAAACAGTCTGACAGGACGTGGGGAAAGGTCTGAGCTCTTCGGGGCGAGGCAGCTTGGGAAGGAGCGATGCGGGGTCGATGTTGAGCCTGTTCTTGCGCACGCGAGGAGCCAGATAAAGGTCCAGACAGCGCTCGAAGCGCTCCTTTACGAATTCGCCGTAGGCGGGGACCTTGCGCAACGAATCAAACTTGGCGGGCATGTACTCCTTCTCTCTGTCCTCGGGATCCGCCTTCTCCCACTCCTCCCTCTCGGCTTCCGTCGGGAGGTACTCGGGGGGAGGGTTGTAACTGAGGTCGTAGCCCGGAGGCGGGAGTTTGGGCGCCGGGATGTCCATGACGTGCGGCGGGCGCTCTTCCTCGTTCGCCCAGACATCGTAGTACGTTTCTTCCTTTTCGGCTTCTTCCTTCTCCTTCTCTTCCGCCGACTTGTACGGCAAGATATGTCCGTCCTTGATAGCCTTGACGAGCTTGGCAATGCGCTTCGCCTCGTGCTTGGAGGGGACGAAGCGACGTTTCGGTTCGGGCGCCGCGCTGAGAGGCATCTTCTCCTCGTGTGCTGTGAACCAGTGAACCATTTCCTGGGCCTCGTTAGTCTTGGACACAGGTTGCACGTAGTCTCTGAATACTCACGGGGTAGGGATCGTAGCCTTCTTCGGGGACCTCGTTCATCTGTACGCGGCGCAGAAGCTCGAGCTCGTCCTGGCTTAGGTTGAGGGGCTTGCCCGTCTGGGGGTCCGTCAAGCCGGTCCAGCCCTTGGGAAGCTCGATGGTCTCAAGTAGGGCATCCAACGCCTCGCCGGCGGCCGGGCGCATAATCTTCTTGCCATTGATGTCATATCCAATGTGAGGGTAGGAGTCGTAGAAAGAAAGAGGGATGTTGCCGATTGTGTTGACGGGCTCCTGGGCGTCAGTGTCGTCGGAGTCATAGTCGGCATTGATCTCGTCGTACTCGTAGCGCTCGTTGCCATCGGCGCCGGTGACGACCCTGTAGTTGGGCTTGTCGTCCTCGTCGCCATCGGCAGCGGCAGCATCCTTGCCTAGATTTGTTGACTTAAGCTTCGATGCAATGTCTTCGTCGTCGGCGTCGGAGGGAATATCGTCACTCAGAATGTCCTCCTCGTCGTCCTCGTCCTCCGACTCCGCGCCGTTCAGACCATTGTCTTCGCCTTCAGACTCGGAAGTTTCTTCGTAATCGGAATCATCTTCGCTCTGAGACAGGACACCCTCCAACGTTGCGTCGCCGAACTCGTCGTCGACAGGAACAGGGAAATCCGCCTGCGGCTCCTTCCGCTTGCCTAACGCTTGTCGTGCACCCATTGTGGTGGAAAGTTGTCAACCCAAAATGTGGTGAAGGGCTATTTTTGGAGCTTCGGTTCGCGATGCAAGCGCAAGGCGGTTTGGGCGGACGCTTTCTGGAATTTTTTTTTTCTGCCGTTGGACAGTGCTAGCGCATTCCAGACCGCCTAGCGGGGTTGACCGAGACGAAAGAGTGGGGAGTCGCTCCGGTCGTCTCCAACTGCAACCCCAAAATCTGCCCCAAAATCTGCCCTGCAACAACACCGCCAATTTTCTTCCACTACACACGCCGTTGTAACACAGAGATGCAGGGAGATAGACTCCAGTTCCCCAATGGTCATCCAAAATCCTGGATTGCACGTCATAGGCCTTAAACTATGCAGCGAGTCTTGAGATGGATGCAGAGCTACTGGACATCTCGAGAATAGATCATGAGGTGCGCCACGGTAGCTGTCAGCCCTTCGCCGGAACGCCTCTACTACGTACCTACTCAAATACCTAGCGCCTTTCCGGCTATTACCGTAGGCGGGCAGTCCCTGTGTATGGATTGCCCTACAGGGCACCCGTTCAGCTGCCGCCTGGCTAACCACAAGCAACCCTCCCGCGTTCTAGACGCTACAACGTAACATCGTAAGGTACTCATTGGCAGCGGGTACGAGGTAGTCTCTTGGCGGGATTGGACACCGGCAGCGTACTGAAGCAGGCGGAGCGACGCCGAATGCCTCCTTACACAAGGCGATGGATCGTAGACGCATCCAAGGATACATTGAGAGATCTCACTATGCCCAAAGGAAGCCCCTATTGGGGGCTCTTGTGAGATTCAGAATTCTCATGTTCCATCGTCAGCCCGCCCGACTATGCCAGTGACGGGTAAGACGCTTCGGGCTGCTCCGAAACGGCTCCAAGGGAGAGGCTTCCCATAATGCTGGTGTCCTTGTCCGTATGGTACTGATGCTAAGGTGCTTTCCCACGCCGATGACTCAAAACTTTGTGAATTACACATACACGGCCAATAATAGCGCCGCAAAATGGCATCTCAAAGTACCTACTTCAGTCCAAGAGAAATCTCATCCTGTAAGTACGAGGTAGGCATTGAAACCCGAATACTTTCGCACACTAAGCTCATGAGAGCTCATTTCGTGGTGTCTTCTAGTCAAGTTGAGGAGGACTTCCATTCACCTTTCCAACTTTCCAAGTGTATTGGCGCGAGCAGGGGAATGGAACCTTGAGAGATGCCTCAGCATTATTTTGCTCAAGAGACAGTCTCAATTGTTGTTAGAAAGGTACTATTGGTATGATGAGTAGAGAAGCTAGTGCGGCTTCCACAGTGAGCTAGGCTTGCTCTCTATCAAAAGTACCAACGGATGACCTTAGGTTCCGTCATATACAAGGTTGGCGTGGTGCTGACGCCGCCTGGAATCCTTCAAAGAACGACTTTGGAGTGACTCATGAAGAGGGCGGCCAAGCACCGTGTTTCTATGTACTTTTCCTGGGTGGATATACCTTGCCTTACGAATGGATCCCATACGACAAAACTCCGACTGAGTTGGTCTTAGGGAGCTAAGGCGGGTAAGCTGTACTGGGTGGCTTGCTCCTCACTTTCGACATTTACGCCGAGGACTGCCCTTTTGCTCTCAACCGCACCTCGTGTGTCTCACGCGTCTTTCTCATCCCGATCTATCCCTCTCTGGCTCACAGTCACAATACCTTTGCATTATAACCTTGGCCGTCGGTGTCACTACCTGCATGCTTCTACCTCGTGGGTACCGCAGCCTTGAGCAAAACACTCCGGGATTCAGCTGGAGAGCAAGCCACGAACTAAGGTAGCCAGGGCTTCATCGTCGTGCCCTTTCCGTTGTCGCTACTATCTAGAGTCATCGGCGCCCTTGGCACATCAACTTTACGAATCCCCCGTCACCTACATATAACCCTCCCGGAAGCCGCACTTTCCATCAGCCCGGGAAATTCTGAGCAATCGGAATAGTTCGAACCTCGCATATTGTCAGGCTATCACGGCAACGCCTCTCTAGTCCCCTCACACCCTTGTCATATCAAATCATGCCCCAGAGTAGTAGTCAGCCCAAGTCGACGACCGGTGTCGTGAAGCATCGCGCGTGTGATGAGTGTCGTAAGTGAAAGCCCGCCTCGCCCCACGTGCGTGTCGGCAAAATGCTAACAACCCACGCAAGGTTCGCGAAAGCTAGCTTGCACCAAGGAACCTGATGGCTGCTCGAGGTGTCGGCGAGAGGGGCTCAGGTGTGTCTACTCGCCCCAGAAGCAAATGGGCCGGCCAAGGAAGCGTAGACATGTCGATGATGTCGAAGGACAACCCTCCCCCGATAAGCCCGAGAACCAAGACCAGCAGACGCAAGTGCCACTCATGACGCAACCGACCTTGGACACCGACTTCTCGGCCTTCTTCTCGCAGGACTACTCGGGCATGAACTACCTTGACCTACTCTCCCCCTTGGAAGGCTTGCCGCCTTCGACGCTGCCGCCTGAGCTGTCGAGTCTGACCATGGCCTATACCGAACCGCGGTACCCTGCTGGAGATTTCCAGTTTGGGGTTGCTGGTGTTGACCTGTTAGGTGGCATCAACTTTGACGAAAGTGACTCTGCTGACGAGGATTTGCCTCAAGATATCAATGAAAGCCTTACAGAACTGCTCTCAGCGCAGGTGCCCGAGACGGTGCCCAGTCTCTCCCCTCCCACGTCATCAGAGACATCATCACAAACAGCCAACACAAACATGCCAGAATTGTCCACGTCGGTCAACCCAAAAACCCAGGGTGGCACCGGTCGAGAGATAGATGGGGCACCGAAAGCATACAATAACACCGCGTGTTCCTGCCTTTCTCTGATTTTCCTTTCCTTGGACGCCTTATCGAGACTACCAGACGATGTCAAGATCGCGATGAGCATAGCCAGGTCCGCTGCTCGCGTGGCCCACGACGTGATCGACTGCCCGTCCTGCAACCCCGCAGACATAACGAAGCCGCCCCCGATGCAGGCATTCCAAAACACGATGATGCTGGGCGCCATTCTCCCATCGACAGCCAACGCCTACGCCAAAATTCTCGAACTCATCGACAACGAGGCCTCCCTGGCCAAAAAAGAGAAGAGGAATATCACGTTCCACTTCGCCGAGTATGGTGGGCTGTGGGGCGAACTGAGCAGACGAGATAGCCAGTGCGGCACGATAGAGACGCTTGACAACCGAGAGATGGACCCCGATAGCTGGAGGCTGTCAGTCAGGGGGTTGTTGAAACTCGACATTTATGGACACGATTTCCAGAGGACAGACGGGGCGGGATTGACGGTGCCCTATCACCACCTTGGTCTCAAGGATGTCATCAAGCAAATGGAGGATCGATCAAACAACCGACATGACCAGATCGACGAAATGGTTGCAGCCGGGCTTCCCCATCCGTTGCTGCATAACGAGCAGCACTTGATGGTTCCGCTGGGCAAAGATGACAGCAAGGAGAATCGGCACTGTCTGAAGATTATTGAGATTGCGCGGGTTGCTTTGGACAAGCTGGTGATTGCCTGAGGGTTGATACTGGGGTTTTCCCTTTTCGAATGGATTGGATTCGTTTTGTCTGGGCACTCCTCGGGATGATGGGCGAGTTCACCCTGGCGGTATATTGGCGCATGGGAAGCAAAAAGCGTTTGGAAAGGGTTTTCGTTAATGGTAAGATTTTCGGCCAGCAGGATGATGGCATACGAAGGAAGCCAGACAGACAGTATCTGATATCCAGTGGCCGGAGCAAGATCGAAAATGTTGAAAATTGGAACATTCCACTCCACGATAACCTCACACTAGTGCCCGTACGGCCCATTCCACCCTATCCCGGAGAATGTATAGTTTTAATAAGCATTGTCCGGTTGTCCGGGTTGCTCTGGGAGTTTGGTCAGCATGCCGTGTTACTTTGGAATGTTTGTAGCGGATGAGATAATCTCGACTCCAAAGACAACGTTCCATGACAGCTTCCATGCAGATGCGGGACGGGGGCCATTGGATGCCAGTGTGGGTGAGATGGGCAGTGTTTGTCCTGAGCAACCCTGAGCGACCAGCTTCTCGGGACGGGCGAATGCCTGGGCAAAGCCAAATTTGTGGGAAGAATTCCCACCCCGTCAGCGGCGGTCATGAGCACGAGACACGCGAGATGGTGACCGAGTCTGCGGCAGCAATTGCCGCAAGGTGGCTTTCTTTTCTTTGAGAGTAACAAAGGGCGATGTTTCTATTGATAGCCCGGCGGTGCGTCGCGCAGGGTACGAGATGGAGCGAGACCGAACCATAATAGGACGTGGTTAAATTACGCGTCAAAGGATCCGGTATTGAGACTTTGGCCCCGATTTGGCTCATTGGTGCTTCTTTGCCTTGTGTCGAGTTCTTCTTCATCCCTTTTCTTTTGGTTTTCGTTTCACGAAATGAACGGGATTGTCTTTTCCACAGCTTCCAAGAAAACCGGAGGTTGATGGTGCCGTCGTGCGACGATGGGCTCCGGCGGGTAAAGCGGCAGGGGGGGTGCCAAATAAAAAAGTCCAGGGGAAATGCGGGGGCTAAAACCTGTGAATCTCGTAAATCGGGGTTCTCGGCACCAGGCCGGCTTGCCTCGTTAGTGCAGGAGAGTGTCGAGAGTTGCAAACTTGCGTCCGACCTGGCCTGAGGTGGCTTGCCTGGGCAAACTGAGATGGCCCAGCCTACCTTGGGTTCCTTGGGTCAACGGCTTTTTCAGGCTGGGCAAATTGTATTTGAGAAGGACATTGGCCGCTATAGCGACATAGCTGGTTTTCGTTTCTTGGCCCCTGGGATGATACGATCGGTCCTCCGTACCTTGGCAGCTTAGATCGGTCGGCCGGTGGTTGAATACTGGCGATGTTTTCTCCGGTCCATTGTCCGCCCGTTGGCCGCGGCCTCCTGAGCGGATAGACAAACCTCGTGATGTCTCTTGCCGCGATGCCTCAGACGGCGGTGTCTCTCCGTCCTTTTCGAAATCTCCCAATCTCGCCTCGATCCACCCGAGCCCCCAAGCTCCAATGTGTAGGGAGTAAAACCGTGAAAGTTAACAACAAGCCTTGGCTAGCGGCTTTGGAGCCCCCCGTGCCTGTCCTGACTCCAAGTAAGTATGCGCCCCTCCCCCCCTCTACACAGTATGTGCCTTAATATGCACTTGGAAAATATTACCGGTATTGCAGGGAATCACGGCAAGTCTAGGCCGTGGGAAAGTGACTAGTGGACTAATGGAGGATCCCCAAGACGGCAAGGACAGGTGTGTTAAGGTAGGTGGAGACGCTAAGCCCGATTAGAAGTAAGCTTGTGTCAGGACCTGGCCCCGAATGGAGGTTTTGTCATTTGTACCGTGGGAAATCGATTACGGATGCGCGCCAAATGGCGAGGTGAGATGATTACTCCAATACCCCGTGAACAGACATAACGCCTGACCGCTCACTGACCGTGGCTCTTACCAAGGCTCCTGCATCTTCTCGTTTCTCCAAAGATCAAAGGTGCCAAGGTACATCGACTCTCAGGCCAGGCCAAAGAGGTAGGTACTTTGCCTTACTCCTTCTAGACTGGCAACTCTCCCCCAGGCAGCTGTCTAGGGTAAGCTCCCACGCTCCCAAGAGTCCCAACACAAGGCCCGGCGTCTGTGCTGCATGCCACTTTCTTACTCCGCCTCGTGACAGCCCTCCTTTTGCCTATCAATCCCCGACCACGATCACCGTTTTTTGCTGTCCGCTCCTCTTCGTTCTATCTCCGTGTTTCTCTTTTTCTTCTCCCCTTTCAACATCCCTCTTCGCCCAGACCCTTCGGAGGTTTTCACTTTGGCCATCTACTTGTGTTGCTTCTTCCTTTCTCCGGTTTCTCTTTTTCTACTTCCTTTTTCTTTGCCCCAAATCCACAACGCCGCTGCATGCGCTTGTCTCGCATTTGCTCCTAATCAGTCAGCCAAAAACCCGTTGTTCGACCTAAAGCGATCGACCCTATCTCCCACCACCCCAAGAACGTCATCCACATACCGACGGCCGCTTCTCGCCCCCCCCTCCGACTAGACATCACCCCGTCATTCGCACGAGACCGCCCTTTTTCTCTGTCCCTCCCTCTGCTAGTCCCATTTCAACCCCCCGACCCGGCCAGGCCAATGGCCCCTCCGCCACCCTACCTGATAGCGACCGCCGCCCAAGATGTTTCTTCTACGCTCGCCGCTGTCGTAGCAGCTACAGCAACAGCAGCAGTCGAGGCAGCAGCAAACACCATGATCCCCATTGCGACCCCGACAGACACCTTCGCAGGCGCCATCGCGACCGTCGCGAGCACCGCTGCTGCGGCGACGGCCACGAATGCCGTAGCACAGGGCGAGGAAGGTGGCAACGGCGAGTGCAGCCTGCTTGGCTCCTTCGCCCTCATAGTCCAGGCGGCCCTCGGTGGCCTTGCCTTGCTGTCTTTGGTTTTCAAGCGCTGGAGAGAGCGGCCACAACGTCCAGTCAAGATCTGGTTCTTCGACGTCTCGAAGCAGGTGTTTGGCTCTGTTCTCGTCCACATCGCCAATATCTTCATGTCAATGTTGACGTCGGGGCGCTTCTCGGTGACACTGGACCCCGCAACGACGGCCACCGTGCAGAGGTTGATGAGACGCGGCGAGGACTACACACCCAACCCGTGCTCTTTCTACCTGCTCAACCTCGCCATCGATGTAAGAAATCTTTTCGCTACCCTTGGTTTGACGTTGTACTAATATGTGGTGCAGACCACCATCGGCATCCCCATCCTCATTGTACTTCTCCGCGTCCTGACGGGCCTCGTCGCATACACACCCTTGGGCAAGCCCGAAGAGTCGATCCGGTCTGGCAACTATGGCACTCCTCCCAACGCCTGGTGGTGGCTAAAACAGTCCTTCATATACTTCTGCGGCCTTTTTGGCATGAAGTTCTGCGTCCTCATCATCTTCCTACTCCTGCCATGGATCTCGCGTGTCGGCGATTGGGCCTTGCGGTGGACCGAAGGCAACGAGCAGCTGCAGATCTTCTTCGTCATGATGTTCTTCCCGCTCGTTATGAACGCCATGCAGTACTACATCATCGACTCTTTCATCAAGCAACCCCAGCACGAGCATGAGCGGCTACCGGAGGAGGACACTGACTGGAACTCGAGACACGCAGGTGTCAGCCCCTACGACGATGCCGACTCGGCCAGCGAGGAGGGCGCGAGTTCAGATGACGGAGCGAGCTTGAAGCTGAAGAAGGCGAAACATGTAGATGATGCCGAGTACGATCCGGATACGGACGGTGACGCACCGACGGTCATTGGTAGCAGTTCGAGCCGGACGAATCACCAGAGAAGGGATAAGGATATTTCGGCGGAGCTTTTCCCCAAGGAGTGATGTAAGGTTTCTTGGTTCAAAGTGGGGCTTGGAGCTAGCAACATGTATTATCGGACCAGGTCTAGATGGCCTGCAAAGGTCTGTAACAATACGGATTTGGTTTATGCGCATCGTCAATATTCATTTATCCTGGTGCTTCCAATCGGCAATCCGGACTACTTGGGTCCTGCTCACCAGCAAAGAATATCCCGAACGTGAGAAAGGGGGGTTCCACTTTGAAGAGCCGAGGCAAACGTTCATGACTTTGCCCTTTTCGACACCAAAACTTACAGTCGGGTCGTCTCTGAAAAATCACGCCCTTGGTAAATCCTGTTCGTACAAGCAGTGAAAAGTGGGAAGTTTCACCACGGCCGGTCACCCGAAATGGCTCCACTTGGTTGGGTCCGCGGGGATCGGGTCGGAGTCGGGCGCTCATCCGCGGTTCTGCTGTTGCGTTGGCTGTCACTTGGCTTCTGCCAGTGGCTCTAGTCCTCTTGTTTGCAGAACAAGACATGCTATCTGGCCTCTTATATCGAGAGCTTCATTTTCTTGTCAGCGGCAACTCGGACGGGTCCAACTGGAGCGTTGCATGGAGTGCAACTTCGCCCTTGGCCTGCATCGTGTGCACATCTTCGTGTTGGTTTGTTTCGACTGAGGATGAGGGGTCGTAAGCGATGACATTGCGTGTCTCTCTGCCATAACAGTATTCGACTGCCTTGTCTCCGCTTGTGTCCTCAACCATGTCGCTGCTCTCAAGACTCCTCTGCGACTGGGATAATGACACGGCAATCTTACTTGCTTCCCCAGAAGAAGGATTTAGCCAACAGGAATTACCATATTTATATTCCCACGAAAGCTTTCTTTCTATTACAGGCATTGGATGGGCATATCCTGCATGCTGACTTGAGGAACGTACTAGGTAGGTATTTTGTTGTTGGACGGGAGCCTGAAGTGCAAGAAGAGGATATGAGTGCACCTGAAACTTGGTAAAGATGACAAACGACCTTGACCGGAAACATTGGTCAAGGATTATGAAGGGCAGAGAGGGTTGGCGACTCGGCCGCAGGGTGGCAAACGACACAGTGATACACAACTTTTGTTCCTGCCTGCCTTTTGAAGTTCTTCTTTCGAGCAAAGAAATCCTCTATTCATTTACATCTCAACCGATTTTGCCTGGTCAAATCAACTCAAACTCTCATACTGCTCATCGATAACACAAGTAAACGCACTCATTGCTGTGGCCAAAGCCAGGGTGACTCGGACGTTCGTCTCGGCTCCGGATCAATTCAGAAGGTCGGGCGCTGCGTCCAACAGCTCCCACTGGTTTGGGAAACTCGTTACCAAGAAACAGACAAGAACATCCTCTCAGTCCCACAATTATCTTCTAAATGAAGACAACTTGGCCGCTGTGCTTGCATTATGCAATGCATTTGGCCCTGCTCAGGAACATGGGCTGGAAAGAGGGGGTTGCAGTCGAATGTTTTGGTCGCAACAAAAAGACAAGCTTGTGCCTTCCCCGCTACTCTAATGCCTTTTGTTTCTCTTCAAGACTCGTGCTCTCGCCTTTTCCAATCTTTCTCTTGGAAAGAAACAGTGACATTGCATATTCTGCTCACTGCCCGAAAGAGCCTCCGCGAGCATGGCTGCTATCGTAAACAACGTGGTCCAGCTTATTGCTGAAGACAATGTACGCATAATACGGCAATATTACAAAAGAAAATGAAGATTGACTGATCCAAATCGTAGGTTGACGCCACTGACAGTGAGGCGGACCTCGAGGTAAGTATAAAACCAACCTCGAGCTCCTTTTCTCACTCAGAGCTTCCTACTCATGCTACTTATTTCGCAGAGCCTGCAGTCAGAGACAACGAGCATCAAGGCGTCTATGCTTGAGTGGCGCCAAGAGAATGGCCGAACCTATCATAAATACAAAGATGGCAGTAAGTAAATCAGAAGCCTGTCTGGCTGTTCTCAGTGGTTGACCAACCACGTTAGAATACCTCGTTCCCAATGACGAGAAAGAACTCGACAGACTTGGTAAGGCACATCGCTACCTCGAATATTTGTCTATGCATACTGACGGCCTGCGCCAGACATGCAGCATGAGATCTTTTATCTCACGTTGGATGGAAAGCTCGGCATAACCCCTCCATGTGAGCCTGACGCGAAAGTTGGTCGTGTTCTCGATCTCGGCACGGGTACTGGACTGTGGGCAATCGATTTTGCAGATCTGCATCCCGAAGCTGAAGTGAGTCTTTTCCCTTGCGACGCAGTTTCCCAGCCCTCTACAGTGGCAATCGACTAATGGCTAATCACCAACCATTCTATAGGTGCTGGGCATGGACCTTTCCCCCGTTCAGCCAACAGAGTATGTGAATTCCCTATGAAAAGTTGAATTACCGAATGTACACCCAGAAAATTGACTGTTTAACGCTCGCAGCGTCCCGCCTAATGTCAAATTCGAGATTGATGACATCGAGGAAGAGTGGCTCTATTCACAACCATTTGACTACATTCATAGCCGAATCATCACCGGCGGCATTAGTGACTGGAAGAAGATGATCAAGAAGGTCTTCGAGTAAGTCTTTTCACGATAGTACGACCCACACGAAAGAGATCTGACATCCATGCAAAAAGCCACCTCAAGCCCGGTGGATGGTACGAGATACAGGAGTCAGACATGTCCCCGGCCGCCGACGATGGGACCTTGACCCCAGAGAAGGCACTATCTAGATTCGGCGCTCTGGTCCGCGAAGCTTACGTGGTGATGGGCGTGCCCCTGGTCCATGTTCCTGATCTGAAGGACGTCCTTGTGGAGGTCGGGTTCGAAGACGTAGAGCTGACCGTCTATAAATGGCCGACAAATCCTTGGCCTAAAGACCCCAAGTATAAGAGAATCGGGGAGTGGAATTATCACAATTTCGGCGGCGCGGTCGAGACTGTCTCCCTGGCGCCCCTGACCCGAGTTCATGGATGGACAAAGGAGGAGGTGCTGGTGTTCGCCGCCGAGGTGCGAAAGGATCTCAGGGACCCAAAGGTCCACTCTTACTTTCCCATGTAAGTCCCAATGTGCTTTTGTACCATTCGCGCTGGTGATCTTTCTGACAACGTTGATAGCTATACGCTTGTGGGAAGGAAGCCGTTGAAAGCGGCGACTTCGGCCGAGGCTTCATCGCCTCAGTGATGCCAGCGCTACTTCGACTAATTTTCTAGGCCGGTTTTCACAGCCCTTGCAGGAAAGCGAATTCTAGTAGGGCTTTTTTATTTCTTAAAGCCTTTTATCTTTTCATATTTTCTTTTACGAGACAAGGGAGCTTCGGACTTGAGGTTTAACAGTTATGACTTTGGCGGCATTGATATCGAGCGTACCAAGTCTCTAATCGTACTCAACCGCCTCCTATTTGTATCGAGTTGCATTTAAAAGGATTCAGAGTCCCAAATACAACTTCCTAGAAAATTGCATCAACTCAGAGGTTTTCAACTCTTATCCGCTGCTACGCTTGAGAGCCGATTTGCGCTGACCACCTGGTTGGCTGCTGCCGAGGTGTAAACTCACCGTACCCAAACGACGCCGATCGAAGTAGTTTCGAAATCAGGCCAATGCTAAATCAGGTATTGAAAATTATTGCATTTTTATTTTTGGATAATCTTCAGTCGTTGGAACGGCTAAGAAAAAGTGGCACTAGCATGGCGGGTGCTCAGCCCGCGACCCGCGGCGGGAGAAGTCTTCCCTTCTTCCCCTGTTGCATCTCCAATTTTTTCGGTCTACAAAGAGGCAACGTCGCCGCTCGCTTGCATTATGTAACCTGCACGTTGATACCAAGTATGTATGGCGGTCTTGTAGCAGGCCACGGGTTAGTTTGACAAAGAGGGGTTGGTTCATTTGAACATCTTCAAAAACTTCGGGTCGTCACCTCATACGTTCTCTAAAGTAGAACTATTTCTCCAGGACGAATCTTCAGCTATACAAGATCTAGATCGTTTCTTGTATCTTAACAAACTTTTCAAGACTGTCACGACGAACTGTAACCATGGTCGCCCCACAGGTCGATCCCGACGGTCCCCTGGCCGCTGAAGACGAAGTACGAACCCGTGGGAAACGTCGGGATGTCCGAAGGTCCAAGACTACTAATCATCAAATCAGATTTCAGATAGTGAACTGGATATTGAGAGCATTCGCTCAGAGACCACAAGCGTGAAAGACTCTATCCTTGAGTACAGAATTGAGAACGGAAGGTCCTATCATAAGTACAAAGACGGCAGTGAGTCCAACTTCTTGGTACAAACTTAGGTTACAGGTCGTCTGCTAACGTGTCCCAGAATATGCCTGGCCCAATGACGATAAGGAAAATGACAGAATGGGTATGTGAAGAATATAGTGGTCCTTCCCTCGTTGGTCTTCGTCACTCATCCATCAATCCTGTCAGATATGCAACATGAGATTTGCCTTCTCACGTTTCACGAGAGATTAGGACTTGCTCCTCCGTGTGATGAGGGCGCCAAAGTCGGCCGCGTCCTCGACCTTGGTACTGGAACCGGTCTCTGGGCCATCGACTATGGTGACCAGCATCCAGAGACGGAGGTGAGAGCTGACATAACGACTGTGTCACTGGAGATATATTTGTCTGACACGGAGATAGGTTCTGGGCGTCGATCTCTCTCCCATTCAGCCACGCGAGTATGTGATATTCCTGGTGGAGCCAGTCACGCTGCTAATGTTGTCGTTCAAGTGTGCCTCCTAATGTCAGGTTTGAGGTTGACGATGTTGAGGAAGAATGGCTGTATTCCCGGCCCTTCGACTATATCCATCTTCGGTTCATGAATGGGTCTATTTCAGATTGGAAGAAGTTCATTCAAAAAGCCTATGAGTACGTCTGACTTTCTCATAGTCATCGTATTACTCGCCACCTTGAGCAGCCCTTGGTCGTGAGTCTTTACCACCAGAGCTAACAAGACTCGTACAATAGTAATCTCGTCCCAGGTGGCTACTTCGAGATCCAGGATGGAGACTTCATAATCAAAGCTGATGATGATACTCTACCTCCCGAGAAGCCACTGGCACAATTTGTTTCCCTCATCCGCGAAGCTGCAGAGAAGTTCGGGCGCAGGTTCGCTCCAATCCCAGAGATGAGGGAGCTAATGCTCGAAATTGGATTCGAAACTGTGGTCCAGCAGAACTTCAAGTGGCCCTCCAACCCCTGGCCGAAGGACGAGCACTTCAAGAGGATTGGCGAATGGAACTTCCACAATTTCGTAGATGCTGCTGAGGCGATGGCCCTGGCACCTCTGACCCGTGGTCATGACTGGACGAAGGAGGAGGTCCAAGTCTTTCTGGTGGGCGTTCGTCAGGACATGAGGGACCAGAGAATTCACTCATACATGCCCATGTAAGTTTTTCTTTCCTTTTTCGGCCAATTCTCATCAAGTGTGCCCTCATAGACTAATGACTCTCTATGTAGCTACACGCTTGTGGGCAGGAAACCGTTGAAAGAAGATACTCCAGCCCCGCCTCAAAACGAGAACACGCCAACGGCTGGCGATGTCTCCGCAGCAACAGCTTCAGCCTCCCCTTAGTGACAATACTCTGATGGTCTTAGAATGAAGTGATCAAGGCCAGCGATTGGGGAGACTTCTTTGCTAGAGGGCGGAGCAATTAGGAATCCCCTTACCGCGTAGCATTGCTGGTGGAGCTGTTTACCTCAATCGAGATATTCCTAGCGTTACATGTCGGTTTCCGAGCAGACTCTGTTCATGACCATCTTTCTTCCTTTCTGTTGAATTTGAATTGTGACCTAGCAACCGAAACGTTCTTGACATGGGCAAGGACTCGGCGTACCGCGGATACGCAACTCTTTCTGAAGCTGGGTGTCCTCGGGGCTAACAGGGGTGGCGCGACAGATATAGCAAGTGATTATCCGTAGATGTCAATATGCAGTTGGAAGTCGTTGGAACGGCCAGGAAAACGTGGCACTAGCCTGACGGGGGTCTTTAGCCCGCGGCCCGCGGCGGGGGGTAATGTGTCTTCCCCGTTCCCCTGTCACATCTCCATTTTTTTCGTTCTGTAAAGAGGCAACGTCGCCGCCTGCATGCATTATTATGCGCCCTGCACGTCGCTGTTGTGAATGGTGACCGCGGTTGGGTCGACAAAGAGGGGTCGATTCATCTGCCCACCTCTCTTCAAAAACTTCGAGTCGTCATCTCCTCGTTGATTTCTGAAAATCTTGCCGCGCAACGAATCTTCATCAGGAAACGATTCAGTTTCTTGGCTTACATCTTGAATCAACTCGGCAGTACGAGTCCGACGTATTGCTGCCATGGCCGCGGCACCGGAGCATCCCGAGGGTTTCCTGGCCGCTGACGACGAGGTAGGCATTGTCGAGAAGTGACACGCGCCTTTCCCCTTTAGCCTCAACGCTAATGGTGACTTTAGATCTCCGACAGCGAGGTGGATCTCGAAAGTCTTCATTCAGAGACCACCAGCGTGAAAAGCTCGATTCTCGAGTACCGGATAGAGAATGGCAGGTCGTATCATAAGTACAAGGACGGCAGTGAGAGAAATGCCCATGCGGTTAGATGAGCTTCATCCATGGTTCTGACGAGCTGTCTCAGAATATGCTTTTCCCAACGATGACCAAGAAAACGAGCGACTCGGTATGGTACCTTGGGATTTTGCTGCTCATATACTCGCGCTAATACCGAGACCAGATATGCAGAGCGAGATCTGTAATCTCACCTTCCACGGCAAGATGGGTTTTGCGCCGCCGGCAGAGGAGGGCGCCAAAGTTGGGCGTATCCTTGACCTTGGCACAGGAACTGGCCTCTGGGCCATAGATTACGGTGATCAACACCCTGAAACTGAGGTGAGTGTGTGCGGCACATTGGGTGCAATAAGGATGTCTAATTAAGTCGGGGATTAGGTATTGGGCGTGGATCTCTCGCCAATCCAGCCAAGAGAGTATGTTCTCTCCCCTCTCTACACTATCTTTTTAAGGTATATCGACTCAAGTACTGATGTTGGAGGATTTTTTAGCGTCCCGCCAAACGTCCATTTCGAGGTTGATGATGTTGAAGAGGACTGGCTCTACTCGAGACCTTTTGATTATATTCACATCCGCTTCTTGAATGGCTCGATCGCAGATTGGAAAAAGCTGGTCACCAAGGCCTATGAGTAAGTCTGATGTGTGTAGAGTGACAGCATTCAACGCTCGTGATCCTTCAAAGGCTAGTCCGTGAGACTATATAGGAAGAAATGACTGACAGCCTCTCTAATTTTAGCAATCTCGTCCCTGGTGGTTATTTTGAAATCCAGGAGAACGATTTCGTTTTCACGTCAGACGATGAGACGCTGGCGCCCAAGGCACCCCTCGCTGAGTTCGGCAGACTGGTTCGGGAAGCCGCCGCAAAGTTCGGACGTGCATTTGTCCCATGCCCCGAGTTGAAGGACATCTTGACTGAGGCCGGCTTCGAGGACGTCGTCCTCGACAAGTTCAAGTGGCCATCTAACCCATGGCCCAAAGATCCCTACCACAAGACGATTGGGCAGTGGAACTATCACAACTTTGTGGATGCCGCAGAGGCCCTGGCTTTGGCGCCTCTGACGCGCGCTCACGACTGGACCAAAGAAGAGGTCCAAGTATTTCTTATTGACGTCCGAAAGGATATGAGAAATCCCAAAGTCCACTCGTACATGCCAATGTAAGTTTCGGATCGCCGCCATCTCTTCAAGGTCCGTCGTTGGCTGTTTTTGCTCATCATTCAATACAGCTACACTATTGTTGGAAGAAAGCCTTTGAAGGAAGATTCCCCTGCTGCACCTCAAGCTTAAGACATGTTAGTGAAGGAGAGCAAGAACGGAGGTAGATCAAGGGATCTGGAACGACGATGGGCGCATTGCGGACACGGGACGCCTTCCGATAGTGGGCGGTCCAGATTCTGCAGTGGCACCGGCATTGGCACTGGCAGAGGTTGCCCAGCCCTGAAGTGGCAAGCCCTGCGGATAGATGGCAGGATGCGGTTGGAAGTTGTTTCCACATGCCCATGTCGTGTTCTTTCTCTTTTCATTCGACCCTAGATTTCTCTGCCCCATAATTGTCTGCAATGGGGAAACTGCACCGTCGAGATGCATAATAAGCACGTTTGCTCGTTGGCTGCTTCGCCGACCCCCAGCTCAGAAGAGGGGGGGGGACGACTGAGATCGCCTGTTTTTGTCACAAAAACATCGTTGAACCCCCGTGCCCCCTCGACAATGTCCATCCTCGTCCATGATTCCAGCTTTCATAATACTTTCCACTCTGTACGACGTGGCGTAGTATACCAATCGCATCACCATCGAAAGCACCGACCAGCCAAGGTAGACCAGCACGGAACTCATCAACGCCCTTCACATTCAGTTCTTTTTCCCTAGCTAGTGGTTATCAATATGGCTGAAGCGAACAATGTTGTCACTCCTGCGCTCATTGTAGACCAAGAGGTAAACTGACTGCGACACCTCTGCACTGCAATGCCAGGGTCATCCCTTTTACAAGTTGTCGAATGTCTGACTGTCTCCTTAGCAAGATGATTCCCGTTCAGAGATTGGAAGCGTAAGATCGAATTGTCTCCTCATTTGAACCACGGGTTCCTCAATCTGACCTGTTCGTTTCTGCTCAGAGTGTTGCTTCGTCAAGCACTAGTCTCCGTGACTCTATTGTGGACTACCGTATTGAGAACGGCCGAACGTATCATCGATACAAAGACGGAAGTATGTCAAGTTGTACCTGTTTTCTGCATCGTCACTCTAATTTCCGATTAGAATATGCCTTTCCCAACGACGAGCGGGAGTTGGAAAGATTAGGTAGGTCTTGCCACCCGAAGTTTGGGTTGACCAAGTCACTCATAGTATTCTTAGACTTGCAAGGTGAACTTTGGGACATCTCTCTCGATTTCGCTCTTGGTATCGCTCCGCCGTGCGAGGAAAACGCCCAGGTCGGTCGAGTGCTTGACGTCGGCACCGGCAGTGGTCTCTGGGCTATCAATTACGGGGACGAGCATCCTGAAGCCGAGGTAAGCTAATTCAAAATGAATTACTGATACTAGTTCAACTCCCACCTTTGCAACTGCTACGGCGAAGGATGGACTCGGATTTTGACACAGCGTTCTTTGCAGGTCATCGGTATTGACCTCTCACCGACCCTCCCTGAGTAGTATGTGCTATCACATCCTCATTTCAAGCCTGGAGATCACGGTTGTCGCCAGTCCACAGAAACTGACCTCAGCTTACAGCGTGCCTCCAAACGTGAGGTTTGAGATTGACGATGTTGAAGAAGAATGGACATGGTCGCAGCCCTTTGACTACATTCATAGCCGCATCATGACGGCAAGCATTAGCGACTGGGAGGTTTACCTCCGCAGGTGCTACGAGTAAGATTTTCTTCTCTTCAAGTCCATTGTGAAGCAATGAGTAGTAGGACGTGCGAAGTCTTGTCTCACGGATGTAGCTAACTCAGGGGCAATTTTAGCAATCTCTCACCTGGTGGATGGCTCGAACTGCAAGAGCTTGATGTCATTGTCGCTTCTGACGACGGGACCCTCACAGAAGATCACGCCTTCTCCAAATGGTGCAAATTGATTCAGAAAGCTACGGCGGAGCTTGGGCGCGCTTACATTGACCCGAAACCTCTCAAAGATATCTTGATCGCCATCGGATTTGTCGACGTAAAGATCACCAGCTACAAGTGGCCTTGTAATGACTGGGCCAAGGATGAGAAGTACAAGCAGCTTGGAAGATTGCATTGTGAGAATTTCACAAGTGGCCTTGAAGCGTTCTCCATGGCAGGCTTTACCCGCGCCTTCGACTGGACCCCTGAGGAGGTCAACGTTTTTCTGATTGACGTGCGAAACGACATCAAGAACAGGACTATCCACAGTTATACCCCTACGTGAGTAGCAGAGACTGAAAATGTGATATCTTCCTTGAGTTTAAATGCGCTGACGCTCATTTCAGTTACTGCATCATCGGGCGCAAGCCGGAGAAGGTGGACACTCCTGCTCCCCCAGCCCAGGCCTCACCTCCAGCTTCATCTTAGCGGTCGAGTACAGATAGGACAATGTGAGTAATTGGCGGAAACGGTAGACTCTGGGATGCCAGGAGTGGTTAGAGGCAGTTTAGGTTATCGTCAAATAAAAGCATGGAGATGAGATGGCAGACCCTTAGGCCTTGGTAGTCCAAGTATCTCAGATTAATCAGTCAACTCATCAAACATAAAGCCCAAGCATTCCGAGGTGTGAAGTCCAATATTGTAGTTGGAGGCAGGTTGCGTTTAGCATGAGTTTAATTTGGGTTTGCCGCCTTAATGTAAGTTCATCCTCGCGCGGCTCCGTGGCATCGCATGGATGGGCCGACTTGCAATCCTTGAATGATACGGACCCAAACGACAACAGCATCAACCTGCAAATCTGTATCTTTCAGCAACTTCAAATGCATGCACCTCAGATGGTGAGAAGTAGTCAAGATTTGGATCATGCTCCACGGAAACTCTTCCTGAAGTTAATGACCGGGGGCGGTCTAACTTTGGAGAGTTCATGGTCTCACCACTTTCTCTCAAACTTCCAAGAAACCGGCTTACGCTTTTAAATGGTTGTATTGGATAGTCATCTTCAGGATGAGACTTTCTAGCGGCCAGGGCGCAGTTCGTTCAGCAGCCACCTTCACAAATGGGCACTGCCTGGCGTACTGTATGTGGCATACTTGAACTGCTAGATAACGCAATACGTGTTCCTCTGTTCGTCTGAAAGCCTTTGCAAACAAGGATGCGAGTGACCTAGGCAGCTTGAGTGAGAAGCATTACCATATATTCAGCGGAAGACACTACCTACCCCTTGTCTGCAGTCGGTCTCTCCAACTCGGCCGCAGCTTCTTCGGGTCCACAATTGTCTGCGCCGCAGTAGCAACGCCGTTAATGCGCATATGCATGTTTGCCCGTTGGCAACATTTGTGAACAAGAGGGATCCGCCGAGTGCAAGCCAATGAGGTCGAGATTGAACTTTACACAAGGATTTAGGACCCGCGTCCCAACCCCCCTTACAATTATTCTTCAGACCTTTTACCTCGCTCCAACCTTTTTGAAAAAGAATATTAACACAACTTGATCTAGAATTGTGGTCGTCGAGAGATTGGCAATAGCACCGGCAGGATCAGCACCCACGGCCACCATGGCTCATGACAACGTTGCCGATCTCGGCGTGGACGATGTAAGGGAAATGAGTCTACGATTCGGAGACAGACCTTCTGTCAGAGGTTGGCTAACTGATATAAAAACAGGAAGGGGTGGCAGATGTACATGTAAGCTGAAGCCTGCGTAATCAGGGGCCATTCCTCTAAAACGGAGGGGGGCCACCAATACTAACACATTTTCTTGTCTTCCAGAGCATAGCTCGATCGACGATTAGTCTTCGTAAGTCACTTCTTGATCATCGTATCGAGAATGGAAGGTCGTACCACAGATATAAAGATGGCAGTATGTTCATCTATGCTTTGGCCTCGGTCAGAGACCCGCTCTTACTCGGCTTTAGAATACAACCTCCCCAATGACGAAATGGAACTAGACAGGTTAGGTAGGTTTCTTCGGATGATCCTGCCTCTTGCGAAGCCACTTTTCTAACTATTTTTCTTCTCTATAGATTTACAGCACCACTTGTGGCTTCTTTCTCTCGATAACAGACTTGGTATTGCCCCACCTTGCATGGAGGGCGCCCAGGTCGGTCGGGTGCTTGATGTCGGAACTGGGTCTGGCGTCTGGGTCCTTGACTTTGGTGACGAACACCCCGAGTCTGAGGTAAGATTTCGGGCTCGCCTCAATATGTGTCAAGAGCTATTCCGCCTCTTGATGTATCCCACGTTTTCGAATGTGCAGTGCTTGACTGAGACTGTTCCGCAGGTGTACGGTATCGACCTGTCGCCAACTCTCCCCATCTAGTGAGTGGAATTTGACAAAGGCTTGACTTACGAAATGCAAACCCTGACAAGGCACATATTAATAGTGTGCCTCCAAACGTCAAATTTGAAGTCGACGATGCTGAGGAAGAATGGACTTGGTCGCGGCCCTTTTCCTACATCCACAGCCGCGTGATGACCTCCAGTATTGGTGACTGGCCGCTCTATATACGCCGTTGTTTCGAGTAAGTGTATCCACCTCGACCTTCTCGTGGCTGTAACCGGAGAAGAAGTGACCTCAAACACAAATTCCCTACTGACCAGGGGAAACGCAGCAATCTCGAACCTGGGGGATGGATCGAGCTACAAGAATTCGATCTCTTTCCGCGCTCAGACGATGGCACTCTCACGCCTGAGCATCCATTGATGAAGTGGTGCACCCTTCTCCTCGAGGCATCGGAGAAGTTCGGTCGTCCCTACGTCAAAGTCCCGCTATTGAGGGACCTCCTCATAGAGGTTGGCTTTGTGGACGTATCGCTAAGTCTATGCAAGTGGCCTACCAACACTTGGCCGAAAGAGCCCAAATATAAGGAAATTGGTATCTGGCATAGCCAAAATGTTTCTAGCGGCCTTGATGCCTTTACAATGGCAGCTTTAACGCGTGCCCTGAAATGGACACCTACTGAAGTCGAGGGATTCCTCGTTGATGTACAGGACAACATTAAGGATAAGAAAATCCACGCATGGTGGCCAGCGTAAGCATTCCCGGCAGTTAGAAATACAGCCTGAGAAATCTATCATGTTGACACGGTACAGATACTGTATTATCGGACGCAAGCCAGAGCAGGTAGAAAACCCGGCTTCCCCTTTCTCTTGAGGCCTCTGCCTCTCCTTCGGCTCAGACTTCAGCTTGATGCTAGGGCTCACGTACTTGATTGAGAGGAAGAAGGGATATGGATGGGGACGGGTATTGCGTTCAGGACGCACACTTTCGATACCATAGACTTTATTGTCCCCAGGGCCCTGAGATATTTATATTGAGTTAATCGAGCGGGACGAGTCACTTGCAACCAAAACAGACCATTCTCCTCTACCTAGGATGAAGAATAGATTTCATATGTCGATCTGGAGTCTTCACCCTCAGGTGGAAGACGAAGATAGTGCTAACGGCGGAGCTGGGTACCAACAAGAATGGCACTGGGCAAGAGAAGCTATAGAAGCAAGGATCGATTCTACGATACCACACGTATTCGAGCGATGTGACCTTCGAACGAGCGAGGGACTCATGATCGTTCGCATGAGTAGTCATTGTGCCGGGGTTTGTACTGACGCGGTGCAATTACACGGTTGAGATGAGCGACTTATGTTAAGGGGGTTGGGGGAATATAGACACATTTTGCTAGTCTTTTTTTTTGTCCCCATAGGCAAGTAGGACAGTGTGTCAGGCAGCTGCTGTGGTCCTCGGTTATTGTCAGTGTAGCTGTTCTCTTAGAGAATAATGAAGAAAGCACTTTCGTTTCGACATTTTGAATCCGAAGCATCATATCATTGAGCAAGGTTGCGTTCGGGACGGGATCTAGGTTTTAGTTGCCTTAGTCTTAGTCCATCCTGGGGCATCGCAGGGATGCGGCGACTTACTATCCACGAATAGCGAGCCGGATTCAGACGTCAATGGCATGTACATGAAAATCAAAAGTTCCCAATTGGCACGAAGGCCTATGCCATCACGCCATGTAAATGAGGAAATTTCGTGACTGCATGTAACCCTTGTGCCCTTAGGAAAGCCTCCACGGTTTAAATAGTCTCTATTCTCGTCTTGGTCTGAAATAAACACTGGCGCCCCTCGATATTTCACGACTACATGGTCTTACGCCGTATTCAACGTATCGCGGAACAAAAGCGAAATCCGTCCTCATCATTCGTCAAGCCTCTGCTTTGGCAGCAAGCATAGATAAGCACCTGTGCCGCGTAAACGGATCTCTTTCCGGACTTGGGCCCCAGAAGGTCCCAGAAACTCCTCAAGCATGCTGGTCACCGGCGGATGTTTCGGTTGGAGATGTTTCCCTGCGGTTGCCGTAAATGAGTCCGTCTCCTAGGATCCCATTCGGCCGTGAACTCTCTAGGTCCACAAATGTCTGCAATGAGGAAAACGCAGCGTCGAGGTGCATATGTGTGTTTGCCTGTTGGTTCTGCGGCGTACCCTGGCCGCGAAGAGGGGGCTCGCATGAGCTCGTCTGTCCTCATCACAAAAAGATTACGAGCCCCGCGTCGGACCCGGTTGCTCGATTCCTCCCATTCTTCTTAGCTAGTCTACAATTTGGTCTTGCGCTGCGGGTTCACCAATTTCAACGAGAACGCCTTTTCGTTGATTTTTAGAAACGTGAATTTCGTGAACTTTAACATGTCTCAAGACAACCAACCGGTCGTGCTCGCCGTTGACCAAGATGTGGGTCATGAGAAAAGCGATGTCTTCCTGCAGTCAAGTTCTAACGGTTCCCAAAGCCAGCGAATGCGGTCCAAGATGAATCACAGTCAGAAATTGGAAGCGTGAGTTGAATCTAGTCCTTGTGTATCCTCCGCCGCCATTTCAGTCCGAAAGGACCCTGCTGAATGCTGTCGTCCTTGTTTTAGAGCGTTGCTTCATCAAGCACTAGCCTTCGCGAGTCTATTCTCGAGTACCGGCTCGAGAATGGCAGAACCTACCACCGGTACAAAGATGGAAGTATGCACATCTTCGTGGCTCAGTTACTTGAGCGAGGTCTCTGACTCTAAGTAGCCTATATCATCCCCAATGACGATAGAGAGCTTGAAAGACTAGGTATACATAAGCCATATATTCCATCTCTTGATTTTCTTAAAGCTTATTACTTGACCAGATTTGACCCATTCAATGTGGCTTCTTGTCACGGACAACAAGCTTGGTGTTGCTCCACCGTGCCAACCCGGTGCTAAAGTCGGGCGAGTTCTCGATGTAGGCACTGGCAGTGGTATCTGGGCTCTCGATTTTGGAGACGAGCACCCAGAATCTGAGGTAACAACCACTGTCAAAGGCCGACTCTCAAATGATGCTGGCAAACCGAGATCGAACAAGAACTGACGCGGGAGATCCTACAGGTTCTTGCTTTTGATCTCTCTCCGACTCTGCCTGCTTAGTACGAACTTCTCATTACTCTTTCATGGAGGAGACACTGAAGAGATGTTTCAGTGTGCCTCCCAACGTCAGTTTCAAAGTGGACGATGCCGAAGACCCGTGGGTGTACTCGCAGCCTTTCCAGTACATTCACAGCAGAGTCATTACTTCGGGCATCAGCAGTTGGAAGAAGTATCTGAAGAAATGCTACGAGTAAGAATGAATCTTGCTTTCAACTTCTCATGGATTTCCTTTAATGAAGAAAGGCGAGAAGAACGAAAGGCTGACACGATGCAACGCGAAGAAACCTCGAGCCAGGCGGATGGGTCGAACTGCAAGAAATCGACCTTCACCCGACCTCCGACGACGGAACACTGAAGCCCGACTCCGCGCTGCTCAAGTGGGCCGACTTATTACAAGAGGCTTCTGAGAAGTTCGGACGTCCCTTTGCCAAAGTTCCCCCGCTGAAAGATATCATGGTGGAGGCTGGCTTTGTTGACGTCCAGATGACGGTTACCCAATGGCCGAGCAACTCGTGGCCAAAGGAGGCCAAATGAAAAGAAATCGGCATCTGGAACTGCGAGAATATGCTCACAGGTCTCGAGGGGTTCTCCATGGCTGCGTTGGCCCGCGGCCATGAGTGGTCTCGTAGTGAGGTCGAGGTCTTCCTCATTCAAGTGCGAAAGGATATCAAGGACCGGAGTATTCACGGTTACTGGCCGGTGTAAGGACCCCAACCCGGTTTCTCTGCGCCCTTCGGGTTGTTGATTTCATCTGTATCACAAATTGGCACTGACATATCCCTAAATAGATACTACATCACTGGACGCAAGCCCGAGAAGGAAGACTCTGCGCATCCGAATCCCATTTCCCCTGAAAATGCCGCTCCCACTGAGGCCACTATCTCCCCATCGGTACCGGCAGCGGCTGCGAAAATACAGCCAATAGCATTATCTTGAGCGTGGCTGCTGGGTAACAATCGGTCCAGCTGGGTTTTCACTAGATTCCATCGGCAGGAAGGGCAAGTTTTTGGTGTTGGTAGAGTGTCTAGGACAGCATCTCGCACGAAACAGGCGCCTAATTCATTGAGTCTCACGTCATCTCTAATTTGACTCAAAGTTTGTCAAATTCCTCAAGGTTTGGGCCTCATTTCCGACAATAGCCTCTGGACAGACAGACATTTAGTGTAAGGACGATGGATAACTTATGTAATAGAAAAAAAAAAGGAAGACACAGTATGTGTATCATCCAAAACTGGTATCAACCCGGCATGCCATCTACTCACATGCACAGAAAACACCCCTACCAGATGCGAACCTCTCATTATCCATGGCCAACGGCAGGTTATCCCAACCAACTCCTCCAAACTCACCACCAGTCTCACTGCTCCATGACCTCCACAATCCCCTTCCAAAAGTTACACCGATCCCTCTGCCCGTCGTTGACGTTCTCCATCCGGTTATTATTGAGCTCAAACACGTACCGCGACTGATTCCGCCCCCAATCGCCCCAATCCGGCGCACCCGCGAGCTTGTACGTGTTGGGATTCAGGTCGCGCACAAAGGAGATGACGTACTTCATCATCAGCGAGACGATGGGCCGGTTATACGTCCGGAAGCTTTCGGGCGTCGGGCAGGCGTCGATGCCGAAGACAGCGGGCGCCTCAAAGACGTGCGGGACGCCGAGCCCCGAGGCCGTGTTGTCGTTGTCCTGGACGTTGAAGCGGTAGGACCAGCTCGTTCCGGAGCGGTTCGCGGCCGCGTAGGCATTCATGATGGTGTTGGCGGGGCAGATGAAGGTCGTCTCGCCGTAGGCCTGGCTGGTTGAAGGGAACCAGGCGTTGTGGTTGGGCAGCGCGGGCAGGAGCGGATATCGTTGCAGCATGGGGTCGGTTTCGTTCTTTGTGAGTTTTGGGTAGTTGTCTGTCATGAAGGAGACGAATTCGTCTTGGGTTGCGACGTTGGCGGCGAAGACGGATCCCTCTGGAAGGGGGTTTTTGTAAGTAATCTTGGTCGTCGTCGAAAAAGAGGATGGCGGGACTTACCGTTGGTTCCTGTCCCAAAGAGGACAGGGACTTTAATGAAAGAGCCCTTCGCGTAGAGCCGGTATGGATAATCTTGAAGAATGTCGCCGTCTATACAAGGAGTCCAGTAAAAATGCGGGTTCACCGATCTTCCCGGAAACGGTGATGCAACGTTGGCATCCTGAATTGCTCGAATGTCTTTGCCGCGTAGACAACCAATCTGGTCCTTGTCATCTTTGCAGCCTACCTTTTCCAGCGTCTTGTTGAACTGATACTCAAGCTCGGGAACACGAGGTTGCGCAGGAAAGAAGACCGACTCGGACATGGCGCCTACGAAGAGCTTGTCGTCGCGTCCGCCGTACGCTGCGAGATGGAGGGCGACCGAGCCTGCTCCCGCTGAGAGGCCGTGAATGACTACGTGATTTGGGTCACCGCCAAACTGTCCTGCTTGTGAGCGTGATTGAAAATGACGTGACGCGGGATATGGTTTCACCTTTGATATATGAGTCTGAACCCATTTCATCATGAATCGCTGGTCCAAGAGCCCGACGTTTAGTTCGCCGTCTTTCCGAACCCGCTCACTCGCCAGAAATCCCCATAGTCCAACTCTGTAGTTGAAGTTTACAAAAACAATATTGTTGCCCGAGACGTCGACAACCTGAGAGCCGTTCCAGTTGGGATTGGCATTTGAGGTGTAACCTGAAACCATGTCAGATACGAATTAACACGAGACAGACGCATAAGAGCTTTCATGCGACTTTCATTTTTTTTTTTTTTTTTTTTTTAAACATGGGGCATTGTCGTGTGAGATAGTGAACTACGTGGGACTTACCACCGCCTTGGATGAACAGCCACACAGGAAGCTTCGAGTCAGCCGTCGTGTTTGTTGGTGACCAGACATTGGCGTATAAGCAGTCCTCGTCTTGACCTGGCGTAGGATAAGTCACATCCGTCCCGAGACATATCGGCCCAAACTGAGATTCGGTTAGCAAGGTAGCACTCGATCAACGGTACTGCCCCGCGCCTTACGTCGATGGCATCTGTCGTGCCCTCTTTCGGCTCGGGATCTTGAGGCGCTCGCCATCTCAGATTTCCTATCGGAGGCGCCGCATACCGCATTCCCAGAAACTGGTTCACGCCGCTCGGGAGCACATTCCCGGCATACCTCGCGTAGCCGAGATCGACAGTGACCCTCGGGAGATTGGCCTGCCACGCAGTGTCAGTACTTTGTGCGACGTGCCGCCAGGGAATCGGGGAAAAGTGAGACATCAAATCGGACATCATCTCGAACATCGAGATATTCACGAATGTTGAAGTAGAGGACGACGGAGAGGGCCGCTAGGATCATGCTGGCGATGGCAACTGGCGCAGAGTATCTCCGCCAGTTGAACTCCCTCCTCTCCATGACGGGTTGAAGGAGGGGTGAACATGTTTCGAGGTCATATGGTCCCGCGGGCTGCGGCGGCGCTGTGCGATCCCACGTGAGAGCCACCGTGGAAAGCAGTCTGCTTGCTTCGGAAAACAAGAGCCCAAAGCCAAGCGGGGGAAGCAGGAGGAGCGAAACTGTGAGTGAGTGAGTGAGTGAGTGAGTGAGTGACGGCGAGAATGAGGCTAAACTAGCGGCTGCTGCATGTCGTTTCCGAGAAGGGATCCGTGCCAGTCTCACAGACTCTCTGCAGCAGTGAGATGGCGCGGGTAAGACGCCGAATATGAGTCCTGAGGGGATCGTGGATGGACCTGCGGACAGCCTCGGACGAGAAAATGTTGAAGATGTAGTGATCGGTTCCAAAGAAAAAGGGGTGGACCGCCGCCTAGAATGATGATGATGCCGCTGAGAACGGTATGGAGGGTTGAACCTTGGCAGCGCCGAGCATGTCTTTGTTAACTTTGACTTGGCCTACCCAACTGCTATGACTGGGTACCCTAGCTGTCTCCCACCTCACCAAAGAAGGGATACGGGAAAACGGATTTTCTGGGGTGATACTGCCTACTTCACGCACTACAACTGCTTTCTCTCATCCGTGCTAGGGTCCCTATGCTGGCTGCGGGCTGCAGACTTGATAGAGGGCACGGGCAGTGTCAGCGCACTGCCAAGTAGCCCATCTGCAGTGACGTCGCCATGGCCAGTATCTTTTGTTGGTCGACTTGACGCAGGCCAGGAGCGTTCTGGAAGGCAGAAACTCCTTGCAAAGAGACCCGGTGAACCTGCCAGGGGACCACTGGAAACACTGGGGCATTGTCCAACAGCTTGCCGCTGGAGAGCCGGGGTTTCGCTGTTTTCGGAAACAGGACGGCAGTGGTTCGATGAACGAGAGACAAGGGTATCGTCATCTCTCGGAGCAGAACTGCCGCAAACACTCGGCTTGTTTTCTCAGCAGTTACCGACTTGCATAGCTCATGACCACTTGGCGCAACCCGAAAAAAGGACATTGGAGTTTTCCCAGTCTCAAACAGTACTGGTAATAGAGACCTCCTGGCACGAACACGCGTACGGGACCACGGTTCCTCCCTCTGCGCAGGGTGCTGCCGGCTTGGCGCTTCATCTGATAGATGAGGCTTCAGCGTTCTCGCTGCCTTGCAGACAGTCGACGAGCTTCCATCCTTGCCTGTACCTGTGTGTCGACAGTGGTTTCCCCCTCCGTGCCAAGGATCAAGTTTCGAGAAATTCGTTTTGATCCTTATCAGCTGCAACCAAGCTCTTATCGCTCCCTGCTTTTTGGCGTCACTGCTCCTTTTTCTGTAGCATTCAGTCGTGGTAAACATGGGCATCTTCCCAGGGACCGTTGCTTAGATGAAGCAAGAATACTGGGGAAGGTCTCCAGCAGCCCGGGTGCAAATTTCGCCAGGTCCAGAAATAGCGCTGCCGAGACATGCTCGACTCCCGCGTGTCCATTCTTTTCGTATTCCGACTCGGTGCCGAGTCGTGTCCGGGTTAGGTAAGCTGGCACCTCAAAATGGTGAGAATCGAGAAATTGAAGCCAGCTGATTTGTTTCGTGATACCGTTGGTAAGATCGATTTGCCTCGGACAATATAAGATGGCATCAGGCTGTCTTACATACGCCGTCCTCTGTCTCTATTTGACGAAGTTCTCCAAGTGGCGGGTCCGGCCGCGGAGGCACCCACTTTGCATGTGGTGTTCAACCACAATAGCCAAAAATAGCAGCACCCTTCGCCCGGAGGGTGTCTGACGTCTCGCTGTGGTTGGTAGTTATGAAAGGCTTGAAGCTGAGGCAACCACAACGACATATCTTGCGCATTCGCATTCATTATTCTGCAGCTTCGGCGAGTCGCTGGACTCTGTGGGGGTTGCAAGTGGATTGTTGGAAGAGAGTTATGTCGGGCGGTTGGACCAAGCGTGGCACCCATCTCTCTAGCCGTGAGATATCCTTCTCTCGCACTTGTAAAGTTGTGTTGAGATGAGGCTAGTGGCTGCCAAAAGACACTTGATTAATGCGTTCAGGGCTCAACTTGACACAGTTCACTCCCTGCACAGCGCAGGTCGCCGTTCAGGTTCCGCATCCCTGTTTCAATGTTTCCTCCAACAGCGTCAAAGCTGCACCAGTCAGACAACGAGCTTGCCATCCTCTCTTACCTTTTAGCGGATTGGCAACCGCCACCAGTTTGATGTTGTGTCTGAGGTAGACACCAGAGACTCACGGTAGCCACATGTCGAACAGGCAAGAAGACGCGAAGATAAGCTTGGGATAGGTCAGCACAACAAGGTGGTCGAGAGTCTGCTGCTATTACATTGTTCCAAGGCTCAGCCTCATGCTGTCAGCTGGTTCATCTGACTTGACGAATCCTTTGGTCCTGGGGGCAGGGCATCCCTCCATCTCTCTCTCTCTCTCTCTCTCTCTCTCTCTCTCTCTCTTGATAACATGGACTCCAGCTGTCCAGCTGTCAACGGCAAAGCCAGTGGCTATTGACATGCAGCTGTGGTTGCAATGCGATGCATGTTGGTTGCCTTCGATGCGATGGTGTTGGTGGTAGTGTGAACCTGGAAGTGTATCGCAGACCACGCCAGGGGAATGGATACCTAGTCAATGACCTCTGTGGCCATTGACCAGAGTTCTTTTGAGCACTCCTGAGTCCTAACAAAAAGCTCTTGGAATGTGCAATTTATCACGCCTTGTCGATAGAAAGGGGGTCCCTGGCCTGTTTGAATGTGTTTGCCTACCTACCTTAGCGTGCTAGGTACTCCAGTCTCCACTGTCTACGGCATGAGGAACGGAAGATCTAGGCAAGGTCAGCTCGGGTTGGTCGGGTACCTTCCGATAAGGTGCCAACGCCGATGGCTAGCGCCTAATCAGTGGGCAGGAGCATGGGGGATGGGGGGCAGAATGGGCAGGCAGACAGAAATGCACCTGTGTGTTTTGGAGGATGCTAACTTCAGGTGGTCCAGTAGCGTCGCTCCGCCACTTGTTGCTTGCGTTCGCGCGCAGCCGCATGTCCAAGTCCCAACCAGAGTCCCATCTGGAAGTCCTCAGTCCCAGCCTGAGACCAAAGGCCAATAGAGTCGGTCTCTGATCCCACACTCAGCTCACACTGTCGTGCGTCCTGCATTTGTTGTCTTCGCGTTTGCTTCTGCCTCTGCCTCTGCCTCTGCCTCTGCCTCTGCCTCTGCCTCTGCCTCTGCCTCTGCCTCTGCCTCTGCCTCTGCCTCTGCCTCTGCTTCTGCTTCTGCTTCTACTTCTCCTACTACTGCACTGCGCTGCTTTCCTCCTTCGTCTCAACAACGGCCCGTTCCAAAACTCCAGACGATTCATCATGTCAACTTCCTCCCGCCTTTCGCTCTGTTAGCCTCGCAGCGACAGCGACTCCGCCGCAAGCAAGCAATCGGGCTGCCCTTGTTCCACGATGGACAGCAGCACTGACGCCGGCGGACATGGGGAAGTGGGATCACGGCCGTCCATTGACAAACCCCCCATCCTGGCCCCGGATCCCGCTTTTGATCGCCTCCCCGACGAGATTATCCAACAGTATGGCTGTGTCCTTGCCATCTCCCTCCCTTCTATTGCAACTTTATTGACATTGGCCATAGGATCTTGCAGCTAACCGACCCCGACTCCTTTGCGTCCCTCGTCCTTCTCAATTCGAAATGGCGATCTGTCGCCCAGCAGGCCCAGCTCTACGCCCTCCACCTCTTCAAATGCGAATCCTATGCCTCGAGCCATCCTCACTTTCGCGAAGCCGACGTCCACGATGAAGATCTCCCGCGCCTTAGGCGACTTTTTGCCAGAGAGGTCAAGCGCAACCTCTTCGAAGCATACTTGCGACCTCGTGAGACCGTAATAAAGTTGATATCCAACTCTATTAGCTCCTCTTCGTGCCCTGGCGGCGAGGGAATGCAATTTAGCCCGTCGCCCCGCGGTCACCACGTCCTAGCCTACAACTCATCTCGGATCTACGTTCTCGATGTGCGGGGGAAGGATATCGATGTCAAGAGGGAGTTCAAGATCTTGCGTCGTCCTGTTTCAACCTGTATCAAGGACGACGGCACCATGCTGGCTGTGTTGTCTTCCGAAATGCAAGTCGACCTCTATGACCTTGAGCAGTCACCACCGCGCCGCACCCAATCCCTGATCTTGGACCATGCCCCGCGCACTATTGCCCTCTCGCCGTGCGGTTCTGTCCTGGCTGCTGCGTACGAGGGAGGCATTGAAGTATCCCTGGTCAACCCCGGTGCGCTACCTACAGATAGAAGAGCTGTAAAGTGCGACGGAGTCGACGCCTTGTCCTTCTCGTTCGACGGCACCCAGATTCTCGGAACAACAATTCACTCTTCGCCACCTACCACAGTGATCCTTACAGCTCCGTACTATGACCCTGGCAACCAAATGGCCGACGATAGCATCAGCGCGCTTTGGACTACGTCTATCTTGTTTCCCAATACGAGCCGTGACTGCAGTCATGCGGTGCTGTTGCAAGACTCTGGACAGGAAGAGGCGAGCTGGACGTTCACATACGATCGTAGCTTCGAGACCTTCAGGGCTGTTCGCATTGAAGATCTGAGGAACGGAACGACATATTTCACGGGACCAAAACCTGACCCAGGATCCCAAGCCAAGCTCACACCTTGCACTCTACCCGCAGCGACTTTTCACGGGGATCTTGTCAGCGCTGGGTTTCAAGGGAAAGATATTTGGCTTTATGGTGTCCCCGAAGACCTCGACGCTGTGCCCGAGTTCAACTCCTCAGGCGCTGATGGACTGTCAGTCTTGGCTGCACAAGGAAGGAGAAACAGCGGACCTCCATCGCGCTCGTCATCATCCCGCGCGCAAGAAAACCCGCGGATTCCTCAATGGCAAATGTTGTGCGATAAGCTCCGCAACACTTTTATCTGGGGTGCCAAGATTGCCGAACTCGACGGTGTCAGCACGGTGAAATGGGTTGCGGGATTCGGCCAGACATCGGCACAGGAGCGTCTAGTCATTGCAGCCCGCGGCATCTCTCCAGGAAAGTCTGTCGTCGAGGAGGACGATATTGACTTCATCGATGGCGGCAGAGTAACTCTGCTCGATTTCGACTACAGTATTGAAGATGGTCTCCGAACGGAGATTGAGATTGAAGTGGGTACCAAAGAGCCCGAGGTGCTTGAAGAGGAGCAAAGAGACATCGACACCGAAGTAGCCATTGTGCGTCGTAGGACCGTGGCTCAGAAGCGGGGAGATCGCGGTGCCTTGATGCGTGCAGCTACGAGTGCTGCAGCCCGGAGTAACCCTTTGCCCTCAATGCCACCGATGCCGCCCATGCCACAACCTAGAGAAGGATCGGAACCCAGCAACGACAATGGTGAGGATGATCCTCTGGTTCCAAGAAGAATTGGAGCAACCCCACGGATCAATGTCCAAGAACCATCCTCGCCTTCAGTGCCTGGGGCAGGCGAAACTGCCTCGATGATTGGAGAAGAAGAGGCAGAAGAGGCCGTGGAAGCGCCTTACTCGCATGACGGACCCCGCTCTACCAACACTCTCCGTCGCGCCGCCACTGCTGCTGCCATGAACCGAAGCCGCAACCCGCAGCCACCGGCCGCCGGACCAGTAGAGTATCGGCGAGCTGACGGCCGACGCGAGCATCCCCACGAGAGTGACGCTGACAACTGGGTTCCACCTCCGCCTCCCTATCAAAAGGATGATCCCGGTGATTTGCCGTCTTTCCTACGGAACGCTGTCATCACACCTGGCGGCGTGCAGATTCAGAGTCAGCCAGCGAGGACCCAAACAGCCGCACCTGCCATCGGTGCATCAGCATGGGCACTTCCAACACGACCAGCTCTGTCGCAAACGTCGGGCCGCCCTCTGAGTTACCAGGAGCCGGTCACCAGCCCTCCGGCTAATGCCAGCCACCATCTGCGTATAGCTAGTGACTCGACGCTCATGAGCCGGCCGCGCACTGCAGACTCGGCAACTCGTCCGACGTCCAGCCCTTCGGCCCACGCTGATCTTGACGACGATATTTACGACGTCTCACCGCCGGATTCTCCCCGGATGGCTGCAAGAAGACAGAGCGAAATTGAAGCCATGTCGCCAGAAAACCAGCGGATGGTCAGCCAGGTTTCAGAGGCTCGGCCACCAAGTACTGAGACACATCAAGATTCTGAGGCAGTTTCTCCCGAACAACCGGTTGTCTCCCCCGCCCCGCAGCAGGTTCAGCCCCCTCCCTCACTAGGATTGGAAATTCCGTCGGCTACCTCTGCAAACACTGCGGAGCTGCGACAGTCGCAATCAGCGTCTGGCACCGATTTACCGTTGGTCCGGCGCCTTTCCAATGCGTCAACCTGGCCTAGATCTGCGCAGCCAGGTAACGGGCCTCATCTTCGTCCAGAGGGCGGTCCCTTGAATAGCCATCCCTACTCTGCTCCTGCGACTGACGCAAGAGTTGAAGACATTGTGGGATCTGCACTACCGCCGTTCCCCATGGCAGATCAGTTGGCCAGTCTGAGGAACCATGAGCAGCTGCCTCCATCGAGACGCTTTTCTGGAAACTTTAGCTCAGTCCAGCGCGTGCCAGTCGGAAGCCGCCGGCCTGGATCTCGCCGGGCGTCTGTGCCGCAGCCTGTCTTGCAGCCTGCTTCTCAAGCCCAGGAACAAGCTCAGGGCCAGAGTCAAGCTATCGGCCCGCAGTTCGAAGACCAGCCGTTGATCATCAGCACGCCTAGCGGCGTCACTGGCGCATTCGATGCGCCTACTTGTCAGCAATCGAACCGCAGGACTGAGATGCCCTTACTGGCCCCGATCCCGCGTCACCCACACCCAACTCAATCAGGTCCGGTACAACCCACTGTGGAACGCCTCGAAACGATCTACAGTGTCAACTCCACAAATCGACCACCAAATGCTGAAGCTTCTGGCAGCAGGAGTCTCATGCCAGCTTGGCTACAAGCACCATCGACGTCGTCTGCGGGTCGACAGTCGCATTCATCGGTGAACAGGAGGCCCAGTCGTGCCGAGCGGAGTGCGGCTAAGAACATCAAGGATGCCAAACGGCGCGGCTGGAATGGCTCCCAAAAGAAGAAGAAAAAGAAGAAGCAGGTCGATCATGAGGTCGCCAGTTCTACTGCGTGGACAGAAGTTTCCACGTCTAGTAGAAATGTAGCTCATGGCAAATCAGAGAAGGATAAGAAATGCATTGTGATGTGATGACGCTTTTGAGTATCGACTCATTGGAGAGTCACTTTGATGTGCCAACAATTGGTTCCAGAGTTTTTATTACCCTTGAAACTTCATGACTGGAAGTATAGCACCGGAGTTGGGGTATGAGAGGATACATTTGAAAGACAGATTGGCAGCTATTGGTTTCCCAAACCATTACAGCGACGAATCAGATATGGGAAGGAAAAGCAGTATCACTATGGTTACCATGGCATGTTTGTAACCTTTCCTTTGCTAAGACAGACAAAACATTTGTAGCTACTCACTCGCTTGAGATCGATGTGATGTTGGTGCATCGGTCTATGATACCAATTTCTTTACGCACACTATGAAATTTAGTTTGGACATATCGAAAAATCCAAGCCTTCGAGGTTTATTGCGCCTTTTCTATGCTGTTGACTCGTCTATGCACTTAGAATACGGTTATCTTCTTTGGCTCTCCACCTGGTACCATGGCCGGAATGAAAAGGAATAGGGAAAAAATGGGAACGTCTAAGGAGGCTTAGAAAAGTTTGTTAGACGCGATGTGAAGATGGTGGCTTCCAGGTCTCTCACCGCCACGTGTTTGGCATTCAACAGCGATTTCATGGTCGTTCAAGCAAGGTTCTAGGGATAGCTGCCATCTGTGCCTCCAAAATATGACCTGGACGTAAAAACGTAAACAAGAAGTTCAATCACATTCATGATGTACGCTTCTTGTGAGTTTCCGTTCACGTGTTCTGCAGATACATCGGAGCCGACACATTCAGGAGCTCCTAGGAACGTCATGATCCAAGCTATACACGTTGGGATTTGATTTTGGTGGGAGATGCTCCCAAGTCGATTTCGAAAGGCACAAGAATGAATTGAGACGGGGTGCAGTCTGATTCCCCTGTGGTATCTTTTGATTCTCGTGACAAGTTGACTAGAAACGCCGTCTACTATGGTAGATCGCGGATTCGACTAGTAGCTTAGCAGAGGGCCCATAAAGCACAGTCTCTCATACCAAGGGACTCCCAGCTGATTTGAGAATTCATCACAGATTTGCTCTGCGGATAGTGAAATAGAGAGAAAGGGAGAGGGTCCATCTGTCTTGGACGTTTAGGGAGTCCGCTCCTGTACTGGACGCCTGGGTTTCCGGGTTTACCACAGAGTCGATGTTCTCTATGATCCAATCCACTGTCGAGTTGGAACACACACTACATAACGAGAACCAGCTGTATGCAGATGTAATTGGCACATATTAAGGTGAGATGTGTTCTGCTCCTCGACGTCGAAGTACTGCCTCGGCTTATTTGCCGATGAATACGAGCGGAGCGGAGGACAGCTGATGGTAAGGGGTGGTTTGGATAAAGACAGTCACAGGTCGGTATTACACAGCTACAGAGATCACGGACCGGATTTGAACATCTAGTCCACATGGCACTTAGTGGGATGCAGAATAAAGTCGAACGTCGTTTCTGCATTCACGAGGCCGATGGTCTCTTCCGCCCAGTTGAAGTCGCGCCAAACATGACGTATGTAAAGGGAACACTCGATTTCAGGCGTAGGAGAACCCTGCCCCCTGGACATCGTTTCTGGAGTACCAATGGGAATCCAATATCATGCTTGGTTTGGGCAAAAGGGGCAGGTGTTTGGGAACACCTTATTGTCCTCACTCTAGTCAACCTAAATATACGAGGCGTTTCCCATGGGCTAGAGGGAACTGGGAGAGTCTAGCTTTAGCCCGGTGAAGTTTTGTGGCTTGATTCTGGTTTGCTACCGAATGAAGAGATGGCAGGCAATGGAGTCAGCTTCGTCTGGTATGATTCATACTGGCAAGTGAGTGACTGGGTAAGAACAAACGTGGGAGATCGACCTTGTAATCGAATCGAATCGCGAAAACTAGCTCTAGGAACGCAGAAAGAAAAGTAGCCAAATTTAGTTTTGGGCTGATTGACATCCCCGACTCGGGAAGACGAAAGCTGCAATCTACCAAGCTGCAAAAAGGAAGCCCAAGCCGTCGACAAGTAACGCTGATCAGCATGTAGTTGAGCCCCCGACCTGGGCGGAGGATAGCTAGACCCTGAGCCGTTTCCAAAATTAGCCATCCAATCGCTAGTACTGCCCCCGGTAGCGGTACCCAGGCTGATGGGAAATAAACGGGTCGCGTCGACAACCATGTGGTGTTGGGATGTCATTAGCAACGTGCTTATTTGCCGGTATTGTTGTGCTGTGTTGCCCCTTCCGGAGCAGGACTTGGAAATGGATGCCAAAAATCCGGGTTTTCTTGCACCCTTGGCGGTCCACCCTACAGCGATCGGCTCTTGTAGATCTCGGTCGGTTCTTGGCCAGAGCTCCGGGGGACACTCACGACACACCTTGGGAAGCGAATACAACCCGGGCCCATGTATGATTTCATTAAGCAGTGCAGTGCCTGCCCGTGGTGCGGTAGTAGGAGACGTCCACACTTTTAATCCTGCTCTCGACGCTGTGTGCCAAGATTTTGGGTGCTTATTGTCGGTGGTTGATATCGGGGATATGATGAAAGAGCAGGCTCTACGTGTACACTACTTAGACGTCTAGATCCCCTACTCGACTTTTGGATCGAAGAACTACACCAATCTGTTCGTCAACTCTTTGGCAGTCCCTCGCTTTTTCTATTTCCCCCGGTGTTCCATCGCTTGGTTGTATTTCACTCGCTTATACCACAATCGCTACAGAAGAAGGGAGAGAGAAAAGGCAGGAGAGATGGCGAAACGTGACAACCTGACAGTGTGGCTCCCGAAAGAAATGTACGGCTCTGTCGAGCCCTTCGCCGACGACCGATTCATATGGTGCCCGATGCCCTTCGACAACTCACTACCAGTAGAGCAAGCGTCATTCATCGACATGGGAGGAGATGACGACGACGACAACACCAGCCAACCCGCACAACAAGCGAACAAGTTCAACCCGCCAGCAGACTATGAACTTCCCGCTCCGCCACCTGTGGCCGTGCTCACGGGGCCGACGGACCTGTCTACGTCAGATACCGAGTCCGACCGAGAGTTTCCCCTGAGAAGTATTCGTCGAAATCTCGGCCGGGGGATGCAGAGACACCGGAGGACGCGGCCGGGCCGGCAGCAGCAGCAGCAGCAGCAGAAGCATGCTGGGTCCGAGAGCCGGGGGTTTTCTGTACACCTAGGCCTGAACCTCGATATTGAAGTCAGTTTGAAAGCGAGGATATTTGGTGACTTGGAGATAAGCGCTTTGTGAGCTACTTCCTGGGTCATCTCATTTCTAAACAGTGTGTGTACCTTGCTAATACCAGACAAGTGACGCCTTATGATTACGACCTCGATGAGTTGAAGTGACGCCAGCGAAGGATGGGAAAATGAAGAAAACGTATGAACATATGTGAAAGTGTACGAGGCGAGGGCATATTCACAGAAATCGGGAGACGTGCATCACCGAACCGGTTGAAGCCCGACCGGATCACTGTGAGAGCTAGGACGCTAAGAGCAGTGTTCTAGTATCATTCTTGCTTGGCATGCCAGTACGGAAAGCGAGGGTCAAACCCCAAGCAACTACCAGGTTGCTCTAGAAAGCAGAGGATAAAGCTGTTGATGATGATCTCGAATCGACCACATGCCACAGAGTGTCTGGTTGATGGAAGCGTCGAGACCAAAACACTTTGCTATGAAGAGGGCCCCTGACACGTTCAGATGCATGTCGAGGGAGGTAAGGCGCGAGCATGTCATTGCCGTGACGGAATCGGAGGTACGCCCAGCAGCTGAACGACCGTAAATATTTAGGACCGTGAGCATGAATGTCTACGAACGGCAGAAAGCGAAGCAAGAAAATGAGGCAAGGGTGCAGCAACTTCTACTTGGTCTTTGGAAAGACATCTGCCGGTTGTTCTGCTCTCGGTTTGATTCCAGAAAATCATGGCTAAGGCGATCTCACGGTTGAGAATATGAGAACACAATGGGTTGCAAAATGGAATACGTACAGTCGGTACAGCGACCGACCGCATGAAAAGAGACACCAAAGTCTCTACCAATGACAACGTTTGCTTCACATCCTCGTACATTGCCGTGCTTGCCTAGTTGAAGCAGCTGAGATGTTCGTCCTCAAACCCTGCAAATGTTTTCCCCCCCCTTAGCGCTGGCGCGCCCACGGACCACACCCAACTCTCCCCAGGGCCCAAACATGATCTCGCCCATCTCAATCTGGTCTAGAACACGCCCCAAACTTCAGCTGTAGTAGTGGGGAACCTCACTATACCCCCCCGAACAAGGCCCGCCCCTGAGGTCCGCTTCTTTGATCCTGAACCACGCGGGACTCTAGCGGGCTCCCGGACGCTAAGCCCATTGGATGTCCTGAGCAGCGAAGGTCCAGTGAGATTCGTGTTTGCCCGTCGACGGGAGTTCATTGAGGGCGTGCGTCTGGGCCTAACCCAAACCACCAATGGTCCAGCCCTGGAGACCGCCTCATCGCGGCGCAGTGATGTGGTGTGCAAATCTCCTGAAAGGGGTTCGCGCCGGTTGTGCCGCCCAGACGGAATAAATGTGATTGAGCCTGCTGGTCTACCTATCTGGTTTTGTAATTTTGCATCTTTTCTCACCTACACTTATTCACTCATTTCGAGAACATGCCTGGTGGCAACTTCAAGCAGGCCAACGAAGAGATGCCCTCAGTATGAGCATGCGCCGCACCCGTAACCAGCTCCCCTTCGATTTATGACACCCGTTGCCGTTGTTGGTCTAGATAAGCCCCGATACCCGTCGTCCACTCGCGCGGAAGAAAGCAATCGACACACCTGCCACGGCCGAACTCCTCTCAACGTCGCCAGAAAAGCTTAATAGGAAGAGAGGGACAGAAAACTCGTTCTCGACCACGGTCATCTTATCTTTAGTTTTTTCCAAACCCAAACGGCAACAATGGCCCGCAACCTCCTCTTCTCCCGCCTTCTCCTCCTCCTCCTCGCCTTCCTCGCGCCCCTCGCGGCGGCCCAGCTCTCAATCTACACGGCCTCCGACAAGTACAAGTACCAGGGCTGCTACAACGAGACCAATGACCTCCCCAACACGGCCCACGTCCGCGCCCTCTCCGGCGGCGCCTCGCGGGTCATGGAGGGCAACATGACGGTGCCCCTGTGCCTCAGCTTCTGCAGCACCGGCGCCGACAAGCAGTACACCTACGCCGGCGTCGAGTACTCTCGGTAGGTTTTCTCTCGTCTTGCCTCTTCTTCTTCTTCGCCTTCTCCACCTCGTCTTCTTGTGGGCTGGGAACTTTCAAACAGTGCACTCACTGCCCCTGCCACGATGTGTAAACATGAGAGACTGACGAGTTTCACTGTAGCGAATGCTGGTGCGCCCAGAGCATCTCGGGCCTGTCGGTCAAGCTCAACGACAGCCAGTGCAACCTGCCCTGCGACGGCAACCAGGGCATGGTCTGCGGCGGCGCGCTCAAGCTCAGCGTGTACATGCTCAGCGCCGGCGTGCGGTCGCCCGCCGCGTCGTGGGCTGCGGCTGTTGTTGGCGCCTTGGCGACGTACGTGTTGCTATAAATCGTGTTTGTTTGGTGGTGTTGCTGCCAGGCGGTCATGGTGGTGGTAGTCGAGGTGATGAGAGTCTTTTGGAGGCGAAAGAATGGGTTACACGGCAGCAGCGGTTTGGTTTTTGTTTTGTTCAACTTTTGGAGGATACCCCCCTGTTTTGGTGTTTCCGGCCTATAGAAACTCTGAATTGATGATTTGTCTCACTCTCGCAGCTTGATATGTAACGCACATCTCACATGCGAGGTCCAAAAGTCAGACATGGCGATGCTTTTTTGATTCCCCCTTTGGGATGCGCTGCATGAATTGGCGACAACCACAGCCCAATCAATCAAATGGTATCCTATCATAATTCGTGACTGGTATCCGTACAACTCTTATAATCTCACAGGACCCAGGCCTCTCTGCTCAACGGCTTTCTGGACTGCCGCTTTGATGTCCGCGACAGTCTTCCTCCACCCCTGCTTTCCCCGTCCTTCGCTGCCGTCGTCTTCAACCAGCCAGTCGAGCCACCGCACCAGCTTCGAAGCCTTTTCCATGTCTCGCTCCACCGAGACGACCCTGGCGAGATACTTTTCAAAGACGACTACGTCGTCTTGGTGGGGGCCTTCGTACCGTGTCCCGTCATGCCAGGCCTCGAGCATGTCCTTGATTTCCTGGATCGACTTGACGGCGGAGCCCATGAAGTTCATCTTGGGTGGCGGCGCTGGGAAATAGAGCTTGGTTTGCCCGGCGGGCAAGGCATCGCTAGACTCGCCATTTTGTTGCCTTCGAGGAGCGTTGAAAAGGAGACCAGAGCGTTTGGCCAGCCGTTTTTTGCGGTGGTCCTCAATGATCTCCTTGCGGACGTCCTCTGGCAGCTCTGCAAGAAAGGCCTGATCCAGCTCCTCTGGCTCGTCTTCCTGGGCGACGTTGGCGGCTCCTTTACTCGCCAAGAAGTTTGTCTGCTGGCGATTGGCAGCTGCATCCTGCTGCCTCTCCCTGGCATTGGACAAGCTCTTGCCACCACGCTTTGTCGGCGTTGTTGCCTTTTTGGCCTGGATGAGCCTGTCCTTGCGTGGTGATTGCGGCAAACGGGTTTGTTGCACCGGCTTGCGTCCATACTGCGCCAGGACCTCTGCCTTCATGTCATCAGGCAAAGCGTTAAAGACCTCCGGATCAACCTGGGATGGGACCATCTCGTCCAGAATCGCTGGACTGTTACTCCGCGATTTCACTAGAGGAGATGCCTGCCTAGACTCTGGCTTCGGCTTGCGGCCTCTTTGTAGCTTGGCCCGGATGTCACTAGGCAGCTCAGCCAGCACTGCTGGATCGACTTGAGAGGGTAGGATGAACTGGGTGCCCATAATGTTCAATGGAGTGTGAGCTTTTGAGTCCTTCTCACCAGCCCGTGATAAAGCCAAAGCAGGGTGCACTTTGGGCTTTCTTGGTGTTAAAGGGTCATCTGCGATGGGATCCAGAGACACGTCATCCCGGCTTTGGTTGTCCCTTGTCTTTTGAGGACTCTTTGAATCCTCAATCGGGTCTACCTGAGCCTTCTTCGCCGCCGGCTGGCCACCGAAATTAGGGAATGCCAACCGTCGTTGGCTGCTCTCTAGCCCAGTGATACTTGATTTGAGAGGCTCCAGTTTCGTCAACTGGACACCAAGACCTCGAAGGTCACCCGGGGTAAACTTGTACGATCGAAGAATCGAGACAGCCTCTTTGGCGATAGTTTCGGCATTGTGAGTTGCAACCCCAAACAAGATGCTCTTGCTGAACGAATCGCATTTCCCATGGCCCAGATGCTTCGGTGGGTCTCGGGGTGCGTCTTGAGCTCGGCGCATGATCTTCATGGTGAACTGCTTGCCCTTGACCTCTTCGCCGAGCAGGCGTCTCTCCAACTCTTTACAGAGGTTGAGGAGGAACTCCTCGGCTTCCTGCTGATTGATGAAGCGGATTCCCCAGTTCACCTCAGCTGAGACGGACTTTCGGGGTGGCTGCTCGCCCACTTCGGTTCTGTCGACGCCGCGGGCATACTCCCAGAGCTTCTCTCCCGTCTTTGGTCCCAACGAAGAGGATAACCGCTCCTTGGATACTTGTCGGATGTCCTTGACGAACTTCACACCAATCTCCTCGAGCTTTCCACTGAGACTGTAGGCGACCCCAGGCAGGTCCTTTACCTCGAGTTCGCCGATAACTTCTAATACCTGCTCTGGCTTGATTTGGAATTGTCCGGCAGGTTTCGCTCTTCGTAGTGCGACCTTGGCCAACAAAATGTTGCCTCCAATGCCAACCGATACTGCGCAGCCAGTCGCGTCTTTTATCTTGTTGCGTAGGGTGAGAGCAATCTGCTCAGCCTTTTCCTGTTCTCTCCATATGCTGCCTTCGTCGACTCCAGTGCCATCAGATCCGGCGGAGGAAAGGATGATTGACGTGATGTCAACGAGCGCCTCGTCAATGCTCACACTCTGAACAACCCCTCCGAGGTCGAGGATAGATTCGTAAAACAATCGACTGGCTTCTTCATAGGCCGGAAAGTCATAGGGCAAGACTTTGATATCCGGACACAGCTCCAGTGCTCGCTTCATCCACATGCCGTTCTTGACTCCAAATTTGCGCGCAACATAGTTGCAGCTTGCAATCTCCGAGGCGGTGCCGCTACTGTGAGCAACAACAGTTGGTTTGTCGACATACTGCGGGTTCTTTTTCAGAGAAACAGCGCAGAAGAAACTGTCAAAATCGACGTGAATAATGTACCGTCGTGATCCTGGTCTCCTCCTCACCGACTTGAGAGACGGTCCTTTTTCTTTGGCGAGGTTCTGCATTTTCGACTTCAATTCGGCTTTCCAGGTCGAAAGGTGGTGAAGACGACTTTCAGAGTAAAACTGCTTCAAGAAATCGGGGTTTGCCGTTGACGATTTCCAAATCTTGGGATCCGAGAGAAGTATGGCGTTATGTTCCTCAGACGTCATGTTCTCCGACAACTTGGTTTCCTGCTTCGGTTCCTCGGATTCCCGCGTGGGTTCTTCGTCAACTATCGGGCGTGCGACCTTTGCTTCAAGCGTCTCCCTCTTGACTATTGTGGCCTCCTGTGGAACTATGCCGACCATAAGCTCGTCAATTTCCATGTCATCAAATTCTTCAACCTCGTCCTTCGGCTCCAGTGGCGGCTTCTCCATAGTCTCAGACACCGCTGGGCTATATGAGCTGCGACCATGGCGTTGAGCAAGCGGGGACTCTGACCGTTCAGCGAATCGACTCAGAGAGGGCGTGGCGGGACTTGCAGTAGACCGTTTGAATTGGCTGGTGTAGAAGCTGGCATCAGTTTGGTCTCTATAGCCTCTTTTGACTTGTGGTGTCGATTGGCTGAGCTTATTGGAATCATCAATCTTGAAGACCTTTTGCCGCGGTCCATCATTGTTGTTCACTCGATAGTCCGACCAGGGCAAGAGTCTCCCGGCTTGAATTGAGTCGGTGACCCAGGCTGGCTTTACCAGCCTATACTTGCTGTAGTCCACGGACTTCTTGGGCGGAACAGAAGACGCTATTATGTGCGTTGCCATGGTCTTTGAATCTAAATACTGCAAGAAGCCTGCGCCGTGTTGGACAAGCTCGCGGTGTAAGCTGACATATGAATGTTAGCGACCCTTTGTGCGTGACAGTACGGTGGAGATAAATAAATTCTTACACATGAAGCGGCGGTTGCGTATAGCCCATAACATGCGCAACAACACCTTTGAATATCTGAGGCTTGTCACTTGAAGCGGCGCGGATATCGGCGTCCAAGTTTTGCAACTTGATCTTCTTCCGACGGAAATAGTCGCCAAAGCCGCCAAAAGCGCTTTGTTCGTACTCTTCCCCAGTTTCATCGGTAAACTCATGACCCTCGATCCTCTTCCTCACCTGCGAAGAGTTCTTCTCAAGGCGACTGCCCATTCTGGCGGTTGTCTCGGATAATGCGCAGCGCAAACTCACGGGTGTATCAGCACTGGTAATGGTGGCGGCGGCTCATTGATTGGCGGCTTGAAATCTTCTTGCAAATCATCCAGTCCATACAGCCGGCTGGTTGAATCCCACCATCTTTGGATTTGTGATTTTGGCGTTCATTCGTTGCTCTCATGTAGATAAGGTCGATCGCCAGAAGGGCGTGGTGACAGTTCGTGCAGGTGACGGAGCCCCGGCCGAGGTGGATGCCTGCAAGCGCGTTAAGTGGGTGGGCCCGTCGCGCTCTGCACGACCCACGACCCGTATGACTAATCAAAATTCTTTAACGGTCAGGGAGCACTGACAGCTTCCAACAACGACGCCTGCCAAATTGGCCCAGCTTGCGGCCGCTGACCTCACTGCTACCCGTCTTGCGAGAAACAGCGAGTATGAACAACGAACAATTTCGGAAGCTTTTGGGTGCTGACTCCGGCAAGGCCGCGTCGCCGGGCAATGGTCCAGCTAAGGGCAGCGCAACCCCAGGGGGCGGCGCCCTGGGATCCCGACAGCGATCTAGCATTCCCATGACTCCGTATGTTGCGCTTCCAACACTATTTATGGACTATCGGCTGACTTTTTACACTAGACGCTCCGTTGGAGTTGGAAACAGCCGGAACGAGTTTGCGCGGCAGCTTGCCGAGAGGAACCAGGCAGGACAACCCCAGAAGAAATTTCGCACTTCAGCCCCGAAAGGATCTCGACTTGCAGAGGGCTACGTCGACCGAGCAAGAGACCGAACCGACAACGAAGACGACGATCGCGCAAAAAGGATAAAGGCGCTAGAGGAAGCGCTGAAGAACGAGGAGATCGACCAAGCGACGTTCGAGAAGCTCAGCAGCGAAATCGCAGGAGGAGACCTTTCGAGCACGCATCTGATCAAGGGATTGGACTTCAAGCTTCTGGAGAGAGTACGGAAGGGCGAAGATGTTTTTGGAGACGAAAAAGATGATGAAAAAGAAGATGGAGCACCCCCGGAAGAGGAAGTTGACAACGCGTTCGATGAGCTGGAGGGAACGGAGGTACAGGCTGTCGAAAAGGAAAGGGCGAAGAAGAAGGGCCAACTCGCGCCTGTGGCCCTTGCGCCAGGGAAGAAGAGAACCCGCGACCAGATCCTGGCTGAGATGAAGGCTGCGAGAGAGGCTGCCAAGGCTCAACAGGAGGCCGCCCTGAACAGCAAGTTCAAGAAGATCGGTGTCAAGCAGCAGCCCGGAAGTCGCATAGAGCGGGATAGCAAAGGCCGCGAAGTCTTGATCATTGTGGATGAAGATGGTCACGAGAAGCGAAAAGTCCGCAAATTGCAGCCGGGCGTCGAAGAAGAGCTGCGCAAAGAGTTCATTCCGGACAAGGATGCGAAGCCATTGGGCATGGAAGTGCCCGAGTTTTACCAAAAGCAACAGCAAGAAGTCGAAGAAGACGACAACGACGACATCTTTGCTGACGCAGGAGACGATTATGACCCGCTAGCCGGAATGGACGACAGTTCTGACGAGGAAAGTGAAGGCGATGTCAAGGACGCAAAGGATGCCAAGGACGAGCGTAGCCCCGACACAATAGCGATGCCACCGCCGCTGCGACCAACCCAAGCTCGCAACTACTTTAAGGACTCCAAGACAGACCTCATATCATCGCAGACTCTGCAAGGGCCCTCCATGTCCGACCCGGCGATACAGGCTGCTTTCAAAAGAGCCGCACAGCTCAAGGCGGCGAACAAAGATCAGGAGGAAGAAGCGGAAGACGGCGACGAGGAAGCCAAGGCTCGCCGGGAACGTCACAAGAGGATGCTGCAGAGCGTCGACCGTGATGCCGAAGACATGGATATGGGCTTCGGCACCAGCAGGTTCGAAGACGAGGCAGACTTTGACGATGCGCCGGTCAAGCTCTCGGAATGGGGCAATGAGGGAGATGACGATGACGGTCAAGGCGGCAAGAGCAAGAGGAAGAGAGGTCCTAAGAAGAGGAAAGGCGACGTCAACAATGCAGCCGATGTGCTGAGAGTGATGGAGCAGCGAAAGGCAGCGGGCAAGTGATTCATCGGTGCTATTCGTCAAACTGCTTCCATTGGAGCTGTTGCTTTGCGGAATCGCGGTTTGTCGGCTTGTTTCCCGGAGCATTTCGCGCAATCACATACAGCCACCTTTACTACAAATATGAAATGATACCCTTCACGCGCTTAAAGTAGAGCGCGTCCAACACAGACACCAATCGCCAGGCTTGCCGTCTAACATGTGAGCATACTGCATGGATTTTCTATACGGGACTATCGAGCACTTGGATTGCTTGCAGACGATCGGTGCATGTCTGATCTGCCTATACATGGCACGTGTTTAAGACTGAAGTAACCTCGAGGCACCTACCTAGTAGATTGTGTTTAAAACAAGACATGACGTCGGGTCCAGCAGAGTTTACAATGACTCAGCTGGCTGTAGCTTCCAGAACACGGGCTAGCACGGGGAGGACCCTCGGTGTCGGTGTGGGTGCTTGTAGTCTGCTGGACCTTCCGAAAGGGGCGCAGGTCGGATGGAGGAGCAGTCGTTGCAGCGGCGCTCGGAGGGCACCGCCTACGGTGCTTACCTGCCCGCCCCAAGTGTTGTTTTCTCTGTGAGGCACTGCCTGGTGGGCCCCGTCTGTTCCGCGCAGGACTCATCCAAGAACTCGACAACCCTATCTCGTGACTTGTGACCAACGAAATCGATGACCCAGACAAGAAAGCCGAAACATCGCAGACATCATCGTCTTGACGGGATTGGCCAAGCGTTCTATTGTTGGGCAGAGTCCCAGTTATTACCTAAATTTGACCTCTTGTCTTCTCTCTGTCAAATCGTCACCACAGTTTCGTTCCGCAATCCGCAGCCCGCAGTTGGCCGGCGGCTCCCCCGCCCCCATCCTTGGAGCCCCAGAATACCCTATTCTACTGGAAACCATTCCACCACCTCGTGCTCGTTTGGTTTGGTCTTATCCACCGAAAGTGGGAACCACGGGCTGTAAACTAAAAGCGCGCTCACTGCAGGGCGACAAAGTCCGTGGTCTGTTCCCTCACCGAAGAATAAACCCTCAACTCGCGTATTATTTTTATCATTCATCTTGCTTGTCTGGTTCCGCTGCCCATTGTGATAAGCCACAATCTCGGATATTTACATCCTGAACAATCATTCGTCTGAGCCACAATGGTTGACCTCAATTTGCCCGAAACACCGGTGCCAGTCTGGCTGGACTGTGATCCCGGCCATGATGTGAGTTGTTGTCCTCAACTAAGATCGTGTCACTCACCTTCTACCTCGCGTTGCGTCACCAAGACGTTGGTGAAATGTTGCAACACACTCCAACCAACGATATCCTCATTGAATACCTCAACTTTAGACTGACCAGCCCCAAAGGACACATTTGCCATCCTCCTAGCTGCTTATCACCCAACAATAAAGTTGCTAGGTCTCTCAACCGTCTTCGGAAACGCCCCCCTCGAGTAAGTGAACATACAACATACGTAGTATCTCTTGCACCTCTCATGATCACGAACCAAAACACTAAAATGACTCTCCTAGGAAAACCACAAACAACGCCACCTCAATCCTCACAGCCATCGGCAAGCACAATGACATACCCGTCTACGTCGGCGCTGCAAAGCCCATGTCCCGCCCGCCCATGCAGGCCGCTACCGACATCCACGGCGAATCCGGCCTAGACGGCACCGATCTCCTCCCGCAACCCTCCAAGGACGCAGACCGCAACGTACCCGCCATCGACGCCATGGCCGCCGCCCTCTCCGCCCAGCCCGCCGGCACAGCCTGGCTCGTCGCCACGGGCTCCCTCACCAACGTCGCGCAGCTGTTCGCCAAATACCCGGATTTGGTCTCGCACATCAAGGGGCTCAGCATCATGGGCGGCGCCATCGGCGACGGCTTCACCGACATCGTCCTCGGCGTCGTCGATGGCGTCCCGCGCGTGGGTAACTGGACGCCGTGGGCCGAGTTCAACATCATCATCGACCCCGAGGCCGCCGCCGCCGTCTTTCACAACAAGGCCCTCGCGGCCAAGACGACGCTTGTCCCGCTCGATTTGTCGCATCAGGTGCTCGCGACGGAGGAGGTGAGGGACGCGCTGCTGTACGGCAACGACGGCGGCGAGAAGACGGGCAAGGGCAAGACGACGCTGCGGCAGATGTTGGTGGAGCTGCTCATGTTCTTCGCCAAGACTTATAGGTATGTATGCACACTTGGCTTACACGCGCGGTTCATCTCCGTGTGAATTATCCAATCATGAATCACGCGCAGTACTAACCCGGATGAACCACCAAGCGACGTCTTCGGCATCACAGCCGGCCCGCCCCTCCACGACCCGCTCGCCGTAGCCGCCGTGCTGACGGGCACTCGGCACGAGATCCCCTTCCACGACTACGACGCCAAGAAGGGCAACTGCGTGAAATACCACGAGCGCTTCGAGCTAACCATCGTCACCGAAGGTGACCTCGAAGAGGCCAAGACGGGCAAGTCGCAGCTGGGCCGAACCGTCGCGAAAGTGCTGCCGCCCGGCAGCGAGGGTGTGAGGATACCGCGCGGGCTTGATATCCCCATGTTCTGGAGGGTCATTGAGGAGTGCACTGAGAGAGCGGACCGGGTTAATGCGGGCGAGGTGGTCGGGTTGAAGGAGAAAAGGACGTTGGAGAAGTAACGACGCCGCCGGGGGAAAAGGTGCGATGCTCCTTCTTTTGGGAGAGAGATGAATATACTCTCATTGGTATCAGTAGGCGCAGTATAAGTCGGTTCATGCCTGCGAGTCTCAGATGCCTTCTCGTGGAGTACGTGGCTGAAGACGTCTTTGAAAAGTATATCTGTCGAAGCATGGTCATCCCCTGACAAACGATTTATGAGATTTGTCAGAACTAGCAACTGCGAGCCGCTTTGTGGTCTACCAGCCCAATCCCAATGTTTCCCCGATACGAAAACGTAAAACAAGAGCATTGGTACCTCGTCATGATCGTGAGGTGGACTCGAGACTTCGATTCGAGTGGCTCTAATATCTAAGCGTTGGGCAGCCTCATTTAAGAATGGCGATGGCGCATTTGCTCCAACTCCGCATTCGTGGGGTCTGGTTCCTCAGAGTAGTCGGCTAGCGACAAGCTGGTGTCATCGCGGGGGAGTTTCCTTCATCCAAGGGGCTACCTCACAGACATCACGAAAGTCGAATACGTAGAGCAAGTGGGCTCCACGAGACTTGGTGCTCTTTTGTGACCATTCAGCGGGTCCTTTGTATTGGGACGCTTGGTTACTTATATGCTTGCGGTCGCGGGTTGGCGGTGATTACGACTTTTGGTATTAATAGTCTCTTTGCCCCGATTTCGTCTCCCCCAGAACCCCTCGTCAGATCGCTCCCGTGTCCCCCCCAGTCTCCCCCCGTCTCTTGTCGGATGCCGGGGAGTATACCGCCGGACTCAGCGGAAACCGATAAAAACCGGCGGATTTGAAATTACAACACGATTTTGATAATTTGGTGGATAGAGGTCATTCAGCAAGATCTACCACCAACCTCACTATTCGCATTAGACGCCGGGCATGAAACAGGGTAACATCGTCTACCTATGACAGACGTAATGGCCTGTGAATTCTCTTCAGGGTACGTCCTGTATATGAAGTGGAATCTAGTGGTTTAATATTCAATGTCACCACGAAGTCAGCTAGATCTGGCTTTTAGTTCAATAGTGAGATGTATGATTTAAGAGTTTCTTTCATCACACAGAGCGCACAAATGATACTAGCTCCGGTGGATTCAGCTTCTCTTGTAATGCAACAAGTGTACCTTTTGTATAGTGTGTATTAGTTATTGGCAAGGATATGCCTTTGAACTTCACAATATCGCACAAGGAAATCCTCTATCCCAGTCCCGTTCTCTAACAAGGGGTATCATTGTTTAGTCCACTCCCAACTTTTGTCCGTCTTTTGCTCATCCTATTTGAGCCGCTTTAAAATCGCATGTCATCAGAACCGTCGAGCCTCTGCAACACCCTTAAAACCCTCTCATACGTCCAGACCGTGATCGCGCTCCCGGGTGCAGCCTTGATGAGACTCACCGTCAGACCCCGGTACAGCCCGCGGAGACCCTCCTTCGCGAAGATGATGCGCATGGCGCCCACCGCACCGGGGTACTCGGGGATATTCTTGTGCACATACCGCGACCTCGTCGGCCCCTGGACCTGAATGCGCTTCCGAATCAGGTCGAGCGGGAAGACGGCCGTCTTGGACAGCACGCTGGCCATAACGCCGGCCGTGGCGTCGCCGCCGCCCCACGGCAGGTGCAAATCCCCAAACGGCAGCCGCAGGCCCTCGTACAGGGCGAAGAAGATGCCCATGTACGGCACGATCTGCGCCAAGCCGGGTCCGAGGCCGCGGAAGAAGCCGCGCGGGCCCTCGTCCCGGTGGATATCCGCCACCGCGCGCCGGAGGCTCGTGTACACCCGGTCGTTCCCTTGCGCCGCGAAACGGGTCCGTAAGAGATCGAGGGGGTATGTGGCCGTCGTGGAGGCCGCGCCGGCGGCGGCTCCGGCGATGAAGGACTCGGCGGCGTTCGGTAGGCGGTTGTCGAAGGCGGCCTTGAGAAACTGTGCCGTCGTGCGGTACGTCGTGAACTGGACGGCCGAGTAGCATACGTACATCATCTCAGCAGGAACGTTGCCTTTCCAAAGACCAGTGATGCCCTCATTGGCAATGATATGCCTCATAGTGCTCAGGGTGCCCTTGTACACGGGCCCGCCCCTGGCCGATCGGATCGACAGAGGGTCGGAGAGCGAGTGCGTCTGCAGTTGGAGGCGGATCTTGACGACATCGAGGGGAGCAATGACAAAGCTGGTTGCGCCATCGCGAAGGCGGCAATGTCAGCGTCAATCACTAAGCCTCGCCCGTTGAGTTTGTCTTACCGAGCAAAGAGGCCGGCTGTGGCGCCGGCCGTTACGACCTGCAGGCGGGAGCCCTGGGCACGAAGAATATGTCAGCATCGTGACGTTATTGACAGGTCGGAGAGGCCGTCATGTCGGGCGTGGAAAGCGTAGCCTTACCTCATCCTTGAGGCGTTCGCCGCTGGGCGACATGCATTCGGCAGTGTCCTCGTGGGACCTGGCGCAGAAACCCTGAGACGCGGTGGGAATGGATGACAGAGGGGCAGGCAAAGCGGATAGACGGCTGCTCGCTTGCCTCTGGCTTCGGTGATGGACGAGTGGGCTTCGGGCCCGGGTGTGCGAGGTATATCAAGGTCAGATGGTTGGTATCGTCTGTGGGCGCCCGTCCAAGCGGCGCGCACGGCGAGGTGTCCGTCGTGATTCGTTTCTTTGTGTGGCGATGACGGGAAGCTAAAACAAAAGGAATTGAGGCTTCCGCAATGAGGCTGAGGGGTCTCAATTGATGGAAAGAGCGTTTGAGATTGTCGAGGTTTTCCGGGCGGGATCGTGAGGAAACTAAACAAATTTCCGAAGGTCTGATCGCTCAGTGTCGCTGTTGTTCTGGAATTTTCGTAGCTGTTGAATTGCTCGCGTGTGGATTTTTTTTTTTTTTTTGGTTAGTCGATAGCTCAGAGTATCTGTACTATGTAAGTTACCTTAATGTACGGATAGCTCTGCTTGGCCTTATCGCGCGCAAACACCCCTAGCTAAATGGAACCGACCCCGAATTACCAGGAAACCCCAAGCAGTGTGACGCAATTTCGACGATAGCGGGCTGTCAAGGACCTTCTCCCACTGCAGCTCGGGGTAAGTTTACTGTGGTCTGGCTCCACTGTGGGTTTTCACTGCAGTCTGCAGCAGGGGCATCTCCCTCGCAACGAGAGATGGAAGTCACCAAAAGCAGCTTAGCCAGCATAGCCACGCAGGGTCTGGTCCCTTTCACCCGTGCGGACGGAACAGAGCGGGCGAGAGAGAGCGAGCGAGATGGAAACCACGGACAGATGCAATATGCAAATGCGCGTTCAATTTCGACATGACATACGTAGGATCTAAAAAGAGAAGAAAAAGAAGAGACGGGGGGCTTGGCTCTCTCACGGGACTCGCTGCGAGACTTGCTTGTGGGAGGAGATGTATTGACATATCTCAAGTTCTCAGACTCGCTGTCTTGTGACGACGGTCACTGAGCCCCGTGACTTGCAGTGATAACGCATGTTGACGACGACTGAGGACAAAATGGAGCAGAAGAAGAAATGGGCGCCTCAATCAGGAGTGCAACATAGGTACGAAGGTGTACGTCTCAACTAAGGTAGGTTGATGACAGAAGCAAGTGTGGAAGAGTCTGGAGAAGACATGGCAAAGTGAATGCCATGTGGGAAGTGGTCCTGGCAAATGTCTTTGTCTCATCAATGCTCGGCAACTCCTGTTTCGAGGCGCGGGAAAACGGCGAACGCGAGAGTACTAGGTAGGTATCTTGGTATCTTAGAAGAAGAGAAAAAAGGGCGGCAATGAGGGACGGAAAAGAAAAACGACCGTGAGACTAGGTAGCAGCCCCAACCAAGCCACTCAGAAATGAGATGAGACGTGGATGAGAAGGCAAGGACACCCGGATAATGGAGCCGGAAATCCCATTGTCGACCAGCGAGCGCTAGAGGCTTGAAGTCTTGACACGTGCAAGAGACTAAGGCGGCATGCCATTGGCTGGCTCGCCTCTTGTCGTCTCGAAGAAGAACGAGCAGAAAATGGAAGTACAGGGAAGGAGTCATGTAGCATTGCGTCGACCGTCAATGGTCGACTTCCCTCCGTCCGAAACGACTGCCCTGGGCGGAGTCGCAGCTGCCTTTGATGTGCCTCCGCATTGGCCAGAACCGCCTGGCTTGGCGACCTGCCCGCCCTTGCCTCCCCTCAGCTGTGGGGTCAGCCCCCCGACCGAACTCACTGCCAAAGAGCCTAAGGTACGGATAGAGGTCGGCACCAGCCTTTTCCCAGGTGGATCTGGGCCTTGGATTGGATCTGGACGGGAGAAGGGGGGCAACGGAGCCATCGAGCGTGGGGCCGCCGACTCTGCGTAACTCGACGGAGGCGATAGACTTTGTCGTCTCTCGCGCCTCTCACACCCGCTTCACATAATAGTCGCGACCTTCCCTCCTTTGTTTTTCGGGATTCCCTCTCTCTACTGTAAACACTCATACCTCACATCTTACAACACTTACTTACCATCCTGCCCAGACCCAGTTTCAAAGGCAGAAATTTCCAAGTCAGGCTGAACAGCAAGACATCCATCTGTCCTTCAGTAGCGCTGCTGCATGTGATACCACCCGTCACGAGTGCCTACCATCGCCAACACATACACACTACCAACCACCATAGTCTCTCAGCGTAGACCACTGGCATCTTGCCTCCTCAAATTACCTACATCCCCCACCCGGTGAGGAGTGGCCGCGAGGGAGCGATAACTCTTCAAATCATACCCTTACCATACCCTTACCTGCATTGCCATCATAGCCATGACTTCAACTACTACGCCCATGCCCAACATCGGCGGCTTGTTGGCCCCCTTGCTGCCTGCCCTCGTACCGGCAAGCATCTCCAAACAGCCCGCCATTGGCGTCCTGCCTCTTCTCAGCCCCATTTTGAGGCAAAGAGTCCAACTTCTTTCAGAGGCCAGCACCGAGCCATGGCTCCGTCTCCTCGCATATGACACCGACAAGTCGGCGCGCCTGGCAGATATCGTGCAGAGCGGCAGACTAGAGCCGCATCCTGTATCCGGCGAGGTCGAGGTAGATTGGGAATACGACGCGAAGACGAAGTACAGGCGGCTCGACTTGGAGACCCTGCAGGCGTTTGTTGCCCTCGAGGAGCTCGAGTTGACCTTCCAATTAGTCTACTGCGTTGGCGACAAGGATGGCGGCGGTGACGGCTGGAGGATCGGCGAGGTTAGCGTCACCGACAAGGCGGCACCATTTGGAACCTTTGGCGGCTATTCGACCATCGCGGAGGCCGAGAAGGCCTACGCAGACGAAAAGTCCAAGGCGGTGGCTTCGAGGGCACCGGCCAGCTCGACGACCAATGAGACCGCGGAGGCGAATGACGATGAGGACGACGGGTACTGGGACAGATATGACGCGACTCCTGCTCGTACGCCAGCAAACGACCCTCCCGCCGTCAAGCGTTCTCCCGCACCGCACGCACCACAGCCCTCGCAGCTGGGTCAATTTCGAACCGACTCTGCAGAGGATGCGTACTATGCGCAGTATGATTCAGTACAACCGGCGATGGACGCTCACGATCCCGACGAGGAGGTTGAGGGTTTCGAAACTGCCCCTCCGCTGGGACTCGGCGCCGTCGTCGGCCAAAATAACTCGGACCGGGGCCTGAATGAGACAAACGGCTCTTGGACGCTGGCGGAACCCCCGCGATCGCCCTCGATTCACAGCCAAATTGACGAGGACAGGGCTGCTGTGCTCCTTCATCCCCGTCCAGCATCGAGCGCGAGCAGCAACGGCAGCCGCTTGGTCGAGAAGCTCGAGGAGAGCGTGGGCAAGCAGGATCAGAACGAGTTTGGCGTGAAGCAGCACGTTTCGAGGAGCATTCGCAGCCTCTTCTTGCTGGCCCGTTCATCCGGTATCGACAGGGAAGAGTTTGAGCGGTTGGTGAAGACGGAGTTGGATGTCCTCGGCATGATTGAAGATGACGAGGTTTAATTTCCTAGGCTGGTAGCCTTTTCATGTATATGAAGTTTCTCCTCCTCGGTGGTGTTCCGTGGGGATTTCCGCGGGATCAGGCTGGTATTCGGCATAGGGTTGCGTTGCATGTACAGGGGCGTTCTTCCATGGCCATATCTTTGAATAACGAGAATTGAATTTAAATGATTCTTAAATCGGGATTAACTGGGTGCAAATGAGGTCGGTAAGATAAGAGTATCGAGTAGTTAACATCAGGGATCAAGAAGGTATATAGCAAATAATTGCTCAACAATTTGCGTAGTCTGATGGGCGAGATCCAGTTCTGCTGATAGATCGGTACAAGCCAGGCGAGATAGCATTCTTCGATGCCGTGCTAATCATAGGTCTCATGGCTGGGAGTGAAAACGACGAAGGAGGGAGGTTGTCTGGGGTAAGTATTGGCGCTCTGGGTTGAATGCAATGACTTGTCTCCAGAAGTTGAAGCTGCGAGGTAAACGAGTCGAGGTAGTCGTCTATCTCGCCAGTCCCAACTGTTGTGAACCTTCAAACATGCTTCGGGCTGAGGTCGACACCCTCCACCCGGTCCGGGGTTGTTGGAGTGTGGCAAACTGAGCCGACAGCTGTCCAACCATGCCGTGGCCTAGTCGAGACCGTCCGATCTCCGACATTCCTCGCGACGAACGAATGGGGGAAATCTGGCGCAGTCTGTAGTTCACGGCAACTTTCCTTGATGAGAAAGTATGGGATCTTCGACATGCATTCTTCTCGCTGCTAGAGCAGATTGAGTGAGTTGCCGGGTTTCTGATCCATGAGGAGCCCACCCTGGTGATGTACAGAACAGTTTTTCCACAACCGTGGACTGAGAACATGCATGATGCGCGCAGCGGATCGACTCCGTGCGATGATCCAGTACGTCCTTTCACGCAGGACAGCAGGGTCAAGGTCGTGAACAAGGCCTTGTTCGCATGGAAGGGTTTCTCATTAAGCGCCCAGTCGTTTTTTCCGGGGGACGGTGGTGTGTAAGACCAGCGGGCGCGCGGGCGGTTATGCAGCCGCACTGACGGGAACAGGGTATGCCGTAAGCGCTGAGGTCGGCGGTTAGGTTCTTATGGCGTCTCTAATATTGTTCGTGAGAGAATGATACTTTACTCCGTATGGGAGGGTGGTATAGTTGGTGGCGATGTTGATTCGAGTTGGGGTTGTTGCTGATGTTTTGGGCCGTTTTCTTGTTGCATCACGGCTTAGAACCGAGCCATCCGCAAGGTGCCTGGCCGGGGACTGGCCGCCACCCCATTTTGATCAGTAAAAAAATTACAGCGCTGAGTTGCCTCTTTGTTGGTTTCATCGGAAAATGCATCTCATTAGCCATTATGTCGTGCAAGTTTGGAGTTGCATCTTGTTAGGTAGTTGAAGCTATCACCGACAGCCCAAGGCGACCCATCGAATTGGCCCACCCCGGAAGTGGGCAAAATGCCCCCACAAATATACGGCACGTCTTCAAGCCTCAACGGTAAGGCTACCACTCACGCGCCAATTGGACACGCGGGAACAGCCGTCCCAAAAAAAGTTCACCATCGTCGAAGCTCCTGGCCTACAGCTTTCCTCGTTGGCGAAAAGGTTCACCACCACCCACCCCTACGACCTCCTCTTCCAACTCTACCGGCGACCGTCGATAGAGGACAGAATCACATCACATACACACAAAATGTTTGCACGATTAAGAATACCGCGCATCGGCGCGGGCATCGCCGCCGCTGCCAGAGCACCGGCGAGACCTCTCCAGCAGCGCTCGATACACTACGTCCCCCAGCTCTCCCACGACTTCAAGGACGGCGTCCCGGGCCTCCTCTCGGCCGATGGTTACGATATGGCGTGGAACCAGTACATGACACTTGTCCTTGACAAGCTCAATGCCTTGATCGCAGGTCAGTTTACGCTGGTGCCCCTCCCCTGACTTGGCCGACACTTTTTTTTGCTTCAAGCTCCCGTTGCATGACAACCCCGACCCGCCCGGCTCCCATACCAGCTCGATTACTTCAATTTATTTCAAAAGAAAAGAGCGAAGAACTGACAGACAATCAACGCAGGCACCGACCTTGAGCAACGCGACGTCAAACAGATCCTCCTCGCCTCCGCCCAGGACCCCTCCCAAGCCCCCGTCTTCAACAACGCCTCCATGGCGCACAACACCCACTTCTTCTTCAAGAACATCACCCCGGACCCGAAACCCATGCCCGAGTCCCTCGCCGCCGATCTCGCCCACTCCTTCTCTTCCATCGAGACTCTCCGCCGCGAGATGATCCTCACCGCCTCGTCCATGTTCGGCCCCGGTTTCGTCTGGCTCGTCAAGGCAGGCCACCAAGACTACCGCGTCCTGACGACCTACCTCGCCGGCTCCCCCTACCCGGGCGCCCACTGGCGCCTCCAGAGCACCGACATGAACACCGTCGGTCTCGGCGGCTCCGCCAACAACTATTTCCAGCGCAGCGCCGCCGCCCAGAGGCCCGGCACCAAGCCGCCGGGCGCACTCGACGCCGTACCGCTGCTGTGCCTCAACACGTGGGAGCATACGTGGATCCGCGATTACGGGCTCGGTGTCGGCGGCCGCGGCGGCAAGAAGGCGTTTGCTGAGGCGTGGTGGGAGGTTATTGACTGGGAAGCGGTTAACACGGCGGCGGACATTCCCGCTCGGCCACAGTTTATGCGGTAAACGAAGAAAAAGGGGGGGAAAGACCGCCAGACTGGAAGGGATCTGGGGGGGGGGGGGGGGGTTCCGGAAAAAAAGGCCAGGGGGGTTTGGGGGGGGCAACACCGTTGGCCCACACCAGCCCCACCCAAAAGTGGGGGAAGAAGGGGGAGGGGGGGGGGGGGGGGGGGGGGGGGGGGGGGGGGGGGGGGGGGGTTGCTGAAACAAATGCCTAGGCGGATTGCTGTGTGCGAATCACGGTTGCCACAGACAGCCTGATCCAAAGCGGGTGAAGAGAAGGGGAGCGGACGGATGAAGGGCGAGAGACCCGTCTACCGACAAGGGAGACACTGCGTGATCCAGCAAATCTATTTGTGGATTGTAGGAGTGAGGCGGATTGGCGCGTTCAATGTAGGAATCATCAAAAGCAAGAGGAAACTGTAAGAATAGAAATGCTGCATATACAGAAGGTGGTTGTGTTGCAGAAAAGATATGTACTATTCCTGTACTACTTGGTTTTTTCTCTCCCTCCCTCTGGTCCTCTTCCCAACCAAGGTTGTGCCACTACTCTGAAATGCATCTGAAGGCCAAAAGACAAAAATGTTAAGCGAATGCTTGAGTGCAGTTCTTGGTGCACCACCGGGTACGCCCGGGCGCCTCGGTCTCCTCGCATGATTTCTGTTAACCTCCCCGGCCACGGTGCCCCTGATTCGCTTGGTGGCAGGAAGGGAAGGAGAAGAGACCCGAGTACCTTGCCTCCCGTCTCCTTCCTCCTACCTCAAAGGTAGTTCAAACATTCGCTCGTTTTCGTGGCTCATGATGGTTCACACTGTTCCGTTTCGGTTCGGCAAAGGCGAATGCCGAGTCTAGCAAAAGCGTAAGGGTAAATCGAGACTTTTCACCATGAGCCGATGTTAACCTTACCTGAGCTTGCTTCAACTTAAGGGGGCTTCTGTAGAGCATCCCTCTGCCCATCAAATCTTCCATTAGGAACACGAGTGAATTTGTCACTGAGCCTCATCTTCCTAGCCGTTTGTCTACACCCGCTCAGTAATATAGAACACTATTAACCAGATTGGAACTTGAAGTTTGCTCCGCTACATGGCACGAACGATGATAGATTTAATTCACGAATAGCAACCCAAGAGACAAGAAGGTGGTTTCATTTTATAACCGAGATCCCGGAACCTCCCCCGAAAGGGATCTAGCTCCTATTCAGGTCTCCCATTCATTTTCATTTTGCGACGTATTTGTCAAAAAGCTAAGTACTTAGGTATCATAGTATCCCTCCCAGACAGAAACATGTATAAGAGAAAAGAGTAAAGGAGTGTCTTTTCGTTCCATTGTGTTTCGTTCCGTGCGTGTGGGTTGTACGCGTTGTGTGTAATTGAAAGCGTTTTGGCTTCTTTTTTGTTTTTTTGTTTTGTTGTTTTTTTAGAATGAGATTTGCGAGGGTCGTTAAGATAGAGAGACAGAGAGAGAGAGACAGGGAGATAGGATAAGAGGATACAGGTAATTATGTTCAACAAAGAACCTAGAGTTTTCATTAAAATCCCCGTTCTTGTCCTTTCCCTCCCCCCCTTTGTAATAAATAAAAAGTCATATACCCGGCGTCAGGTAGAGGGGGGAGGGAGAATCTGATCAAGGATGTAACAAATGCCGCTGTCCATATGACTATGCAATAGAAACAGATGAGAGAGAAAAGGGAGAGAGAGGTAAGGTAGGTCTCCGAAATTTCAAAGAGATCAAGATTTCAATAGGAAAATCCACAAAACCGTAAAAGAGGTACGGTGACGACGTTTTCTAAGAAAAATAGTCCCCGGGGCATGTGCTTGCTTGCTGGCTCGCTTGCTTGAAGTGAAGATATGAGAGCAGGGAAACAACGCAGATAAACGCAGTCATTATGGATATTTGGTTCTTTTTTTTTTGTCCACCTTGGTTGTTTCTTTGAGTCAAGGTTTGGCTTGAGAGATTCTCCTTCCTTTTACCTTTTTTAAAGGGGGGCCGTGGGTTTGTTTGAGGTGGCTCTAGATCATGTTGCCATTGACACTGACCTCGAACCCATCACCCTTCTGCTTCAGCGCCTTTGCAAGCATCAACTCCCGCATCCAATCGATGCGGTCGTCGCGGCTCTTGACAGCAAAGTGATGCGTCTTGCCCGTGCCGTTGGCGCCTTCGGCCGGGATCGACCCCGAGCTCGACGAGTGCCCATGACCAAACCCGTGCAGCGCGCTGCTGCGTTTGCGCAGCTTCGCACCCGCAGACTCCTTGTCTTTATCCTGGGGAATGAGCTGGAAGCTAAACGCAGCAATGGGGTCGCTCTTTTCGCGGCTGTGCGACGACGAGAAGTGGACGGCCTTGAAGGCGGCCGTGAGCTTGCTCTGCGACGCGAGGCTGGAGCACGCAATAGCGTAGTCGTCGACGTCGACGTACTCGAGCGTGCGGTCAATTGTCTTTGCATCCTTGTGGACCGCCAGGCGGGTGCCCTTGAGGGTGCAAAAGGTGTCGTTCCACTCGTGGCGGAGCATCTTTGTCTTGCGCTTCTTCATGGGCCCTTGGAAGGTCACGCCGTCTTGCTGGGCCGCCTCGGCAGCCTGCTTGACAGGGAGGGCGGCCGCGAGGTGGGAGATTGGGGGAATGGCTTGCTCAAACGGCGTTGTGCGCTCGATGGGGGACCAGGGGTAGTTCACACGGGGAGGGGCTTGGAGAGGTTGTACTTGATGCTGCTGCTGCTGCTGGGGACGGACGGAGGTGCGAGGGGAAGTATGCCTGGGAGACGTGCGGGCAATGGGAGTTGCGGTGTTCTCGTTCAGGGCGGGGAGGACGGGGAACGAGGGGCGGCGGGCAGAGGAGCGGGATTGGGTGCGGGAAAGGGGCGGCTGCTGCTTGGTGACGCCGGGACGGTAGTTCATCTCGGGGGGAACGGACTGGGAGACGTCGCGCGCGATGCGGTCCATCGGCACGGCGGTGACGGGGACGTCCATCTCAGAGAAGGGAGTACCGAAGCGGTAGGGGTTGTTGACCGGGCTCTGCAGATCCGGCGACATGGCTTCTGCCCTATCCATGTGGTAGGGGACGAAGCCTTGCTGCTGGTAAGGGGGTATCGAAAGCGGCTCCGGCTGGGAAGGTGCAGGGACCGTTGAGGCTCTGAGAGGGCTTGCGCGAGGCGCCTGCTTGCCCGGGATGGACAGCTTCGGGAGGTGACGAAGACGTTCGGGTTGAGCCTTCATAGCGGGAAAGCCCATCTCGAAGGGAGGCGTAGGGGGCACCGTGGTATCCTCTTGCTTCTGGAAGTCGAGGAACTGGCGCACATTGTCTTGCGGATCTCGCGCGACGACGTTGCGGAGAGCAGCCTCCTGCAGGTATTGCAGGGGGGTGGCGTTGCCCGGTCCCAGCACGTCGGAAGAAGCCACCACCGATGGGACGGCGTCCGAGATGGGTCTGAGAATCTGCGTAGGGTCAAGGGCTCTGGCCGTGTGCGGGTTGCCGGGGTTCCCGGTGATGACGACCTGCTCCGTCTCAAGGTCGACAAAGGGGTGCTCCTTTTTGAAGGCCTCGATGAGACGCTGCTGTTTCCTCCACTTGGAGCAGTTCTCGCCCTTTGGACACTGATGCGGCTTGGGGACGACCTGCTCGATGCCGACGATGGATACCGACTCCATGGGAGTGATGATGTCGTCATGCGACGGCTTCTTGGGCCGCCGTCTGCTGCTCTTACTCCTCTTCATTCCGCAGTCGTCCGCCTGCCTTTCCGCCGCTCGGACTTCGCGAGTCTCCTTCTTCACTTCGCGGCTCGGCTCGTCCTGGATTGGTGTAGGAGCGCGGGGCGAGCTTGGCCTGCTGTCTCTCAGGACTTGAATCTGGTTCCAAACGCGCGTCCTCATGCCAAATGACGGAATATCCAACTCCTTCAGATCCTCGAATTTCAACGTGATTAGAATAGGTCCGTTGATATCGTTCTCGACGAAGCGGCCGGCTACCGAGAGCTCAATGCCAGCATTGAGCATCGATTGCGCAACCATCTCTGGTGTCCACGAAACAAGCTCCCTCGACTCGAACTCTTCATACGTGAATTGGAAAGGCCCACTCTGGTGTCTAGATTGGGGCACCGGCGGCTGCTGCGGTCTGATGTGTCTGAAGGGCTCATCAAAAGGCCGCGCTGTCTTTGGTGTCACCGGGGACAGCGTCAGGATGGCTTCGTCAAAGTAGCTGGCCGTGGAAGTACGGAACAGGTGCGGGCCAGAAGGACCCTCAATGTTCTTGTTTGGTGACTCCATCTCCGTCGCATACATCATCCGTCCCTGACTTGACCTCGGCGTCTGTACCTCGTCATAGGATGAGAGTGTTGTGATACTTGGTTGACCGCTAGACTTTGCGCCACATGTTAGCTGAAGCCATCTCGACAGATCTTGCGTTGCGATCACTTACTGAGTTGACACTGATCCGAGGAGAGTTGTCTTCAAACTCGCTGAGCACGCCGTCGTCCCATTCCATGTCCATGAACTCGGTCGCCACCGACGTTGGTCTTTGCGGCTCGGCCTTGATGCCAAAGAATGTGTCGCGCGTTGTCGCCTTTTCGCGCATCTCATGGCGCAGGCGACGCTCAGCCATGTCATATTCTTGTGTGTAGTTCTGGCGCCGAGAGTCAGCCTCAAGCCAGACGCAGCGTCGCAAAACCATTTGACTGCATTCCAAACTCACCATTTTGTGTGTTGAATATGTGTAAGTGGTGTTCCCAAACACGGAAAGTGGGGGGATATTTCAGAGGCGTGGACTGGCTGTATCTGACTTGCAGTTTACAGCGTAGGGCAGCCTACTAAGCGGGATGCGATTCCCTTTTTTTGCTTTTTGAAAGCTGGAAATCGAGGGAGGGGCCGTTGCCGGCAGCACTCTGTTCTAGGGATATCCTGATGAAGAAGTTTGTGAATACTTGGGATAGCGCACGCAGTGCAAGCTGGGGAAGACGCCTTGGGGGGATTTCAAGCTAGGAAACAGACCAGCGAAAAGGAGAGGAAAAGGAAAAAAGAGGTCCAGCTGAGCCGAATATGCTCGTTTGGTATGTAACGGGTCGCAAAAGAGAAGAAGGAGGGGATCCGGTACAAGGCGGGCGCCTACCGCGAGTTATGTATGTCTAGTGTGTCCATGCACGGCGGAGCAGTGTAGGGATGCGAGACTAGGGGGGTAGGAGAAGCATGGTGGTTGAGAAGTCGGATCACAGCACATACGCAGCAGCAGCACGCACAGCTATCCCATCACCGCCCCATGCCCTCGTCCCAATATGCAAGCTGCTTCTGGTGTGATTCGACCCATGGCACTTGCACACGGCGTCGATGGTGGCAGGCACTCTGAACAGACCAGTCGAGTGTATAATAATAGCCCGGGTGGTGTGTGGGCAGGTATCTGGGATCTGGGTTGGGGAGACGACAGAGCAAGAGAGAGAGCGCGTGTGCGTGTGCGTGTGTGTGGCCAAGCGGGCGAGGGCCCAGCCGTGGGCCATTCATTGAACCATGAACAACGGGGTCCTAGGCGACGATACCGGCGTCAACGTTGTTGGGTAAAGATGGGAACGCTCGAAGCTGGTTCCCCGGTCAAAGGGGTGGTGTCTTCGCGGCAGCATCCATGTGGATGGCGGTGCACAACCGGCAGCAAGCACTTTGCACTTGCAGCGAAGCACCACGCAGGACGCAGGACGCGGTATGCCCCAGCACAGGCACTGGCCAGGCACAGGGCAGCACAGCAGCGACGGGCGAGCTGTATTCGTACGGATAGAAAGTCAAGTCAAACCGGCGTGAGGAAGCGTAGCAGTCAGTAGCTTGTGGTGGTGGTTGATGGTGAATCCGTCTGTGAGTCTGGCTATGGATGGATGAGGGGGGGGGGGGGGGGGGGGGCGGGGGGGGGGGGGGGGGGGGGGTGGGGGGGGGGGGTGGTTGGTTGGGCGGGGTGGGTGGGGGGGGGGGGGGGGGGGGGGGGGGGGGGGGGGGTCCGAAGGGAGTTGAAGCGAGGACGAAGTTTGGACGGCGCAAAGGTCGGGAAAAGTTTGTACCTGATTGGCTGGGGACGGGAAACCCCGTGCATAACGCAGCCGACGGACGAAACAGGACGGCGCTGGAGCTTCCCATTGGACATAAATCAATGTTGTGCGACGTTATTTCGGGAACACTAATATGCCATTGGCCAGAAAATCGGGATACCCCGGTGCCGCTACGGGCGGGCTCTAAGCGCCCGTCTTCTCAATCTGGCGGCCACTCGTCGTCGCTTGTCGTCTGGATAAGTGGGACCATGACAACCCCGGCCGCCGCCGTCAAACGGCGTAAAAAAAAAAAGGGAAAGGCAGGAGACAAAACGGAAAGAGGGGAAAAGAAGGGGGGGTGGGGGTGGAGCACGTTGGCCGGGGAGACCTCGCCATCCTTTCTCACCTCACCTCAATGTTCCTTTCACCCCATTTTTGGAGTCGTTCACACACCGATTGCGCATCCTCATTAACCCTCGTTCGGTCCACCGCCCGCAAACGCTCTTGGTCCTCAACTCGACTTCTGGCCTGGCACCCCACCATTCGAGCTAAATTCCACCAGGCCCCAGAGGCCCTGTCCATCACCTGCAAGGATACACTGACATGGACCTGGGGCAGGACGAGGAGCTTCCCCGGCACACACACCTCTCCTGATGACCTCGCACCGCAAGCCGCACGCTTTTTCAATCTGCCCGTCCACACGCTCGTGGCTCCCTAGCGCCAGCTTACCTACAACCAGCCCATAACTTGCTCTCCTCCCTCTTTCGCCTTTCGCGGGCTTGCAGAACCAAAATACGCCGCCCACCGCCTACTGTTCGCGGACTTTGTCACTGCCACCACCATCACTATCGTGCCTGTCATCACATTCCAATCTTATCAAGTCTCTTTCCCCAGAATTTAAGCCGGCGCGCACAGGCGTGCGGATAGGTATGTCTTGATACCTCGTAGCTAAGGCATGTGGATCAGACAAGAAAAAAAGCCATGTGAGCGCCTTGCCCATCCCACAGCGGCCATGGTTGGCCATGTGTGGAACGGCACCGGAATCCTTCTGGCTGGGAAACTTCCCAAGAATGTAATGGCCCGTATCCTGCATCTTGCGGCTTTTCTTGCCTGTCAACGAGAAAGAACAAAAAGAAAAGAAGAAGGACAAAAGGGCCATTAACAATCCCCAGTTTCTGCCTCTTCAACGTCGCACCCTCGGCTACCCACAGCCACCGCACACCTCTGATCCCGGCGAGTCTCGAATGCCCATGGCCAAAAGCAGGACCCCACCATCACGATCAACTGACTTCCCCTCACTGGTGTTCTCAGCCACTCAGTCTGCTCGCCGGGCCTCCATCGGAGAAATCCCATCAAACCGATACTACTATTCCGTCCCAGGGCGACGAAGCCAATGGCCTTGTGAGAAGCCTCTCTTACGAAAGGCCCAATATGAGGCGAGATTCGCCTTTTCCTTGGAATTGGCCCTCCTGGTGACTGGCATGGGACTGTCCGGATCTCAATGGTAAAGATGGGCTCCTCTGCCCGTTGGCCCGTTGCGATCCTCATCCTCCACCTGGCGTGTCACTGTCGGCGCAGTCCGTGGATCGCTTATCATTAGTCTCGCCTTGCCCTCAGCTCGCAAATCAAATGTGCCTGGATAGTTCCTGCCCAATCGCTCCGTGACGATAGCGAACAACGTGACCAGGCGAAGGCTACAGCTGTGGCACATGACCTGCACAACTGGCTCACCGTCGTTACTAGGCAAATTTGATAGAGCAAGGAAACCTCTCAAAATTCCATGAATACCTTGTCACTTACCCACTCATGACTTCATATCCACGAGCCCTGCAGATGGCGGTCAAAAATGTGACGGGAGGGCATGGTTGATGCAGCAGCAGGTCTTTTGGGCTTTTGCAGCTGTATGTATGCACCCGTCGCTAGCTTCCACAGCTCGACGCTGTGGAATCAGAATTCTTGGCCCTGTTTGCTGGATGAGGATCCAGTAAGCTATATTCCAACTTCCCAGTGGGCGAAAGGGAGCTGGCGGGAAATGCTCTTGATAGGTAGACGACTGTGGACGATCTGGAGATGGTGGTACGACAAGACCTCGGTGGCCAGCGTTTACCCCGCAGAGCCGTTGAGACAAATTTGCGATATATGCGATGTCCAAAGATGGGTGCTGCCACACTCTTGTATGTTGACGGATTAGGATGTGGATGTGGTGATATCTGATAGTGCTGCATTATCGGACAGTGCAGGATTTGGGTAGCTGCTACCATTACCCTAATCTCTACGGGATCTTAGTTTTACGAATCGGAGAGACCCAAAAGCCCGGCCGATTTGAGCAAAGAAGCTGAGGTTGGGAGAGTACAACAATACGTTGCATATCTGTTCTCATGGCGGCGGTCGACTTAGGTAGCAGAATTTCCAGCCCCCCTTCCCGGCTGGCAATCATCGAGTTGCGCGACATCCACCTCTGTGTCAATGTCGGTGAGGAAGCACCTACCATCCACATGTTAGGGAGCGATAATGCGCTCGGAAAGGAAATGCGAAAGACCAAACATGGGGAGTTAGCACTGAGTCATAAGACTGCCTAAGAGTGCTGTGAACGACGACCCCGTCCTTGCGTTAGCAGTGTGACGCTCTGCAGGGAAGCATAAAGCACGCTCCCGCTACTGCATCCCCATCTTCCATGTTCATTCCAAGTGGTGTTCGATGCGTCTCCGAGACATGAGAAAGCCGTGGCAGGATCCGATGAGGACCAGAGTATGTGAATCATATGCAGTCTTGCCTTTTTCACCGACTCTTCACGTCTTCCTCTTGGATGACCTCATCCGATGATTTCCGCGGACCAGGGAGGAACGTGTTCAACAATGCCACAATGTCTCGGCCAGGTCAAGAATCTTTCCTTGCGCTGCTGTCTCAGTCCCTTCAACGACATCCATAGAAAGCTGGTCCGACCGGAGCCGGACTACGCACAGAAACACCTGGCGGTGTTGAGGGTCAAGTAGCGACCAGTAAGATGGCAAATTGCGAATGTTGGAAGGAAAACCCGGCAATGGAGAATTGACTGTCGATAAGTATGCTCGGCGGCCGACTCTACCCGATGGCCATTCGAGATTATGGGTAAGACCAGGCCATGTTCCAAGGCAATTGGGTAGGGCGTCCGCATTCAATTTCTGATCCTGGAGGAGGATCATCGAATATGGCTAACCCTAACGTGGGCACAGTGCACCTTGCACACCCCCCTCAGCCCGCAATTGAGCCAGGCAGGGGGTTGATGGCTTTAGTGGACGATGGTGTGGTTTTGAAGAGGTCCTTCGTGGACGAATTGGCGTGTTTTTTGAGGATGTTTCCCCTTGTGTGTGTTCGTGAGCGACGACGTTCTCCAGACATGTCTCCAGTGCGCAACTGCTGCCCTCCAATGAGTTGGCTGGAACACGTTTCCACGCGCTCTCACATGATGGCAGACTAATGCGAGCCTCGCACTACTGTTGTGGATGGATGACTCTCCCGCTCATGTCAACCAGTGGATCGCGATGCTGGAAATGGGTTTGTGATGGTGTTGACGAGTCTCAGAATCAGAAATCGTTGCATTGTGACCGTTTGCGAGACCCTAGAAAGCTCTTTGTCAGATCGCATGGCGATGCGGCGCGGATAGCCAGAGCGAGACGGATGCAGGTCATCGTGATTTCGGTCCGTCAACTGGCGCTCCACTAGTGACATGTCGTAATGGCTCCCATTTCGTAGTTGACAGGCCGAGACGAATCGACACTGAGGGCGTGGCTTAGCTTATCATCTGCAATGTGCTTGGCAATCTACCACAAGTCGTATCGCAAGCAGTCTGTTTAACAATAGGAAGCTTTGTTCGTAGGGTGGCTCTCAAGGTCTCCTTTGTCTTTGTGTCCTGAATGCAACCTCGAGTTCGTAATTAATTCTTGGTCGAAATGCGTCCGATGTTAGCAAGCTGCTGAATCTTCAGTATTACTGGAGTGGTCGATTGTTGAAGAGACGGTTGTCAGCTGCAGGTCATCTCGGAGACTCTAGTAATGCGACGTTGAAAATCATGCAAACTTTCCTTGTGGTCCGGAGTCTGATCTTTGGGGGCATGTTTTCTTCCAAATTGCAATGCAGTTTGCGCTGTATTTGTGAATCTGTGCCGCAATACAACACAGTATTTGAATGAATCCCGGCGTCGGGGTTGAACCTGGGAGCGTAGATCCACAGATTCAGCGGGAGGGCGGGAGAGCATGGATATGGTACAGTGCTCCCGTACGGTACGGAGCTGAGAGTGTCGGGCAGGGGTTTCCTCGCCGCGTGAGATTTAGAAGTCGACCACAATGGTTTGTCTGCCGCTTTGAAAAATGCCGCGGTTTTTCTTAGGTCGCCCGTCTTCTTCTCCATGTTTACGGACGTAAAACTCTCGCCAAAGGCAAACAATGTGACCTAGGAAGAGACTAGGGAGGAGGGTCGTCGGTCCCGACTAGGATCTGTGTCGATATGCCGCGCGTGGCTGGGGTCTAGAAGCAACGCGATGTTGCGCCGTTCGCGAGCTGTTAGCGGAAGAGCGGGATGCCTGGGATGCCCAGGCGTGGCCTTGTTCTCCGCAAAATCTAGCGGCCGTCTTCCCTGCAATCCGATATCTCTCGACCCTCAAGGTTCAAATATGCTGTTCACATCACATCACATTACACTAGCCACAACAGGACAGTGATGGGGGAAGATGGGCACACCTCAACGCCTCAAAGTCCGTCCGCCAATCAAAGACGCGGGGTTTTACTCGCTGCCATTGACGACTCCAAGATGAAGCCGACAGAGGCAGTGAAGGGAAACAATATGTGTGATCTGGAGGAAAGGAGATTGCGCCGTGACAGGGGCGTCCATCTGTCGACTCTTTCTGACTGAACGCAGGTACAGACAAGGCTGTCCACCTTGCAACCGGAGTTGACGATCGCCTCAAATCAATTGAATTCATGGCGTGAATGGTACAATCCCACCGTATCCGTACCAGGGGAGATGACGACCCGAGAATGAGGCACAAAAACAATGTCTTGGCCATGCCGATCGCTGAATCATGGAATGTCTGGTTGCAACGAGATTCGTACTTATGTCGACTATTGACATATGCCGCGTGAGCTGACAATGCAAAGCTTCGGGGGTAGATGAAGTTGTAATGAGTATTCGTATCGTCAATGAGTTGGGCACTAACAGAAAGGCAGCCCGATCCACAAGGCAGATGTGGCGTCTGACCGGATAGCATCGCGTCCTCCCGGAGCGGACGCTGACGAACAGCGGGCTCTACTGCGGCGTAGGCGGGACGGACAGATAATCGTTGCGTATCTCCGCTAGTAACGAGGCCCCTGAGAGATTGACGACGATCGTGGACGTTTGTGATGGTTGCGATTGCCAGCGGGCAGAAAGGCAGGTATAGTGTTAGAAAGAGCAAAAGATCCTTGGCTGTTGGCTGTTGGCTGATGACCGAGTGCACGAAAGATACGGCACGGATGCTGTGCAGACCGTGGTAAACTCGAATTGTTGGTTCAGAGCCGCCTAGACAAGACCGTTACTGACGGCAAGTCTCTGCAGGGCGAGATTCGGGACAATGGCAGACCAAAGCTCCGTGAAGCGCGCCAGTGTGACCCCACGTGGAGGGGACTCGGGAGCTTGTGCTGGGTAGTGTCGTTGGAGATAATTAGGTCCTTTGGCTTGTTGGAAGAGTATCTCTGACCATAATTAGCCCGCATGACCCAGAAGTTGGCAGACTATCGATGTGAGGTGATATCGTGAGCAGCTGGGTTAAACTTCCGGGTAAGAGGGAAAATTTCCTCAGATTTGGGGTTAAACAAAAATAGAAGCGGGTGACGGGTGTTAGCTGACGTGACCGAGTTCTGCGGGCGACAGTAAACAGCTGCAGCGGCTAGACGGTGTGACGAGCTGGATGACGCATGGAGATGTGTGCTCAAATTAGCCCACATGTCAGAGTTGCAAAAGGGCAAATAGTGTGACGCAAAGAGGGTTAATTTGATCACGCACCGTGGACTGGGCGGCTAATTAGGCCGCCAGAAATAGGACGGAGGATGGATGAGGTTTGTTCCAAGGGAAGCAGGCCGGACGGTCAGATGAACGGTACCGCTAGGAGAGGTGATCCGAGTGTCCCGTCTCGGAAGGTGGTGAGGGTGATACTCCGAGTCCGCATGGCAACATACTTCGCCAGGCAAGAACGTCCTGTTGGCGGGAGATCATCATCGGCGGACCTTGCCCGACGTGCCTCCTCCAGACAGCGAACTAAGGTAAGGTAGCCGTGCCTGCCAGGTGCATTGTCGTTCGGCAGCACTTGCACGGCACGGCAGGAAGCGGAGAGGGGAATGGGAGGGATGGAAGGGAACGAAACCCGGCACTATGATTGGTAGATATCCAGTCGGAAGCCAGATTCTGGCTGGACAAGCATCTGAGGAACGTGCCTTCCGCTGCAGCGCGAGAGGCAGGAAAGGCAGGAAACATGGAACTAGCATGCGAACCCCGCGAGAAGGCGCCCTGTCACTTGCCGTGCTCCCGCCGTACATTGGCCATAGCTCTGCCTCCACCCGATGGGCTAGCTGGGGGTCCCTGACCAATATTTCTGCACGATCTTCTCGCTTGCAGCAGGCAATAGCCAATCCGGGGCTGTAGTGGCCCTCTGGCGAGAGCTTAAATCCCTGCGACATCACAAGCGCTAAGAAACGGTTGGTCCCGAAGCCCTGCACGAGGCACCAAGTCGTCACACCTCGCCGTCGAATCAACGTGGGAGAAGGCGCTTTTGACAAAGGAACCTCGAGTGAACGGACAAAGACGCTAAGGACGTACGAGGGGGTAGAGAGGTGGCAGGTAGGAATGTTTACTGGAGAGGGAAAAGGAAACGTAGAGCAATATCGGGAGGATGAGCAGCCAGCCGCGGCCTTGTCCTTGTACCTTTCTGCAGCCGTTATTCGCAACGACTGGGCAAGAAGAAAGAAATCCCTACGGCTTCCACGGAGCGGAGCACCTCGCACGACATCTCCCGCGGTGCCATGATACCCCCTTGCTTGCTGCAGCTCGCACCAGGTTCGGCTGTAGTCGGGTATCGAAGCCCAAGTACCGGCCTCGACGTATTCGACTCCCCAACAGAACCCACTCACGGATCTTTGGAGACGGATACTCGCCTCGCTCGCCTACTCTCCCCACGGTCCGAGGTATTTTCCCTTTTTTGATTATCTCTGTGCCTACTATTACCTACGAGCCCACTGCTGACAGCAAAGTGACCCTGGACTTCTCACCATGCACGACAGAAAGTCCCAGTTCCACCGTATCAAGTCCGGCAGCCACATTCAATCGACATTGAGTGGCCAGATGGACCATCCAATCCGTATGCTGACCGCCTTTCTCGGCATTCTCATTTGTGGATTCTCTTCAGAAGTCGTTCTCTTGCTCAGTTGAGTTGAAGAAGACCATGAGGCAAGATGAGGCCCAGGCTCGGCTTTGCCAGATTCCAAGAACCATCGGCAACGCAGTAAATACGATGAGACGTAATTCGACGAAGTTAGACCTAGCATGGGTATCTAACGACCAACAGCAACGAAGATCATTCCCAGAATATGATCAGGCTGATTGCCATATTCGATAACATTTTATCGGAGGCTCCAGCGGTTGACTAGTCATGTCCCGCTCATGGTTATCCATCATGCAACCATGAAGCGAGGCTCCTCACATGGGATGGATGATCGGATGAATCCATCACGTCTGCCAGACACAGGGCTAACTTAACAAAAAAAGGTTGACAGGGGCGGCAGGGTTACCTCCCTTACCCATGCAAACCCATGGGTGTTCTTGCCCAACTTTCACTTCTGGCTCTACCTGGTAGAATGTTGCGCTGAGCTCCACAAACTCAACAAGTTGTGTTGGTGTGGTTGGAAAGCTTCATGCAAGTACGTGCGACCCTAGGACAGAGCTTGTTAGTGGAAGAAGTGGTCCACGACCAAGTGTCTTTTGCAAGGGGTAGCCCAGTCAGCTCTAGTTCTGCTTGGCCATCTGTCGGCCCCCGAAATCCTCTACTCTAATCGTGCCATCGGCGGCCAGCTTGGCGGCCGAGGGGGGCATATATCGATAACACTTGGTGCCGGAGCCGGTGCAACGTTCGCAAGAGAGGTCGATGGAGTACCATTCTGTGTTTCTGCAGCTTCGGCTGCACAAGGTACTGCCGCGGAGCGAGCTCGCATCCGGGCGAACTGGTACTCGCATCATCATGTTTCCCCCTCCAGCCGATATTAAAGATCAGCATCTGCGCCGGTCAGGGACAGGACGAGGGAGTGGATGCGGTATCGACGGCGGACAGCCGGAGAGGCAGATGGCCAAATAGGTACAAACTCGATAGCAGGTCGGCAAGTCGGGTTGGGCAAACAACAGGTGGGCCCCATGCGGTTCTGTATGTCTTTGCATAGCGTGGGCACCAGGTTGAAGGCGTGAAGGTATCCTTGTTCCCCATGGCCTACCATCCAGAGCCAGCCATGGCAAGCCACGATATGCATGCGTTGCCCGTTCAATCGCTCGACAGATGCTTGCACCCATGTCGTACATCTCGAAGCTGCCCTCCCCCCCCTCTCGAGCCGGAGCTGTCCATTCCTATTCTATTCTCGGGTGGGGTCCAACTGTGAGTTCGGCCGTCTTTAGCGGCCTATTCTCATTGGAGCCTGTAAGCGCACGTCGAGGTCTCACGCACTCGACGTGAAGGCGTGAAGGCGTGAAGGCGGCCGGCCGGCCTGCCTTGTGCCCTAGCCTGCGTTAGTTGGAATGCAGACACACACACACACACACACACACATACTCACGGCTTGGGGACGATGGAGACACACACAGAGAGAGAAGGCCTAGCTGTTTCCAAATTTAGAACAATATTGATGTTGGCTACGTAGCGAACACCAGGCAGGCCACTCAAAGGCCCGTTGGTCGACACAACGAGAGGACGGTCGTGATCAAGGCGGCCACAATATAAGACTTTGGACCATCCATCACAGACAGTTTGATTCTGGCCTCTCTCCTTGTTGATCCGTAGAAGTCAAGAAGAAGAAGAAGAAGAAGGAAAGTGATCCAAGTGTTTTTCAAGGTTTTTCTCTCTCATTCATCCAGTTGTTTTTGATACCCTCCGTCCACACTCTTCCGAAAACCCAACCACTCGAATTCCCCCGATAATCCAGTTCAAGGCAAGCCGGACTTGCTTAGCGACCAGTCACTCATTCGACACCATCGAAACACAGTCGACCACTCGACAAATTTGCAATTTACACACGTGCAGCGCCTGGCTTTCAGTTGACGAAACGAGATCGAATTTGCTGTTGCATTGAAAACGAACAGAAGACGACAAGGAAGAAAGAAATAATTCAATAATCTGATACGACCTGAGAACCTTGGGTTTCTGGAAAGTCAACAAACCATTCGACAAACAACCCGGTCTCCCATCTCAAATTGCGTTGACAGCGGGCGAGCGAACAGACGTTTCCTGACCACTGAGTCCCTCGTCGGGTTCCCCTCTTCAATATCCATCCCAGGCTGTCCCCGCCTTTTTTGGTCTCGCTCTTGGCTACCAGAAAGAAACAGAACCGAGAGAGCACAGAGAAACGGCGCTGCTTCACTCAGCACACACAAATCAGAAAAGAGGAGAAGACACCGCACACAACGCGCGCGCGCGCACACTTGCACCCCCCCTTAAACCCTGGTCGCTCTTTCCCCGGTCCAGAGCACAGTGTCGCTCGCTTCCGTCCCCACACAGTGTAACGGTTCCTGCCACGCCCCTCCACCTCTGACCCTGGTCCCTGAATCCTGGTCTCCCACAGACACACACCCACCACACCCCTCCCTCCTTCTCTTTCTCTCTCTACTCCACCCCAGCCAGCCAGCTCCAGCTCTGTCTTCGCTGCTCGGCTTGTCATTCACACGCAGGTACCTCCATCGCGAGAGAAGAAGGGTACAAATGGCATCTCTACCCCCCAACCACATTCGAGACGACTTCATGAGATCAACAGCCGCAGTCAACATGGCCATCGCATCTTCTGCGAAGGCCAAGTCGGCCTGCAAAGCCAACAGCAACACCAATGCCAATTCAAAGGCAAAGTCACAAATGCACCGTCGTTCAAGGACAGGTACGTTCATCTTGCATTCCGCTTGGCTCTGCGTCGTTTTGCCGAGTTCCATCCGTCTTTCTTGACATTAGTCGTGCTTGACTTACACCCGCACCCATCTCACTTACACGGGAGCGACTCTCCCATTATCCAACCCAAAACATGTCTCCCTCAGTGATCAAAACTCATCCAAAAATCGGAGACTAACTTGTATTTTCTGCAGGATGCTACACTTGCAGATTGCGCCGCAAGAAGTGCGACGAGGGCTCGCCAATGTGCTCCGCTTGCAAACATCTCGGTTTGACATGCGAATACAAGCGGCCAATGTGGTGGAGCAACAACGATGCCCGCCGCAAGCACAAGGACGACATCAAGATGATCATCAAGCGCAAGAAGCTCTCGGAAAAGGCGTCACACACAATTCAGACTTCCGTTGGCTCTCCTCCCGGCCTGTCGCACTCCCTGCCGACTTCCGCCACCTTCTCCGATCCTCTGGACCGCACTCGCTCCGCCTCCATCGACTCCCACTTCTCGCCGGCTTTCAACTTCAACAGCCCACCATCTGTCGGTGCCGAGTATGCTGCCTACAACACGCAGATGCACTCTGATTTCATGTTCAGTGGCTTCCCCTCGCCTTATGAGGTTGATGTCAAGACTGAACGCCAGGTGTACATGAACGATGTGCCCACTCTGAGGGAGTCGACTATTTCCACATTCAGCACCTACCACACTCCCCCGCCACCGGGAACCATTCTGCCTTCCTCCGTCCCTCTCGACGGCGAGTGGACCGAGCAGATCTACTCTGAGCGCAAGGAGTCCCTCAGCGAGGAGACTCTCAACGTCAACTTCTTCGATTTCTCTCATGGCCCGGCCATGTCCAACCGCCAGGTTGCAGTTGAGCTCGACGAAAACGATCAGCGCCTGTTGGACCACTTTGTCCAATTCGTCCTGCCCACCATCTTCCCCATCCTCGACTCGAACCAACATGGCTCAGTCGGCTCCGACCTGATCCTGCCGGCTCTGCAAAGCAACAAGGGCTACCTGCACTGCTGCCTGAGTATCGCCGCCCAGCACTACAAGGCAACGATGAACGTGCCCGGAGAGGAGATTGACCAGGACATCATGCGCCATCGGTACGCCACCATCTCAGCTCTTTGCGAAGCTTTGAACAAGGACGAGAACCACCAGGAGATTCTCGAGGCTGCTCTGGGCCTTATCTTCTTCCAGTGTGTTGTCGGTCGCTTCGACGACGCACTGCCCGATATCCCCTGGCACCAGCACTTTCAAGCTGCCATCAGCTTGGTGCAGAAGCTTGATCTCCCTCGCTTGGTGTCGGATCCCAATGAGCAGATGACCCAAACACCCTTCAACATGACTTTGACTTCTTGGATTGACATCCTCGGCGCCACCATGCAGGGCCAAGCACCCACTTTCGCGCACACCTACCGCGAGAAGCACCTGTCAAACAACCCCAGCCTTGGTCTTCGCGAGCTTATGGGATGTGATGACCGTGTCATGTACCTCATTTCCGAGATTGCCTGTCTCGAGGCCCTCAAAGGAAGCGGCATGGACGACATCACTCTTTGCCAGCACGTTCACGCACTTGGCGACCAGATCAACCTGACTGAGATTGGCGAACCCGGCCCCAAGATGCCCTACAATAACAATGGAAGCTTGTCCCCAAAGCAGCTTTCCAAGAACATGACGGCCGCTTTCCGTCTTGCCGCACGCATCTACCTTTGCAGCTTGGTGCCCGGCTTCAACCCCGCGCAGGCCTCCTGTGTGGGCTTGGTTGAGAAGCTTGCCAACGTTCTCCAGCTCATCCCTTCGGGGCCTGGAGGCTTTGATCGCAGCCTCGTCTGGGTCTACCTTGTTGGTGGCTCTGTTAGCTTGCATGGTAGCTCACTCCGCGCCCTTTTTGAGGACCGGGTTGCCCAGCTTGGCGACGTCTCTGACTGCGGCTCCTTTGGTCGCGTTGCGTCGCTCCTGAACGAAGTTTGGATGCAGACTGGCAACATCAAGAGCAGTGACAGTTGCGCCGGCAGCCCTGGTTCCACGCAAGGAACTGAGGCGGTAGCATACATCCACTGGAGGGATGTCATGCAGATGAAGGGTTGGGACTTCTTGCTCATCTAAACAGCCTAGCTGGTTCCAGGCTGTACAGACAAGTGCAGAAGACTCGCCATACATCTGCATGGTATGTATACCGCTTCCGCAAAGGTGATGCAGGCAATCGCTTATTCCCTTTCGCGCAACCGGGGCTGCTTGCCAGCCAGCATTGCTCTGCTGGACATTTAAGAACTTTCTTTTCTCATCTTCCCCATTTTGATACCACTTTTTTCACACTTACACCAACCTAATCAAGGGTTGCTTTGGGTCTACTAGAAGGACACGCCGCAAGGCACACGGAGCGGACATGAACGATGAGAGCGAAGACACTTGGATCACACTTTTTTCTTCTTTACTGGACACTTTCACGGGGAAGGGTGCACGGGGACGGGTGCACGGTACAGCTGGGCCTGGCTGCCAGGATGATGGATGAACGATGATGGGTGATGGGAAAGGGATCGCCAGGATGAGGCCCTGGAACACATGCAATGGGAAACATGAGATGCGACGAACGACCATTCTACTTTCTTCAGACAGGACACTTTCCGTCTGAACTATTCGTTTTTCTTTCCTCTCTTGGGTATATCATAGCATGAGCATCGAGGAACGGGCTTCATCGGAGTTTATTGTTTGGAACTTTGGGACTAGCATTTCGGTGCATCTGGACTGGATCGGATGGATCACAGAGAAGGGCTCTGGGAGCTACGATGGGCTAGCTTCCCTGTTGACTTCTTCACATGGTACTTATTCGAAGGTAGCCTTTACTCTTGACGGAGCAGTGGCAGAATCCGAGCAGGATTAGGAATCATGTAATACCAGAAATTATACCCAACAATTTCAAAAAGCAAATTCGCTACTATTACTTCACATCATTTCGCTCCATGCTTCAAATTTTGGTCAAGGTGACGGCAACAATTCGCTCATGGGTGGTGCCCACCGGCCGAGTCTGAGCTGTCTGGGCTGGTCGATGCCAGGGGGGGGTGTATGGAAAAATTCAAAGCTGTCTGTCTGGCTTACTTGCACGGGTGGCGATCACCACCTTCCCCTTGGAAGTGCTTGCGCCGAAGCTTACGCGCAAATGGCACGATGGGGGTCAGACGGGGGTGACGGATGAGAAAGGCACTGGACGAAATGAGCACGAAAAGAAAGAGAGCGAGAAAAACAGTAGTGATGATGAGTGTTTCCTATGGATCTCGGAAGAGGGGGGTGAGGTTGGGGGGGTTTGCGAACAATGCAAGCTGCCGATCGAGGGCAACACGGTGTTTGTTTGCCCAACTCCTTTGTTGGCCGTTTCGTGACTCTGTTGCGAGTCCTTTGCCGACAGAGGTTGCGGGGGAGGATCCGAATGGAAATGAGATGTCTATTGGGGGGGGTTATTGGCTCTGCTGTGGTCATGAGTTGCGGGCGTGGTTGAAGATTTTCAACAGATGGCAGTACGTATCTGCACGGATGGACAAGGCACCTACCTACCTTACCTTACCTTGTGGTGGTTATAACCCGTTTCCCACGCACTAGAGCGCCCCCTCGTTTGAGAGTTCCCTTTTGGCGTACCTACCCGCAACGGCGCCATCTTCTTTCAGCCTTTCTTCTCTTCAAAATCAATGCGATGCCGGAAGACGCCAGGAGGCGGGGGGTAGGTGGTGGTGGTGGTGGTGAGGTTTGGAGGGGAAGGAGATTGTACAAAGCCAGTTGTGTTTGTACGTCTCCCCCTCGTGGGTCCGTTGCGCTTTCAACCTGGTGTTTTGGGGAGGTAAAGTGTCCCCGATACCTAAGGTGGCGGTGGTTGTGGGCGTGCTTCGGTGAGCTTTCGCCCGGTGTGCGGCGGCGGCCCCGGGGGGGGGGGGGGTGTCTTCTACCTGACAGGTGTGTGGTGTGGTAAAGGTGAGTGAGTTCACCTGACGTCCATCTCGGTCTGTGTGTGGACGTTGGGTGTTGGGTGTGGCTTATCCCGGGTTCACGAATTGGGTAATCCCGTTTCCCTACCCTGGCATCGTGGGCACTTTAGGGTGGTACCTAAGGATGATCACGAAAAAAATAAAGAGGGGAGGGAGAGAAAGATCTGAGATCTAGGTCATTTCCATGGATGGTTTTTCTGCGGATTGTATAACGGGGCCGTTATTCAAAGTGCTGACGATGGGTGATTGGGGACTGGAATGTGGAAACGGGAATTTTTGGTCGGCAGAACCACCGCCGTGGGGAGAGTATAGAGAGGATGGAGTCACCTGGGCCATGGCATCATTCTTTGTGTGTTTCGCTGGGGTGTACGTCTGTAAAAGTGCTACTTGGGGGGGGAAGATGGCAGGGGAGGGTGGTTCAAGGACCACAGTATCGAGTTAACTGTGATAAACAACACTTCGAATCTCGGATGTCTCGAAATTCTGTTTCCCACGTCTTTGACATCGGGTCTCAAGTGTTCAGATTGCACACCCCTCTGTCACCCATCTCCATGGACGATAAGGAGAGGAGCATTTTGGGTTTGTGCGGGTACACATATCTGGGACAGAGGAAAAAGACAAGGGAAGAGGCAGGGGTCTCAGATGACGGAAAGCAAGAGAGAGAGGGACAGATTTCTCACACCCCAAGCTTAAGCGCCACCGCTGCATACCCGTTCCCCACGATTTCGAGTAAGAAAAGAAAAAAGGACCGTTCACCGCCGTTTTTGAGTCACAGATACATACCTACACGCACATCGTATATGTGTGTGAAGCATTGTGAATTGGCAAGGGCGAGCAAAATGGAGTCTATGGATTTTATCGGCGCCGATGTCGTCTTGGGGCGGGAGGGGTGTCCGAGCTGATTAGCGTAGTATGAAAACAGGGAAATTCAACAACATAGATGAGCGAGGATGCGAAGAGTATCCACGTGACGATGCTGTCTGTGGTTTGCGATTTGCCCTTTTCATTCAGATGGGGCTCAAGGGAAGCACGAATAGACGTCTTCTCTTGCTTGTTAGTGGCCCTGCGGGTCGTTCCCTCATTCCTCTCTTATTTGGGGCCGGGGGCCCTGCAGCGGATGAGACCACGGGCTCGGACGTGCATCTTTGGGGAGGGGATTCGTCGAGTGAGGTTTTGGGCGAATAATGTCCCATCACGTGGGTTGAGGTAGTGTGGAAGATTGTAAGTGCGAGGTTGGCGAGCGATGTTGGGTTTCTCCCGCCGGAGGGGGCGATGGCGGGAAAGATGAGCATGGGGTATGGGCTGGAGCATGACGATCATGGCAAGGCGTTTTTTTTTTTGCTTCTCGCAGATCATTCATTGGAGTGGATGAAGGGCAGAGGGTCGGATATGGGACCGCGGTTGGTGGATCGTGACTTTAGCGACCCTGTGGTATTGGGGCCGACTTTCACGCTCACCGACGGCGACGGCGAAGATTGACGGGGGACGGGCAGTGGATGATGATTTGGGGTATGGGAGTTCAGAATATCCAACCTTCGCACCCCTCCCCCCCTTGATAAGCTGAAGCGAGACGGACGACGACGATGGTGATGCTACTGCAGCGAGCATCAAGCCAAGGCCGATTTTGGCCCGTGGACGTGGTCGTGGTCCCCGGTTTCCTCCTTTTCGAATTGGGAGGGACGGCTCTTGACTGGAGGTCTGTCGTCTGCCGGCTGCCGATCGGTCAGAGGTGAGGCTTTCCCGAGGCGGTCCTATGACCAACGTCTGAGGGACGTGAGGGAGCCGACGGGACTGAATGCAGGGCCAGCATGGCGGCGGGCGTATAAGGTAGGTACGGTACGGTAATAGCGGCTGCAGTGGCTGGAATTGATGGCGTACGTCACGTGTGGCTTGGATGGGCCCAGTGGCGGGCCATTGGGATTGTCGACAGTCATTGGGAGCAGAGTAGGTACATGTTCCATTCCTCGGTCAATGTCCATGTCTTGAACCCTTGTTTTCTTTAGTCGAGGTCAAGGGTTGTGTAATCCCTACGCACCACGAGTCTTCCTTGTTGTTGCACTGTTGGTTGGCTTGAACAGTTGGCGGATGGGATAAAGCGGTTAAAGACGGACGCCCAAGAGAGAGATGGTCGAGATGGGTACCGAGGTGCCTGGCAGTGCCTGGGTCTTTGCTGAAAGGAGAAGGGGCAAAGACGGACGCTAAAAAGAGCACAGACAATGGGGCGGCACGGCGGCCCCCGTTTGTGCCCGTCCAGTGTCCACCACCCCGGGCGCCTTTGACGCAGGGGCCACCCCTAAATTCGGGGCCGCGAAAAAGGCAGGAGCGAATCATAGGCGCGCGTTTGGGCTGCGCGGCTACATTCTGGCACTTTGATGACTCCTTTGGGCAAACTCCCTGCTTTTCTCTCTTTGACTGGCGAGTCGCCAACCTCTCACAACCTCTCGTTTCCTTCACTGATGAGTAGAGCGCCAACCTGTCTGGCCATGGGGAAACCCTCCTCCACTAGCAGAGACACCCTTTGCCTGCTTTCGACGACAGCCTCTCGTTGTCGCCGGCCCAGCGACGACCCAGACCAGCACTGCCTCACGGCGAGACTCTTGCTGCCGCCGCCCAACGTGCCGTCGCCGCTATCCATTTCCGTTTTATTGATATCCGCCAATCGTCTATGTGCTATTGGGGGCAGAATTGTGAGGTCTGCATTCAGGCCGTCGGCGTCCTATCAAAATCTCTAATGGTGGGAAAAGCTTGGGGGTCCGTTGTCGACGACGACATGGTGATACTGGAAACGTCCAGAATTCGCAACACCATCGCTCCACCATTTCACAATTGTCGTCCGGAAACCCCCAGTCTGTTACGATCCAGTCACGCTTGCATCGCCTAATTTTTGCAAGCAGACACCCCTCGCAAGTCGCTGCGATGCCGCTCGGGGGCTGTTTGGTTGGCCACCGACCAGTCCGCCTTCGTAGGCGAGGTCGATCGGGTGGCACTGTTTCTTTGGGCACAGGTGAAGCTCGTTCGTTTCGAGGCGCGCAGCAAGACAGTAGTCGAACGTGAAAGCGTTTTTTAAGTTTCTTTCCTTTTCTGTTCTTACTGTCGTCATAGGAGCCCTCCACCGAGTGGCAGGCGTAGGGGTCAGAAGAAGTGGTCCATGCCGCCTTGCCGCGATATCAAGCCAGACCAAAAAAGATTGGGCTTGGATGAGTTTTGGCTCAATATCGGGTGGGAACGACATCGTCATCTTTCGGGCCATCACACGATTCTTCTCTCCTCTTCCTTTCCGTTCTCGTTATTTCGCGTTTCTTTCCAGAGGTCGTCTTTGCCCGATCGACTCGTCCTTGAACCTTTTGTGTGGCCTCTTGCCTACCCGACGAACAATAGAGTGATCATTCCTTGTCTCATACTTTGTCTGTGAAAAGCGGCAACTCCATTGTGTGAACTTGGCCGGCTCAACTCGAAACATCTTCAACCCACGACTTATTTCTACGCCTTTGTGTCCCGTCCCCCTCGAGAAGGGTTTCGGGGTCTCGCTTCTCTCGTTTTGTGCTCCAGACCCATTGACACATACCGCCACCTGACTCTCGACTTACATACGACTTTCGACACGCGCGTCTGACTCTGCGGTAAGAACTCGGTGTTCACCGCGAGCTCTGCAACACCATCAAGCGACGCCCGGCTGAAAGAAGCCAGCCATAACACCACCAACACACAACCCAATACTCAACCATGTCGAGATTACGAAAATGCACAAGAGCCACAGTGCTCTCGATCCTCCTCGCCTCCGCTCACGCCGCCTCTATTCCCTCCGTTTTTGGGCGACAAGACACATGCGCCGCCGAGGGCTTCACCTCCTGCGGCAACGGCCTCCCCGGCAACTTCTGTTGTGAGACAGGCAAGAACTGCATCACTCTGGCTGGAAACACCACTGTCCTCTGCTGTCCCGAAGGAAGTAGCTGCGAAAAAATCAAGACAATCACATGTAATATCAACCTCCAAGATCCTCAGGCATACCCCGATGCGCCCATCAAGACCAAGGCCCTCAAGGGCAAGCTCGGCACCTGCGGCGATGACTGCTGCCCCTTTGGATACAGCTGCAACAGCCTGACGCAGTGCGTATTGGATTCAGACCAGACCAAGGCCCCGGAAGAAGCGTCCACCACGCCTCCAGAGCCAACGTCAACGTCCACTGCCGCTCCGAGCGTGATCCCGACGACCCTCACCCCCAGCACGACGCCCGCAGACAACGACAACAAGGACAACGACACCTTCCCTACCGCCATCGTCATCGGCTCCCTCTGCGGCCTCCTCGTCGGTGTGGGCCTCGGCGTCGCCCTACTCCTCTTCTGCGCCCGCCGCCGTCGCCGGAGCCCGCCCCCGCCCAACGAGAAGAAACGCGGCGGCGGCAGCGGCGCCCCTCGCCCGTCGACCTCGACCTCGTCCTTTGGGAACATCATCTCCGAGCCCATCCCCATCACGGACAACGCCACCGTACGGACGGACTTTATCCTCAAGACCCCTTCCACAACGCACTCATACTCCCGCAGCGGCTCCGGCTCCGTCAAGTCGCCGACGGCTTACAAGGCCAACGGCCACAACCGCCTCTCTTCAACGGCGACGACGCTGGCGCACCACCCCATCGGTCTTGCGCGCAGCGACTCTGCCCCGCGGACGCCTCCAAGTAGAGGACCGGGGGGAGGACTAGGACTTGGGGCAGGGGTTGGGTCAGGCACCGCCGTCCCTCCCATCCGCGGAATGCGTCCCAATTCCGGGTCTAGGCGCTTCCAGCCGCCCAACGTGCCCAACCCGCTCGCGCCGCCGAAGCCGGGTTATCTCCAGCGTGAGCCGAGCAGCGAGAGCATCAACGTCTTTGCGGACCCGCGGACGGTGGGCGGGAGCGGGAGGCCCGGGGCCAAGAGGAACACAACGTTTACGGATATGATGGAGGAGGCGGAGCTGGGCGACGTGAGGAGGGGGAAGCCGTATGTGCCGAATACGCCGCAGATGCCTTCGCAACTGGGTCGATGAGGCTTCTTTCGTCTCTTGGCTTCTTCTTCTTTTCCCCCCCGTCACTAGGGGTTGGGTTAGATATAAGGTGTTGTATTTTTGATGATATTGAGTTTTGTAATGTCGGCATATTGCTCCTTCACTTCTTATTTCCGGTTCCCTCTCCCCTCTTTCTTCTTGTTAGAGAAACACATATCATGCTGGACATGAGTACGGGGAGGCGGGAAGAGTGTGTCTGATGGACATTCGCTTAGAAGACTTTGGGAGATGGTACCTCGCGGCGTGGCAAAAAGGGCGTTTCTATTTCGTTACTATACGGATCTCGGGAGTTTTGCATTATGTACCGGACAGGATTATACCCACGGTCGCTTTACTTGTCTTTCGTCTTTTTCTTCTTCTTTTTTATTTGGGGGGGGGGGGGGGGGGGATATATATAGTCTGTTTGCTTGGAGCTCTTGCCGCGATTGAGCACTTCAGGTAGAGGAAATACATATTAGTGACATAGCATCCAGTGCCTGTTCCATGTTTCCAATAATGCGGTTCTTGAAAGATACATCTAAGAAGTAGAAATGACATGTGACTTGGTCCATCCATGGTGGAGGTCGTTCAAATGTCGTAGTCATTGTCCCAAGAGCGAGGCGTAATCAAGAAGTCGGTGATGAACAACAAGAAGGTGGACTATATTCAGAATCTGATAGCAAATCCATACCAAGCAAGGCTTTGCAAATGACCATTTATTGCAACGTGTAACACGTCCTGCCTCACGTCTACCTCCTCATCTAGGCTCGCACCCTCCTTTCCAATTCACGACTTCCTAACCCAAAGCATAAACACCACCGCAAAAGTTCAAAATACCTATCTACGCACACACATGCACATATCTTACACATTGAATTTAGCAGTTGGATCAAAGGAAAAACTCAGTAAACCATATTGGAAAGCGAAAGACTAAAAGAATTACGAAAAAAATAGAACTAGTAGAAAAAAACGCCTAAAAGTTCGGACAAGTTCACAAGATTAGAGCACATCGCAGGTCTCGAACCCACGGTGTCTCGAATCTGATCACAAGTCGTATGAAAACCCCACCCCCCCAGGGGAATTTTCTGTCGTGTTTAACCACTCGACTACAGTGGCCCAGGGCGTCCCCTGGGAATCGAAAGGAGATGGGGAATTGGTCCTGATAGAGGTTGTACAGGTGCGTGTGTGCGTATGTGTGAGGCGTGTGACCTTTGCGGTGCGCAAGTACCTGCCTGGCTGAGACCAGGAGAGCTAGGAACTTGGCATGGAACTGGCGGGCGTGTACCAAGGGTACCTTATCCTGAAGAGAGTTGGGCGTCGTTGAGGGATGCTTGAAGGAGAGGATCGTGACATGCGCCTGCATTTTCAAAATACATGAGTGAGGCCTTGACAATGACATTCACGTTCTTTGTCGTATTCTGCTTGCATGCATCAGGAGTTTTGAGCCCCGACGGCGGACTACGCAACATTACATCCGCGGTAGCCCTGCCTCGAGAAAAGGCCGAGGAGTTTCGCTCTCTATCTCTCTCTCTCTCCAGCGTAGTTCCAAACACTCTGTGCCGATGCCATCGATAACACACACCTCCGACTGCCTTATGAAGTAAATGTGGTGGTATAAATGTCATACGAAAAATATTACAACCATGAAGATGAAACTGTCCAGTATTGGATATAACAGGATAGAGACCCAAGGGAAGTCCCAATCGCTGCCGACCCATAATGTAGAGGGCTAAAAGTTGCCATTGCAAGTAAGTGATGCTAGAGGGACCTTGCTGCTGTCAATATTTTCTACACCGTCTACTGTAGCTGGGCATCTACTAGAAATGGGAAGCCAAATTAGTCAACGTTGGTATATCCATCACTTCACTGTCCCCCAACGTGTCTTCATCTACTTTTGTTGGATACGGGTACCTCTTGCTTTCACAAGAAGAGAAGATCTCTACCTGCCTTGCATAATGGAGTGAATTCAAAAACGTCCGTGTTTTTCAAAGAGTAGTCACGTTCCCAATAGCTCGTTCATTTACTTGGACACACTCTTGGTGAGAGACTTTACCTCAAGATAAACATTCACACTATGTTTGCCTTGTAAAGAGATGATGAAACTTGTGAGTCTAGCATAATTCACTGAGTGCCTAGGTACAAAGAAAGACGTCAGGTCTCAGAGTTGTATTCAGAGTCCCTAGCCATGAGATAACTAAGCATGGGAACTCCCTGTGGCTATATCTGACATGATCAGCTCAGAAACCTAGGTTGAGGTGTGTAAGGCATAGGCGGTCGCTTCCATGGTCTTACCAACAAAGGTTGTCACACGACGCAGAGAGTTATGGGTAACGTAAGCCCGGTCTGTAGTACCGTACCGCACATTAGTATACAGCTCCGGTCCACATGTAATCTTGACTGATGTCTGTAACATGCTTTTTACAACGGCAGTTATTTATAAGTTTACTCAATTTTTTGTTTCATGTGGCTATTCTGCGAGTGTCTGCCTGCTCCTAGAGTTGCAGCTTGAATTATCATCCTCATCATCGCCCAGTGCCATCACGTTTTCAGCTAACCGCCCCATTCTCGTGAAACCATAGTAAACAACCGAAGTTCCAGTACATTCTCATTGACATGATCGTTTCGCAGCCATTTTCCACACTCGTACCAAGTTACCAGAGTATGGGTGGTAAGGTAAGGTACCTTCCTACTACGTATCTGCCTTTTGGGCCGGTACGTTCCCAATGGCCCAAGCCAAATACGTACCCGCCCTCTTTCACCTCAACACCAAAAGCTCATGACTGGGTAGGCATGGAGACATCCGCCTTTTGCGAAATAGCATCAGCGGACGCCCAGAACGACGTGACCGTCTTCTGTTGGGTCAAAAAGGAGATGCCAGGACGGCCGTAAAACGTGTTGGCGCCGCCCGCAGCGACACTCTTCTTGTTGCCGGTGAAGGAGAACATGGGCAGAGGCACGGGGATGGGCACGTTGATGCCGACCTGGCCGGCCTCAATGTTGCGGCGGAAGGCCTCGGCGGTGGCGCCGGAGCGGGTGAAGATGGCCGTACCGTTGCCGTACTCGTTCTTGTTGATCAGCTGGACGGCGTCGTCGAGCGTGGCGACGTTGAGGCAGACCAGGACGGGGCCAAAGATCTCCTCCGTGTAGCACTTCATCTCCGGTGTCACGTTTGTGATGATGGTGGGCGCAACCCAGTTTCCGTTGGGGTACTTTGCGGGTTTGTACCCGCGGCCGTCTAGGAGGATCGTGGCGCCCTCGTCCTCGGCGCTCTGGATCAGGCTCTCGATGCGCTGCTTGCTGTGGGGGGAGATGACGGGGCCGAGGTCGGCGCCCTCCTCGAAGCCGCCGTCGACCTTGAGCTTCTTGGCCAGCTCGGCCAGCTCGGGGAGCCACTCCTTGGTCTCGCCGACGAGGACGAGGGTGCTGAGGGCCATGCAGCGCTGGCCGGCGGCGCCGAACGCCGCGCCGACGACGCTGTTGAGGAAGTGGTTCTTGTTGCAGTCCGGCAGGACGGCGGCGTGGTTCTTGGCGCCGAGGTTGGCCTGGACGCGCTTGCCGTGGGCGGATCCCTTGTTGAAGATGTACTCGCCGGCCTTGTTGCCGCCGACGAAGCTGACGGCCTTGATGACGGGGTCCTCCAGGATGAAGTCGACCGTCTTGTGGGCGCCGTGGACGACGTTGACGACGCCCTCGGGGAAGCCGGCCTTTTGGACGAGCTCGGCGAGAATCATGGCCGCGCCGGGGTCACGCTCCGAGGGCTTCAGGATGAGGGTGTTGCCGGTGACGGTCGCGATGGGGATGCACCAAAGGGGGATCATGGCGGGGAAGTCTAGACAGTGTCAGTTTCACCGTTTCTCCATCCTTTTGGCAGCAAAGAACCACATCTGGGTTCACTTACTAAAGGGGCAGATGGCAGACACGACGCCCAATGGCTCGCGGTAGCTCCTCGTCTCCATGTCCTTGGCCACCTCCAACACCTCGCCCTTCAAGAGCTCGGGCGCGCCACAGGCCGCCTCGGCAACCTGCAGACCGCGGAGGACGTCGCCCCTGGCGTCGGCAAACGTCTTGCCCTGCTCCAGGGTGATGCTCGCCGCCAGGCGGTCCCAGTTCTCGCGGATGAGGGCGACGAACTTGAACATGATCTGCTGGCGGGCGAGCACGCTCATGGCACGCCACTTGGGGAACGCCTTCTCGGCCGAATCCACGGCGGCCTGCAGCTCCTCGGTGGTCATCTGCGGCACGCGGGTGACGAGGTTGTTGGTGGCCGGGTCGTGGAGGTCGATGAAGTCGGTCGCGGCCGAGGTCACAAACTTGTTATCCAGGAAGAAGGGGGTGTCCTCTGGCTTGGCAATCTTCTCGTGAGTGTTGGGATAGGACTCGGCCGTCGAGGCCAGGGCGGCGTTGAGATGCTTCGCCGTGGCGTGTATCCTCCTCGCCGCGACAGCGGAGGTGGGTGAGCCGGAGGAGGCCATATTGGTGGTCTTTGAGAATAGAAGTGGCGAGCGGGTGAGGGATGCTCCAGAGGTTCGGCTAGCACCGGTGGTAATGCTTCGAGTAAAGGCTCGACGCATTGTGAAAGGAGAGGAAAGGGAGACGAGGGGGAACGAGGAAGAGAAGGAGAGGGTATAGTAGAGTCTATGACAAGAGCCAAAGACGGGGTAACTAGAAACAGGTAGTGCTGCAAACTGTCTACGACACAAAGCTGTCGGTTCCGTCGTCGTCCCAAGCCAATTGCCAGCCACTTCTTTCACAGGAGACACGCGAACTGGACAAAGTCGAGCGACATCGTAGTCCCTTATAAAGTCCCAGGGAATTCGGCAAGCTCCCAGAATGTGGGGAAAGGTTGGGGTGGGGTAAGATAACGCTGCCACTGAATCCCTGCCCAGTTTCCCCCAAGCTCCTCCAGCCGAAGCCGGCCCCAATGCCGCCTTATGCCGAGAGGGACCTGTGCTTGGGGCTTCAAGCGTCAGGCGGGCGGTCTTTGCAGGCGTAAACGGCGTAAACAGCGTATCATCCCATCCGGCGGAGAAGCGGCTGGTGGATCTGAGACCTTCATAGCGGCCATCGGGTGCCACATTTGACCGCGGAGCTGATTACCTTATCATGAGATGATGGGATCGACCCGGACAAGACCACATTTCACTTTAATATTACTAGTCACGACCGTCATGTTTTGATCAAATCCCTTGTTTTTTAGTAGCTAGAATACACCTACGCCACGCTCTCTGTCGGTCCCTCGATGACCACAAAACAGGTATTGAATGAGGGAACTCAACTGGAAAAAGCAGCATCCATGTTTCTCTTCGGTTCCTGATATCACCCATGTGCCATTTTAAAGCACAATACTTTTGGCCGCTGGCCTCTCCCCGGCGACGATATCAAAGAGAAAGCAAACTAATTCATCATTCCGTCGCAAAGAAATTCTCATCTAAGACGAGCTGCGGGTGTTGCGCTTGGTAGCGTCCTTTGCGACGTCGGCGCCAGAGGCAACAGCCTTGGCGGCCTTGTCCTTGACGTCCTTGGCCTTGTCCTTGGCATCAGCCGCGGCCTTCTTGGCAGCCGGAGGAGCACCGCCGGAGCTGGCGATGCCAACAATGACAGCGATGAGAGTGACGAGAAGAGCACCGATACCGCCGGCAACCTCGGGAACGAACTTGACGGCCTGGACGGGGTCCTTCTGGGCAATGGTGATGAAGAGGTCAAGCTTCTCCTTGATGTAGTGAACGGGGTCGTCAAGGAACTTGAGATCAGAGGGAGACTTGGGCTTCTCGGCCTCCTTGGGCTTGTCGGCAAGTTCGGCGAGCTGCTCGACGGGGTGCTTCTCCTTGAAGGTCTCCTCGGCAAGCTTGGCAGCATCCTCAACGGAGTGGCCAATGTAGATGTTGTCAAAGAGGATATCGTTCTGCATGGTCCAGATCTCGAAGCCAATCTGTTCATTCATTCGTTAGCAAGCGAAGAGACATTGATACGTTGTCAGGAAGACTTACAGCGCCCAAGGGCTCGAAGTTGGCGGGGGTCTTGTCCTCGAAGTAGTCGGGGTTCTTGATCTTGCGAGGAGCCCAGACGCCCTTGTAGGCAGGGTTGTCGATGTAGGGAGCGGTCCACTTGCCCTTGTAGTCGGGGTTCTTCTTCAAGGGCTTGGTCCAGGGGCCACAGCCAGAAGCCTCAGTGCACTTGGGGTTGGGAACGGTAGGGGCGACCCAGTCACCATCCTCCTCATCGTCCCAGTCCTCGGGCTTCTGAGCCTCAGGGTCAGGAATGGTCTGAGCCTCATCCTCGAGCCAGTCCTCAGGCTTGGTAGCCTCCTCGTCGACAATCTCGTAAGGGGCGTCCTCATCCCAGTCCTCGGGCTTCTTGGCCTCGGGGTCAGCGATACGGGCCTCATCAATCCAGTCCTCAGGCTTAGTGTCCTTGGCGTCGTCAATCTCCTTCTCAGGGTTGACGGAGGGGGAGAAGTCCTCAAGAAGGGAGCCGGTCTTGACCTGCTCGCCGTTCTGCTGGATGATGAAGGTGTTGTTGGGGTGGACAATGAGAGTGTAGAGCTCGGTGGTCTTGACGATGCGAGCGGTGGGGGGAGAGGTCAGGTGCTTCTCCTCGTAATCACCCGTCTTGGGGTTCTTGTGGTTGAAGATGAAATGGACCTTGTTGGTGTGGCCGCACTTATCGGGACCGAACATGATCACATAGGGAGTGGCGTTAGAGAACTCCTCGGAGTGAAGAGCCTTGTTCTCACGGAGAAGCTTGAGGTAAGCGCCACCGCACTCAAGGCCGTCTGAAGAGAAACAATTGTTAGCACTTTGTCGAGAGGCTGTGCTGTGGGCGCAAGAACCAAAAAAACTTACTCTGAAGCTTGACTTCGTACTGAACAACGAGGGTCTTGCCCTTGTTGTCAATCTTCTTGGGGAACTTGGCCGAGATGGCGTGGTGAGCGGCAGGGTTCTTGACAACAAGACCCTTGTCGCCCTCTATGCCCTTGTAGACAGTAGGCTCCTCAACAGACCACTCGCCAACGTAGGCCCATTCCTCGTCATCCTTGGAGTCCTTCTTGGCGTGAGAAGGGCTCCAGCGGGACTCCCAGTCGTCGGTGAACTGCTCCAAGAAAGGAGCCTTGAGGGTGGTGGGCTATGTGTAAAAAAAAAAAAAAACCGTTAGATAATTGCTTATTCAATGACCGACAGAGCAGGTGCGCAGAGGCTCCAATAGATTGACCCAGCCCGTTCCAGTGTGCAGTGAGCTCGTGCATTCGGCATGAGATCATAGCAAGCAGACGATGAGGGAGCTTCACAAGGAGCAACAAAGGAAGCCATTGGCAAGAAGGGGAAAGTGAGAGCTTACAGTGAAGGTGGACAGCTGGGGAGTGACCGTGGTAGAGGACTCAGCGGCAGTCGAGGTTTTATCCTCACTCAGAACCTTCTGAGCATCGTCGGCGTAGGCACCGCCAGCGAGCAGAGCCGCAGCGGACAACGCAGCAGCGTTGAACTTCATGATAGGCGATAGGTGGTGTCGGTGTCGCAGCTTTAATCGGATTAAGATAGATGAGGGGGGAAGTAGCTTTAAAGCTGTTGGGTTGTGAAAGAAAGATTGTCAATTGAATGACAAAGGAGGAAGGGCTCCCGGCGCGATGAGATGGAGAGGAATGATATTTTCGAGGAGGAATTTCCCAAGGAGAGGGAAAAGGGTTTCGGAAAGAGGAATGGGGCGAGGAAGACGACGGATTTATCAGTCCGTGAGGCAGGCACGCGCAAGCGGGTTGTGCTCAACGTGTCCTTTTTTGCGGTAAGGTCCTCAGCAAACCTCAGCACCCAAAAAAAGGCCAGGTAGGGGAGAGCTCACTAAGAAGTGACCCGTCGGGGTAAGGTTCGGCAAGGCAGAGGCTCACAGCCAATCAAATAGACAGAAAATTGGGGATTTCGGGGAACCAGCAGTGAGAGCATGCGTCTGCACCTAGCTCCAGGGGTCGTCGGGGTAGGCCGCCGCTGCCCACCGCAGCCCGGTGTAGCCAATGCAAAGCCGCTGCGGTACCTTTTTCAGTGGGCTACTTTTGCTGACATGCGGGCTGCGGACTGTGGCTAAGGAAAGTGCGGGGGCCCTTGGCGAGGGAACGGGATCCACTGGTTCTAACAGTGAATGGAAGGAGGGGATATTCATGGTGCTTCGACGAGCTTCCAAACCTCAATTGCTGATCCAGGTTGATGGACTGAGCTCTGCTCGGCCTATATTGTTCTCTTGAGTCACTGGTGGGAGACTCAAGAGACAATAACCATTGTCATACTGCTCTCAGGTATCTGCATTCTACTTTGTTTTGCGATTCAATTGAGGCTAGCACCTGAGGTTGGAGGCTGATCCCGAAATGTCTCGAGATTGACTGCATTGATGCCACGCCCTTGAGCTGCCATTGCTTCCCGTATTATTCATTGCATGATTGCATGCGACTGAGTCCACAGGGAAGCCAGATTAAATCAAAGTGGGTGGGCATTGAGAATGAGCAGACAGCAATGCGAAATGCACAGATATGCCTCGGTCCAGGCCAACGCCTGATTGACATTGGGACACTGCAATCTTGGCTAGGTTTCAGCGGCTCGATTGATCCAAAGACGTCCATTTCGGACAGGCGGGTTGCTGATTTAATGTCGACAGGAGTCAGACTTCGAAAAGACTAATTAAATTGTCCTAATGTCTCACGAAAAGCTTCCCCCTTTCTCATGAGTAAGTACAGAGTCCCCACTCGAGGGGATAAATAGAAACATGGGCGCTTGACTGACGTCGAAAGAGGCTAGGTGTCCTTATTTTTTTGCATCACCTGCAGGACGCCTAACCAGCCTCAACCAGGCCGGACTAGCTGCCGATTCTTCGCCAGTCTGTCTCATCATTTCTCTAGCACAACTGCAAGTGTCCGTCACGTTTGGCAATCCGTGAACTTCGAGACTCGTATTCTCCGCCGTCGCAATGACGGTACCAGAGCCAACTCGGAAGCGCCATTTGTAATTGGGCTGCCGATGGACCCGAGCACCCGAGTTAGAAGAGCCACGAGATGGCACGGACCGACCAATCGCAAGAGCCTCTGTCACTCTCTCGTAACTCTTTGGAGTGAAGGAGCGTTCCGTTCCTTGCGTGCTTGCCATGTGGGGAAGTCGAGAACTGCCACTGGGTCAACTCCCACCTCAGCCTCATATTCGTGTGGCTGGTGGGAAAATTTCCCGACTCTGAGTGACTGAATGGCTTGGACTTCTTGAGTGATAATATCGCATCGTGCGCGGCTTTAGTCCTCGAAAAGCATATTTCTGGTTACAAGCCACGACCAAATTATTCTTCATCGCCATCTATAGGATCTAGCTTGCGCCCAATCGAGGATAATACAGTCTCAGAATCCAACACCCCCGTTCACTGCCCATCTTACCCCGCGAACCTCATCTCAGGAACAGTCCACCATGGCGTCCACAACGGATATTCAGAACCCCGACCAGCTCGTCACCTCAAACAACCCAGACCACCCTGCGAATCTCATCCCATCGCTGTGCGCAAAGTTCTGGACACTAGGCTGGGTCACCGGCACGGGCGGTGGCTGCTCTATCCGAGATGAGTAAGTCTATAAATCTCATCATTGTACTTCCCAAAGGACATTGCTTGCCTGAGGTGAGAATCACACAAGATCTCATTTAATAAGCATCACTTGCTTCCCCATTTTATATATGAGGACCACACACGTTATTAGATACTCCGTCCCCAACTTCACTTCACGCGGTAGACAAACATCAGCAACCATGACTCTCACTTACACACTCTCCCAGCGACCTCGTCTACATCGCCCCCTCGGGCGTCCAAAAGGAACTCATGAAGGCCCAGGACATCTACGTCCTCTCCCTCGCCGCCCAAGAAGCGTCCCTCAAGAACCGCGTCTACCTTCGCTCCCCGCCCACCTACAAGCCCTCCCAGTGCACTCCCCTCTTCCTCGCCGCCTTCACCCGCCGCGGCGCCGGCTGCTGCATCCACACGCACTCCCACTGGGCCGTCCTCGTCACCCTGATCCTCGAGGGCCGCGGAGCCGGCAACGACAAGCTCTTTGAGATCAACAACATCGAGCAGATCAAGGGCTTCGGCAAGGGCTTCCAGAAGCAGGGCAACCTCGGGTACCATGACACCCTGCGGATCCCCGTCATCGAGAACACGGCCCACGAGGAGGACCTGACCGAATTCCTGGAGGAGGCCATGGACAAGTACCCCGACACCTACGCCGTGCTGGTACGGAGACACGGCGTCTACGTTTGGGGGGACAACGTCCACAAGGCCAAGACGCAGTGTGAGAGGTGAGTGAGTTTCGGGAAGAGATTGGATGTCTCTGTCTCCGTTGCAGAAAAAGCGGAAAACACCCCTAACTGCTTTTATATCCTGGGAACATTCCTCCCCCTCCTCCCTTGTTCCTGTCTTTCCTCATTTTGTTTGTCTCGCAAAAAAGCGTGTAGATATGCTAACAATGGCGCTGCGTAGCTTGGATTATCTCTTCCAATTGGCCGTTGAGATGAAACAGTTGGGCATCCCCTGGATCAGCGACATTCCAGTGACTGTTCCTACCAAGTCCTGAAAGAAGATTAGAACTCGAAGAAATCAATCCGATGACGAGGGTCTTGTGACGTCCCCGTTGTGAAAAGCGTAGTAGACGCAGCTGCCTCTTGTGCAAAATCAGACTCGGAGCCATCGAAAGAGGAAAGCGCATTGCGCGCCAGACTAAATTGTTGTCGGAAAAAGTCAGCGAGTTGACTGTCAATAATACTTTGAACAGGCTTTAAGACGGTCATCTGCATCACACAGGAACCCAAAAACTCAAGCGCACACGAGGTATAGGGAAGATATTTTGATGTTGAAGGTTGGCAGACGTTGGTGTCCGCTAGTACATTAACACATATCCTTGTAATCTGCCTATACATCATTGACCAAATATATAGCAATCATCTCCCAAATGGTATATACCCCTTTCCATGAATCCATGCATTCATCCTCTCATCCACCTTTTACGTTCATCATGCAATGGCCATGATGTTTAGAGAAGGAGAGCGCCGATGAGACCAATAACACCGAACGAAGCAGAGCCGACGAGAGCGGGAGCAGCGTTGGGAGTAGACGTTCCGCTGGAGGCAGCCTCGGTACCGGTGGCGGCTGAAGAGCCGGAAGCCCGGGTAGCAGTGCCGGAGGCGGCAGCGGAACCGGTAGCAGTGGCAGCAGTCGCGCTACCACTTGAGCCAGAGCCAGAGCCAGAGCCAGATCCAGAGCCAGCGGTAGCAGCAGGGGTAGAACCGCTGCTCCAGTAGTACTGAGCAATACAGCTCTGGGTGCATTGGGCGTACTTCTCCGTGGCAGCGGCTGATCCGTCGCCCTGGTCACACTTGGCGACACAAGCGGTGGTCTTGTTGACCGCGTCCTCGTTGGGGTTGGGGACCTACGAGCATCACTTGTTAGCCATTGCTTGCTGATTCAGCTCCCGAAACCGCGAGAAGGGTCCAACATACAGAGATACACTTGGCCTGGCAATTCACATCGGTGGCGGGGCAACCCGAGAGGCACTTCTCGATAACAGCTTGCGCGGAGGAGGCAGCGGAAGCGGAGGTGGTGGTGGTGGTAGACTGGGCGGCGGCCAGAACGGCGAGAGCGCCGGTGACGATGATGGAAGTGAAGCGCATCTTGACTGGTGGTTGATTTGTGGTGTTACACGGGTGTATTAAGAATAGTGTAAGTTGTTGATAGTCGAGCACAAATAGCGAATGTAGGCGTTTTGAAACAGGTATCGAGCAACGAGTGTACAGCAGAGGCTAGAGAGGGAGAGGGGAAAGAAGGGAGACCAGGGACAGAGTGGATGGACTGGAGGTGGGTTTAATAGTGTGTGGTGTTCCGAGCAAAAATCCATCTCTGGATCCAACGTCGACCTTTTGCCGCTCGGGGGGACAAGCCAAGACGCGCCCCCCAGGTGCCATGCTATGATTAGTCTTGGTAGTGTGGTCTTTTCCCTGCGCTTCCCACCCACCCCCTTCACCTCTTCAGCTGCAAAGTGTGCGTCCTATCAATGTTCTTCGTGTGCCTATGGGCCGGGAACCCGCTTGTGTCTGCACGCAACTTGCAAGGGCGGATTCCGGGGTGGGTAGACAGGGTGTGAGCTCAGCGAGGACCTGGACAGTTCTCTTACTATACACTAGGTAGTAGTTGAAAGAGGCTACGACCAGGAGAGCAAAGTACATCTGTAATATCTGGTGTAGACGGAACGACAGCAAAGTGTACCAGAAGCCAAGCTGGTCGTGAAGACCTGATTCTCATCCCTGGCGAGAGCAAGTTGAGCCTGTGACTTGTGACTCGAGTCACTCGACTCATAGCCGGTTGCCCCCGTCCCTTGTTGTTGATGTGGGCGGAAGGACTCATACTATGTAGGCCAAACACAAGCGAAAAAAGGGGAGCCCAAAGCAAGCTTGGATGGAGGTCGACGATCGAATTGGATCGCGCCGCGTCTGGGGAAACATTGGGACCTGCGCCATGGACTCAGGTCAGGACGTACGGTACGTACCTACCGTGAGCATCCTTGCGGTTAGGCCACTTTGAGGTAAGGCAAGAAGGAGGCACGAGGAGAGAGCGGGCAGACATTGCACCACTTCCTTCTTCCCTAGTTCCCTCCCATCCGCTTCGAAAGCGAAAGGAAGAGCGTGAAAATACCCCCCGGTCAAAAACGCGGTGCAGCACTGCAGACCATGCCTGCCAAAGTGGGCCCGGACCAACTGTTTAATCCTAATTTTAAAATTGCATTTCAACTTTTTCCTCTCCCTCTTCCAGAATTCCCTACGCTTTCTCCGAGTCTCTTCTCATTGTTTCCAGCGGAAGCCACCTGTCAGCTGTCCCGTCCCTTGCAATGTCTCCATCGACAGGACTTGCCGGGCCCATGGCCAGCGAGGTATTACATCAGTGTGGAGGGCCGTTGGTCTGGTGGGCCAAGGCTTGTTCGTATTCCCCTCTGCATTTCGTCGGGGCCCTCAATCGAACCTCGCGAGTCGCCACGGCTCTAGCCTCTGTCCACCACCACCACGCGGACACAGGGCCCCTTTTGACCCTTTGTGTTTGGTATTCGAGGCATTGACGCCCAAATTTGAGGCTTGTATCCGTACGGGACGCTATCGATGCAACCACGGCAATATGGCTGCAGAGGCTTGCTTGGGCCTGTGAGGCAGAAAGTAAAAACGTTCAGACGATGTTGACAGCCAACCAGCTAGAAAACATCAGCAGAGGCAAAGAAAACAACAGACGGCTCCAACGACCAGCGTGACATGACCCGGGCGCGTCTCCTCAAGTGATGCAGTGTTTCCTCACAAATGCCACCCTGCCATTGGCCGAGGGCACATGCCCTTGTCTCAGGGCCCAGGCGACCAGCGCTGTCGACCTGTCGACCAGACAAAGCGCTGGAGCGCCACTCTCTATACCGCTGCGCAAGCGCTCCATCGGGTACCTGAAAAAGTTGAGATGCGCCGCCGGCTAGCACCTGAGTGGCCTTTCCAAGGCTCCAAGATGAACACTGAATCAGTCGGAGCCTGAGCGAATCTCAACCTGCCGCGAAGTATTTTCTTTGCTGCCATCTCGACGGTGTGACGAACTACGAAGATGAGCAGTCTTTGCTTTTCGTCGGCCTAGGAGCGACAACGGTGAAGGGCCATGAAGATCCATCAGCCCACTGAGAATTTCCCCCATGCGACCAAGATTCATTCTAAAGCACCTCCTAATTAGTGATGGCTCTTACAGGACGGGACGAATATCCGTTCAGACGAGTTAATGTTCGCCCAACTTCATTTGGGTCTACTCTATTCCCGTCTGATAGCTGATCATCGTCATATGCCGTTACCCGTCAGGCCAACCACTTACACAGCATGTGTGTGAGGGATGAGAGGCATACACACCATGTATTCCCCAATGCCGTCGCCGGCTGCGGCGAGATTGAAGACAACTAGCAAATCCAGAAATACATTTCGCCTCATTGGATTTCGTATGAAGTGCATTCTGCATGAATACGAGATGCCCAGCAATTACATAACTCACCAATCGATCTCCGATCACGTCCCACGGACAGTGCCACTCGACACCTCCCAAGTTCCCACCACACCTATGCCGTGCCGTAGAGCCGTTGGACTTGACTTACGGGCCATGGCCCGCCCAGAAGGAAGCGCCGTTAGGCCTCGGCGTGTGGCGATACACCTCTTCGATTTTCCTTGCTCACGTTTGCAGTAGGAAGTCGGATAACTGGTAACGAATGAGACATCGCCACAGCTTCCGTCGTATTGGGTCGTGTGCACTGTCTGTTACGGGTTGTCTCGTGTATCCGGAGCTTCGAATTGATGTAACCACATCGGCGTCCTCGAGGGCAATGTATGTTGGTAGTCAGTCTCACAAAACCAAATACCGCGGCCTGTTCGTTTTTGGCTCCCTGTTGCTCAACCCCAGAGAACGGAAATTTCACAACGTCATGCCGTCTTCCCCCGTCCGAACACTGGGCCGTTCCGGTCCTGTTCTAAACTTCCCCCTGGCGCCCAAATTCAATGCGCCCCTGGAGAACGTGGCAGAGGAAATGCGCATCCCTGTCCTACTTTCGCGGCATGTCATTGGATGCTTACGGATACCTTTCCCGCTGTCCAGGTTATACCTACTCCTGGAACGGCGCTCCTCGAAATAAGCTCCAAAGGTTGTCTGTTGGGACGAACTTCTCGAGCTGGGGTAAGGCTCCGAGATGCGCCAGTCAATAGAACTAGATTCCTCATCGCGGCCTGGCCGTTGCTCTTGGAATGCCACGCAATGAATGAACAAAGAAATGACTGCTCCCCAGGCTTGCAACGGGTTGACCGCTAGATTGAGGCTCCTCAGCAATACAGCTCGTACGTCGCAGCCTGGATCAAACATACGAGTGCCGGAGGTCAAGACCAATGTCCATGTGATGATGTTTCTTCTTTCACCGAGACCGCTTAGGCGTTTCGCCCGAACAAACCCACGACTTTTAGTCGCCTGACTACCTTACTTAGAGCTCGTCTCGCTGCCTAATTTCTTCATGCGCCCCTTGCTTCAGCTCGTCACCGAGCACATGGTCAACAATCACCTCACCGTCCAGAGGCTCACCCCCGTCTGTGTCTGTTGTCGTCTCTTCGCCGATCTCTGCCGGCATCTCCTCCACAATCTTACCCACCTTCTCAACCAGCGACTCGGGATCTCCACCGACCGCCGATCGCTGCGGCTCCCGTCCGACTTCAATGGTAGGCAACGACTCGTCCGGCAAACCCTCGACATCAATCTTGCCCTCGTTGACCACGACAGCCTCCGATGAGCTTCCGGACCCGGCGTACTTGATGACCGCTCCACCACCGCCAACGGTGAGGTTATAAATCAGACGCAATGGCAGCCACACCAGCCACCACATCGGCCCGTACAGTAACCTCCGAAACAGCAGCCACGCTCCCGTCGCCATGAGCATGTAGAGCGCCGTCTGGAGATACCACGTATCGCTCTTCGTCGACCGGAGCAGCGTACCCAACAGATCCTTGGAACTCGCCAGCATCGTGTCGAGCGAACCGTACGAGTCGTCGAGCTGCGCCAGCGCTGCGGAGGACTCCGTCAGCGTCTGGTGCGCAAACTCGCTGCGGGCCAGCTCTGCAGCGATGAGGTCGTGCGTGCGTCGCAGCGCGCTGGTGACATTGCCGCTGGCGCCGACCGTCTGTTTGTCCTCCTCTGTCAGGGAGCTCGTGTTATTCGTCTGGTGGACCTGTCGGTGGCGGACGACGTCGGGCTTTTGCGCGCTGAGGGATGGGGAGGACACTTCGGAGACGGGCTGCGAGTAGGATTGGATGAGTAGTTCGCGTTCGAGGCGCTGCGCTTGAGAGAGGTTACGCCTCGCTGTGAGTTGCGCCTTGCGGAAAGTGACCCGTGAACTGTGGCATGCGTGTTAGTGACTGACGTCCCGCTAAATTCCTGACCTACTGCGTGAACCAAGGAAGAGCTATGAATCTTACCTCTTGATTTCCTGCTTCAGCCTCTCCACGCCATCCTTGAGACGGGTCTTCGTGTGTTCCACCTCGCTTCCCGGCCTGCCATCCCTAAGGTCCTCGACCTCCTCCCCAAGGAGCTCCAGCTCATCCTCCTCTTCCCGGAGGATCTGGCTGATCTCTGAGCTTAGCTCTGCGCTGACGCTGTTCTCTTCATCCGTGCCGCCGAGCGGAACTGAACCCGGCTGGAATTCGATGTTTTGGAGCCTGTCGATGAGCTCCTTGAGCTGGGTCGTGGTCTCTTGCAGGGCCGTCAGGCGCTCCTGCAAGCCTTCGAAGGACATGGCTTTTCTCTTTTCCACTTTTCCGATCTGGCTCGCTGATTTGAGAGGATGTGGTGTACACCGCGAACCTTTCTTTTACAGCGAATGCAGTGCGAGGCGCTCGGAGAGTGGTGTTGTATCTCAAATTGATGTACCGCACGCAGGGGAGTAAAGCTGGCTTTTGAGGTGACGAGATGTGTGGCAGTTGATGGGATCGAACCCCGCTATACCGATATGCAATCTGCGCGCCACACGATCACCTAGCCCAGGGGCGGAAAGCCACATGCGGCGCAACATCCAAGCTCCCGTTCTCCCGACATGAGCCACGCGACCCAAATTTTTGGCGACAGCTTCAAGCGCATGCTTCCCGTTTGCCGAACCGATTCAAGTTGAACCACCTCACGTTCGTCCAGACCGCCACCACCACCACATCCCCCTAGTCCACCCTGAAATCCGCCACCAACTACACTTCCCGACCCTCTCTTTCTACCAGAATTGTCCGCATCACAAGACACATTGAGCCGCGAAAATGATCACCAAATTTATGACCGAGATCACGACAAAGTTCAACCCCTTCTCCCCGGCAGCCAAGTCCGCGCGCCTCTTCCTGTCGAACATTCCGCCCACGGCGCGATCGACCGGCACGACGATAAAGACGATCCTGCTTCCCCGGACGTCGACGGAACCTGCCTCGCTCTATGTCAAGTTCAGTACGTTTTGCCCTCGTCCATGTCATTCCACCAAAATGTAGCTCCTTAAGCTAACCCATTTTGCAGAGGATGGCAAGGAGATCACCATTGACTGCGAGAAGATGGGCGTCAAGAACATGATTGAGGAGGTGGATAGACACTCCCGCGGTCTGCAGAAGGCAGCCGACTTGACCGACTAAACGAACGAAAAGAGAGGACAAGAGGGGGGGAGCATCATTGTATTATTATGGCATTCCTGTTTATGGTATACCGGCGTTTATATGGAATGGGCACGAACGGATATCCCTAGGAGCCCTCTATTGGCTACATTTGGCGGCTCAATGTGTAGCGTGTGTAGAAGACCAGACGAGTGATGCAGACGCTGTCAAGCTATTGTATACAAAGACGTTGAGAACGAAACCAGCTCTACAACATTTAAGTAACAAACTGCTCACAACCTGGGGCACGGCATCAATGTCGCCGATACAATCATTTACGGTACTTTAACTTTTTTGGTATTCTAGTTGATGCCTTTCGGCCATCGAGCTTCGACTACGTTTTCGACCACATCTACTAACAAAGCGACACAAAATCGTCCGAGCTTCCTCTGGCTTAAAACATCCGCCGGCACTACCAATTCAAGAAAACACAAGAGCGAAGAATCCCTTATGCGGAGGCACCGCTGATGAAGAACCACTTGTCGATGGAGGCGTCGATCTTCTCGGCGGGGAGTTCCTGGTGAGCGGGCAGGGGGGGGAGCTGACCGGCGCTGATGAGGGCGGGGGACTGGCTGACGGTGGTGTTGCCGCTATAGACATAATTTTTTAGCAATTGATCAGGAAAGGTGGCTTGCTTGCCAATATATCGCGTCATAACTTACGTGGAGACGCTGCCGGCCTGGGTCTTGCCGGTGATAAGTCTCTCCCAAGCCTCGGCGCACTCACGGACGACGTCCATGGCGTAGCTGCGGCATTTGTTAGCTGAAATGTTACAACGAGTCTCGCGATTGCCAACTTACCTCTTGTTCTTGCACTCGCCGGTGAAGGCGAACTGGTTCTCAGGCTTTCCGTCGGGGATCTTGTAGATGCGGAACCACTCGTTGGTGGCACGGAGAAGGCCGGGGAGGTGGCGCTCGACATCCTCGACGTCATTGAGCTTGGGAGCGAGCGGGTCGTTCACGTCGATAACGATGACCTTCCAGTCGGTCTCCTCCTCGTCGAGCAGGGCCATGACACCGAGGACCTTGACCTGCTTAACCTGACCGGTGTAGCCAACAAGCTCACCGATCTCGCAGACATCGAGCGGGTCGTTGTCGCCCTTGGCCTTGGTCTCGGGGTGAATGGCGTTGGGGTCCTCCCAGGTCTGGAGCAAAGCGTTAGATGGGTTTTCTCGGCCACAGCGCTCTATCTTTCAGGGGCTTTGTCTTCGTACCTGGGGGAAGGCACCGTAGTTCCAGAGGTAGCCCTTGTGGGGGAAGCAGTTGCGGACATAGCGGAGCTTGCCCTTCTTGATGTCCTGCTTGATGGGGTTGAGGAGCTCCTCCTTGGAGATCTGCGGTTGAAATGTCGGTCAGCGCCACTCGTCCGTTTTGTTTATGCTCGTGCCAGCACCAGAATGGCGATCACGAGACACCGGACGAAAGGATGAGAATGCTTACCTCGAGCTTGGCGTTGGTCCAGCGGGGGATCTCAACAACCATGTTCAAGATGGTCTGCTCCTGGTTGGCGTACAGAGGAATGTCGTGGAAGGGGGAGACGGGGAGACCATCCTTCTCGATGTAGACACGGTGCTCCAAGGTGTTGGGAGCACCAACCTTGCGGAGGGAGTAGGGGGAAGCCATTGCGGGCGATTGGTGATGGAAACTTGGGTCAGAGTCCTTGGAGATGGTAGAGAAGTGACGGGCAAGCTGCGCGGTGCGTTGGGAGGGAATTTTGGATTTAATACCGGGGGCGCCAGCAGTTTGTGACGGGCGAGAAGGGGTGCCGTTGGCGGATGATGCAAGGAGGGATGGAGGGGGAGGGGTAGGAGACCCGGACGTTAGCTTGGTGTGTGCCGCCAGGGTTGCAGAGTGATTGGCCCGGGACGGGGCCTGAATCGGGGGTCGACGAGTGAGGGTAGAAACGGGGCTGGTTCGGGCGTAAGGCACGCGAAAACTGAGTGCGCGGCGGCCAGTACCAGTGCAGGCGGTGGAAGGCGGAGGCAGTACAGATACGGGGGTGAATGAGCTGATTGAGCTGACAGTTGTCTTGTGGAGGGACGGGAGCTGCAGCTTAATGCCTCGTAGCAGCGGCATGTGTGTGTACACAAAGTGACCTTGGGCCGGGCCGGAGGGTAATCGGTCAAAGGAGAGTAGAAGAAGGAGATCAAAGGGAGATTGATTGTGTGTGGCGTTTAAGGTTATATCACACAACAGAGAACTCTTCAGCAATCGCGGTAAGACTATTTCGGTCTCATCCGAGGTTCAATGGCAAAGAGGGTGGTGAGTGTTGCGCAAGACGCTAAGAGTTGTAGCTATGTGCCGGATTGCGGCTGTTCGAACAGAATGGGTCTTTCTGAGCTCCGATGTTTGAGGTACTCGCGGCTATCGGGGCTGCAGAGGCTAGGTACCTTAGGTAAGGTATCCGTAAGGTAGTTATGGATACTGCTGGTCAAGACGGGGCAAGGAAGAAACCGGGAGAAGCGTTCAGTCTGTTTTGTCGCGACAGCAACCTGCCCACAGCGCAACGATCAGAAAAATTTCTTTACTACCTACCTTAGCCTCACCGTGGCTGGGGCCGGCCAAAATACCCCTGCAACTTTGCCCCTCAGTTACCCCTCCATGGCTGGATCAGTCCTCAGTGGTCTCTATCAGATGTCTCTCAACCCATGGAGATGGCATAAATCCGTCAGGTACGGCTACTTGACATGGTCAAGGTTTCCAGTGAGTGACTTTTTGAGTTGATCATGATGTCAACCTCCCAGGATGTGTCTACTGTTGACGCTATCCAGAATACTACAGAGTCAAGTGTCTTCTGACCAGAGTATGGCAACCCGTGCCAATAGATTTTTCCTTACAAAGGCAACACCCAAAAGATTCGGCTGTACTGTTTGACCTTGGTAGCGGTTGCGCGGGAACTTCAATACCTCGGCTTTACAACTTGATATGTCGAGGAGCCTAACAGCAAGTTTAGATGGAAATATGCTCGAGAGCTCTTGCAGTGCCATTTAGAAAAGTCAACACAATTTAATCTCATCTAGCTTGTGTTCGAATATGGTACGCAAGGGACTCGCCGAGTTGATTCTATTTTAAGCTGCAGGTAACATTTAGAAAAACCATTGCAGTGCCGAGGGATCGATTCGGTTAAATGACGCCAAGTTGAAGAGTCAAGTCAGTTACAGTGTACCAGCAACCGCTTTAGTAACTCGCGCAAAAATGCTTAAAGCATCAATTTACCCTCGCATAGCTATTGTTGCTGTATTATCTCGTTTGTCATCCCGTGACAGGTAGAAAAGATAATTCCGTGGCATTCAAAGGTGGTAAGGTAGGTAGGTATTTTGCACTCGTAGACACTGATTGTAATCGCTCGAGCGCCACACCCCGATAGATACTTATCGATAAGTCGTCGAGATACTTTTCTCCGTTATGCACTCTAGCCCGTCAGGGCATCGCCGAAGAGTCAACCATCGGATTGCGCCGAACACTCCCATTTCTTTTGTCGAAGGCCATGTAGCTTGACTTTCCCCCTTGGCCATGTCACTTCGCACACTGATCAAGACTATGGGCTCAGAAATCAAGAAAGTACCCATCCCCCGCCGAGGGGCTGACTATAGGGGCAAGCTTGTTCTTGCGCCGATGGTCCGCTCTGGCGAACTTCCTTCCCGCCTCCTGGCCTTGCACTATGGCGCAGACCTGGTATGGGGTAAGTCACAAAAGGCAGAACGTTGACGGATTCCACTGACAAGTCCAACAGGCCCCGAAACCGTCGATAAAGCCATGATCGGCACAACGCGCAGAGTGAACCCCGTTACCAACACAATCGATTGGACCAAGATCCCCTCGTTCGGTCATAAGAACCCTCCAAAGCACATGCCCGAGGCCATGATCTTTAGCACACATCCGGAGAAGGAGGCGGGAAAGCTCATCTTTCAAATCGGAACGGCAGATCCGGACTTGGCAGTGCAGGCGGCCAGACTAGTAGCAGGTGATGTTGCCGGCATCGACGTCAATGCAGGCTGCCCAAAGCCGTTCAGCCTCAGCGGTGGGATGGGCGCGGCTCTTTTGAAGACCCCGGACAAGCTTTGCGCGATTCTGGAGGCTCTGGTGGCGAACATTATGCCAGAATTCGAGATTGGCATTAGCGTCAAGATCCGCCTCTTGGATACGCCGGAGCAGACTGAGGCCCTTGTGCGCAAGCTCTGCGCCACGGGCATCACCGGCCTCACGATTCACTGCCGAACGACTCCCATGCGTCCGAGAGAGCGCGCCATCCGCGAGCAGCTTCGTATGGTCGCGGAAGTGTGCCATGAAGCGGGCGTCGCCTGCATCATGAACGGTGACGTTGAGAGCCGAGACCAAGCGGTTGACCTGATCAAAGAGTACGGAGTTGACGGTGCGATGATTGCCACTGCTGCTGAGACGAACTCTAGCTGCTTCAGGACAGCAGCAGACGGAGGCTTGGCTCAGTGGGAGGAGGTAGCGGCGGCATACGTCAAGTACGCGCTGGAAGTCGACAACAAGTACGGCAACACAAAATATTTGCTTTGCCAGATCGTCCCGGGCAAGAGTGCGACATATCAGAAGATGAATCAGTGCAAAAGTTACACTCAAATCTGCCGCGCCCTCGGGCTCGACGAACTCATCGAGCTTGCCCAGCAGACTGACCTGAACAAGGGCGTCGATCCGGAAAAGGGGCCGGGGAAGGGCGGCAAGAAGCCCAATTCAACCGCCATGGCGGCTGGAGGTATGATGAGCGAAAGCCGGGCTATTCAGGGACCTAAAAACAAGTCTCAAAGGGGTGTCAACATTCCCAAGGCAACGCAGCCAACGCGGCCGTCTCCTGCTGCTTTGCAAACCTGACACACACTACACAGCACTCCCGGCCTGGATTGATTTGCATAGTTGGGCGTTTGGGGTCATTGAAACAAAGCATAGCGACACCCTGGGTACTTCAAAAAGAGGCCAGAATGATGGGAAGGGGGGGATATAGAACTCAAATAAGACTTTTGTACACGTAGCAGTGAATACCTACTGCATATGAGTGGCTTAGCTCATTAGCTCACAGACAGGCATCAAGCTGATGAAATGTATCAATTACAAAAGGAACCGATGGTAGCGACTCTGCTCGCTTCTATGGTACAGTTCCGCGCTTCCTTTATTTGCCCTTCTTTACCCAGTCCTCGACGGTTTCCCGGGCATCCGTGACCTTCTCATCAACATATCTTACACCAATCTCACTGTGGAGCCTCGCCATTCTCCAGCTGTTCTCGATGCTCTCGCGAAGTTTGAGGTGCCCCTGAGCAACCACAGGGAAGCGCTGCTCGTACTTCCAAGTGAGGTTGGAGACGTTGCCCATGGTGATGGGCAGAACGGTCCATCCAGCAGTGATACCGAAAGCCAGGGGAGCCGTGGCGCGCAGGATGATGCTGCGGTTGCGGGTGACGATGCTGCCGGCCATGGCGGCAACCAGGACGTAGATGGCGCCGGGCATCAGCTTCTCGCCGCTCTCGCGGGGAGGAGCGAGGGATGCGATCGTGCCCGTGAAGGACTGCTCGAGGTTGAAGGCCTTGTCCATCGTCCTGTTGACGGCATCCTCGGCGCCGACTGCGTACTGGTAGAGAGCGAGGCGCGCCTTGCCGATCTGGACAGCGAGACGGTCGGTAGGGGTAGGTCCTCGCGACTTGGGTTCTTCGGCCTGAGGAGGCTGCTCGGCCCGGGGGATCGGAGGAGGGAGAGTCCCGCTCGTCGCGGGGAGCTCCAAGTCGTCATAAATGGGCTTCTTGGACTGCAAAATTGTCAGTAGTGCCGATTTAGTAGTGCTCCGCGTCGGCTGCGGACGTACCTGGCTGCTCTCGGGAGCTTCAGCGTAGGCAGTTCGTGGTGCCAGGGCGAATCCTCCCAGCATAACCGTCGCTGCTAACGGCGCGGCGCGCTATGGGTCTCATATTAGCTGTTGCTTAGACTAATAATCGATTGGCAAGAGGGAATTACCCGTTGTAGCAACACTCTAGCAGCCATGGTCCGCTCAATTGGTCGATTGAGGGAATTGGATCTTGATCTCGCGAGAATTATTTGGATGTCACGGAATGATGCTTGTGCTTGCAAGCACCTAACGCCAGGCCCACGCTGCGGCTATTTCCGGAGCTCGGGAATTCGATTATGCACTGCACACCTAAACACCCTTGCACAAAAAATCTCCCACCGTCAGTCCGGCTGCCATCCCGGCTACGGGCTATGCATTGGTTATCTCATTCCCATTAATACTCCCTACGTATTTTCCCATGGTCAAGGCCCTTGGTCGCATTTACGACACCCTCCTTTTTTCTTGCTGTATGTTTTACTAGAAATTTCGTCCCGACTTGTAGTTATGGTCGCACCGTCGACGAATTCTTCACAATGATCAAGTCTTCGAGCCGCGGCCTTTGGGTCTGCACACAATGCGTTCGGCAAGCTTCCCGAGGCCAGCAGCGCCGGTGGATAACCGCAGTGTCCGGCGCCGCTCCCTCAAGCATCACGGCCGACCACTCACTTCCGGGACGAAATACCGACGATGCAATCCTGCGCGAGCTTTTCGACTCCCCCGATCGAGTGTCCAAAGCCTTCAAGGCGGCCGGGCCCAGTGTTGGCCTCTTTAAGAACCGATATCTTACAAACCCGAATGGCTTCTACGTATTTGCCCGCAAGAGCTTGGACAAAGCGCAGAAGATTGTCCATAGAGTCCTACATGCGTCGAGTTTGTCCGAATATCAGGCTGTCGTCAAGGACCTCGACCGCCTTAGTGACCTCCTCTGTCGAGTTCTCGATCTTTCCGACTTTGTCAGAATGACACATCCAGACCCCAGATTTCAACAAGCAGCGGCCGGGGCTTGGTCGCTGGTGTATCAGTATATGAACCAGTTGAACACCATGACCGGGCTGAGCGACCAGTTGGTCAAGGCTATGGAACAGCCCGAGGTAGTGGCGGCATGGTCAGAGGAAGAGAGGACGGTTGCAGAGATTCTCAAGCTGGACTTTACCAAGTCGGCCGTCGACTTGCCGCAGCAGGCACGAGACCGCTTTGTCGACCTTTCCCAGCAAATAAGTGAGGTTGGGTCCATGTTCGTCTCAGACATGCAGCCCGCGAAGAGAGAAGTCGTGCTTCCGTCATCGAGCTTTTACGGTTTATACCCCGGGATCGCTCGAGCGCTCACGATGAGGGGCAAGTTGCGCCTCCCCACCACCGGTCCTGAAGCTCAGGCCGCGCTCCGGAGCGTCAAGGACGAGGGAACGCGGAAGGAGGTATACACCGCCATGCGCACCGCGTCGAAGCAGACAGTTGGTCTGCTGGAGACGATGCTCAAGCTCCGCTCTGAGCTGGCGAACCTTGCGGGGTTCTCGAGCTATGCCCACCTTTCCTTGAAAGACCGAATGATGGCAAAGTCCCCCAGCGCTGTGTTGCAGTTCCTCCACGCGCTGCAAAAGTATAATTCCCCTATTGTTCGGGAGGAAATGTCAGACCTCCTGAAGTTGAAGCAGACTCGACTAGACAGCACTGCTACGCAAGTCCAACCCTGGGACAAGGATCTTCTGATGGACGGCGTGCGGTCCGAGATGAGGCTGCCAGTCCGTCATCCTGATCATCTCCCCTCCTTTTTCTCGATCGGTACCGTCATGCAGGGCATGTCGAGACTGTTCACTCGTCTTTATGGTATTCAGTTTAGACCGAAAGAGTCCCAGCCGGGCGAGACGTGGCACGAGGATGTGCGGCGGCTGGATGTCGTGACAGACACGGGCGATCTGATTGCCGTCCTCTACTGCGACCTATTTTACAGAGAGGACAAGTCGCCCAACCCTGCTCATTTCACAGTGCGCTGTTCTCGGGCCATCGCTCCATATGAGGTACAAGAGGCCGCGGAAGACCTGCACAACGCCACGTCCGACATGCCCAAGTTTGAGAGACCTGAGCAAGCCGCGAACGATGGCATGGAGAGTTTGCAACAGGATGGCGTCCTGATGCAGCTGCCCACCATTGCCTTGGTCTGCGATTTCCCGAAACACGATGCGAGCAGCTCTGCCCCGGCGCTTCTGTCATACTACCAAGTCGAGACCTTGTTCCACGAAATGGGCCACGCCATCCACTCTATCCTCGCTCGCACAAAGCTCCAGAACGTGTCGGGCACGAGATGTGCTACTGACTTTGCCGAGCTCCCGTCCACGCTGATGGAGCACTTCGCCGCAGATCCATCAGTGCTGGGCCTGTTCGCGCGCCACTGGAAGACGGACGAGCCTCTGCCGTACCAGATGGTCGCCGAGCGGATCCGCCTAGCGAAGCGCTTCGAGGGCATCGACACCGAGAATCAGATCCTTCTCTCCCTGCTCGACCAGTCCTACCACTCCCCCGAGGTCGCCGACCTGTCCTTCGATTCCACGCAGGTCTACCACAACCTGCAGAAGCAGTTTTCTCAGGGCGGCGCAGATCCCGCCGGCACGTGCTGGCAGGGCTTCTTCGGCCATCTGCACGGGTATGGAAGCACCTACTACAGCTACGTCTTCGACCGCGTTCTCGCCGAGCGGGTCTGGCGAGTGGTGTTCTCTGCCGGCGCCGACGGCAAGGCGCTCAATCGAGCCAACGGCGAACGACTCAAGGAGAATTTGTTGAAGTGGGGTGGTAGCCGTGACCCATGGCAGTGTCTGGCGGACACCCTGCAGGACGATCGTCTTGCCAAGGGTGACGACAAGGCCATGGCTTTGGTTGGCAGCTGGGGTATCAAGGATGACCATGCCTGAATAACGTGTATTTGTCGATGTATATTAGATGTACTGGAAGTCCGCATCGCACGAGACTAGAATTGTATAAGAATAGACACGAATCAAAGACTACCTAGGCCAAGGTATGGCACTTTTCTAGCATTGACGCCGTGATAACCCTCAATTCACTTATTGGAGGTTCATCCTTGTCAACCAGCTCTGCCAATTTGGGAAAGAAGCGCACTGAAGACTCTGAGTTGTACTGAGCCGCATCTTCCATCTCAATTCACGTCTTCTTACCCTTCCCCTATTTCGTCACCTCAGGCCCGTCCATTCTCTGATCTTGCCCCATAGTCACCATACGTATCCCATTATTAGGTTGTTGTACACCAAGTTGTTCGATATCTCTTCTCCGCCCAGTCCAATGAAGTGACACGCGGAGGGTCGCCATCCTATGGTTCCAATCACGTTTTGCGCCACGGCGAATACCCCATACTTGCCCCTCCTCACCCAATCGCGCGATATGATTCTTCTACGTCTACATCATAAGCAACATGCCTAGGTAACAGCTCTTTACTCGAGAAGAAATACAAGTAAGCCCATTGACTTCCTTCTAGAAGCCATCATGAATTTCCATCCAATTTTGCGACGTTTCCAGTGCCGATCTCACGACATACCTTCCTCCGCCTGATCCCCCGTCGTATATAAAGCCCCTTGCCCGCACCTCTTCTGGCAAACGTCCACAATACAAGCAGACCACTATATTTCAGGTGATGAGAGAGACCAAATCCCTGGAAAGCAGAGGTAAGAAGTAAACAGGCATGAGAGACTCACGTTTTTATGCCCTGCAGCAGTCACACTCGACTCGTCTGGGCAAAAGACCACAACGACCGGCGCTCCTGGCGCAGTAAACATACTCCGACCCAAGATAGACCCTGGCCATCCATCTACTCGAGATCAACAAAATACGCTACTTTCCAAAGGCCCAATACGCTCTATCAGTGCCGGGCAGGTGAGAAACCGAAGTGGGCAGCGGAAGCCCGAAAAGGTAAGGTCCGCGGCCTAAAATCCACGAACACAAGGCAACCGTAAGACGTAGCCGCAGGCGCCAAGGCGCCGGGTTGCCAAGCCGAGACGTAGCTGACGGACACTCTGTGGAAGACCCTCGCGGACACTACGGCGCGGGCTGGGGACACATCAGCTGCTGTTGAGCCCGTTGGTCATCGAGGAGGAAGCCACTGCGGGGTCGGACGTGAGCATGATTCGATTCTGATAGGGCTGGCGTGAGGTTGTCGTCTGATGTGATGGGATTCACGTAGGTACCAGACGCCCAGCCGCAAAGTAGATAGAGTGCAAGGGAGTATGTAGGCCACGGGCAGGCAGCGGCAGGCCGGCCGGTTCCTTCGGCGGAGCAAGAACCTGGGAGAAACCTGGGAGGTACAGGATGTGAAGGGACGAGAGCTGTCAGGGTGGGTGCATGGGGAAATGGGAGATGACAGCTCGCATGAACCCCTCCAGATATGGTGCCATGTTCTCACGATCATTATCCTGGCCCGCCGTAAGCCTAGGCTCGTGGAGCTTAATTGACTGGGGACTGACCAGAAGCAGGAGGTCAGCAATGAAATTTCCATCTATTGACATGTGTCTGCCTGATGTGGTAAATCTCATCCCAAAAAGCTCAGTGATGGTGGAAAAAACAAAAACAAAATTGAGATCTAAGTACCCCTGCTTTGCAACAGATGGTACTTACTGACCGTCCCCCTGAGCTCCTGAAAATGCCATAACAACCGTACCGCCGCCACACTCCCCAACACCTGCTGGATAAGTTGGAAGAGAGAAAGTGATGATTTCATGTCTGCGTCTTTCTTTGCACGCCTGATGTCCTTCAGGCTCTGGATTATGTGCTCGCGTTTGTCGTGTGAAGTGGGATTTGTATAATACAAATACGCCCGAGTGCAAGTTCCTCAGAACGGACTCAAAATTAAAGAAATTTGTGTCTAAACTGCCATGGGAGTTGGGGTAGGGGTAGGTGATGCACCGTTGGGCAGTTGGAGGAAACCGCCGTAGTAGTCGTCTAGCCAGCGGGCAGCCTCCTCACCGGCGTCGTCCATGCTTGAATCCCATCGGCCGACGGAGCCCACATAGCCGTCAGGTCGTACGTTGACTATGGAGACCTCGCCGGGGCCGAGGCTACCAAGCCACTTGTTGGTGCAGAGCTGGCCGCGCGTGTCCTGTTCTGGAATGTCGTCCAGGTAGAAGGTCCAGCGGCTGTCCTGCAGCAGGGCCGGCAGGTCCGAAATCTCCACATCGTCTTTGGGCATTGTAGCTGAAGCTCGTGTTAGTGGCTGAACAAAATGTCGAGCAATGAATACTCACTGATCAAGGCAAATGTGAAAAGATGGCTGACGGCCGTGTATCTCTCGGGCCGGTAGTAGATGTCCTCAGACGACGGCAGTCTGGGCTGTGCAGCGTAAGAAGCACTGGCCGAGGCCGAGAGCTTGCTGATGAAAGAGTTGGCCGAGGCGATGGATTGGCAGAAAGTCTCCAGGAAGGGGCTCGACGCCTGAATGTCCCACATCAAGAGGTAGATACGGAACTGTCCGAGCATCGGGATGTCGAGTTGGATATCGACAGGATTTGAGTCGATGTATCTGGTGACCTTGGCCGGAGGAAGCAAGCAGCCTGGTCTGGCATCTCCCATAATGAGACCTTGAGAGTCGGGCCTGTTCAGCGGGCTCTCAGAGTACTCGGCACCAATACCCGAGATGAAACGGACGTTCGTCTTGAAGTTTTCTGACAGAGCTACCGCGTCACCTCCCGCAATCTGATTGGCGTGCTCATAGTCAAAGTTGACCAGGTCAACTGCAATTTTCCTTCGCTCTTCTTCGTAACTCTCGAGCAGGCATTGCTTTGCGAGTCCTCGAATGGTCAAGTTGAGCTTCCACGCAATGTTCCACGAGTCGTGCATAGAGGTGTTCATGCCCTGAGCAGACTTTGGGGAGTGCGTGTGGCTGGCATCTCCAGCGAGGAACGCCCTCAGATGGGGGTCGGTGAACCGACTGGCCACTCTCTGACCAATCTGGTAACGACCAAACCACTCAATGTACTTCCAATCCACCTCGAAAGGCGCCATGATTTTCTTCGCTCGAGCCATAACGAACTCCTGGCCAAGTTCTCGCTTGTCTGCCTTGGGGTTCGCCTTGAGCTCAATGTAGAAACGTGTCATATTCCTCTCTCTCGGGATAATCAAAATAGAGCCGTATTCCTGGGAATATACTAGCGTCTTGGACCAAATGTCCGGAAAATCGGTGATGAGTTCGCCATCGAGAACACCCCAGATTGCTGGCTGCGAAAGACCAATAGCTCGCGCGTCAGGAATGCTCTTTCGTACTTTGGAGTGGGCGCCGTCACCTTCTCGGAGTTAGTATATGTCCGTCACAGCGCAGCTCTCTGCTGGACTTCACTCACATCCAACCAAGTACTGTGTGAGAATTGTCCGCCGGTCTTGGGTCACATTTGTGCGACAGTTGACCTGTAGGGGCCCCGCCTTGTTCTCCGGAACGCTGTAGGACTCGAATGCCGTATTCCTGCGTACCTCGACCCCGCGCTTCTTCAAATCGTCGATGAAGAGGCCTTCAACCATACCCTGGTGAACTAGCAAAATGTAAGGGTCGAGGACGTCGATGACGGGAGGGTAGTGAACCTCGCGGCCCAGTCTGTGAAGTGGCTCGTCTGCGGTGCTTCGCCAGAAGGAAATGTCGTAAACACGAACACCGCGGAGAAGCAGAGGGTCGGCTAGGCGCATTTGACGGAAGGTCTCGATGGTCTTGGGCTGCAGTCCGTCTGCTCTGTATCGGGCATTAGCTTACAGAGGCAAGGTGGGTTGTGTACGGATTATCTACCTTCCAACAGGCGTCTGATCAGCTCTGTCATCAATGACCTCAACCTTGATTCCAAATCGCCCGAGGTTGGCGGCCAGCATCAGACCGGCGGGGCCAGCACCAACAACACAGACCTGGGCTTCTATAGGAGGCTCAGGCAAGCTGCGCAGGAGGGTGAGAGTGTCTACGGTGGGATCGATAACATGAAGACGACCAGCGGCGGTGCCGGCCAGCCCGTTCTGGGCAGTTTGTCCGTTCTGGTCCTCCATTGAACCGTCCGAGTTAAGTACACCTGGTGCCATGATCGAGGGCGAATTGTGATGTCACAATCTCACAGGACAACCGGATCGAGGTTATTCGTCGTCGGTAACTGATGCTGGGTGGTTGCGAAGTAAGTGACTAGCTAGCTATGGTAGACGACCAGTTGCCGAAGGGTTCGGTGGCTGTTTGGGGAGTTGTTGGACTGGCCGCGCTCGCACGGCTGAAGGTTGAAGACTTTCGGACGTGGGGTCAAGGATGTAATGCGCGGGCTTGAGATTCACCACACTGGCGCACACAGGCACAGACTGAATTAGGCGTGGAGCTCGAAGCGAAGCGAGGAGGAAAAGCGATGTACGGGCTCCAGCCGTCAAGTGTTGTAGTGCGGTGTCTCGTCGTCCGAGAGTCTTGCGTGCGACGTAGGAAAAATTGTTGGGTCGCGGAGGTGGTATTCGAGATATAATAATAATATGAGATATGGCAGGGTCGCTGAGTATGCAGCCAGACCAGGGCGGATCGGGACCGAGACCAGAATAGTGGGTGGTGGGTGCAATTGCAGCGAACCAGCAGCAAGACCAATGACGGATGTTGCTAGACCAGGGCTGCAGCAGAAAGACAAGCACACACAGGGACGCAACGCAGAGGGGTCAGACTGACGGTGAGAAATGCAGAGAAGAGTAAGTCGGTCACAGGAGAAGGGAAGGGGGAAAAAAATGACGAGTCCTACAAGGCCGAGAGACAGAGAGAGAGAGAAAAAAAAAAAAAAGAGGGGGGGCCCAGGAACCGACAAGCTTGCGGCTGCAGACTGATAACTGGATGGTTCGACAGAATTGGAGATTGCTTCGCAGATGCTTCAAACGATTTCAGAAAGTGGCATGATGAGCTTTGGAGAGCGGCAGGATCGAGTGAGAATCAGACCACCACGGATTATTTACCCATGCCTGCCATACTTTCAGCCGCTTCCCATTGGCCGACCCCCTCCGAAAGGGACAGCAGGGTCCAGTTGATATGGCGCTAGTCCCGTTTCGGTGTGCTCCAGAACGTGGCAGGTGCATTCGACGGATGACTGCGTTCACGCCAGGGTGGAAGTCGCGACCGTTTATGAGGCCACTTTTAGACTTTAGCCTTGTTTCCAGCAACACCCGCCCGGTGTTCCTAAAAGCTGTTCCTAGCATCGCCATTGTCCAACATAGTCATTTCCCAATCCAACCTCGACCCTCTCTTTCTACATTGTTGCTCACAAATCTTTTGACCTCATCCAAGGCCGCATCGAGAGTGCCCCTCCCATCCCCTTCTGATATTCGCCTATGTAACTTGGCAGCCTGAGCTCTCAGCGCCCAAGCGGGTTTTTCGATTGAGTTGCCAGCTCTGGGTAAGCTACATGAACGACACCATCAATATCGCACCTCAAGAGCGCTGTGGAAACTGTTCAAATATTGGACCATCCTCCTCCGGGGTTAGCTCCGCCGGCGGGTACAGAGGTTGGAGGCGTGCGATCCCCCCGATGTTGGGCATGGCAATGCCTTTTCGGCCCCTTCCCCATGCCACGCCAATGCTCACCTCTAAAATAGCGAGGTCCAATGTCGCAGCGCAGCATCTGACATGTCACTGTCACTGTCCCTGACGGAGCCCTATTCGTTTCTTTTTTCATCTTCTGACACCGGCTTTCCGCAACTTCCAGAGACCCCCTTCCTTTCCTTCCCACCAAAGTTCTAAACTGGACACCCCCCGTTCCCACACCGCTGCGTTTTCACAACACCATGGCAGAATCCTGCGAGACGTCATGCCTACGATACCGTCCCTGCGTATACCATGTGCGGCACAGCTACGCCGTCGTATGGCAATGGCATGGTATGGCGTGGCTCGGGCCTCTGACCTTAACTCTTCCAACTGCCGTATTCAGGGTGCCTCATCCTGATTGCTTTTCCTCGCCCAACTATCGACCAACCCAGCTGGTCTGAACGCAACACCACGCGGCTGCTCTCCAGATTTTCCGATCTGGCCCCACCCTTCTATGCCATGAACAGCAGACCCCGAGGGTACCGCCAACCTGGTCGTCCCCAGGTTTCTTTCTGGAAAGTGTTAGTCACTAGCAGCATATTTTTCCCTCAGGACCAAGACGGCACGCTGAGGGCTTTTTGACTAGACTGGCTGGCTCATTGGCTCCTTACCCTGGCTCTCCTCGTCCAGATCGGCGAGGCCCCGCGCCAAAGGCCTGCGTGTAGACCGGAGCCGACCGTCGACTCCTTGATCCCTGGTCACTGATTGAGTGCGCCTGCTTCCAAAGCATCCGGATCACACAGGAGAAACAGCTCGCCTATCGATGCAGCTATCCCAACGCTGTGGCTCGATTGATAAAGATTTCCCCTACTTCTCGGTGTGATCATCCTGGTTGGCTGTGAGAACGGCAGGTTTTGCCGTCTCATCATGCGGCTTGCTCATGGACAATCGGCAAAAGGCACCAGGGAGTTTTACCGTGCGTCACAGCTCACACTCTCCTCGTGGCAAGGGACTTCTGAGAGCTGGGAGTATGAAACACAAGCATCTCGTACAACTTGACATAATTCAAGTTAGACAAGTGGTCTACGCGTGAACAAAGGCAAATGCAGCAGCCTTTGTTCTACTACCCATGGGGGCGAAGTAAGTGCTGATCGTTGATTGCAGGAAATGGTGATGCCGATCAGGTAGCTATGCTTCAGGGAGACAGGACCTCTAACTGGGTTCTTGTGGCCACCGCTTCATTGCTTTTCCCCCTGTGCTAGCTATTGGGTAATGTCCTCTCTGATAATGCGTTTGGATTACTGCAACTTTTTAGTACAGGACGTCGCACGAGCTGTCGGATTACCGTGGTGCCACATGCTTAGTTTCCCGGTTTCGTTGGCATTATACTGCGGCCGGTAATCTTCAAGGTCGCTGACCACCTTGGCAACAGCCAAAGGCAGAAGTCGTGATTTCGGGATAACACAGATTGAATAGAAACATGCCAAGAAGACGCTGGATCGTTTTCGAATAGAAACTCAGACACATGGGACGCATTGAGGCCAGGCAGTGCGAAACCAAACCCGATATCGCTCGGAAATGATTCATGTATCGCTATGAGCTGCGGTGCGGTCTCTCAAAGCATTCATCTAAGATGGTAGACGTAGTGGCTAAAGGCGGTACCTGAATGTTCATCCACGCGGGCAAGCTTGCGTCTTCAAGAAGCCGACTCTGACTTCCTTCTCCCCTCCCAAAACAAGGTCGAAGCTCGTGCTCCAACCGCTCGTCGCAAGCTGCACCTGCGCCTGGAAGAGCATATATCCGCTATCCTCCTCGCCCGTCGCCGCGAGCTCGACGCTCTCGACCTTGAGCTTCCTATGAATCGCCTCCTGACGCCGCACGAGACGCACGACTTCCATCGTTACGGGATCCGCCGCCCGCGCCTTGAGGACCGCGGCCGTGACGGTAAAGGTGCGCTCGTTGTCCACGCTCGTCCGGTTGACGCACGATGAGGTATCTTGATAGAGAATCACATCGTCCAGGGGAAAACCGCTGCCGTCATTGTTGTACACGGATGTAGCATTGCTCGAGGGCGTCGTTAGGTGAACGAGGAATCTGCTGATGCCGCTCGCTGCGCTGATGGTCGTCTCAAAATGGTACCAGGCAAAAATCTCCCCCCAGAGGCCATAGGTCACGCCCCCTTCGTCGAGCGTCGCCGGAACAACGACGGAACCCTCGCCGCCCCGGTCTGCAAAGCTGAGATGGACGGCCAAATCGCCCGTGTCCCGCCCCGTCTCCTCCGTCGTCCTGACGCGCACCCAGCCGCTAAACGCAAGGCTCCCGTTGCCGCTCAGGGCCAGCGTAACATAGGGCTTGATGTCGACTGGCTCCACAGGCTCCGTCAACTGCACCGTCGAGGGCACGGTGTCGATCATTCGCGTAAAGACTTCGGCGCACGCCGTCTTGAAGCCGTTCTTGGTACACCCCAGGTCTTTGATCGTCTTGTTCCCGTCCGACGAGAAGATGTGCTTGTCCGAGTTGAGTGTCTCGTTCCGCCCGACGACCAAGGGGTTCGTCGTGTTACCCCTGACATACTCGGTCGCAATCTTGTTGTCAAAGTCGTCAAACGTGCTGTCAAACTTGGTCACTGTGTCCGGGCTCGGGTCGAGACCCGTGATGTGCGGATTGTTCCTGCTGTGCACGCCGCCGAGGGTATGCCCGCACGCCACAAGCGAAATCATCTCGCCCTGGCTGAACCCGGCTTTCGCAAACGTGGCCATTGTCGTGTTGAGCGGCGTCTGCGGCTCCGGTACGCCTGCGGGGCCGGCTGCGACGGCATCGACCCGGCCGGCGCGGAAGGGCATCCTCGCGCCGCCGCAGCCCGCATTGGCGACGACGACGCTCATGGCTAGCAGGTCCGCCGCGGATGCCCTGATGGAGTAGAGGTTGCTGAAGAAGTTGAACGTGTTGTTGAACGCCGCGCCGCCGTTCTCGGCACGGCCGACTTCGAACCAGATGGAGCCGTCCAGGCCGCCCGTTCCCGCGGCGGCGTCGGTGGTAGCAACGTCGTGGAAGGCGGTGCGGATCCACTCCGCGGCGAACTGGCGGCCGGCGATGTTGCCGCCAAAGGAGCAAGGGGTCACACCTGGAGATGATTCCCTTTTGTTACACAGATAGCACTAGGGAGGGAACGATGATAGAGTTGGGTCACGAACCTTCGACGAAGCCCCTGCTGCGGTATCCCGTCTGCAACGAGAGAATATCTTCAATCTCGTCATACTTGGAAGGCCAGACATATGCGGCTCCCACGCCATGCGATAGCGCAGTGACGCCGCCGACAAGGGCAACAGTAAGTCCACCGCCTCTCATTGCCAGGCAGGTTCCAGATATGCCGCAAATCTTGTTTTGACCAAGACCTTAAACGAGAGATGATGGCGCTATTTTCAACCAACCTAAGAAGACCGCGTCGCCCGCGCGAAACTGCCGCTGCCCGTTCATTTATGAAACTCCATCACCGCATTGGACCCTTCTTACTTGTCCAGGGTTAGTTGGGCCTTTCTATTGACTTCATTACGTAGGAAGAGGGTCAAATTATTCCTTTGCAAAAAAGTAGAGCTCCAGAATCGCCAAGACGTCAAGATGGATCTGCTACGTCGGGTCCCTGGCCCAATGGAGCATCTCTGCCCGGATCGTGGATTCGTTGGCGGCTCGGCACGATCTCTGCAGTGCGAGATCCCGAATCGGCATGTTGTCTGAAAACCTCGCAGCAGAAAGGGGTGGATAGTTCGTCACTTCTAGTCTGTAGACTCGGCCGAGTCGGTTCTAGTTCCATAGAATAAAGAACAGTTTGCTCCAGGCATGGAAGAGGAGGGGAAGACTTTGAATCCAGAACCCGGGATACGAGAGTGGGAGGCCAGACCCGCGCGGAATGGCCGACAAGCTGATTATCAGATGCAAGAAAAAAAGTTATCTGATCAAGCAGGGGTGGTATGTAAAATTAAACGTACCCGGTGGAGCTGTGGGGAGGAAGCACGGCGCGACTCGAGGTGTGACGATGGATCCGGCTTGGCTTCATGGAATCTGTTGGTCAACATCGGCCTCCCCTCGCGTTATTCTTCGTCCACATCGGCGGGCGGTTGATGTAAAAGGTCGAGTTCATATCTCCTCCAACAGGGCAATGATGTGAGTCAATCCTGAAGCTGGCCTCGTTCTCAATGCTTGATTTCTTCTACGATGTTACAATATTTTATAATACGATACTCCTCTGCCGGATTGACCACTCAAACCTTTGAACCCTCATTGTGAGCCGTCTCGATCGCAAGCCCTTTAGGCCCGAGGTTGGAAATTCAACATCACTCCATCGCATTCAAATCCACCTTCTCTACTTGGTCTTATCAATCAGTTTCCCCTCAAACCAAGCGGCAAACTTGACAGCATTGGCGTCCAGATTCCTCTGCGTGAAGTCGGCCACGCACACCACGCCAGGTATAAAGAAGCACGTCGCCAAGAGGACCCCAAAAGTGAACTGCCCCTCCGTCTCGGCGCCTGTCAACCCCGTGAAGAACCGCACAAGGTGCCAGCCATACAGCCACAGCATCGAGCCGTGGACGAGATACAGCGCGTACGAGATGCGGCCAAAGTACTGGATGAAGCGGTTGGTGAAGAGGGGCTGCAGGAACGGGGACCGGTCGACGGTGAAGACGAGCCAGGCTGACGCGACGGGCACCCAGAGGTACTCGCCCTCGCCGTAGCGCCCAGGCGTCATGGCGACGAGCGTCTTGTATCCCGGCGAGAGGCCGGCCGTACCTGTGCCCTTGGGAAACGAGAGGAGCCAGAGCGCACCGAAGAAGGAGAGCGAGCCGACAATCTTTTTGCTTATGCTGTAAGTGGGCGAGGACATGAGCGAGAAGCTCAGCCGGGCGAATCGTCCCGGTTGACCCGGGGCTGCTACGTACGGCAAGGTGTTTCCCAGGGCGGGCAGCCAGTAAAAGTGCAGGTTCGCGCACAGGAGCCCGGCGAGGAACAGGAAGTACTGCCAGTAGTTGAAGTAGAGGGTGTAGGACACGAGGAATACATTCAGGAAGATTCTGACTCGGGTCCGTAACCTGGAAAACGCAACGTGGGCGAGGAAGATGACCAGAGAACAGTCAAACTCGATGGGTATCGTCCAGAGCGTGGGCTCGTAGGGGTACCCTTCGCCCCTCTGCAGGTTCCTCCCGAAGGGATCTGAAAGCCCGATGAGGTGCATCGCCCAGTCCCAGAGCTGGTCGTAGATGTTGGGGAATCGGGGCGGTCTCAGGGCCGGCACGGCCACTCCCGACGTCGGGATCTCGAACCAGCCAAAGTAGGAAATCCACGAAATCACAAAGGTTGTTACCGCGGGCGGCAGAAACAGTCTAATGTGCCGACGAAAAGTCGACGAGGCGGCCGCAGTCGCAAAGTCAGCCGTCCGGTGCTGACTGAGGAGCTTCAGAGGCTTGTAGCTCAACGCGAAGCCGGATATGACGAAGAAGACGCAGACGGACCAGAAGCCCGATATCATGAGGCGGATGATGGGGAGCTGGATGAACATCGGGTTGTCGTCGCTCATGAAGCCGTGGTGAATGTTCATGTTGGCCGTGACAAGAGACCAGTGGTGACAAACCACGAAGAAGGCAGCTACGCCACGGAGACCGTCTGCAATGGGTTCATTGTCAGCAGTGATCTTTGAGATCCGAGGATGATTTGAAGCAGGACCATACCAAGCCATGCTGTGGGATGAAGTGGCTTTTGGACGGCGTTTGGATCCGAGGCCTTGAGGAAGCTTGGTATCAAAGCACGGAAGAAGTTTCTGGGGTATCGTAGCCACACAGGCAGCTGCCGGGTCCGAGGACCGAAGGCATCAACGGCATCAGGATGGTCGATTTCATCCACCAGCGGGATCTCTTCCTCTGTTTCGTAGGCTTCCTTGCTAGGGGTGTCCACCTCCAACGGGTCGATGTCCCCATCGTCATGTGTATTTGGGACATGCCTCATGTGGTACTCAGCCTGCGATGCCATCGCGCCACTCTCAATATCCCCAGGCATTGCAAGTGTTGTCTGTCTGCCAAGGTTGTGAAGCTTTTCGCGGGTGGTTATCCTCTTGGATCGACAGCAGGAGGGAGGGAAGATCGAGGCCCGGCAGACCACACGAGCAAGAGCGGGCCGACACTCAACTTAAACCAGGCCGAAAGGAAGTGAGCCGGGTACTGATTCATCGTGACACTATCCTGTCTCCAAGGTTTCAACGTTGTCTCTTGATCCGATCTGAAAACGATCAACCGGGTACGGTTAGTGAGTTCGCCAAGATCGTCGGCCCCTAGGGCAAATCCGACATCTATGAGGTCGTCGTGAGGACGCATTGCGGATAGGACCGAAAGCCACGCGGAGATATGAGACATTCGTCAGGAATCGGTTCCTGGTGTCGAGACTGTGTGCAGACTTCTTGAAATTATGTTGGCCGTCTGGCTGTTTATCAACAGAGAGTCAACGTAAGCGCCGTTTTCGTTTTCGTCTATTTTGAAGCATCTCATCAGTACAAAGAAGACTGTCTGGGTATTACTGCCAACGACTACGTACGATAGATAGATAGTAGAGGATGAACAAGCGCGACCCTTCACCTAGGAGTTATTCACTCCGCCGTGCACGGCCCCGACCAAGACGAACACAGGCATTCCACAGGCACCTCTTTCTCGTTGCATTCATTCATTGCCCTCTGTCACACAGCGTAATTCGATCAATAAGAGCCATTGCTGACGAAGATGCTTGAAAAAAGGCAAAAATGATAACTGTGAGATTCGAACTCACGCCTCTTGCGAGACCAGAATACTCATCCGTTGGACGGATGAAGCTGAGTAAGCTTGAGTCTGGCGCCTTAGACCGCTCGGCCAAGTTACCTTGTTGAGATTTTCCGGCAAAAACTTCCATATGTAGTGCGGGGAAGTAGGAGCCCACTTTCCCACGACCCACCTACGCTAAATGCCAACGTCGAAGATGAGAAAGATGTACAATAGCAACGTTCCGATATGAGTTCTGGGCTGGGTTTGTTCATTTTCGGTCTCTTTTGAATGGTTCGTATCGAGTCGTGTGTTAAGCTCTCGAGTATAGAACGGGGAGCCTCTCTGAGAGCTGGCTACCACTGCTACCTTTACAATTCATTCTTGTTCAATGATTCCAGTGGTGTCGATACTCTTTAGTCTAGAGGACTTTCCAACCACTAGCAGTGTTCCCCAGCCGGAAGACACAGAGGTGACTTTCTTCCAGCTATAATTTCTTTTGAAATATTAGATGGAAATCATCGTTTGGGAAGGTCGTGTCCATTTCGCGACTTTCCCGCTCCTTTAAGCTCCCTCTGTATATTTTGTGGCCAGCAGACCGAGCATTTGATAGCGTTCTGAGCCAACCTCCAAATGTTCCAGCGCGCCTTAGGATGTGTCAGGCATCCGCAATAACGTGCAATGTACGGATATTGAGAGGCTTCATCACATATCCAGGCCGATGCCCAATCAGGCTTGTATGAGGATAGACTTGCGATGAAGGATACTAGCATATAATCATGCATAGTATCAAAGTGGAATTCATGAGCAGGGTATGAATAGCTTTTTGTAGTCAAATCCACGGATCGAGTACCTACAGCTGAAATTGCCATCGATACAGTGGTCGATCTGGTTGATATCACCTCTATGAACACCAACCCCTCTCTAAGCACAATCGTTTGTGAATCGATTCAATATATAAGCAATGGTCATGATAGTCTGTTCTTATAGAACTGAATTCTAAATCCGTTGAAGGAGGCGGTTGACCACACTGCCTACTCTGAATTTATCTGCAATTCGGTTGTAGTGCGAACTTGTGACCGAGGATGTGCAAGATTACTGAAACAGAGGCCAGATAGGTCCCGGTATTCTCCTCGTTCTCAACGAATGAACTCCTTTCTCAAAGGTAGCATGCAGCTCTCATGATGCGCCCGCCAATCATCAAGTCAAGTAATGCTTGTATTGCAGACTTTCTCATTCTAATCCAGAGCCTCAATGTCGTGTCGTTGTACTTCCAACCTCTTACTCGAACAAAAAACCATAGCCCCAAACATCATTTCGATGAGGATCGTTGAGATACATCTGGGTCAATCTCTTGGGGCTTGAGCTTTGAGCTGATCCAGCTCCCGAGTCTAGGCTTCATTGCATCCCCATGTGCGTTCTTTTCGACAACACCACTCGTGTAGGGTCTGAAATTTTCTCTGAACCGAGAGCATAACTCTTCAGTCATAAGACAGCCTGGCCCTCATGATTTAATTCAGACACCACCATTGCTAGCAAATAAGGAAAGCAGTCCCACCCCCGGATGGTAACATAACTTGAGACACGCGTGCCCCATCGCATCTTGAATATCACCTTGCGAGAAGACGATAAACATATCCCACACAACTCGGAACGAATGAAATCATGCGGCAGAGAGAGCTATTCCGGCGAATACTGATTTGAAAACAATCAGACATAGAAAGCATGGCTTTCCTCTATTGCAACCTTCACCAGACTGTACGTACATGTTGGCCCAGGCTGTAGGCCAAAGTAACATGGAGACGAACCACGGACGTTTTCGTTCTCATACTTGCCGCCGGAGATCATAACGACCCAAATACAAGCAGAAGTAGCAAAGTAAGAGAAGCTTCTCGTTCTTTGGACAGTCAATGTATGCACAACTATCTCGATTGCTGCTTTTCCAGCTCCGAGAGCAAGGAGAATAATCACCTTCAGCAAATGGCCACAGCCTTCACAGCCATCGCGACCGCTAGATTCGATATATTTCTGATTCAGTGGCACACATAAGGCATGAGCCATCAGCAATGAAAAGTTGTCTGCTCCCGAGGCAAACACCCTGCGTTGTCTTCGAGATAGTACAGCCATCAGGAATATGTCAACACTCCGGAGAACCGAGAGCCCCTCGACCCTGCAGACTTCCCTCTGCCCGCCTGAACTCACAGAGGTAAGAGAGAGATTCGAGAAAGAGCCGCAGCTTCCGATCGAATTCGGTAACGGGGCGGGTCTTCATCAAGTCCGGGCCCGAAGGTGCGGTAATTCACGCTACACAACGCCATAGCCAGCTACGCCATGACGATGACTAGACTAGACGATGCATACGACCGCGAACGTCTACGCGTCGTCGCGACGCGTTCGAGAAACACGGTAGCTAGCCTTCGACACGATTCCCCTTTTCCTACGAAGGAAGAAAAAAACTCACGCCATCCAAGGTAGTCCTCTCACACCGGCGCCCGAAGATCGCCAGCAACACATTCTTTTTTTTTCGCGCCCAACACGCTCAGGAACAGGACCGCACACCCACGACACCCTCAGAGAAAGGCAAGAAATCCCACAAGCCGCCTGAAACCACGCGGCGCCTTACTGGGAGTGTAAGCTGGAGCTCAACATGCGCGAGCCGCTATAGGCCCTCAACGGCTTCTTTGTTCTCCGGCGCGCCGGCGCCTTTCAGCCCCAGGGGAGTTAACCAACCCCCCACCCGCCTAACGGGAAGTAAAAAGAAATCTGGTGGTGTGTTGAAATGGCTCGCCTCAAGCCTCTCCTGTGAGACCAGAGGAAAAGGTGAGGCGGCCTAAAAACCTAGTTCAACCCCCCCGAACGTGAGTCCGGTGATTTTAGAGATAGGGCGATACGAGCATGGATAATTCCTCCTGCCTCCCGTTCACGCTATCGTTTGGGCTGTAAGGATCTCGGAACTACGAGTCAGCCCTCTTCAGCAAAACCCCCTCCGATAGGGAAAAGTGGCGCCTCTTTGGTCTAGATTGATAGACACAGTCAGGAACTCGCCGCTGCCACGAGGTTTGCTTGTGAAGAAGCGCCCCGAGCAACGCCCCGGAAGCCCTTGTCCGCCGTTCCGGTGGTCAGACGGCCTATAGCAACTACCCAAGCCAGATCTGGACGCATTGACACCGTCAAGCATCCATCGTCGGCGAGTCACTTGACAAGCGCTGCTCCCCCGGGGAAGCGCACTCGCGCATCCCCTCAACGACGTGGACCGCGGAGCGAGGGGGTCCCACGACACCTCAAATTCCTAGATCTGGCCGAACTCCTCTTCTTCGGCCGTCCGCCGCCCGCCCGCACATCGCCGCCGGTAATATAGCGTAGGTGTCAGCATCAGGGCCCGAGCCACAAAGCCAACAGAACCTGGCGGCGACGTCAAAATCCACCTCTTTGGAACTGACATAGTGGCAGTTCTCGATCCGCAAGTCCCCTCATCCCCCTCCTTGAGGATCCCCTGGCTTGTCAGTGTCGTCCCAAGACTGTTCGGCATGACACGGACGCCCATCGAGTCAAGCAGCGCAGCGCCGCGGCTGGCGTGGCCGCGCGGATCCCCCAGCGCTCCGCCTGTCAGTTTGCCTGCCGCCGTATCGTTCCTGATAGAGAGGGGGTTAAAGCAGCTGCTAGACATTTCTTAGCGAGAAAAGCAACGAAGGTTGAACAAGAAAAAAAAACTTTCCACGTATGCAAACCTCTGCCCGTTCCGACTCGCCTGAATGCCACAAAGGCCGAGCCGGAACATGCGGGGTTCGCTGGTTGAACGGACGGGGACGTTGGAAGGGAAGCCGTTGTGTTCCTGTGTGCTTTTTGGTGGCCGAGGGGTTGACAGAAGCAATGTTTGCTGCACCTAGGCCGGTGCCGGTGGCGACAGAAACAGTGGGATGCTGATGGCCTGTTCCTAACGCTACGTACTCGTAGTGCTTGCTCTCGACTCTCTATGCGTCGACGGTGACTTGCGCGCTTCTTGCTGTGATCAACAACTCATCTAAGCCACTGTGACGAAAGTCACGCGCTTCTGCGTCGTCGGCAGAAGGGAAAATAGGTGCAAAGGGTGAGGATCGGCGGTATTATTCGGCAGACGCGACGGCTCCGAATTTTGATATTCAGCGGTGAGCACCGGTTCGAGCACAGGCCGCAACTGGTGATGTTCTCTTTTCTTTTCTCTCTGTTCCCCTCCTCCATCCTCCGAGCCGGGGCATTCTGATGGTGTTGCGACGCAAGGTCCTCCCTCTTCCGCATGAAGCTGCCCCCCGGTCCAGTTGACAGAGCCCCATTCGGATCTTCAACTAGAGACCGAAGATCGCAATCTTGACCCAGGCAGATGCCATCAGAGGCAAGCCGCTAGCAGCCCAATTACCCTGATCTTAGGTCGGGCACACAAAGCCATTAATGTGGTCAGGTTTGGGGTCCATTGCAGGCACAGAGGCGTATCTCATGATAGAATTTCGGGAAATAAGTCATGAGCGAGTACTTCATCATCGCCAGGCCTCGAGCGAGAGGCTGGTGGATGCGATTTTCGTGCAGCCGCGACCCCCGAGGTATTAGACCCGGTGATGGAGAATTCTAGTGCCGCACAAGTCTCGATACATTGTCGAGAGTACCTGGCCCTGCCCCTCGACAGTATCCCTCACAAGGCCCTGATCATCATGAATTTGTGGCGACGACACGCACCGTGTGGAGAGAGAAATGTTGGTTCGAGTCTCGAGTCGAGGTCGCTCTTCAAGAGACATTTTGGTTGACCACTCATGGCCGTCGGCTGATGTAGGGGAAAACGGGGGAGGATTTGAATGCGGCCTTGTGCGCCGTGGGCCTGAGCCCTTTCCTGCATCATGCTGCAAATGCAACCCACCTTTCGGCCCAAGCCCGCCCTCATCCCCGGACAGAAGACACCGGTGTCTCCGGAGGTTCGGAGAGGCAGCCGGTTTGCTAGAAAGCAATGGGTTTCTTGGAGGCAGACGGAGTCCACCCACCCACCAGCCTCTGCTTCAGGAACACGCCAGTTGTTTTCTTAGTTGCAACTAGGCGTAACAGAGGTTGCGACTTTGAGTATAGGTTGCCATATGCATGCCCGTCTGCAATCGCTCCCAGACGTCCACCTGCATTTGCGCCAAGCGGACGTCTTGTTCCACACCAAAGGGCTGCACACCACACATCAATGCAATGCAGGTTTGAGAATTGTTGTGACCAACGCACTCCTTCGCCTTCCATCACTCGACATGATGCAGGTGAAGTTTTCCTCCAAGTTTGCCTCTCCCCAAGCTACCCTCTAGACAGTGTGTTTCAGGGCAGCCCAAACCCTTGAGTAATGGGCACTTCTATGCTACGGGTTCGCAAGAGTTCCACCAAGTTTACCAGTCCGAGGTGGATGCTCACATTCTCGTTTCTGGTGCTTCTGGCAGTCCTGCATAGTGGGTTGTAGCTGCTCCCAATCACCCACTGGGCAAACATTGATATCTTGGAAGCGTCTTTACTTCTTGCTGATTGTCTCTGGTGAAGATTTCCAGGTTCCTGGCACAGCAAATTACCCTGACCGCTCACCTGAGGCTGCAAACTGCAGGTGTCTCGCCACGTGAAGGTCGCTTTATTGCGAGCGAGCTCCCGTAAAGTCATCATCACCCGCATGTGGTTTCCTCATTCAGGCGGATGTGCCAACCATTGTAGATTGGCGGCTGTCTTCTCGCATCCGTTCATCGAGTCGAGCCACCGCGGTGCTTTTTCTGGCGGTACGAGGTTCTCAGTCTATCGACCATGGAGCCCTCACTAGTTTAGTCAGGTACCCCAAGATGCTTGCTAGCCTTTGACAGAGGCCACTTCCGTCTTTTCGTTGTCTGGGTAGATGCATCGGCTTCTTGTCCGTTTCCAGCACTGAGATGGTTGTGCAATGTGTGATACTGAGAGACCTCATCGATGACAAAAGCTGAGGTTAGAACCCGGGAGGTTAGAATCCGGGACGCTCAATCTCCCATTCCCCACGCTAATCACTTCTAGAAGGTTGAGGAACGCCGGTAGTTAGAGACAAGGAAATGAGTTTATCTCCCATTCGTGGACCCCACGGAAGGTGGACGCCTTTCTGGCGCAGATATTGGAGCCTATCGCGCTTGGCCGTGAATCGCTGACGAACCATCGGCGGGACGAGCGGGTGGCCTGTTAAGACCCTGGCCTGGTCGGCTCCCACGTTGCTATCTTGGACATCGTGAATGGGTCGTGCCGATGGCGAGCTCCGGGCTTGTCGGATTCGTGGGCACCCAAATATTCATTGGAGCAACGTGACACTCAGGACTCCACCGTACCGAGCTGCGATGTGGTAACAATGTTTGAAATACGTCTCTAGAGACCTCTGCTGAGGTTGAAACACTGTTTGGGAGACGGTTCGATCGACAGAGTTTTGAATGGGGGAGGGCCGGATAGAGACGGACGTTTTCAGAATACCAAGAGAGATGCCTCTATGGCTCCGTCGATGAATCTTCGAAACCTCCCCCAACGACTGGCGTCGAGAGACCGCGGTGTGACTGCCGTATTCTGTCAAACTAATATAGATCGACCAAATGATATGACCAGTGTCATCACCTCGGGCAGTCTGATACGTGGTGACGACGGAGCTATGCCTTCTAGAACAATGGAAGCATGCAACCTGCGCCATGGCTCCATTGTGCTCTGGGGACTCTGCTTCATGCTGGCACCCCTTCCAATTGCCTTCCGTTTCTCATTGTTTCCAATGGCACAAGGCGATGCGTCATGATAACCATGGCGCCCTAAACAGGCAAGTCCCTCATGCCCAAGGCTATGCTGGATGCTTCGTGATGGAACTCAGGCATCGAGTGTGTGGGTCCTGAAACCTTCTCGAAGGTCTTGGAGGCCAGGAGGCCTATGGGCTAACGACCGCGGGAATGCCCATTGGTCACTGCAGAAGAGTCCCTAGTGTTGACCAGTGCGACGGGGTACCCCTGACGAGACATATTGGAGCGCCCCGCCGTGAAGCCTCAGGATGACAGCTCCCATTATTAACCGAATTATCAGAACTAAGCCGGGAGAGCACGTCGAGTCCGGTCTGTAACGTCATGTACCCGCCCGTGCCACGGTTGAAGAGAAGAGCCAGAGGGAAAAACCTCTACCGGCTATCCATCGCTCCGGCTGCCCCAGCTCAACCAGTTGTTTTTGATTCAGCTCAATGAATGATTCGGCAGCTGAAACTTCCCTGTCTACACCACTAGTATTGAGTAAGTTCGCTCTATCCGTAATTGAAGAGCAGATCAACAATAGCGAGGCACCACCAGGACTCAACCTGGCTAAGAACGCTGTTGATTGTCTTGTCAGTGGTTGCTTTTTGCCGTTAGCTGGCAGACCGATAAGTGCCTTGCCTGACACTAGGGATTCACTCGATCCCGGAGGATCTTCCACGCCAAGTGAAGCCCCTGCCCCGTCCGCAATCGGACTGCTAGCCTCAGCAGTTATCTCTGAGCAACAACTGGTTGGCGATAGCGATAGCGGTGAATATGACCATTAACTTCTTGGGGTGGCAGGGTCAGGCTCAACGGCGGCCCCAGGCTCCAAAGCATCTCGGGCCCTTTGAAGGTCCCTTTGGCGATCTTCCAGACTCATGCCCGGCTGCGGCGAGGACCCTTGTGGCCGAGCAAGAGACAGATGGTGTGGCCCGCCGCTTGGCTTAAATTTGAAGCAGGCCTTTGCTAGATTTGCCAGAAATCCGGGGCAGCTAGGGCGGAACAAGGTCCGTTTTTGGACCTGGTCGCCGTTGGGGGTCTCGGTGGCACTGGCCTGGCCCGGGACCCCACGGCTTCCTACCCGGGCCGCCCAAAGTACCTTGCCCACCTGCCAGGCTCCCAAGTCGTCGGAGGTGAGTTGGAGCGTTGGAGAAGGGAACTTCCCAGAGAGAAAAGAAGGGCCCGCGGGTACAATTGGGAACTTCATGAGCATCAAACGACAGATTGCCGGGGTCTCCTCGATCAAACAGCGAATAGATCTGCTGAACTTCCGTCCTTGGACGTCGATATTGCGCCATCTGTGGCTTTTAATGGCTCTCTGTGGGGGGGCATTTGAGGAAGCGGCGGTCGGAGGTTTCCAGCGGATGATAATGGTAGGTTGCTGATCTACTATGGACCGTTAGCTGACATTCTAGCATGGGTTGATGTTCCATAGATATTCGAAGTACGAACATGTCTGGCTCACACCACCCGTGTTGGCCAGCACGTCCACCGTGTTGGAGCTTCTCGGAGAAATGGGGTCAATGGAGGAAAATTTTGCAGCCAGAAAGACATTAGTACATGATGAACCCACACAGCAGGTCGGGGTTGTTTGAAAACCCGGGCTGTTTTGGGCTTAAGGTGTTCCGGTGTATTGGATCATGTCAACTGTTTGCTCATGTGTGATCCAGCAGCCAGGAACGGCCCAACCACCCCGACGGTGGCGAAAGGATTCATGAGCCAGACACTTGGCTCTTGCCCGTAGCCTCCGCTGTGATAGCACCTGGTTGGCCATCCTGGAGCCCTGGCCTGTTGACAAGCACAGGCTGCTTTGCTGGCCTGGTCCAGAAAAGGTCGACAAGCATGTGGTAGAACCCCGGTCCCCATCAACTTCAGTAGAACTCAAGTCCGTAAAGGTCATTAGCGGGTAATCGTTCTCCATGCCATCCCATGTCGGTTGCAGAGGCCGGGCTCCTATTCGACTGATAAATCCACAGTTCACAAGCCGCTTTTCTTCGTAGGGCTTTAGAACGGTCCCAAGCGTTATGCTGCCGGTTCCGCGTGGTCTGGGATGCTGCAGCCAAACCCCACTATCACCCATGGTTCGACCGAGAATGCCTTGTTCTCGAACTTATTATTACGAGGGATTTCGGGCCTTCGGTGCTGGTCTTCGAGACGTTCTTCTCGCCCAGCCGGCAAGCTCGAAGGAATTACGCAGTGTATGGGATCTTTGTTGGAAACTGCGAGCATCTCAATCACTCCACACCTGCTCTAGGCCGAAATATTGACCACGCCAGTACTGTTGCTCTCAGTCTTATCAAGTTTCTGTTCATGAGCTTTGTCTTTCTAGATTGCAAACTTCTTATAGAGGGAGTTGGCCAGATCGGGATCCAAACCGGGATGAGCTGCTTCGGTGAGGGTGAAAGGGAAGCTTGAAAAGTTGTGGGATGCCCAGCGTACCTGCATGCGATGGTGCAACGGTTCGTCTGTTCCTGCATATGTTTAGAAAGACGTGCCTGCAGCATCTCGAAGCTTACAATATGCCAGGTACGCTGAGCTGTGGGTACTTCGCACCGTCTCTCCCGAAGTACGTACAGAGTACCGTCCGGCGAACCAAGGGTGTGGGTAGCCAGGCCTGGGACGACAGACACCAGTTGGACATCATGCAGGCCCTGACGTGGTTGTGTAGTCGCATGAACGGAGGCAAATTGGTGATTGGATAACCGCCAGGGTTTTGCCTGGGTATGGAACCCCGGCACAAACTCACCGGAACTTTCCCAGCTCTAAGAACCACAGTCAAGTAGATACCTATTGCAGATGATCCCCGTGTGCGAGACTAATCATGATAAGAGGCCCAATTAGGGACACAGCGCCGGTGGTGCATACAAGTTATGCAGCATAATGCCCTGCATAGCCCGCTTCCACGACGACATGCACCGGAAGATGTGCTGATAGTGTATGTTGTCTCCGCTGCGAAAGAGACCTGGGCCCTATGCATGGCTGCATGGGCAAAAACCTGGACCACCCAGAGCGATAACGACAAGATGCTAAGGCCAGAATCGAGCCGACTTGGTTGTCAATGATGCAGCGGGTTTGTGCCCGCTTTGTGGTGCGGCGGCGCAGCTGTTTGACCCATTGTGCGTGCATTGCCCGTCCATCGGTCGGTGGCAGCCGGACGGAGCAAACAACAGAACTAATGCACCATTGGTGCCGGAGGCCTTCTGGTGCAATTTTATGCAGAGAGCTAACGTCTCAGCTAGAGGACTAGTGGGAAGAAGGCCGTTCCATGGTCAAGACTTGAGAGTTGCCTGAAGCTGAAAAGGTAATGGCGATGACGGTGAAAAGTTCTCCCTGCAAAGTCTTTGGTGCTCAAAGCTGAATCATCTAGAGTCGGAACTTGACTTTACAAGTCTAGCCGACAGCAAGGTGGAAACCGGACACCTTTTACGAGGCTTGACGTACCGACTGAGGCTATCACCAATGGCCCTTCCTTCGGCCAATTGAATCCTGTCCATGACTCCAACACGGCTGGCGGTGGAGGCAATACGACTGCCATAATTCGTCTTGGATACTTTCGGCGTCAACCAACTGGACTTGCTTCCAACCTGGCCGCCCAATGCGGAAAGGTAAAAAGCAATGGAGAGAACGACTCAAGCCGTTAGAACGTGCGGGATTGGTGGACGAACAAAGAGATGCGGATACCTTTGAGACAGACGGTTGGATGGAGACATGTGAAAGAAAACAATCGAGTTGGCTGGGCCGTTGCAAACAACGCTCTTGTTCCACCTTGTAGTTAGTGCTTGTAGCGGCGCAGCGCCCCGAGTGACCGGTCACTTCTCAAAGAGCCAGAAGGCTTGGCTGAAGAGGGTGAGAGGCAAGTGTTGAGATCAGCAACACAGTAGACGGAGCAAAGTCTGTTTGCTCGCTGCTGGGGGTTATTAGCCGACGGCGATTGGCCGAATAGATATCCGGCTTGCTTTGGCTGATGCCTATCGAATATGCGGTTGGTCCGCATGGGTGAGCAGGCACGCCCAGCCAGAAAACCAACCAGCGTGTCGTTACTGCACCACCTAGCTTGCGCGTAGGCTCAATTGTATCGCCTATCAGCGCAAACTGCGTTCCCGTCGGCTGCCTCTGGCTTCCCAAGTTCAGGTCCGGGCGGATGGATCTGGAATCTGGACGAGACAGGCGTGGAGTTGACGTATGCACCGTGTCCCCCCAGAGGTGTAGGATAAAGTGTGGCAGATCCGTAGTACCGCAGCGTTCAGGGATCGAGTCCTGACGGGAATGCCTGATGCTGGTGCGCCGCAGACGTCCACGAGCATGGCTGAGCCCGAGTCTCTCAGGGCGCTGTCCCTGCGAACATCACCTCCATGGTGATGTACCTAAAACCCAGTAGGCTGATACTGGCATCCCGACACAAAAGCGACGCTCGTATCCTGGTGTCGTCTCTCCTCGCATGGCTTGCAAATCACATGTACAGCCTTTGGTGGTATCGATAAGGCCAGAGTTGGTGCGACAAGGATCCGAACAGTGACGGGACGCGGGGGAATTCTTGGGCTTCGATTTAGGGTGTGAACCGCCCAACCGTCTACCCGAGTATCGTGAATGTGTGGTGAGGATGAGGCGGGGTGTTGCCAGGGAGCAAGAAGACGAATGAGGGGTAAAAGCGTTGGTCGTGCCTCACGTACGCGGACAGGCTGCATCTTGCGGTGTTCCTTGCATCTGGGTTTCCTGTAAGGTACAGCAATAATTTTTTCTTTTTTGTGTGAAAACCTTTTTCATCACCATGGTGGAAGTATCCGTAGAGGTGATCAGAGTTAGACCACCACGACCACACATACCACAGGGCCGTATGGACGTTCAAGCAGGCAAGGTGCACACCAAAGAAACATGGTAGAATGCCTCATTCAGAAAGGCGTGCGTACGTAAGGCGGGCTCCATGGGTCCAATGCGAGACGAGCACCCGAGTTCGTTCAATGTCATGGTGGACGGGGCCACGGCGGACGGTGTACGAAGGAGAGTGGACTGGGTGACTGGATGGCCATCCGAATCTAGACATTGTTGCGTTTCTTGTCGAGGGGCCTGTCTGTCGGATGCAGCAAAATGCAAGCTGGCCGCTGAGGTAAGGTGGTAAGGACCAGCCTACCTTAGCTGATGGGCATCATCACCACCCGCATCGATTGCAGATACGGGAGTCTCGGCCCAGGAAAAAGAAGGGAATGTCCTTGCGTAGATACATCTCTCATAAGAGTGGACGGACGGGAAGAGACTTAGAAGGGTGGAAGAAGTTGATGGTGCTGCACAGTTCAAGGTGCCTAGGAGAACGGGGACTCGGGAGCGCCTTCTCACAGCCGAATGTTTGCTTTTTCCCGCATCATGGATGGAGACTACCTTAAGGTAGATAGACAATGGGGCTCCCATCGGCAGCGGGCAGCGGGCTTCCCACCTTGCCGCCTTACCCAAGAACGTGATGGGAAGTCGGGAAGGAACTTAGGAGTCTTCGACTCTTCGGGTTGGAACTGAGGTCCATCTAAGTTAAGGTAAGCAGGTACCTTGGGTTGTGCCGTATGATGTTTCCAGGTTCCAGGTTGGCTGCATTTGGCAACTGCATCTGCACCTGCTTCTGCTGCTGCACCTGCAGGCACATCCTTGGCAGCCTGGTGCCTTCCTTTTCCAACCATGCGGCGTGCGAGGCCTTGTATGTGGTTTTCAGGTTGGTGTTTGAGAGGTCGGTGACATCGATGTGCTCCTTCCCCCATCCCTTCAGATCCATCATCCAGCAGTCGTCACGTGGCGGGTTGCTCGGGTGCTCGGGTGCTTGTGTAAAGCAGCTTCCTTGTCCAAAGCATCACCGTTCAATGCACTTCATCCGAACAGGCCATCCCGCCCGCTCTGTGCCTTAGCTCGCAGCCATTACTCTCTCAAACTTTGCCCTATGCCTCCCCACACAACCACACTACCCAACGCATTTCAGCTCCGGATGCTGCGTGCGTGCCGTGGTGCCTCAATAGTCCATATCTTGCTTGACGGCATGCACGTCTAGCACTGCCTCATCTAGACTGCTTGCTGCATGGGCCTCCTCGCCGCGACATGGTGGCGACAATCTCTTCGCTCTTCTCAATCCAACTTTCCATCCTCCCAGGATTCAATAGCCAATTTGGACTTGAAAGATCGGATGTCACTTTGTCGCCCACCGTCCGTGCAAAAGTCGACAGGATCATCAATTCATTGGCTTCGTTGGTTTGCTTCACCATTAATATCGGCTCCCCGCCTTGTCCCGTCATGATCATCAGCCGCGGGCCGCGGGCCACTCGCGAGGCTTGCTTAGAGCATTAGTGCCAGCCATCGCAACCTTGAGCAGCCTGTCTTTACTGTCCACCGTTTAGGACTTGAGGCACCCGAGAGTCCTCAAGAGGCTCCCGCGAATCCGTCGACAATGTCAGGGGTGTCAGGGTTGATGCTTGGCCGTCACCAACCTGCTGGACCAACCGGGACGGCCAGTCCAGAATTGGGCATACTAGATCTGTCGAGACAACTCAACTAGGCTTTGGCGGGGTCGTGGTCGGGTGACGCAGTCAGCAATCCAACGCCCCGCGCCAGCTCGACTCAGAGTACTGACGCGTGAAAGAATGGAGAACAAGTCGAAACCAGAAACAACGCCCGCCAACGTATCCGCCACACCAAGAGTGATGGAGTCGTGAGAGCCCAGGCGCGCGAGAAACTCTTGCTAGTGGCGGCTGCGTCATCACTAGCCAACGCGATGCTGTAAGGCCATAGCCAAAAGCTCAAAGCGCGACGCGGGGTCCTTGACTGGCGATAGCAGACGTGTGACGGATGCCCAAATCGACCACTGATATGCCAAGCGGCACTCAACTGACGCCTAGTGGTGGATGGCGCCTCACGGTAGACAGAGGTTGTCGTTACCCTAATGTCCTTGCAGGGGGGTAGGGCCACCGAAGTTGCGACTGCTCAGCGTTCTGAATGGCCCGGCCTCGTCTCCATCACACATCCTTTGTGCGTTTCGTGTTCCTGCACAACTACTATGGTACCCACTAGACGAGACCAGAGGCTTGCACAGCTGGACCCGAGAGGACTCACTGGCGCGCTGGATACGACGCCCGTATGCATCGACATTATTCGAGCACACTCACATGTTCGCCGCTTCCAAGGAATCAAGTTGTGCTGCGAACGGGAGCCACCAACCAGTGGCCCCCTCGCATGCCGTTGACTTTGGTTCCCACTCGAGGAATCCAAGGGCTTGTACGGATAGAAGAAGACGCTGGTCTCCGAAAGAGGAAATGCGGCGCATAACGGGGATAAGTGGGTGTGCGGCCTCCGCCATGGCCCCTTTCACAATCAATCCAATACTCGGACGAATGAATATTCTGAAAGCTGCGGGCTTTTATTCTTAGAAAGCTGGGCCTACGAATACATTACAATAACGCTGTAATTATGTGCCTGAAGACATCGGATGGATGAGCCATACACGGCTTCCCCAGAGCTGTGCAATACCACCGCCCAAACCCACTGTCTCTCCAGCTTAATGGCGACTGACAAGTTCCGTTCGTCTCTGCGGCTCGGGCATGAATGGCGACCGGCTGGCTTCCCTGGTTGTCAATGTCAATGCTTCTCGGGCAGCCCAGCAATCGCCGTGATGCTCCGCGTTTCGAGCCTTTCGGAGCAGTCATGGTCGCCAGTCTGGGGAATTCAGGCACGCCCAGTTCTGTTCAGCCGCTCCAAATAATGAAAATGGATTACGACTGTACCTACGAGCCGCGAAACTTGCTGGGGCATCAGCAGAGCCACCGTGATCAAGGAGACGAACGGCAGTTGGCGTCTTGCTCGCAAAGGAAACAAGCTGCCCTTTCTTCTGGGAGCCGCTCTCGTCGGGTGTTGCCAGTGTCATTGCCGCTGTTGCAACTACAGCTGCTAGACTCAAGTGATCAACAACAGGCGGCGCAACGCCCTCCAGTCTTCGCTGGTCTGGTACCTTGCATCCGCGTCTCGGCTATGGTGTGCTGCGGGTGGGCTAGCACAACGAGCGATACGACTGGCGTGCAGCATGAGTGTGTCTGCATGTGTGACTGTCGACAGAGGGCCCATCCAGCGAATGATGGTGCCTGAGAGTGTGGTCGAACACGCGCCAGACTGAGCTGAGATGGCGAGTGACAATCGAGGAAACCTTTTGTGCTAGTTGTGTGGACAGTTCTATGCCTATCGGCACGCGCCATCCACTTGTGACTTGAATTGCCGTCCTATCAACGAGCACAAAACTCTCGGGTTTATGCAGTTCTGCTGAGTTACCTCGATGCACACTTTGCTCACTGATCAGCGAGGTATCTCGAACCTGTCTCATCTTGCATACTCTGTTAGTGGTAGGCCGATTAAAACTACCCTATGCATTCTCTGTCCCTGAGCGTATCACTCGGTGCCAGGCTTCAACGATTGAGGAGCCGCTATGGCTGGTTGTACTTCGGCTTAGTTGGTACCTTGACAATGCAATTGCCTCTCCGTATTTTGAGCAAAACGGAGCATGGGCTGGACCTAGTCCCACCATTCCCCAAAGCTGGAGGAGCCTTTCATCTCGAACAAACGTCACCGGAGCGGATGGCACCCTCATGCACGGCGGCAGGCAATAGATGTGTATAGTGCTGCTCCGTGCTCAGGTCCAGATGGCATTGCGACGCCCGTCCATGGCCGCCGTCAACGCCATCTGCCAGCGTTGGCTTCGTTGCTGTAGCTGTCTGAGAGCATCATGACGGCTGGTCAGGGCTCTGGCTCAAGTCAGAACTGCTTAGGCCTTGGGGAAGATGTCAGCCGTAATTCCGGTCTAGAGCCTACTAGTGATAAGTTGAGGTTGGCATGTCCTGCAGAAAGTATGGCTTATTTCAACTGAAAACGCAGAGGCCCTGACGGCCGGGTTGTTCCTGCAAGATGTCGTATTTGTGCATCTGCTGGCAACCAGCAAACTATACGGTTAGTTAGCCAGTCATGGGCGGCCATTTCTTGCGGTACAGAGAATTGGTTCCAGGTTGAGGTCGAGGATCCTGCCTCGAGTACTTCAAACAGGCCAGCTCCAAAGAAGAACAAACCAAGATCCGTTGTGGTGGACATTTTGAGCAGAGAGCAAAAGAATCCCCTGGCATGCACGAGAACTCGCAGGTCGTCAGGTACCTTACAGCCTGCGGTACATCCGAGCCAGGCTTGGGGGCCCATCCGGTCTCTCCTCGTCCGTTTCGTCGTTTTCTGGGCAGGAGACGTATGAGGGACGGAGAACGGAGAACGGAGCTCGTGGCTTTCCTGGACGGTTTGCTATCCAGAATTAGAATTGGCCTGGTGGCTGCGCCATCTTCTCGTCCTAGCCCACACACACACACACACACAGCATGCCACCCACAAAACCACACAACTCATCATCCGGGCCAAAGCACCAAAGCCCACCAACACCCACCCATCTGATGTTTCCGCTTGGCCCCAGAGCCAGACATGCAGAGGGGATACAGACAGGACCCACTTATGACACCGTCTCGTCCGTCTGGTGTTCCTGTTCCTGGTCCGTCGCCGCCGTCGCCCGTCCATCCACCCATTTTCTCCGATCCATCCACTATCTAGTGAGTGTGGCGCTCCACCCACACATCTATGCCCCCCCTTCCGAGTCCACGCGCTAGACACGGAAGCCCATCCCAGCGACCGCAAGCTACGTACCGACAGAAGAGGGATTCCGGTACGTATCTCGACACACCCTAGCCGGGTCGTCTACGTACATCAATCCACAGATACGTACTCCCCTACCTTACCCCTGGCCCCGGTCAACTTGTGTGGGTGAGACATGCCTGCGTGGAGAGGGAAGACGAGTGAGAGAGAGGAGACGAGGGGACGGGGGTTCGAGGACGAGGGTCCGTCTACTCAAGGTGCGCTAGGGTCTGGGATGGTCTGGTCGGGTCTGCCACTTGACTTGGTACTCGGTGTCCTGTACCATCGGCCTATCGACGACTTTTATCTTGCGCCAGTCGGTTGATCTTGGTCTCTTTTCTACTTATCCCCCTTCACCACCCACATTCATTCCTCTCTCGTTATTTCATGATCGACACTCCGTTCGGCTACAGCGCGCTGTGACCTTTTCTTCTTATGACCACTCGGTTCTTCCTTCTTTTGAGACTCGACATTTGGGAAACACTTCGACCTGCACGAACCATCCCGTCCTTCCTTTAAACACAACAACTCAGTACCCATCAACCGTCTTCGAGCCCGTAATAACCAAACCAGTCAGCTCTATCACGCCTTTTCGACCCTCCAACGATATCTTTTGAGAACTGAAGAGAGAGATTGAAACACTCGGGACGAGTTTCATGTACAACTAAGACAACCCACACTTTCACTCACCGAGTCATCAACACCTAGACGGTCATTGTCCACCAACGACCCGTCGTCCTATCCTTCACACAGAAGAAACTGAAACCCACCGTCATTAGGCCAACTGCCCATCACTCAGTTCGAAAGAACCTCAAAGTGTGCAACATCAACAACGCAACAACACGCAATACACGATTTAATCAGTGAAGGCGGACCTCGAAAACCCCGCCGACTAACACCCCAGCTCAACACGACAAACTTGTCTGGTGCGTTTTGAAATGAGCAATGAAAGAACAACGGATGGAAGAAGCTAGGAACTGATTATCAAGTAGACGCATCACAATGGACGCAACCATGATGACGGCCCAGGCAATGGGACAAGCTCCCTTCCTATACTACCGCCCCGAACAGAAGCTCGACACCTCGAGGCACCGCGGTCACTTTTCTCAGCAGCCCAACATCTCCCAGCACATGGCCATGTACCCCATGGTTCCCACCCTGCCTTCAACGCCCATCTACTCGCGTCCCAACTCGTCCTGCTCCCAGCCCATGGGTCCCACGCTGTACAGTAACGGACCCGCGAACATGACGCCTATGGCTTCTCCTCAACCCATGAGCCATAAGCCCGCCATCATGCTCGAGACGGAGATCTACAACGAGAGCCTCTACTTCCCTTCGACGCCGCCGCTGTCGACGTGTGGCAGCACCATCAGCAGCCCCAACGCTAGTTACGATCTCCTCCAGACACCGATGAACCCTATGTTCTCCGGTCTGGATGGCCTCGACGGTATGGATGGCTTCAAGGAGACGCTGGAAGTGCCTGAGAACCAAGCCGTAGACTGGAGCAGCTGCGGGTCACCCCCGATGACACCTGGTAAGTTACAATCTTATAGCGTGAAATTCCCGCCTCGTTGCGCATCGAATGGGCCCTATTTGCTTTCACTTTGCCAATTTAAACACTTTTGCGCTGCATGGGCCTTGGCGGGTTTTTTGACCCCATTCCCAGCGGTCTGGGTGGTGGTTGCCGGAAGCAAGTTTGGCGGGGCACTTCGTGGGATTTACTTAGGAACGTTTTTCGGAGGCTAACTCAATTTGGCAGTCTACCTCCAAAACCAAGCAGCCCAGGTCCCCTCGCTTAACACCAACACAAGCGACCTCCTGTCCACCGCATCTTGCCCTTCGCTTTCTCCCTCACCCTCACCGTACGCCAGGTCTGTCGCCTCCGAACAGGATCTTGACTTTTGCGACCCTCGCAATCTTACTGTCGCTGCTGCACCCAACACCTCCAACCCGACCTTGGCGCCCGAGTACTCTGCATTTACCCTCGGTGATGAGCTCAGGAGTGAAGTTTCTGCCAAGACCCCTACCTCGGCCCCTTCTCAACCGACTTTTGACTTCAACCCTGCCATTCCTCACGGCCTGCCCGCATTTGAGGACCTGAGTGACTTGGAGTCCGAGGACGACTTTGTCAACGGTCTCGTCAATCTCGGCGACGCCCATTCTGCTGAGGTCCGCCGCCCTCGCGCCTGCACCGGCTCCAGCGTCGTCTCCCTCGGCCACGCCAGCTTTATCGGCGAGGAGTTCAACTTTGACGAGGCTGAATTTTCCGCGCCCGCCTGCCTTCCCAGCCCTTCTTCCTCCTGCTCGGACAACGACTGCCACCAGGTCAAGCGTCGCAAAGTCGTCAAGGAGACGAACGAGCCTGCGCCCAGCATGAACGCAGCCTCTGAATCTTCCCAGGCTGCCAGCAGCGAGCAGCGCTCCAACAGCCAGGCCCCCGCTTCCGAGGCCAACAGCTCCTCCGACTCTGAGTCCAACTCTGCGCCTCTCCCGGCTCCCGTGAACCGCCGCGGCCGTAAGCAATCTCTCACCGAGGACCCCTCCAAGACTTTTGTCTGCGAGCTTTGCAATCGCCGTTTCCGCCGCCAGGAGCACCTGAAGCGTCACTACCGCTCCCTCCACACCGGCGAGAAGCCTTTCGAGTGCCACGAGTGCGGCAAGAAGTTCTCCCGCAGTGACAATCTATCTCAGCATGCCAGAACCCACGGCAGTGGCGCCATCGTCATGGAGCTCGACGACTCAGCCGTCCACTCCTTTGACCACAGCATGATGGGTCACCCCGAAGACTATCACACTCTTGGCAAGGTTCTCTTCCAGGTTGCCTCTGAGATTCCCGGAAGCGCCAGCGAGCTCTCCTCGGAAGATGAGAACAGCAAGAAGAAGCGCAAGCGCTCCGACTGAACGGTCTGAGTGACTTGTTTTTTTTTTCGCATTCAATCTCCAGAATCGAAAGCGATCAATCATCGCTCCCGATCATGCCCGATACGACTTTGATGACGACAACTTGTTTTTTTTATTTTTTCCTTCTCAGGCCAGCCCCCGCTATATTTTGCGCGGACAGGTCTCTAGGGTAACACTAGGTGCCCTTCCACAGGGGGACCGTCATGAACCACCAGGAGACAATCCGCCTTGGGAAGGGCCACATGTGAAAAGTGCAAGCGGGTTTGGGCATTTCCTAATCAACGCATTGTCTTCACTGTATCAGTATTTGCGACGCCAGACTCGCCGAATCCTTTCACAGGTCTCGGGAAAACGGTCAGCGTTGAAGGGATGCGTTGTTTCAAGGGCAGCATTGATGATCACCAACAAAAGTTCAAGAACGCAAGGGCAAAGGCAAGAGCAATCCGGAACCAGGACAACGGCGTGTAACGGCGGACTTTGTTTCAAACAGACACAGCAGCAGCATGATTGTTTATTCGTTTGGTCTTTTTTCGGAGACAGAGCAAGGGAAGACACAGAGACACTACCCAGACTCAACATCCAATTTTTTTTTTTTGGTAGCGGCCAAAGCGTACTTTTCTCTACGCTCGTTGTAATCTCTCCAGCATGTTCGGAGGCCGGCAGCCAGCATCGCATTTGGAACATGAGAACTTTCTTCTTGTGCGCGGCACCCGATTTTCGGGATCTCCCCTGAGAGTACCCGACTTTGAGTCGTCGCCTTCATGTGTTTACTTTTTTCACCATCCAGTTGGATTCTTCTCGTTTGCGCTCTTATCTGGTTGGTCGCGGATCCAAATCATTTTGAGAGAAGACGGTGGAGGCGGGGGAGGAGGAGGGGTGTTTGGAGTGCTGGTCACCTCATCATCGGACAAACAGAAGATGCTTTTTACTATTTTCTTTTCGCCGCAAAAACAACTTTGTAAACCTGTACACACAAAACACATTTCTGAACACCACAAAAAAAAGACAACACTTTTACGCGCTGCCAAAAATGAACCTTTTCTCCCTCAATGTGTGATCTGACTCGGGCGCGAACAACGTGACAATGTTCTAGTTCATCGATCGATGGGGGCTTGACTCCCACATTCCTAGACATGGTCTGGTCCAAGACACCTGGGTTCCAGGCCGGATGCCGTCATGCGTGTTCACCAATCGGATGTTTTCTTACTTCTTTTTCTTTCTTGCTGGGCTTCCCGTTCCATTTCTCTATTTCTTCTTCCTAGTCTTTTCTTAGGTAGGCATTGTCTTGTCTCGCGGGCGATCGCTGGGCTAACACCACTTCCGCAGTACAGAGCTGAGAGTATCCGTACACTTGTTTATACCTACCTGCCTTAGCGCCGCAGCCTTAACCGAACGAGTCCTCCACCCTACCGACGCCCCATTGGCCCCCTCCTCCCCCTTCAACGGCGGACGGCATTTGCAGTGACGTTTTTTTTCTTCCTTTTCTTTGTCGGGCACTCGGGTCCAGGGCGTTGGTCTCACTTCCTCCCGGGGAACCATACCTGTCCGAGAAAAAACTAAACTTGGGTGCGACTAAGTGGGTTTGACTCATCACGTAGCCTGATGGCTGGAATTGAGGGGCAGGCGCTGGTGGTTCGCGTCTTTGTTTGTCCCGGCCTAGGTACCTTACTACGGATACATAGCTAGGTAAGTAGTATTTAATGTAGGTAGAGAGGCCCGCCGGGAGAGCTCCCCCTCCGCCCCATCATTCTCGGTCGCGGACTGAGGTCCGGCTGTAACTGTTCCATTTTCACGAGTCACAGGTGATTTTTTTTTTCCACTTTGGACAAGTGCGGCGAAGGCAGCTGCTATGGCCGACAACACGTGCATTCCGGCGGGTTTGGCAAATCTGCCCAGACAGCCTCTTCCCTGATGGGAAAAGGTCCACCAAACGACTTTTTCGTCTTTAGCAGCATGAAAAATGAGGAGGTGTCGTTGGCTGAGTGGACTTGATGGACCACGTGCTGCAGCCCACGCATTTACATCTCCACCGTACCCGGGTCTGTACACTGCGCATTGATGCGTAGCAACAACAACTGGGACCCAGGACTAAAGTCTCACCGCAATCATGCCATCGACGGTAAATGGATCGGGGATTACGGGTGGCTTTATTCAGACTTCTGTCATATTCACTTGTTTGCTTCTTTGCATGGCGGGGCGGGGGATGATGTGATGTTGGACGGTGGGTGGGTTGTTTTTAGAAATAAAGGCAATGTAGCTATATGTACGAGTACCAGGAAAGAAAAGCCGACGGTCAAAGCTTTTTCTTTATTCTGGTTCGATGGAACGGCACGGGCAAACCAACCATCTTTGACGGTTGGCAATTAATGCGGCGCGAGTCGCAACGGACATTGTCAGCTGTTTTGTCAGCAACGACGCATTGCAAGGTCGTATAGCGCGCTGCAAAGGACGCTGACCGACCACCAACCGATACGAGAGAAAATAGAGGGTGGGGAGGGCCGGCGGCGAGAGTGGGGGAGTGATATTGCTTCGTTCGGTTGGGTTGGTCGATACGGATATTGCCATGTCGGCACTTTTTTCTTGTTCAAAGGTCCCTCGACTCAACCCCGGACAACCACCGTAACACAGTACAACTTTACTCTGCCCACCTGCTTGAATGCCTGCCTGCCCGGCTGGTTGGAAAGTCCACCGTTGGTTCCGTTTGGATTTAATATCGAGTCCATCTTGGGGGCCATGTAACCTGGCTCGTGTACCTGACTAACGCCGCGGAACGCAGAAAGTCAATCTCGTGCCTACCGCAGCCAAGCCTCCCACTAGCCCGTGCCACTACGCATCCTTCTTAATCGATAATTCGATATTGCATCTCTACTACCTGCCTGCCTTGCTAGGCTCGCTCGGAGCAGGAAGCAAACGTACATGGGCAAGAGAGCACGGATAAAGATGGAAAATCCGTGTTGGTGGTGGTGACAGGACTATTGGCTCTGTTCATCTTAACGGCCCCCGCGATGGAACGGCAAATTAAAAGAAAATGGCAAAGGAACGTTTAGCAGAACGAGATGTGACGAGACTAATACTTGCTGTTCTCTCTCTCTCACCGCTTCATGAGGATCAGAGGATGTCTCGTGGTCTGAGCTTGAGTACCCAGATGCGTCTCCTCACCTCATTCCCATCTTTGCTCGTTATTTCTCTCTCTCCCACAATAATGAGTAAAAGTTTTCAGGAAAACGTCTTGATATCCATCCTGCATTGACCAAGCTCTCTGCCAGGTTCTCTGATGGACGAGGGGAGTTGGCGGGGACTGTGGATTGATCAGGCCTGCACTTGAGATGATGGACTGGGCTTATCAACAAGGTCTTGTGGGCTGTTGCTTGAAGGATGGTGCTTGAACCGTGCTCGTGGACTATTCACTTCCCTCTTTGCTGATATGCACTGCAAGAGAGGACAGCAAGCCTGAGGAAGGCCACTTGATGGATATAATGGCGATGATCCGTTGGCGGGTCTCTCGACGTGGTATGCCTGGGTGACTTCACAAAGAAGTCCTTAGTTGTCTTGATGTTTGCCGATGTGGATGATACCTGACGAAATGATAGTGATCCATCACCACCATCCAACATCCATGGATTGGGCTCTTTTCGCAAGTTGATACGGATAGTCATGCTGCCCTTACCACAGTAGGGCGAATCGGGCATCTCGGGTATACAAAGTCGTCGTGCCGGCGCCCCAGTCTTGATGGATATGTCCCATTGAACCCGCAACCCGTCCATTGCCTCTTTCCCTCCACCTGGCACTTCTGTCTTAAGCGAGTTGCTCACGAGTCGAGCTTTTCTAGAATCCTACATGGAAGTCATGGACGAGGGGTCGGCGGTGTAAGGTTGACTGGAGGGGGGAGCTGCCCATCAGCCCATGAGGCATGAAGCGAACTCCAGCAGCAACTCCAGCGCAATCTTGGAGCGGCCCGCCCAGACGAGGGGTATCTTCAGAGCAGACTCGAGGTGGAGGGATCTCGGGAGAGCAAGAGAAGTAGAGGGGATACCTCAGGCACAGACCTACCTACCACGGCAGGCCCGCTAATCTACAGGCCCGTCGCCGCCCGCGACCCCAAGGTTCCCCTCTCAGGCCAGGCCAGGCCCCCTACAGACAGCGGAGTTGAGGATTCCCTCATCCTGGGAACCGAGGCGTTCGAGACGACCGGGCCCCCGGGCCAGGTTTTGGAATTTCCTCAGGCCGAAAAGCCCACCGTGGTCGACCAGTCCCGAGGCCCCAGCGCCGCGGAACCGACCGGGGCCCACGACTAATAACCAAATTACCACCTTCCCCCCCCCATGAGCCGAAGGTAACCCAGACAGCCAGCCCAGGCCTGGCGAAGAGGAGAAAGAACGGCAAACGGGGTATTGGAATTGGTTTGGCCAGTCGTTGTTGTCGTCTCCGTCACGGCATTCCCTCATGCAACACGTGTTGTAATGTACCGTATGCTAAAAACCCCCCAAAGGCCCCCGGGCAGCATCCACCGATGGGCAAACAACGAGACGAGGCCGGCCAGCCGGGTCCCGATAGAGGGAATCGCTGCAAGGAATGGCTGGAGGAAAGGGTCTCCATAACTTCTATTGCATACACCTGCCGTGCCGTTTTGGCGGGTACCTCACCACGCCTCACCTTGTACTATGTATACGGAGTACGGAGTACGGATACCGGAACAGGGAATAATTCGACGAGAGCTGGAGGCATCTTGACGGTTGACAACGACCCAGCATCTACCCATGCAATCGAAGGAATTGCGACGTCCATTCCTTACGTCGCATGGAGCATTCTACCGGCGGACAAGTTCCATTTACTGTGAGCGAGGCAGGTACGGATACCACTACCACCACATCAAGATCATTCTCGACCTTCCATTGCCAGTTTACCGTTTTCTCCCGCTTTCCATTTTGGGCTCCATTTCCAACGGGCTGTCCTTATTAGGTAGGGCCCCTTTTTTTTTTTTTTTTTTTTCTCCCCTGCTCACAGGTACTGTAGGTCCTCTCCTTCCCCTCCATACCAAGAAAACCGTACCGGGTTCCTCACTGGCTCCGAGTCGTAACATTCAACCACTTCATCACTCATCGCCTTCTATTCGTGGTCCCGGCCTCGCGACGCCGCGACGTCCCGAATACGGTGCTCCTAGTCATTCAAGGATTCCCTTGAGGTCTAGACGAATCTGTCATTCCCCATCTCGCCATAGCTCCGTGGCATGCAAAGACAGACGGGCCCGTCAATTTCGGACCACTGACTATTGCACAAAGCCTTCCGCGCATTATCATTCACGCCCAGACGCACACGCCAGCGCGAGGGCCTGCACAGCACGGATCACGGGCACAAGGCACAAGGCACGCCGCACATACACGGGCGGCGAGACGCACATGCACGAATCCCCAGTCCTACCGTCTGCATAACATTGGACACCAGGCTGAAGTCTGCCTGCCATGTCATCCGAACAGCTCAATGTCATCGCCCTGGTCTCGGGCGGTAAGGACAGTTTCTTCTCCGCCTTGCACTGCCAGAGAAACGGGCACCGACTCGTGGCACTCGCTAATCTCTTCCCCTCCGCCTCCGTCGGCGCCGGCCCCAACGCCACGCGCTCGGCCCCAGGGACCGTCATTCACAAGCCCGCGCGGGATCACGTAAAGGATGAGTCTACGCGGGTGGAAGAAAAGCAGGAAGAGGGGGAGGCTGGTAAAGGGGCCGACGACGAAGCCGACCTGAATAGTTTCATGTACCAGACCGTCGGCCACCAGGTCATACCCTTATACGCAGACGCCACCGGATTGCCGCTCTACCGGCAACCCATCTATGGCGGCGCCAAGTATGAGGACAGAGACTATGATTCCCATGCCGTGCCGTCGCGTGACGGCGACGCGGGTCCCGAAGTCGACGCGGACGAGACGGAAAGCATGGTGCCCCTCCTCCGCGCCGTCATGGCAAACCACCCAGAGGCCAACGCTCTGTGTGCGGGAGCCATCTTGTCCACCTACCAGCGGACGCGCGTGGAATCCGTCGCGCTACGCCTAGGTCTCACGCCGCTGGCGTACCTGTGGAAGTATCCCGTGCTACCCCCGGTGGTTTCGGGAGTCGTGGAGGACGCTCAGCTGCTTCACGATATGGCGGCCGCCGGGCTCGATGCGAGGATCATCAAGGTCGCGAGCGCGGGGCTTGATGACGACTTTTTGTGGGAAAAGGTGAGCAGCATCACGGGCGCGTCGCGCGTCAAGCGTGCCCTCAGGAGGTTTGGCGCCGCCGAGGGTGCCGTGATAGGCGAGGGGGGCGAGTTCGAGACGCTCGTGCTGGACGGCCCGCCCGGCCTGTTCAGAAAGGCCATTGAGGTACCGGAGTCCGGCAGGCGGACCGTAAAGGAGGGCGGCGGGACGTCGTGGTTGAGCTTTCAAGGGGCGAGTGTCCGAGAAAAGCGAGCCCCTGACGCGGGCACGGGAGAAAGCTGCTCCCCGCCCCGGGTGCCTGATGCCTTGGATCATCGGTTTCAGAGTATCCTGGATTCACTGCTTGCGGCTCGTGATAACCAGGTATCGATATCGGAAGAGACACCATCCGTCGATGGCTTCACCAAGGATGATGGCAGGACACCGGTGCTGCCGAAAACACCCTCGGATGATATCCACTGGTCTTTTGGTGCTCAAGCGGGATCGGGTCAGGGCTCGTCTGTCGAGCAGCAAACCGAGGACATAGTACAGCAAATTCGGAAGCTCCTTGCTGACCACTCTCCGCCGCTACCCACCACGGCCATCACCAATACTATTATTGTCCTGGAGTCGATGTCGGATTTCCCGGCCATCAACAAGATCTACAGCGAACTGTTCCAGCACCCTAATCCTCCGTCCCGAGTCACAATATCTTGTGGCGATCTGCAGGCCGGAAATGCCATTGACGTTCACCTGACCTTAAAGCCAGCGTTGGAGCCTCGTGAGCGGAATGGGCTTCATGTGCAGTCAAGATCGTACTGGGCGCCTGCCAATATCGGCCCGTACAGCCAGGCTATCGATGTGCCCCTGAGGAGCGGTCAAGATACGACACACGCCCTTGTCAGAGCGGTGACGATTGCAGGCCAAATCCCGCTCGTCCCGGCGAGCATGGTCTTGCCCACGGAGAAAGAGGGCAACATGGAGATGCAAATTGCACTGTCTCTGCAGCACCTCTGGCGCATCGCCACCGAGATGAAGGTCCAGCTCTGGACCAGTGCGGTGGCGTACTTCCCGCGCACGCCGAAGGAGGCGGACATGAGACGGCAAAGCCAGCTTGCCGAGGCCGCGTGGAAGGCCGTCCACAAGGACGACGAAGATGAGGACGGAGAAAACGACGGAAGCGGGCCCGACTTGTGGGACCGCAAGTTCAACCCGGCGTACATGTCGCTTGGCGAGGACGCCGCGGCGGCGCAGAAGCTCCCGGATTGGTCCTCCATCGCGACGGCCGACGGAGATTATGGAGAGGCCGACGGGCCCGTCCCCCCTTTCTTCTCCGTCGAAGTTGAGGAGCTTCCCCGCCAGGCCGGTGTCGAGTGGCACGCCCACCTCGGCCTCGCGCGCGTCCCCTCGTCGTCCGTCGAGTACCGAGCCTCGGACCTCGCGCCCTCGACCGACGTCCCTTTCTACAGACGCGTCTGCCACGTCGTGGTGTCGGGGATGCTCGTCCACTCCACCATCTCCTGGCTCGCCGTCTCTGGCCCCTCGACGCGTGCGCCGGCTTCCTTTGCCGAGGTGGAAGCGTGGATGAGGCGGGCGTATCGCGAGTCCGTCGGCGGCGGTGGCGAAGGTCATGGGCGGACTGCGGTAGACTACCCGTATCTGATGTACCTCAACGTGCCAAAGTGTTCGGTGGCCGCGGCGGCCCCGGCTGGGTCTGGGGAGGAAAAGGATAGCATGACGGCGTATGTCAAGGCCAGGTCGATTTGGGGAGTCGGTGGCGAGGAGATACTCGCTGTTGGGCTGTGGAAGTAAAAGTGGCGACTTTCTATCCGCAGAAACAAAAAAAGTAGTTATATTGGCAAGGGGGTTCAACCAGAGTTGTGTTTATGTGACTTGATCGTGGTTTCTCTTCCGGGGAGATAGAGGGAGGAGCTGAGTTGCGCCGACACAAACACAGTTTTCAGCCTCTTGTGAATTTGCTATATACTCCAAGTCCAGGATTTTGGAAGGGCATGGCCTGTCTCTCAACTCTCAGATCCCGACTTGTCAATTTTCCAACGTCCTCGCCGCGCGAACCCACAGAAGTCGTGGCAGAATTGTGCTATGCCCCGTATCCTCTGGTAGGAAAATCACACTAATCTCGTCGACTTGGTGTTTTTCAACTTCAATTTTCAACGCTCGGCAAGAATTACAAGGTTTTTTGTTTTCTTCATTTTTTTCTCTATGAAGGCCCCGAACTGAAAACCGAAATAGGGGAACGTCTCTTGTCCAAAACGAACCCGGATGTCTACTGCCGGCTGCAAAACGTTGAGCAACAAAGACGGACGGGAGTGAATGGCGTTACCTGCTGCTCTCGACGACAACTCAACTGGTGTATGTGTATACATGTTAGGCTTGAAAGTGCGAATGCGTCATCCATTACCCTGTAGATAGGAACTGAGTAGGAAAGAGAATCAGAGGCAGTGAGGCATCACGATCGCCATTGGCCATACAGGCTCTAGTGTTGAAGGTGCTTTCTTCTACCTCGAGCTGCTCCTCAGCTATTTTCAAGGATATGAGACGTATACCAAGGAGAAAACTCTGACTACGTGGGAGAATAGGAAGAATTATTTATGCTTGGGCCGTATAATTATTGTCTTCATCGTCAAACATCGTTCTTAATAGTCTAATTAGCAAAGCCCAACAAGCTTGCGATACCCCAAACTCCATGTTGCTCCCGCGCGCTTTCTCCCTCTCAGGCGCTCTGAGGATCACAGCCTCATAGCTGACATCTTCCAATCTTATATTTAATTGGGCTCACGTCGTCATTCAATCGTTTAGATATCTTTACTGCCTGATTTCTCTACTACAAAAAGCACTTAAATACATGTACGGGACTATGTACCTCGTCTATTTAAGACCTCCTCTCAAAGCCTGCAAGGTCATAAGAGTGGTTCAGGGTGTAGAATATAGACTAGTAGCCATCACCGCTAGGAGTTGCAACAACCCTAGCGATCCTGAAAATCAAGCCGGAATCAATATCAACGGGGAAGTGTCCCAATCTCGGTTTTCAAAATCGATTTATAAAAGCCTGCTTCTCTATGTCCCCCTTCTTTTCCGTAGTATTCAGTGACTAAATACTAGCTTTCGGGCTGCCGCAGTACCTAAGTTCAGAACCACGGTGACCATCTGCAGAGAAGTGGAACAAGTCAGGGAAGTTGTCGGAATGATCGAGGAGATCTTCAAGTGTGTGTTGGAGGGTCGAGTCGTCACCCGTGCGGCCGAGAAAGAGCTGTATCAAACGGTCTCGGATTGTAATGGACCGGAAGTAATGAACGGCAAGGCTATCCTCCCTGCCCTGCGGACTTATTTCAAACGACCTGAGCGAATACATGAAACTATCTGGTCAGAGGATCGTTGCCATTAGAGTAAGGCTTCACGTATCGACTTTTGCGACGTACGAGATGGCATTCTCAACAAAGTCTCCAATCGTGACAGTTTGAGCTACCTGTCAGTCGTTGTGCAATCGATGGCCGAACGGCCTCGAAGCGCTGCATTGGCTCATCATTGTGTCTCTTCGGGCCGGCGTCGACCCAGGACTTTACACAAAACCACAAGACGACTCCGCACTTCGAAGGTCCCTAAAGGTCACATGGGAAACTTCTCAGAGAGGTGCTTTGCTTCCGATTGAATTCTCGATTCTTCACACGGGCAAGCCTGATTAGGTATGGTGAGGCAGCACTCCGTAGGCTCCAATGAGTGAATTGTCCGAGAAAGACTAATGAGTTTGCAAGATAGCAATTCATCTCCGCTGTGGAAGGATGGGTGACATCGTGCTAACTCTAGGCTGCGAGTGAATGCACGGCGAGATTGAATGCAATGTGAAATATTTTGCAACTCGGGTTTCCAACTCGGAACTAGTCAAAGTATTGACTTTTGTGGCAATCAACGTGGGATTGAAAGTCTTTTTGCTGTTGTGAGAGATAGAAGTGAGGTTGGCGACAGCCCGTGGGCCGGCCGTAGGTGACCCGTACAGCCGCCCCGATAGCCGGTACGATTAGCGACGGGTAGTACCCCGTGCCATCGGCATCGGCGGGGTGAGCGGCTCCCCCCCAGAGATGGCCTGTATCTTGGGATGGTCGGCGACCAACCAGCCGACAGACGGGACCCCCTCCGTCCGAATGGATATTAAAATCAGACAAAAGCTTTGGAGGGGCTCGAGCTATGTCATGGGGTTCTCTCCCAAGACGTACACGTTGAAGACGCAGAAACTCGACTCGTCTCGTCTCATTTCTTACAGGAAAGAATTGCACTTGCCAGCCTCATCTTGTCCAAACTCTATCCCTATCCTAGATTTTCCATCACACTACGGATACTACTCCCGCCCTCTCAGTCCTTCACCGTCACCCTTCAAGGTCGGTCCCCTTTACCGCATCCACCGCCGCTGGCCGAAAAAGTGCGCTAGCGAACGGCGGCATTGCATGAGGAAAATGGCACTAACGCACCTCCATTCAGCCGCCTTGCTTCCCATACCTACCGCCGAGCTCAACGGGGAGGAAGTTTTCCAAGACCTTAGTTTTGGGCAAGAAACTTTTAGTGCCCTTTTTCCCTTTCAAACTCGGCTCTCCCCTCTTGATCACGTCACCCGACCCTTGTTCTGGCGTGAGGACGCCATCTTCAGACCCCGTTTCCCGCTCTGTCCTGCCTGTTTGTCTGGGGGCACGCAGACGCCCATGTCTCGGACGTGATGGCCTCCGCCCGCGATGATGCCGCATCGCCGCCGGCACCAGCAGCAGCAGCAGCTCCTCCTCCTCCTCCTCCTCCTCCACCATCGTCCGATGCCCATCAAACACAATCCCAGTCCTCTGCGACCAAGCCGCCGCCGCCGCCTGCTGGAGGGTTAAGTACGCGCTCCTCCTCCTGCGACGGACGCTCGCCAGCGTCGCCGCGCTCGTTCTCCCGGAGGCAGAGCACCAACGAGCGCATCAACGAGATATTAGAGGTACGTTTTAGCTCTCGCTTCTGCATCTACCCATTGCAACCGAGGACTTGGAACTGTGGGACCTCTGTGTGTGTACATTTCCGCATTGCTTGGCACCGACCCTTCTGGCCGCCAATCCAAGGCATTCTCTGAACCCTAGTTATTTCGACCTCGTTCAAATCTCAGTTCCCTTGCTGCTCGTCCCGGTGTTCTGATTCCTTTCCATTCCGGGACCCGTCGCCCTTCATAGTCCTCTGCCAGCCACCCTTCGTACTTCTACTTACACCTCCGTCCTTTGCTCAAACAGACAGCACGAGGCCGCGCACAAGCCATGGGCGGCGGACTCTCAACTCCTCGCTCCGCACCCGTCAGCCCCCCGCGCCACTACTCCCGCGCGGACGGCTCCCACGATGAGAATGTGGGCATCATCTCCCGCGGTCCGGACCGCAACTACCAGAGCATGAACTCCGCGCCGACGTCCACCGTTACCACCACGGCGACTGCCCCGGAGCTGGCCGACATGCGGCCGCGCAAGTCGATCCAGTCGACGAGGAATCATCTGTCGGCGCAGGCCGAGGAGGAGGAGGATGAGGAGGACTACGATGCCGCGGTTGCGCGGCAGGACCGGGAAAGAGAAGCGCAGACGAAAGAGCCGTGGTACACGATCTTGCTGTCCGGCTTCCAGAGCATTGAGCTGGAGAACAAGGGCAGCGTGGCCCGCGATCACCTGGCGCTCGGTACGTATGGCCTCTAGGTCGGGTACCCTTCTGGGGGTAACTTGATCCACGACGGCACATTAGCTCCAACTAACCGCGATGCTCCTCATTACAGAACGAACCTTCCTCGCATGGCTCCGCACATCCCTGGCCTTCGCCTCAATAGGCATCGCCGTAACCCAGCTCTTCCGCCTAAACTCGTCCCTCTCGACCCCGGGCACCGACGACCCCAACAGCCACACCCTCCGCCAGCTTGGCAAGCCGCTCGGCGCGACGTTTCTGGGCATCAGTATCCTCATCCTCTTCCTGGGGTACCAGCGTTACTTCCGCGCCCAGCAGTGGGTCATGAAGGGCAAATTCCCCGCGAGCCGCGGCACTATCATCATTGTGTCTCTGGTGGCTTTTGCCCTGATGGCCGTGAGCTTGGTCGTGGTTGTGGTTGTGAACCCAACGAGCAGGGAGCGGTGACCTTTATGCATTTGAAGTCTACATTTACGCCTATTTACCCTTTTGTCTTGAAATGAGAGCGTCCATTTCCGAAAGCCACATGTTTATATAGCATGTACTTGATTCAGAGGTTACGTAGCAAGGAGCATGTAATATACCCTAACGACTCACGATTTGGAAGGCTACCGTGAAGGGAGTTCCCCGATATAGATGTGAGAAATCGATGCAGAAATATATCACCTGCTCTACCAATCTCTGTCCGACGCGAAGCCATAAAGGGTACCTAATTGCATCAATGGCTTGTTCCAACATTTAGGTGTCCGGCTACGGCAGCTGTAGCTGCTCCTCGACCTACGTGCCTACCCAAGGTAAAATGTGTTTGCATTTCCCCTCCAACCTATCAGATGACGTCAAAAACCGAGGTGCACCTCACCTGCGGGACCCGCACAGAACCACTTACAACCTTCACGGCTACATACACACACACACACACACATCCTCTCTCCACTGAGACAACCTCACATCCCATCTCACGGCCTTAGTACGATCTCTCATCAAACTGGACCCGCACGACATGAGATTATAATACCACGAACCTCAAAACAGGTAGCCCACTTCGGAGAGAGCATCAGGAAAAAAAAATATCTCCAAATCACATAGGACACAGGGAAAAGAAAAAAAAAATGTCACCATCATCAGAACCCATCTCCCCCCCCTCCTTCGCAACAACGCAACTCTCCCTCCTCGCCTCAGAGCTCGCAGCCGAAGTCGCAGAATCATCCGCCCTCGTCTCCGCACACTCCCCAACAGCCCTCCAACGCGCAGGCCTGGCCCTGCCCAACCTCGTCGTCGGCGCCCGCCGCACAGGTCTAGGCGGCCGGACCGTGCTAGAACTCACCCCGGACACCGCCGTCTCCTCCGCCACCGGTGAGCTCCCGGAACACGGCCTCCGACCGGGCGACATCGTGCTAGTCTCGGAGCAGCCCGCCGGCAACGCCAAGAAGAAGGAAGTGAAAGAGCTTGAGAGTAAGGGAGCCCGCGGCGTCGTGACGAGGGTGAGGAGAGAGGCTGTTGGGGTTGCTGTCGATGAGGGGAAGGGGGAGGAGAGGGAGTTTACCGGCCGGGTTTGGATTGTCAAGGTCGCTGACGATGTCACGTACCGAAGGTGGGCTTTCCCCCCTTTGATTCACCTCCTTTCCACTGTTTGTGTTGTTTTTGTGAGTTGTATGCCGGAGAGTTTGAGGTTTGTAAGCCGTGCATCACTGGAGGCCAAACTTCATGCGAGCAGGCCAAGCCGCCCGTTACTGACACCCGGCTATGACCTGGGTCAAGCAGCGATGGCTTCCCTAATCTGAGGCAAAACCAACTTTACATTATGCAAGAGAGAGACAGGACTGACGAATTGCAGAATGAGTCAAACCATGGGGAGGCTCGAAAAGATGACGGAGGCAGAGTACACCGCCTTCATGCGCGTCCTCTTTGGCCTCTCAAGCCCGTCACCGGTGCCGCCGAACCTGGCATCCGACCCTGACCTCTCCAAGATCCAATGGATCGACCCGTCCCTGAATGACTCCCAAAAGGACGCCATCCGGTTCGCGCTGGCATCGCGCGAAGTAGCCCTCATCCACGGACCGCCAGGCGTGAGTCTGCTCACTGTTCCCCCCTACCGTGGGCTCACAACGAGGACGCCGCAACTGACAAAGACCTCCTCCTCCTCCCATTAGACCGGCAAAACCCATACCCTCATCGAGCTAATCCTCCAGCTCATCAAGCTTAACCTCCGCATCCTCGTCTGCGGTCCCTCCAACATCTCCGTCGACAACATCGTCGAGCGCCTCGCGCCGCACAAGATCCCCATCCTCCGCCTCGGCCACCCAGCCCGCCTCCTCCCCAGCGTCCTCGCCCACTCCCTCGACGTCCTCACACAAACCTCCGAGGCGGGCGCCATCGTAAAGGACGTCCGCGCCGAAATGGACGCCAAGCAGGCCTCGATCAAAAAGACGCGCAACGGCCGCGAGAAGCGCCAAATCTACGCCGACCTCAAGGAGCTCCGCAAGGAGTTCCGCGAGCGCGAGCGCGGCTGCGTCAGCAACCTCGTCCGCGAGAGCAAGGTCGTCCTGGCGACGCTGCACGGCGCGGGCGGTCACCAGCTCCGGGACCAGCAGTTCGACGTCGTCATCATCGACGAGGCCAGTCAGGCCCTCGAGGCGCAGTGCTGGGTGCCCTTGCTCGCGGCCAAGAAGGCCGTCTGTGCCGGCGATCATCTGCAGCTGCCGCCGACGATCAAGTCTCTCAATGTCAAGGTGAAGGCAGCCGCGGCGGCGGTCCCCAAAGAAGACGCCGAGAAGCACATCAAGGGCATGACGCTGGAGACGACCCTTTTTGATAGACTGCTCGCCCTGCATGGGTCATCCATCAAGCGTATGCTGACCACGCAGTACCGCATGCACGAAAGTATTATGAGATTCCCGTCCGACGAGCTCTACGAGGGAAAGCTCATTGCTGCGGAGGCAGTCAAGGAGCGCTTGCTAAAAGACCTACCGTACGAGGTCGAGGACACGGAAGATACCAACGAGCCGTTGATCTTCATTGACACGCAAGGGGGCGACTACCCCGAAAGGAGCGAGGATGATGACAAAGACACCGTCAAGAAAGCAAAGTTCAGCTTGCATGGGGAGAGCAAGAGCAATGAGATGGAAGGAGCTCTGGTTCGGCAACACGTCCAGAAGCTGGTCGACGCCGGAGTGAAGCCAGAAGACATCGCCGTCGTGACCCCTTACAACGCTCAGGTACGTCTGGCCAAACCAACCCCTTAATTCCGCATTCGTTTCGAACTGGGCCGTCGCGAAGAGCCGCAAGCATGAAGCTGACATCGGATGAACCGAACAGCTCGCCATTTTAGCGCCCCTGAAAGAACTGTTTCCAGGCATCGAGCTGGGCAGCGTGGATGGCTTCCAGGGCCGTGAAAAGGAGGCAGTCATTGTCAGCCTTGTACGGAGCAATACCGAAGGAGAAGTAGGGTTCCTTGGCGAGAAGCGCCGACTGAACGGTAAGCTCAGGAGTGATGAACCGGCCGTCCGCTGGGAAGATCCCAGCATTCGGCTAACAGTAGCGCATGAATGTTAATGCGCTCTAGTGGCGATGACGAGACCTAAACGGTCGCTGACGGTGATCGGAGATTCAGAGACAGTCAAGAGGTCAGTCTGTTTGAGAAGTTGCTTCTTTCCCCCCTCTTCTCTAGCTGGTTTGGGGCGTTTGGCGCGGAAACCTCTGCACAGATGGCTCAGGCTTGTCCTGAGACATTTGCTGAGCCGCGTCAAACGTTCAACATCTCGGGCCTGTTTCTTCTTTTTACTAACTTGGTTACGCCACAACCAGAGGCAGTAACTTCCTCAAGAGGTGGACGGACTTCCTCGAGGAGAACGCTGATCTGCGTTATCCGGACTTGTCGTCACTTCAAGGGTCCTGAAAGTCCAAATTTGGGATGGTTGGGGAGGCCGCGGGTTGGCGGCGGCACCGAGGGCCATCTTCCATGCAAGTCCCGCCCCTCCCCAATGTCAACCTTTATGCGACGAGAGGACTCGTGGCAAAAAGGACCAGACGATCTGGAATACCGACGAACCGGCTTCGTCGATATGGTGTCCCGCTTGGAGCGACCGTGGAGGGCTGGGATGAATCCTTATGCGATGCGATGTGCTGGTTCCCCAATGTTGCCGAAAGAGGAAAGGCTGCATTGCCCGACTTTTGGCGCGGCGTATCGTAGAATTTTGAACCGGTCGTCAACCATGCTCGCGGCCCACAAGGGGGGAAGGGGTAGGGTACGTCCGTTGACGCAAGTTGATGGGCGCTAGGGCACAGGCTGCTTGCATCGTGTCATAGTCCTGGACCAACGGACGAAAGAAGATCGGAGAGAAAGACTTGGGAGTGGAGGGACGGGGGCACAGGTGTCAGCCGTCAGTGGTCACTGATCAGACGAAGAAATTGGTATCCATGTATGTTTCAGGTTACTTTCCACGACAGCGACCTGTGCCATCCTTGTTCGCGTGGCCAGACCCGCCAAATTCTCCTACCGAGGAAGAGGGTATGCTTGACTTGTATCCGTACGTTGCTTTGAAGACGCAAAGAGATTGTGTGCTGTAAAATTAGTGGTGAATTCGGGGCTCCTTATTACGAAGTAGGGACACTCGTAGAGTCTCGGAAAGCAGATCTGAGGCTGCGGCTGATATTGAGTTTCCCGCACCCCAAACTCAACAGAGCACTCCCAATCCTTATTGGCGCAAAATATCATTTATAATCTGACGAGGGGTCTCTCTTTCGCGTTAGGTAGTCTGAAGCCATGTCTGTAGTAAAGACGAAACGCAGAGTTAGTTATGCTGTAACCCATCTCGTTTCTCTCGCTGCGTGGACTCCGCGTGGCAAGCTCATCCTGTTAGCTTTCGCATCTATCGTTATCAGGGTTGCACCGCATCATCAAGTCGCTCCCAGAAGAACGGTTCATCTCCATATATATGAGACGAGACCAATTCCGGGGCAAACCACCAATTGGATGCGTGTTCCGCCAGCTGCGAGAGCGCCGGCGAGTAATGTGCTTCCCTGGGCCAGTATCACCACCCATGCCGATTATTATACTCGGCTCCTATAGATGCCGGTGCCTATGGGCTCTGGGCTGACGGGCGATCATAAGTCGGTTGTCTCGCTATATGATGCTCCGCCGAGGTCTGCTGGGCCAGCTGATCAAACCGTTGCCGGAGCGGGACAGAATCTCTGATGTTGGATCGATGTCGTATCGGGAGCTACATTGACTGGGTGCGAGTATGTGCGTGGCTTTCTTACCGCCCACGTACCAGGCACTGCATGATGTTTGTTGGTTGTCTACGAGGGAACCGCTCCGCAAGCTCCTGACTGAAGCTATATCATGATTACGGCACCGGAAATAGCTGGATTGTCAAGATTCTTTGACGCTTTGCCATGTGAAGTGCCGGCAGATAGTCATGAACCAGAAAACAAAGGGAAAGCCTACTCACAAAAGAAGAGTTGCTGTGAGTTCATGGTGCCTTCAGCCGTCGCCAAAGATCCCCACGAGTCACGGTGGACAGGCTCAAGAAGCCAGCACGCGCTGCGTTGCGGAGGAACTGTCCACATCGATACGAGTCGTAGAACGGTCGTCGAGTGTCGGCCAAACATGGATTGGCCATTAGCTAGGCAGACAATAAGAAACACCGGGGGCTCTTCTCGACGGACAAATGCCTGCAGTCCATGTGGTTGTTTAGCCTCTCAATGTTGCGATGTGGGGTTCGGTTGGCCTCTGTGCAGTCGTGTGGATGCTGGGCCGCCTCTCGGACGCGAAGATGCTGCGCGTTGTCGACGGGGGGGCTGGAAGACGCGGCCGGGGAAGGGTTTCGCTCCTCCAAAAAGGGGGCCAAGGTGAATTGTGACGAAAACTGCTTCGTTCCTAGAACTTGTGCCGCAGCCTCCAGAAGTTGCCGCTGGTCTGAACCAAGAATAACGCAAGTTGGTGGCAGGTTTATGCAGGAGGACGTGGCATGTGGTTGCAGCGATCCGAGTAAGGAATGCTCCGTCGTAACCTGCGGCTCGGTGGCACATTGGATTCGTCCGGGACACTAGCAATCACATCTCTGCAGCATTGTTTCTGACGAGCTGAAGCTAGCGCTACCACAAGGATGGAAAGTCGTTGGGCAATCGGCATTCGATCAGCTAGAAGGTGGAGTGACTGGCTGTCAGGTTTGACGGCGGCGGCGGCGGCGGCATCCGACCACAAATAAGATAGTGCAAACGACCAGGCAGACGAGAGAAGTTAGTGCCGTTGGTGGCAGGATCCCCGAAATCCAGCATTCCGTTTACCGCAGCCTTCGCTCACTTCCTATTGGGGTCAAGGCAGGCATTCGCTGACTCTAGCGCGGCGTCGTGATATTGGATGACTAGTCGGCGATAGAGGTCTTGGATGGCGGGATCTGGGACGCCATGTGGGTGAAGATGCTAGCTAGCCTTGGTCGATTTCCGATGGTATTGATCAATAGCTGTCAGACTAAAAGTCACAAGCACTGTCGGTTAATGATTGGGATATTATCACCACCCTCGAACAGCATGGCTTTGACCTCGTCCGCCGCTCGTCCGACGACTCGATGAAGGGCTGGGATCCAAAGACGAGACTCGGGAGACAAGGCCTGTCGCTGGTCGATGCCCCCCGTTCGGCATGGATAGAGTCGGGGTTTGGTAGCGACAAGGCCAAGAACCGGGTCCAGTGATGCGAATCTATAGTCGTAACGGGTGGCAATATCCGTTTATAGTGTGGCAGGTTACACTTCAATCACACACTCGGCGATTTTTTCTCTGTTGTTATCGCTATCCGCGGGGTTGTTGCAAAGCGAGGACTAAAAGAGGAGGCAAGTTCTTCTCTAACGATGCGAGCCTGCGAGGTGAACTTGACATGGGCCACAAATCACAGTAATTTGGCGGGACGGGCGGCGGGAGCGAGTTCCCTTGTTAGGCCCCCATGTTGGTGGGAAAAAAAGAGCGGAAGGAAAGACTGAAACAAGACGCCAAATGCGGCAGCTTCTCGGAGCCTGGAGGGGTCGTCGGACGAGCAGTCCGGGTGAAATGCAGCCGGCAGGGCCGGGAATTACCTTTGGGTCCATACTGGGGACTATGGTGGAAGAAGTATTTTTTTCTCTCTCTTCAGGTCTCCTTCTTACTTAGTGCCGCCTGCAGATATCATGTCAGGACCACAGACGTTGTCACGCAGCAGGAGTTCTCCACCCCAAGGTAAGTACTTTCAGTAACGAAGGTAAGGTAAGGTACGGATAGGCTCCTCATCTCACAGCTGTCAGTGCAACAGGTGGGTCGCGCTTATGGGTACGGTTATGGTCACGGTCGTTTAAAAGGCAGGTCGCGTGGATCGCCATGAACTTTGAGGCGTTCGGGAGGGCAAACTGTTTTGCGTCGAGGCTGAGACACAGCATATGATCCTGGAACCGGAACTGCCACTAACGAGATGAAAAGTTCAGCATTTGGCCTTGATCTGGTCCATCGAGTCTCTCCAAGCCAATATGCCGACCCAACGCTTGAGATTCCAAGGCTTGTGTATCCGTATTTTCATAGCCTCTACATACCTTGGTGAGTTGGTGCAACGAGCCCCAGTATTGACCATTTGCATGCCACTTCTCACGATATTCCACTTCATCATGCCCCCCGCCCGCTTACCATCCGTTCCCTTGATCGACGCCTGGAACATTGTTCGCCGTGCCTGTAAATGGACGGAGAACCGACCTCGCTGAATTGGCTGGATGACAGCGTCGATTCTCGAATACGCGCCTCTTCCTCCCACATTCCACCCATCCCTCACATCGCTCATACACGCCCTCTTCCTACATGGGAGGAGTAGGACGCACGATATCTCGAACGTGAGAATTGGTCGACGTCGACGTCCGCCCACGTTCCTCGTCCAATCCCAACCCATTCTCAACCACACAGACCTACCCATGCCCACCACAACAACAGGCACACACACATCCGTACATAGTATACACCCGCAGCTCACAGCCAGTCCCGGCTCTGCATCCCCTGGCGATGGCCTGCTGCGACACGCACAATGAAAGGTGGCTTGACTTGGATGGGCAAGTACACCGAGTTCAGTTGGTGGAGGTGTCACGGTGTATGCCTCCAGCGCGACGACACCACGCCGAGTCCACAACCCCCAAATTCCAAAGGCTCCTCTGGGAGATGCTCTCTCCCAGCCAGGGGGGGCTCCCACGTCCTTACTCCTTCTCCACTGCTCCGGGCGCCCCAAGCATTGGCCTCAAACAAGGGCCATCCCCCGAGCCAGGGAAGCCAAGAACGACATGGAGCAGGGGGCGGCGAGCGAACGGCTACGGCGAAGGCCACGAGGGGCACCGGGGCAGGCTGGCAGCACCAGGACCACCCTGACGAAATGAAATGGAAACCACCATGGATTATGGAATGGGACGCTTCGGCTTCCATTGCGGCTTGCAGTGGTCTTTGACCTCCGACCTTTCCTGCTGCCCTGTCACTCTGAGTCGCTGTCCTGCTCCTCCTCCCTCTCTTTTCGAATCAACAGATCTACTCTGTACGAATATTTCTGTGCCTTGCCATAAGGTGTCCAGAATCGGGGTACGGTCTGCATGGATGGTGGCTAAGGTAGGCATAGAAAACTAACGGCTGGCCTATCCTTCTTCTTTGGTCTTTGCGGCTTGGCCCCATCACTGTATGCTAGACACGGCCAGTACGCACCATTGACGGCGTTCCAATGGTCCGTATCTTCCTGGTCGTGCATGCATACTTGTTTCATCGCGCTAGCATCTGCGTCTGTTCTGCATCTGCCTCTCTGCCTCTTCTTCCGTATCCGTCAGAGCTACCCTTGTCTTTCTACCTCCCCTTCAGGAACCCTGGCTCGTTTGTTGTCAGGTCTAAGGTACCTCGAAAAGTATTTCGTACACATCCCGCGCAAGAACAACCGATACAGATACATGCCATTGCTGTCCCTTTTCTCCCACCCTTCTGTCTCTTTGTTTCTTTTTCTCCTAACTCTCTGCCGCGTCGTGCTTTTTGCCGTTGTAGACACGAGAAAAAAAAGAAGCCTCTTTTGGACCAACCGCATCTCTTCGCTTCTTCTCCGACCGGTCTTACACACTACTTCGTACACTATCTTATTGTCCAAGTACGAATACCTACTTTCCTTGCTCCCTGACCTGCTTCAGGTACCACTACTTTGCTCCCACGTTCCTTGCACCTCTACCGCTATTCATCACGCATTCCTTTCTTGTCGTCTAATTCATACCGTTCGCCAACCATTCTTCTCTCACGCCCTACCTCAGGCTAAGCGGCGCGCTACAACCCGTCCTAATCAACATTGCTCCTCCGACCCGCCTCGCCAGCCTGTCGCAGACCTGCCCGGGTGCTCCTTTGATACATGACGCATGCGCTGCTAGGGTCCCCCCTTCTTAGTTGCTTAACTACTACCCCAATCCTCGATTCCCTCGTGGGTTGCTCTCCTTTATTCGCCTCAGTTCTCGTGCCTTGATTGTCCACTGGACATCCCTCCTTCGTCTTGTACTCAGCGTCACTGCAGCTGTCACGGGCATTTCGCCACCTCTCCGCCTCTCCGACACCGACAGGCCTAGACGACAGGCGGCATTGCTGGCCATATGCACCATGAATCAGGTTCCAGCATAGATCACCACCTGGCCTAGACATCTGGGGCGTCCGATCAAGAATCCCAGCCTGGACTGGCAAACCGGGCATTGGCATTGTAACTAAACAACCCGTCACGGCACGGCACCGGACATCCCGTTGGCATTCCTTTCGGGCCTCACCAGCATCGTCTCCCCTTCATCGCCATTTCCCTTTGGACATCACCAACTTCATGGCTTAAAAGTGGTCGACCATCATAAACAACGCTCTTCGTTCTCCGGCCTCGTTCACACTCGCTCTAGCCTAGAGCCACGCGAGACGTAATCACCAATTGCTGGAACTGCCATGGGCCTCTTCAAGTCGGCCAACCCACCCGCCGCTACTGGCACAGTGCCTCGATCTTTAACGGGCCAGTCCATTCGAGGCAAGATATCAGGCCCGATTCCCATCCCCAGCCCGGTCGACGACGAATTTCCAATGCGCAACCCGGGCACTGGGATTGCTACGCCTTTGACCGAAGGCGACATGAAGGAGCAAATGATGCATCCTCCGCAGGCCGAACAAAGGGCTGGTTCGATCGTCTCGGTCCCTCAGCCCGAAGTTTCACAGCCCCCGAGAGCAGACTCGGTGATGGCACCAACGGGTTCCGCCGGCTCTGGCTCCGGTTCAGCATCATCACCAACGCCTGCGACACACGCCAACACACCTCAGTCACAAAGAAGAACAAACGGATCCAGCAACTTGCGGTATTCGGCTGTGAGCGCGTCATCTGGACAGACGGGCGCGAGCAAGGATCGGCCACAGCGCAAAAAGTCAACATTGCGCGGCGCATTGGGGAAGCTATTCGGTCGCAAAAAGAAGACAGGCTCTCAGGGTTCAACCGACTCGCAGCGCGTATCGACGTACAACGCCTCGAACCAGCACAAGAGCGTAAGTTTCGGCACCGGCTGCTACCGTACCATGGCACTCTTTTCTTGAGCTTGGAAACTGACGGGGGACCAACAGGACACTTCCGGGTTGAGCCGAGTCAAGGAAGCCGAACCAAAGCGATCGGCGTCCTTGCCGATCACCGAGTACGACAGAGCATTGAGGTCTCACTCCATCGGGCCCCAGGATATCACCGCCATTGAGAGTGCGCGCAATTCCATCAATGTCGACCCATCTATGTACCAAGGTCACAAGAGGGCGGCGACAGCCACCACCAGTCAGATTTACTCAGCTCCTTTCAGCAGTCGCGAGGGGGAACTCGCAGGCCTCTCGCCTCGTCCTGCAAGCACTCATGTACGCGGTAGTCGCTTATTCACAGATGATGATGACCCCGAAGAAATTGGGCGAGCCATCACTAGTGATGTTAGCCAAAAGCGCCGATCCAGGAGCCTCAGCGGAATGCGAAACCCAGTAGGGCGGTCTGAAGTCCGGCGCAGAAGCGACGAAATCCGATATTGGAGAGAGAGCTATGACCCAGCCTTCATCGCATCGCCGGCGTCGTCCAATATTCCAGACCATGAAAACCAGTTCATGGGCATGGCTCCTCCCATGAGTATGCCCGAGTCCCCAATCGAGCAGGGGCAGGTGCACACACCACCTCAGCCATTCTCGTTTGGGAACTTGACGCACATGAATGTCATGGCTGGCATGAAGATCACGCAAGCCGCCAGTATCGAGACACGTATAGAGACACTGGAGGAGAGGATGCATCGTGTGGAGGACGTGGTTACGCATTTGTGCAACTCAGTTCCTGGATTCCAAATCCGCATGAATCAACCACAACGTCCTCCGCCTTCGGTCCCAGGGTCGAATCCGTCATCTCAGACGACAAGCACTGCAGTCAATCCGGCACTTCAACAGCTCTCCCGCCAGCAAGCGCCGGCCTCTCGGTACAGTAGCTCTGCGCACTCGAAAGAGTCCCGCACCTCCTTCGGCGAGACGCCCACGTATGTCGGCTCTCTCCAACTCCCCGCGTCAATGAACAGGCCGACGTCGAATTCCACTATCCGAGGTGTAACAAGCCTACCGGCACTGTCTCGTGTCGAATCCAATAGGCCACAAGAAACTTTCACCGCAGATCATTACACAATGCTCCTCGCGCTTTTGGAGACGGAAAGAGCCTCCAGGCAGGCCCTTGAGTCTCAGGTCAAGAAGTTAACGAGACGCTTGAACATGATCTCTGGACCCAGCGGTCACGGCCGCATGTCTCTGCATATGGAGCCTCCCCCAACGGCCAAGTCATTTGGCAGCGTGTCTGCATTTGACCAGGATTCATCCGACGACGAAGAATCCGCATCCAGGAACCGGCGGTTCTTTACTGAAGATTCGGGCGTTGGCACCGGTCCTGGGGACGAAGACTCGTACTCGGAGGTTTTCGCGACGCCACGAGAAGAGCAGCATCACGGCTACGGCGCTTTCGGGGAGGAATTACGCGACGAGGATGAAGACCCCCAGCGGAAGAAGGCAGCCAGAACCTTGTCGCTGAGTCAAATGACGCTGGGCAAGAAACCATCCTCGACGGGAGTGCGGATTTGATCTTTGTTGGCGGCACCATTATGCGTTGTTTACTTTTCAGGTTTGTCATTATACCCCGGGAGATGTTCTCCCACTCACGAGGCGACGATGACGTTTCTGTTCTCGGCAGTCGTTGAGTTGAAGGCTTCTCCGGCTTTGCGATTCGGTACTGATCCCTTTCCCGGAGCTTCTGACGGGCTCAGCATTGTCATGGTAGCGAAATCTTTTCCTCAAAAATTGTTTTCTTCTTTTTTTTTACCCGTATATATGACTATCCCATGTCCTTTCTTGACGATCTGGTTGGAACAGTCTTTATGGGATACATCCCATTGGCGAGGATATTTGGTTTCTTTTTGTCGTTTTCCAAAGCGTTTGACATCTTGCTGAGAGAAGAGGAGATTGGGTGAGAAGATGGAGAGCCCTCCACTGGTGCGGTTGTATTTTGAGGATGACAAACTGCCAGCGGAGGTATGCCAATACGTAAATGGTGATCAATCAGGTAGCCTCAACTTGGTTCTGCAAGTTGTGTGCGTGTACAATAGGAAGACGTGCACTCGGCTGGACATGCATCAGTTCCAATGATGAGAAGACCCGAAGTACTCCGCTGTTTCTGACACAAATCTGCACCACATGTCTGATACATCCCGAGTGATAAACAGCTCACATCTTGTCCGACAAACAAACAACGGGCCTGGCCCAGTCGCAACCTCAGGATCGTCATCTCGTGGAAGAGGACCAGAATGTTTCGAGAACAGTTCATGGGCCCCCAGAACCCCAGCCACCCTGACCGTCGGGCTAAGCGGTGTAACGCGGATTCAGGAAGGCTGGCAGCGTTACTAGTGGCCAAGCTTGTCTATGTCAACATGTGGTCAGCCAGAAATGGGTTGATTACACACTGATGGTGGCGTTTGTCGGTTGTTAGCGACAGCTTAACAAGTCACTCCGCTCCGCCCCGCCTGATTAAAGCCACACTTCCCCCTCAGGCCTCAGCTAAGGTGGACGAGAGCCGACGCTCAGTTAACAGAAGCTCCGTCTAGCGGGCAGCCGTATCCGACGCCAGACAAGTGCAATTGAACTTGTGCTTCCAGAAATTATGGATAGGCAATCTTAGCTGACCCACTCATGAGTCGTTCCGGGTGGCTCCAGCCACTCCGTAAAAGATTTTAGATTGATACGGGACGGGTCTCCGCTAGCAAGCTGAGTGCCCGGGTAGTTGGACCTACGTAAGCAAAACTCTACCTGAACGGACCTGGGATCTACGTCCCCCGCTGCCCGTTATCAGTGGAAACAGTGTTCTGCACAAACAGCAATTGGCACTTCTGCGAACAAACAAACGCACACACCACCGAACCTCTTTGCCCGCGTTGCCCCTCCGAACTACATACGGCACACATATACCCTACATACACACGTCCGTTCCGTCCATCAACCCCTCGTCGTTGTGCGACGCGCGATTGATAGGTATCGCAATTACGTTTCCGGTACGGTTCAGCAGCCAACGAGAGAGTACTCTGCCTTTGCGCTTCATAAAGAAGTGAATCGACCTTTCGTCGCGAAACAGTCGCGCGGCATAGTCGAATCCTCGCCTCCCCTCTCTCCTCTTCGCAAAGCGCAGTCGAAGGAACAAGGAACCGCCCAAGATGGCCGGCTGGGTGGATTGGTCAAAGACCACGCAATCCAGCAACTACCGCGGCGCGACCTCCTTTGCGACTTTCATGATCATTGGGCGTACGTCTCCTGTTCCCCTCCCCTCCCCTCCAACAACGTTCCTCGCGGAGAGAATTACCTTGAATGGCGAGAACTAGAGAAGAACAAGAAAGGAAAAAAAAAGACTGACATTTGTTTCCCCCCTTCAACAGCAACCTGCTTCTTCCTCGGCATCCTCTTCGCCTCCTTCCCCTACGACTTCCCCCTCCTCTGGACCTCGGCCCCGGTCCCCGACACCTTCTTCACCCACCTCGAGACCCATCTCAAATTCATGCACCAGTCTCCCCCCCTCATCGGCCGCCTCCTCAACATCATCGTCTTCACCGGTTTCCTCGGCTTCTTCATCAAGCTCTTCCGCCCCTCGGAGGCAAACATCCTCTTTGACGGCGCTTCCTTGGTGCTCTACCTCATTGGCGTCGGCGTCTATATTACCAACATTGTTAAAGGTCTCCGCTCCGTCAGCGCGGGTATCTGGGACGACCCCAGTTTCACCGGCGAGGTCAAGGACGGCCCCATTACGGGCGAGATTATCCTCGGCAAGGAGGATAGTCTCAAGGTCCTGGCGGCGAGCAATACCATCTTGGCGCTCGTGCTTGTTGGCGTGCTGGTTTTGCAGGCTGGGCAGTGGTATGCTGAGCGCAAGGACCGCGAGGACTTTGCTAAGCTTGAGGAGGAGAAGGGGGCCAAGGGATCTGCGAGTAAGAAGAAGCAGTAAAAAAAAAGGACGTGACTCTTCTGGTGTTGTGGTGAGGCGGACAGTGTTACGCAGCGGATCTAATATTTGGGAGGCTGTCGTTGTTGTGTTGAGGTGCAGCGGCCTGTTATGCAGTTGGTATGCGCTCTGCTTCGACTTCATATGCGTTTAGTGTGGTTGGAGGACAATTGGTAGTGAATGCATCAGCTCGAGCAAAAATTATTCTACGAGGCGCACCATAGGTGGATAGAGGCAGGTTGTGCCTCATTCAAAGTATAAAATATACCATGTCGTAACGCCATTTCTTTTGAATTTTATACTCTCGGGCTCTATTTAAACCCTGACCTCTCGACAAGGTACTAACGACAAGTAAAGAAAATTTCTCCCTCAACATCTAGTGCCATTGCTTCTCTACTGCAGTGCATATGCATATATTTTTTTCCCTCCTTCCCCATGGACGTGAGACCTTTACTCAAGCTTGAGCTGCTCAAACTGCTTAATCGTATCCTCGAAACTCCTGGCCTCAGACTCGAGGTCGACAAGCTTCTGCTTGTCCAGCTTCTGGACGGCCTCGGCGACCTTCTCCTTGTAAATGGGGTCGTTGAGCACCTTGTGCTGCTTGTCAATATTGGCGCGCGCCTTGTCGAGCCTCTTCTTGGCCTTCTCAACCTCGGCATCGAGGTCGACGCGGCCCTTGACGTGCAGGTACACCGAGGCGGATGAGGCGACGGGGAACGCGACGCACCCGGCGGGGCGGGCGGCGTCGGAAGCAATGATGTCGATGCCCGTGACGCCCTTGCCACTGAGGGTCTTGATGGAGGCCACCTGGTCGTTGATGGTCTGGTGAGATGTGGAATCGTGAGACTGGATGATGACTAAAGGTCGTGTTAGTGAGTGATTTCTCAATCTCGATAGCCACGCGGGCAACTTACTCTTGCTCTCTTCTTTCTGGGCGTACTCGCTAATGAGCGATCTCGCACCACGCGAGCATCCCAGAACAAGCTCGTAGGCGGCCTCAGACTTGGGGTCGTCAAACTTGGCGTCGTAGACGGGGTAGCTGGCGATCATGATTGATTTGGTCTTGTCATCGGGCCGGCGAGGCAGACGCTGCCACAACTCCTCCGTGAGGAAGGGCGTGAAGGGGTGGATCATGGTCAACGCACCCTCCAGCACGGTGTACAGGGTCTGAATGGCGCTGGCGGCCTCCTCTGGCGTGCCATCCTTGATGATGGACTTGCTGTTCTCAATGTAGACATCGCAGAGGAAGTTGAGAATGTACTGGTACACAATACCAGTGGCTTGCTGGAAGTCTCTCGCCGCCAGAGCGGTGTTGATCTCCTTTGCGGCGTTGTTGAGCTTGTGGAGGATCCACTTCTCCGCGAGAGTGACGCCAACGGCAGGCTCCTTGACGGGAACAAAGTCCGCGGGTAGATTACCGAGAACGTACTTGGACGCCTGCCAAATCTTGTTGCAGAACTTTCTCCAACCGGTCATGACCTTGACGTCGAAGTTGACATCACCGCTCGTCGACGTCAGTGCAGCCATGGTGAAGCGGAGACTGTCAGCACCATTACGAGGGAGACCATCAGGGAAGGCCTGCTTCTGGTACTTCTCAGCCTTGGCAACTTCACTAGGGTGAAGGTTACCCGTGCGAAGCTTGGCGTGCAGGTCCTCGAGCTTGATACCAGAGATGGCGTCCAGAGGGTCAATGACGTTGCCCAAAGACTTGCTCATCTTGCGACCCTCCGAGTCACGGACGAGACTGTGGCAATAAACTTCAGTGAAAGGAACCTGGCCAGTAAGCTTGATACCGAGCATGACCATTCTGGCAATCCAGAAAAACAGAATATCCCAACCAGTCTCAAGGACGGAGGTAGGGTAAAGTGATTCCAGATCGTGAGTCTTGTTGGGCCAACCCAGGGTTGAGAAGGGCCACAGACCAGAGGAGAACCAGGTGTCGAGAACGTCCTCATCTTGCTCGAGAGTGAACTTCTTGCCAGGAAGAGCAGCCTTGGCCTTGGCCTCAGCCTCCTCGCGAGTCTTGCCAGCGAACCACTGCTTGTTGTCCAGGGAATCAGACTTCTCGCCCTCAACCTTGGCCAGGTAAACAGGGCAGCGGTGACCCCACCAGAGCTGACGGGAGATGCACCAATCGTTGATGTTAGCCATCCAAGCATAGAAACTACGCTCAGACGACTCGGGCTTGATCTTGATTCTGCCGTCCTTGACAGCAGCAACGGCATCGTCAGCCATGCTGCGCATGCTCATGTACCACTGGGGCTTCAGCAGGGGCTCGATGACGTCCTTGGAACGTTCGCAGAGAGGGATAGTCATGGCGTTGTCCTTCTTGTCGACGTAGAGACCGAGCTGCTTGAGCTCCTCCTGGATGGCATAACGCACGCTGAAGCCGGTTAGTTTGCATTTTGCGATGGTACGTCTATGTAGTCACTTACTCGAATCTCTTCTGACCCTGGTACTTGCCACCATTCTCGTTGATGTTTCCATCATCGGTAAGAATGTTGATGAACTCGAGGCCGTGCTTCTGGCCCAGGTTGAAATCGTTGGGATCGTGGGCAGGGGTAAGCTTGACGGCACCAGTACCGAACTCCTTGTCGACGTAGGTATCCGCAACGATGGGCAGCAGACGGCCCTCGATGATGGGGTGCTTGGCCTTCTTTCCAACAAGGTGCGTGTATCTGGGATCGTCCGGGTGAACAGCGATACCTGAATCACCTAGCATCGTCTCAATACGGGTGGTAGCAACCTCGAGATGCTCATCGGAACCCTCGATCTGGTACTTGAAGTAAATCAAAACACCAAATTCAATCTTCTTCTCGTAGCCGGGGACCTCCAGCAATGTCCTTCCGGACAGCTCCTTGTTGATGACCTCGAGGTTTGAAAGGGCGGTGGTGAGTCTGGAAGACCAGTTGACAAGTCTGTTCGCGCGGTAGATGGTGCCCTCCTCGAACAGTCTGACAAAGGTCTCAGCGACGGCCGCGGACAGGTTCGCGTCCATGGTGAAGGCCTCGCGGCTCCAATCGAAACTTCCTCCCATCTTTCGGAGAGCAGCGTTGATCTTGTCGTGGTACTCGCCCTTCCAAGTCCAAACCTTGTCGACAAAGTCCTCACGGCCGAGGTCGTGACGGGTCTTCCCTTCTCTTCTCCAGAGCATGTTCTCGACAACGCTCTGTGTCGAGATACCGGCGTGATCGCAACCGGGGATCCATAGCGTCGTCTTGCCCAACATGCGGTTCCATCGGATCATGATATCTTGGAGTGAGTCGCCGAGTGCGTGACCAAGATGCAGGGCACCGGTAACGTTCGGTGGCGGGTGAGCAATGACAAACTTGCCGGCGGGCTTGACCTTGCCATCGGCGGTGAATTCGGGCTCTGTTGGTGTTGAATTAGCTCACACAAAATCTCCTGCGAGAGGGTGCGCCTAGTCTCGCTTACTGAAGAAGCCTTCCTTCTCCCACCAGTCATACCAGGCACTCTCGACAGCTTCAGGGTGATAAGCCTTGAAGTGGGGGTCTTCGAGCGGCTTGAGGCGCTTCTTCTCTCCCTTGGGGGTATCTTCAACGTATTCAGGGATAGCCTCCTCCTCCTTCTTCTCGGCCTTGGCCTTCTTCTCCTTGTTCTTGGACGCAGCAGGGGCAGCGGCGGCCTTCGCGGCCTTCTCGGCCAGCTTTGCCTTGAACTTAGCGTCCTTCTCGGCCTTTTTGCGCTCCTTCTCCAATTCCTTCTCGGTCTTCACCTTCGGGGGTGCGCCGCTGGTCGCACCAGCATCCTGGCCGGCGGCATGGGTAGCGGACGTCGAGGCAACCTGGGCCTTGGTTTCGTTCGAGACGGCAGGAGGCGCCTCCTCCTTGAGGCCCTCAGTAGCGCCGACTGGAAAGGAGACATATGGTCAGCTCAATGTCTGTGGCACCACGATGGGAATTGACCGCGAGGCATCACGAGAATGTGGGGGTGGGCTGGGAGGAGGGGCTGCGCACTGGGGTTTCCGCGTCCGCTGTCGGTGGCCATGGTGGCACGTGTCTGTAGGAAAAGTCGGAGACGGGGAGGACGTGGACGTAGACTGAGTGATGGAGGGCGCACGCGTAGTGCTCGAAGAAATATTGAGTTGGACGTGGTGGATATGATGGCGAAGAAGCCCGGGTAGGTGGGCTTCGACTGCTGGTACAAATACAAAAAAAATCTCCAGAGGTCTCCGAGGAGGGGCAAGCAACTATGACTCGGCGGTCTGGTTGCAGCACTTCGCCGACTTGACTCACAGGATTGGGCGTTGGAGGAGGAGGGCCTTTGGAGGGGTCATGCAGCTAAAATTCGGTGTGAGCCACAAGCAGGGAACCTCAGGTCCGATTTTCCAGCCACAGACAGGGGCTATCGATGACCTGCTTTATCGATAAGAACCTACCGAAGCAGGGTGCTCTGTCCCCTGGCGCATGTTTGCAGAGGCCTCAGGAAAGCTCAAGCTACAGCCACACCAACCAAGGTTGTTGGATACTTTATCGTACATTCACTCCAAAGAAGCTGGCGCAGTTGCCTGGCCATCACAAAACCTCCACTCGCTCCAATGGGCTTGTAAAGGAAAAGTATCTCATCAGCATATGTGCGTGTAAGAGTCCAATTGACCGCAGACAAAAGCGTTGCAAGAGCTCGACCGAGCTCGAAGGTGCCGACGCCATGTATATCCAGACAGCCATTCCCCGGTTTGCTCAATGTGCCAGACAACCCTCGCTACGACGGGGATTGAAAACGGCTTGCTTTTCTGTCCACGGAAACGACGAGAGCTTGAGGGTGAGCCTACCAAAATTTTCATCTTCATCAAGACTCTGTCGCACTCATGCTAAACTTGTTACCAGGAAGGTCTCATTCAAAGAGTGGCCAAGACCGTCAGGAACATGGAATATCGGGGCCTTAAGAAACAGGACGCGGTTGTAGTGCTTGCTTCTCGGCAATATACGTCATGGCTGCAAGATGATAAGTTCATGGCAGCATTGCTGCAACCGTTCAACAACGGTCGCGAACTCAACGTCCTCGCTGCGGTAGTGGATGGGCTTCACCCCCTTCGTGCATTTGGCGAGATTCCACAAGGATTCTCATTCTTTCATGGCCCGAAGGATTCGGTGATGCCGACCCTATGGCAGGAGGAAAATATTGGCGCGCAGCCTCCTAGCAATGCCAAGTTGAACGCTGCCATTAAATTTTTGTTTGGAGGAAAGAGTGGCCATCTCGCATGCACATTTCCTTTAGCAAATACAATCTTCCAGAATGGCCTTCTGTCGACTCTTCTCGCTAGCCGCTGGCGTATAAACGAAACCGGGGGACTGGACCTGGTCGAGCTCAAAGAGCGGCAAGCTCAGGAAGTCAACATCTCCAACATCCCCGAAGGGAACATGCCCGAAGGGAGTGTGCGCAAGAACTCGGTCGAGGCACCTCTTTTCCCAATCACTCCTCCGCGGATGATTGCGTCGGGCCTCGGTAACATTATCAGACAGGTCGAGATATTTGGCAAAGAGACGCCTGCTTCAGGGGAGCTTGAGACAGCTGTCCAGGAACTCCTTGACAGACGGACAGAAGAGGGCCACGAGCTCCCCCCAGGCCCTTTGGGTGTATGGGGAGTCGTTTGCCCCCCTGGTGAGCACCAAGATAGCTGCCTCGGATATTTGAAGGACTGGTTCGCGAATACGATCAAGGTACAGACCGCGGGAGACGAGTGGAGATCAGCCCTGGAAATGAAAGAGTCCCTCAAATGGCTAATTAAAAGGGGCGCCAGAGTCTACAAGATTCGTAAGTTGAACTCATCCAACAACATGCAACATATCTAACCAGTGATAAAGAGAGTGGTGGGGGTGGTTGGGGGAAAAAGGCAGGCCTCCTTTCGCTAGATCCGGAAACCAAGTATTCCGCTTCTTCCGAGGAGGAGGATCTCGACATCTTCATCCGCTCCTTCGCGAATAGAAGATTTGGCGACGCCGACGGCGTTGTCGGTCCGGGCTCGTACATTCAATACTTTGTCACCCCGCCCTCCAGTGCCAAACCGAAGATGCCACCAGGAGACGTTTCGCAGTTCACCGATTGCTTTGGAATGACTGACGATGCACAATTGGAGGCGTCGTCTCTGAACCCAGGTCCGACGGAATGGAAATCCGTCAGGCAACAATTCGGTGCGGTAACAAGCCATGGGCTTTTCGTCGAATACAGGCCGAGGCCCTCTCCTGGCATGGAGACGAAGCTGGACGTGCCCGGATCGTGGATCGGACATATGGCACTGCCACATGGACAGAGATGGAAGGTAGGGAAAAGTTCCAAATCCTGATTGCAAGTGCAATTGGGCTTCAGGCTCAGATCCAAAGGCTGTCAATGAAGATAGGGAGGGAAAATTTTGCAGTAATCATCTATTTCTATTGAAAGTGAGCTCTGGTGATTCCTTTGCTCATCGTCGCTGCAAGCTTGGACCGGTCATCCGGTGTCGCTGTGTCGAGGGTTTTGACATGGTTAGCAGCAATGAGACAGACACACAAGAACTGACGCAATGCTGTAACTTGCAGCTCAGGTCACTGCAAGTGGATGCACGCGTTCTTTCACTCATACATGCATCATTCCCTTTCAAACACTCGAATTAAATTGACAACTAGAAACTTGGACACAGAATTCCCAACTCCCGCTTCTCAATATGGCTGCAAACAAAGAGACGCCCTCAAAGATTGGAGTCGTCTCCATCGGCGATATGGGAGTCGGCATCGCCAAGCTACTAATTGCCAAAGGCTTCCAGGTCGCGACAAATTGCAAAGGCCGCAGGTGAGTCAAACCCCTCCCTTCAGCGGGCTCCCTACCTCAAACCTAACTGACTCATTTCTCCCGTTCCATAGCGATGACACCCTCCAACGCGCCCGAGATGCAAACGTAGAACTAGTAGACTCAGACGCAGACCTAGCATCCCAGTGCGCGGCCATCCTGTCTGTGGTACCCCCCCGCGATGCGGAAGCCACCGCGGACCGCATCATTGACGCCCTCGCCGGCTCATCGCGCGAGACGCCCCTCTACTTTATCGACATGAACGCCGTCGCCCCCTCGACGTGCAAGTCCATCGCCTCCTCCTTCGCCCGCGCCCGCAGCCCCGCACGCTTCGTGGACGCCTGCATCATCGGCGCCCCGCCCAGGCTCAAGTCCGCCCCCAACGCCGGCACCAACGTCTCTGCCTCGGGCCCACAGACCGGCAGCGGCGACGACGACCCGGATGCGTGGTACGTCCCGGGGATGCCCATGTCCGGCCCTCACAAGCTAGCTGACCTATCGCTCCCGGCGACGGACGCGGCATTCGGCGCTCGCCTGAGCGCCGTCCTGGGCGGGAACCATATCTCGGAGGAGATTGGCGCCGCGAGCGGGCTGAAAATGTGCTTCGCGTCAATGTCCAAGGGCTTCACTGCCATTGCCACGCAAGCTTTTACCTCGGCCCACAGGATGGGCGTGCTGGACCACCTACGTGACGAGCTCGCCACCCGCCTGCCGGGCCACCTCGAGTTTGCCGAAAAGGGGGTCGTGACGATGCCGCCCAAGGCCTACCGGTGGGTCCGTGAGATGGAGGAGATCAGCAAGACGCACGCCGAGGAGGGCGGGTTCGGGCCCGAGTTGTTCGTGGGCGCTGCGGGGGTCTACAGGTCCGTGGCGGAGGATTCGCCCCTGGGCCAGGAAAAGATTGGCAAGAGGAAGAGGGGCACGACGGTCGAGGATGTTGCTGTGGCGCTGGTCGAAGGGTTCGAGAAAAAGAAGAAGAAAACGGACTGATGTTGGCACATGAATTGAGATCACAAGAGGAATGCGATATAGACGTTTTAAGGAGTCGAAAGTAGACGAAAACTTCATCTTGTTCCTCAGTTACATTTTCATGCAGCACCAATATTTGTAATTATTCAAGATCGCTCTCACGCTATTCGTACCATGAACCATATGCTGCCTGCCCAGATCCCCTAGCGCCCCTTACCACCCGTACTATACACACCATGATCCATTATGCGCCAGTCAGATACTCTCATATGGTTAACATCATCGCGAATGCATCACAAAATTCGTTCCCATCGTTCCAATACAGATCTTACAGTACTGATAATGTCAGGTCACCCGTAAGCTTCGCCTTGATATGAACCTCCACATCCAGGTTGAGCCTGAGGTCCACGATAAAGCCTCGCTCGCCTTCATTCAGGATATCGCGCGGATTCTTCTCGCGCTCCGGCCGAGGTGTAGAGAAGTCGGGACCACCAGGAGGTAGCTCGCCCCCGTCCTCGGGCATGTCGCCTATCGGTGCTCTCAAGGAAAGACCCATGTCCGTCCGCGGCCTGCGCGCTGCCGGAGGTCGCCGGAAAGGCTGGAAAGCCGACGACGATGATGATGAGCTGCTTGTGGTATCGGTATCAGATGCCAGCGCGGACGCGCTATTCTCGCCGAGGCGCGGTGTCCTCTTTGGCGCGGCCCGCCGGTTGGATATGCCTGGTCTAAGTGGTACCGGGTCGACTAGGTGCTCATCTTCCGAAGGTATCGCTGTCGATGGCGCCGACACAGGCCTAGGTGCTGCCGGTCGTCTCCTCGCAGGCCTTGAACCTGACTGTACTGAGCCTGAGGTACTAGGCCTCGGTTTGCGGGCGACCTCCTCGACGTCGCCAGTCTCACGCTCACGGTCAGAACCGTCCGACACAGATATCCTCTTTGGATCTGATCCATGTAGACGCGCTGGTCCCCTTCGCTGTTTAGAAGGTTGAGACTTGGGTCGAGGGCGTGATTGTTGTTGTTGAGAGTTGCGCGATGTAAGTCTGGTGTCGTTTTGGTATGATGGCGACAGGCCCTCCGTGTACTGGGCTGGTTCCATCCCGTGTAAGTGATGGAAAGTCTACCCAGTAGGACCCGGATGGTAAATGACGACGGAGTATGAAATGGCTAAGAGTGCGTTGAAATGACCCAGGATGTGCTGAACACCACGATGGTGGTTGCGTATGTCCCCCTGATGTTAGAAGTCAAGGTGTTAGAGCTTCGAGGATTGAAACAAACCCTCGTGTCGCGCTCTGCAGGTGGTTTGTATCTTTCTGTGTCGATCGTCGTGACCACAATTCAGTCGTACAGCGAAGGGCGCAATACTGGCCTTCGTGCTCGGGAGAGTTGATATAAATCTGAATAATCACTAGTAGCCATCATATTGTTGCGTTTGCCCTATCGTCGTTCCGTTTAGAGTCGCCAGGTTGATGGTAGCAATCGGTGTCTCCGTTGGAATGAAGTGTGATCGTGTCCGTGTTCACGGTTCACCGTCGACTCTCCATTCCGGTTGCAACGATTTCCAAGGTTTGAGATGACGATGGGAAGAGGGAGGCAAAGTAGACGCCGGGGCAGACCCAGAGTGTTGTCATGGGGGAGACGGGAGGGTGAGAGGTGCAGACTGGGGGCCGGGGAGTAAGTCCCCACCCCTGGATCCGGAACACCCCCTTATACGGAACAGTAGACCAAAACGACCATAAAAAACATAATTAATCGGAAATCTTAATAACATCGTAATTATATTAGTCTATTATATAAAATTAATATTAAAAAAATTAAAATTCGACCTTTTATTTTTTTACTATTTTTATTATTTAAAAAGAGATTTTTTATACTTATTTTTATAATTTACGAATAATATTAATTTTAATAAATTATTTATTTAGTTTAAATATTATATTTACTTTTATATATGGTTTATAAACTTTTACGGTCTTTTTTAATTAATAAATCCGTTTTTTATAATCGATAATAAAAGTATTTTTTTTATTTAAACTCTTACTAAGTTTAAAAAATAATATACGACTTTTTATTTTATTAATATTAAAATAGAATAATAAAATAAAAATAGTCTTTTTTAGATCGCCTAAACGCTTAAGGGTCGCTATTTTTTTTTTTTATTATTTAATTTTAAAAAACCGGGGTTACCGAGGGCTTTTTTTTTTATAAATAATTACCTTTTTTATTTATTAAAAAAAATTATTAATTTAAAAATATTTTATTAAGGTTAAGTAGTTAAATATTAATTATTTTTTATTTCACGTATATATTTAATATTATTAAAACTTTTTAATACGCCTTATTATAATAATAAAAGAAATTCTTTTTATTAATAATTAAAAAGTTTATAAATGGATATAAAACCTTTATTTTTTTATAATATTTTAATTTTAATATATTAAAAATAGATACGTCAAGAGGTTAAGTTATATAAAAAAAATAAAGTAATAAAAAAATTAAATATATCCTATAGATATAACACTTTTATATAAATATATTAAAATAATAATTATCGTACTTATTTAATATTAAAAAGCGGTTAAAACCCTTATTAACGCCTTTTAATTTAATTTAAAATTTAAAAACGTTAGTTAATTAAGAGATTATTATAATATTATCTATTTATTTATTTTCGGTTATATTAAAAAACTAGTTTTTATAAACCGTAAGTTCGTTAAAAAATTATTATTATTATATTTTTTTATTTTTAAATAAAACTAAGGGCCGAAGTACTACTCTTATTATTAATACGTACTTAATTATCGTTATTTATATACGAGAATTAAAATAGTATATATAAATCGAACCCTTTTTTTTACTAAAATTTAATACTAAATTATTAACCTTTTAACCTTTTATTATCCCGGTTTCGTTTATATTTTATATATTTTATAATAAAATAACTTTAATTATAAAGTTAATATATAAATCGAAATATTTTAATAAAATTTTAATAATAACGGTTTTAACGTAAAAGCTTTTAATAAATTTATTTTTTAACATTTTAAACTTTAAATTTTGTTTAATAAAATACTTTAATTAATATTTATTAAAAGGTTAAAAATCGCCGTTTATAAAAACGATTTTAATAATAAAAAAGTATAATTAAATATAAATTAAAATAAAACTAAAAGAACTCTATATTAATATTTAATTAATTAAATACCTTTTTTATTTTAATAATAATCGTTATAAATATTTTATTAACGTTTTTTTAATTAAATCGCCGTTTTAATAGCGATAAAAAGTCGTTATAAAGATCCTTTAGGCTTAAGATATTTATTATATAGGCTAATTAACTTATATATTACTAAAAGCTACGATAATATCCTATTTAATATATTTAATTATTATAAATATATTAGTATTTTTAAAAAATTAAATTTTAATATTATAATAGTTTAATTAATAATAGTGGTGTTATAGTATTGGGATATACGATAGAGAAATCCTGTTCCGAATGAGGGGGTGTTCCGGATCTAGGGGTGGGGACTTAGCAGTGGGCAGTCGAGGTGCGAGGTGCCAGAGCTTCCTGCGACGCGGGCGCGGGCGAGGTGCATGCACCCTGACGTTGCAGGCCGGACGTGCATTTGGCGGGGCAGGCACCTGGGGCGATTTTCTTGGTTTTTGGAGACCGTTGCCAAGTTGCATGTCACATGCATGGAAGGCCCCGGCGATCGCAAACTTGATTTTTTAGGGGGCCGGCGTTGCGGCGGCTCAGTTGTTGGCCTAACCAGATAGGCATGTCCCTTGTTTTGACGACTACGGCGGTACCTTTTACGGGCACTACAGCCAGTCTCACCCACACGGCATGCCGCATATTGGTGCCGTTGTCCAAATGGGAACAGCCGCCATCGACAACTCGTCCATATTCCAAGGGAACAAAGCGGCGAAAACGGGGATCTGCAAACCTTCCGAGTAACATCGGCAGGAAAATTTCGGGAATTCGTCGGTGGACCTGGAACCACGGAGGCAATGCCGAAGAAAAGGGTCCAAATCCTTGATTGATGCACTGATTCTCCTGAGTCCCTGATTTCGACACTGCGTGGACTATAATCCGGACCCTGACCAAGTTCTTCAAACTGATGGGTGTTAATGTTGCCTACTATAGTTAAGGGTACACGATGATATTGGTGTCGGCGGACAATGGCATTTTGACAATTGGCTTTCCACGTGTCTCAACCAGGCTTTTCCTCTCTCGCAGCTTGGCCTCGTGACGGGTCCGAGACATTCCGTGCAGCATAAACCAAGGTCAGACTGAGCTGGACCAGGTTTTACTCAATCATATCGATATCGTCGTTCGTAGCGGGCACCGCAGCAGCCGCAGCGCCACCGTTCGGCTGAGGCGCAGTCTCTCCGGAGTTTCCTCCGCCAAAGTAGTCCGCCATCTCGGCATCCAGTTCCTCCTGGGTCTTCCGAGTACGGCCGTCTCTACCCGAGCGGCCGCCTCTCCCCCCATCTTGATCTCTACCGCCGTCTCTACCGCCGTCTCTACCCCCCTCCCTACGAGCTCCAGGTCTACGTCCACTGTTACCGCCACCATTCCCGCGCCGCCGGGGGATGGGGCTGCGCGAACGGTTTCCCGGGACGTATCTGTCAATACCCCTCTCAGCAGCTTCGTCGACGTCATATTTTCTCCCAGGAGACATGGATCTCAACCGGCCACTGGGAGCAGAGATACGCTCGGCAAGTGGACGGCCCGGCATCACCGCCGAGTCGAAGGGGTTGCGAGATCGACCGCCCGCTCCGCCAGCCATGATTGATAGCTTGATCGGTTGGCCTGAGATGTCAGTCTTTAAGCTGCCATTGATGCAGGAAGGGAAAGAAGCACGTACCGTTAGCATTAGCGCCGTCAAACTCCTTGATCGCATCCAAAGCATCCGCGCGGGACTCCATCGTGACGAAAGCAATGCCTTCCGAGCGGCCAGCGCGGTCATACTTGAGGTCCAGCTTTGCGACAGGGCCGATTCTACTGAACAATTCCTGCACGAACTTAGCCTGCGCGACATTATTCGACACCTTCAGGGGCTCGTACCTCCAAATCCTCTGGAGTCAGCTCGTAGTGGATGTTCTCGACACGGATTTTTGAGGAGCTGGAATCCCTGCGACATCAGGTTAGCGTATGCTTGTATTATCTTCTGCACTAAACTTGCCTTTGTTCAGGCTCATCCCGTCTCCGTCGAGGGGCCGGTGCACGGCGGGTATCTGCTCAGGCTCAGTTGATGTCGCAGATGTGGCAGAAAATCCTCAGTCGTACCGTGTTCTTCGAATCGATCATGGACCCATTCACTATTCACAAAATTAGGTAATTGCCCGCGGGGAGGTACGAGTCTGCAGGATTTACCTATCGAGGTTTCTAGGCTCGTCACGGAAGGACTGTATCGCAGGACGGCGACACCTGTTAGCTAGGCCCTTGCAATCGACAGGTACCGTTCCCGGCCTTCAACGAGACGGTCGGCACGGACCGAAAGCTGCGCGATAGTCGTAGTCGACCGGGATGAGGAGGGAGGAGGGTCATTCAACCTGGACAATCAGCCTGGAGATCTACCAGGTGACAGGTTGTGCATCGCGCCGTACCTTTCTCACGCCATCGCGAGGGTAGTCCTGGCGCTCACGTTCGCGTCTGCGGGGGGCGCTTCTGCCATTTCCACGGTTGTTGCGATGACCGTCGCTCTTCTACAATTGCGTGAGTTAGCTCCGAGGTCGCATATCGTGCGAGGCTGCGGATTCCCCTCCTACCTTTTCGCCGAGGATCTCGTCGAGGCTGCGGTCCAGCTTGTCCGCCATGATGAGTTATTGAGTGGAATTATGTTCAGGAATGAATCGATGTGGCCGAAAAAGTCGAATTGGGCGGTCCAAGTCTCGCCTCGGTATCGTTGGAGGTTAAGTTTTGCTGTAGGGTGTAAAGGGACAGCAGTACTGATCGCGACTCGAGGATCCGACTAGGTACCTTCGGTAGAGGACGGCTGACTAGGTAGGTAAGGTGGGTAAATTACGGATTGACTGGAGTGTCCGACCAGAAGTGTGGCGGAGAGCAGTGGAAGTGTGGCTGAGGACCAGCGACTCATCGCTATGCCTCACTGAGCTAGCTGTAATTGGCTAGCCAAGATGCAGAACAGGAAATCTGAGAATAGCTCCCCGTGTTTGACGACTAGTGGACTCCCCACTACAGGTCTCAAGGGTCCAGTATCTGTGATCCGTCTGACCCAGTAGCCGCCATCCACCTCAAGTCTCATTGTCCTCCACTGAGCCAGTGGAGTGAAAGTCTGAGGACCGCTCAACGCCCCTCGTCACACGCTGGTCGCAAGCTTTACAGGTGCTGTCTCGCCTGTCTCGCCTGTATTGCCCGTGCCGTCAGCGCCCTGCATCCCCCCTGATGTGGGACAGGATCTCGGGCCGGAATTAGTCCTCAAGGGAGATGAAGCTAAGCCCCTTTTGTCGTTTGAAGTGGAACTTTACTGTAGAGCTGTCCTCCCGATGCGCCTCCCTTGAGTTGACCAGCCCGCCAGAAGTAGGAGCCTCGTATCTGGCCAATTTCTTCACTCCCTCAGCGAGAGACACACGAGAAGGAGCGCACAGTGTCATCTTTCTCCTCATCCATTGCACAACCCCCAATTTTCAGGGGAAAAATAACTGTTATTGGGATTAGATTTCGAAAACCTGCGAGAACTCAAGCTCGCTTGCAGCTACGGCGAAGCCAAGCCAACGGCCATCAACAACAACCTCTGATACTTCGACAACCTTTATGACTTTCGCATCGGCCTCCTATCCGTGATATTGCCCTTCATGGCCCGTCCCATGGGGTCAGTTCGCTTGAAGAAGGCGAATCCGGTGACACTTGTTCTCGGCGCTGTTCTTTGCATCTTCATCATCGTCTTTCTCGTCGGGCCCTCCAAGACAACGAAGGCAGAGCCGGCCGGTACCGCTTCCCACCATCTATCGCCACCCACGGCCCCCTATCGAAAGAAGGCCAAGGGTGACACGAGACCGCCGCCCGTCGTCCGCTACAACCTCAACAATGTCACCATCACGACCGATCCCATCGGCAACCGCGAATCCGTCCTCATCCTGACGCCAATGGCGCGTTTCTACCAAGGATATTGGAACAATCTCTTGAACCTCAACTACCCCCACGACCTCATCTCGCTCGGCTTCATCCTTCCCAAGACCAAGGAGGGAAACGCGGCGACGGCGGAGCTGCAAGAGCAGATCACCAAGACCCAGGGCTCGGAGAAGAACCGCTTCAAGAGCATCATCATCATGCGCCAGGACTTTGAGCCGGCCATCGCGTCCCAGGACGAGGTTGAGCGACACAAGATGGAGAACCAAAAGGCCAGGCGAGCGGTCATGTCCAAGGCCCGCAACTCGCTGCTGTTCACGACCCTGGGACCACAGACGTCGTGGGTGCTGTGGCTCGATGCGGACATTATCGAGACGCCGCCGTCCCTGATCCAGGATCTGGCGGCGCATGACAAGCCTGTCATCGTGCCCAATTGCTTCCAGCGGTACATGAACACCGAAACCAAGAAGATGGAAGAGCGGCCCTACGACTTCAACAGCTGGCAAGACAGCGAGATCGCGCAGAAGATGGCCGAGACGATGGGTCCAGACGATATTCTGCTTGAGGGATACAAAGAGATGCCGACGTACCGCGCGTTGATGGCGTACTTGGGCACCGACGAGAAGGACAAGCAAGCGGTGATCCCCTTGGACGGCGTTGGCGGCACTGCATTGCTCGTCAAGGCAGATGTCCACCGCGACGGAGCCATGTTCCCTCCCTTCTCTTTCTATCATCTCATTGAGACCGAAGGTTTCGCCAAAATGGCGAAGCGCTTAGGCTGGCAGCCGTTCGGACTCCCGAATTACAGAGTAAGCATATTCCCCAAGGGCCTCGTTATTGTCGTCGATCGACCCACCCGCTCACAACAATTCAGGTCTATCACTACAATGAGTAATGGCTAGACATCATGATGGACGTGGGCTGGGAAAAAGAAGAAGAAAGAATAAAGCATCACGCCTTTCACCCAGAAGTGGTCAATGGAAAACGGAAAGTGAGCCCCCAAACTCCCCTCCCAGTCGCCAACGGCTTCGGCGACGGTATTACGACTTTTACGCGCGAAACACCTCATTGGGAAGAAAAACCCATGCCCTTTACCAAATGTGCAGATACCCCCCTTCATTCGTATCTTGCCAAACATAACTGCGTTCCGTCTTTTCGGGAGGAAAATGGTGGCAGGGGGGCAAACGAGGGTCGAGGGAAGGCGTTCTTTGTAGTATATTTCATACAAACACGCACAGCAAACTACTTACAAACTTTGTTTATCTGCGATGGGTTTACAGGAGTCCGGAACATCTGGGGTTAGTTAGGTCGGAAAGGAGGGAGAGGAGAAGGGACAGAGTTGGTAGCAGCCAGACAGCTTCACCGGAGATGACGTTGACTGCTTCCGAGGGTGTAGGATTAACAACGAAGCGCCGCAGGAATTGTGAGCATGGGGGGGGGGGTCGTGGATTGCGCAAGACATCTGCAGCATTGGGGAGAGCACACCTGTTTAAGGGTTCAACGGCTCTAGCGCGATAGAATAAATGACAACTTTTCCTCAAGAGCTATTTTCTGCTGTAGTTACACAATCTGTCGTGAGTGATGATAATGATCCTCGGGATGCCCCAACCAGCAAGCAGTCCATCCCATACCATATACTGTTCCCTGTACCTATATATAATGTTGTTGAGTACCTAATTAATAAAACACAAGCCGCTGACGGCAATCAATCCATACCCTCTCCCTTTCTGGAGACAATCTTATGTCTGGACACGTTCGCCCAGGAGTCTACCCGGCCTCCAGGAGGTAGGGAGCCTCTCCCAACTCACCGTGTGTTCCACTCTACTATAATAACACCTTCGCCCCAAACGGGAGACATTTTAACAAAGCATCACAACCCGAGAATCTCCTCATGGGCCCTCATACCGCCCCTCATCATCCCGGCACCAAAACTCGACGAGCGCGCGCGTGCCCAGCACGTCCCCGCCGCGCAGCAGCGCCGCGACATCGACGTTGAGCGGCGAGTCCGTCTCCGGGTACGCAAGCAGCGTACGCACGGCACGCACGCTCTCGAGGACGCTGTAGGCGGGCGTCCAGGCGTCCTTGAGGAGGTCGAGGCAGATCTCGCCCGTCTGCAAGGCAATATTTGCGTGGACGACGGGCGTCGCGAAGCGTATCTTTGGTGGGCGAATGGGATAGTCTGTCGGGATCTGGATCTTTAGCAGCCAGCGGCCCTCTGTGAGGAAGATAACGATGTTAGCTCATCGTCTCCAAGATACCCTTCGAAATGCGATTACAAGTTCCACTACGTACCGTCATAACCGTTCCCGATCCCCCGCCCATTGACCACAGCCTCCCACGCCAACAGATCCTCGTCGTCGACGGGACCTAATCTCTCGATGCCCCTCTCGTCCTTCTTCTCCGCCCGCCACACGTCAAGCTCCTTGATGAGCCTCTTGATCGCGCCCCGCCCGTCCGACGAAGACTTGGACTTGGACTTCTTTCCGCCTCCACCTCCTCCTGGCGCGGCGCCTGAGGGATTCGTCTGGGAATCGGGCAGGTTCTGAATGCGCCACGACATGATCTCAGAGGAAAAAGCTTCTTGTCTCACTCCTGCTTGGATTCGTTTGTGCGCGCGGTGGATGAGGGGGGCGGGACCTGTGGTTCGACCGACGCCGCTGGAACCAACGACGAGTTACAAAGAGGGAGGGGATGTCCGTATCTGCGCGGTGGCTTGAAGATCAATTGAGCAGTTCGGAGTGGAAATCGTGTAATCGCTTGGTGTATATGACTTGGGTCGAGTGGTAGAGGTGATCTCGAACAAGATGGCTGTAGCTTTTGGTGACCTTTTTGGAAAGGGAGCTTTGGGAAAAGCCCAAGCCGATGGGCTGGGTTCAACTTAGCTAGTAGTAGCCGAGCCACACTGCACGTTGCTTCCCCAAGTTGCCGGTGAGACGTACCTTGTGACGCGACAGGATGGGCGGGTCCCGCGGGTTCAGCCGAGGTTTCCCGGGCCGGCTTTCATGTCCAGGTTTCGACCAGGCCCTCACTAACGTACTAACGTCGTCCGAATACCTTGCCGACTCGACTCCGGCTTGCTCACTCTTCCTGTATCGTGTCGTGATGGTCTCCGCGACGACGGGTTTGGGTTCATCGAAACACATAATGGAGGATTCGACTAGATTGGCTCTTAGAAATATGATCATTAATATTTGTCTACGTCGCGATTTGTGCCATCTTCCATCGTCTAGAGGGCTGAAACAGCCGGCCGGCCAAAGAACTATGAGAGCCACTGCAATTGTGTCTCGACTTGTCTGCCTCGCCAAGTTTTCGCCTTCCTAAATTCGCATTTCATCCCCGATATGTCCAGAGAACGGAAACAAAACCATTGAACCACATGTTTCCGCCCCCACAGTTGTCACCAAGACATATGGCCGCGAACCTGCTATGCTCATGCAACTTGCTGCTCATGCTATCATCACAAAGAACGCCGAATCCGTTTCCCAAAAGCCGGGCCGCCGAGGTTTCCATCCCTGCGTATTGTGTGGATGACTGGTGGCGACCCGGTGATGCATTTCTTTTGCTGGTCAGGCTACGTCGGTACTGTCGGTCACCAAGACCTTGCTCAGACACAGACGTGTATCCTGTCCCAACAAAGAAAGACATTATCCCGCCAGAAGTATTCGGTCGGGGAGAAAGTGTAAAAGAGTTATACAATAATTCCATATACATGCGTCATGAAGTCGCATATGTGGTGTGCGGTAGAAGCCGAGTAGATGGCGACTCCCATCACCCAGTCTCCTTGGTGTGCGACTCCCAGAGGAGGCCCAGAGGGTTCTAGGATCAAGTCTCCTCTTTGTTGGGCTTCCAGAATCGCATCATCCGGCTAAGTCGTTTCGACTTGCTGGACTTGTGCTTCTTGTCACCCTCCCCATCGTATGAAACTTCCATTGACAGCTTGCTGCGTTCCCCATGAGAACTGCTGATGAGTCTGCTCAGACTAGCAAGGCTAGATCGTCGACGCCCGAAGGCTGCCGAAGACACCGAGACCGGCCGCTGTTGATCGGGTCGTATGGGCTCCTGCCTCAACTGAGAGCTGGTGGCAAAAGAGCTATCCCTTGTCATCGTTGAGTGGCTGGAGGTCAACGAAGGAATGTCGACGGAAAGCCTGACTTCTGGACCCGGCTCTCCGAGGAGCAGAGATTGAAAGTTGTTCTCCTCGTTGACTGAAGATGGTGCCGTGGAGATCCGCTGGGCATCATAGGACATGGGTGAACGGGGTGACGGGAAGGATGAGGCGTGGCTCATCGAATACGGACTGACAGGAACGTGAGAGGGAGTCGGCAGGTGTAGGGGGCTGACGTCGACAGGAGCCAAGTCCTTGCTTGCGAGAATTCTGCGGGGAGACGGAGTTGCGGAGGCAGTGGACTCTGCCTTTTCGTTGAAGATGGAGCCCGTGCGGAACTCAAGAATCTGGGCAATGGGCTCTTCTACTGTGACGTGCTCTTGCAGTGGAGTCGACGCCGCCTCCGAGCTCATCTTAGCATCTACCACCGCGGTGTCTAAATCAATGACTAGATCACGGCTGGTGTTGAGGTCGGGAACGCTGGTAGGAGTGTCGTCGAGAACGGGCTGCTGGACTTTATTGATAGCGGGTGGCGTCGCCTCGTCGCCAGAGGATTCTGCGCTGTCCTGAAACTCGGCTCTAGTCGCACGACTGCTGGTGTATAGTGATGCGCATTTGCCAGGGTGTTCGTCGTCTTCCTCATCCTCCTCGAATACATCGGCCATTGTCGAGCTGCTGCCAAAACGATGAATGCCAAATCGACCCGCCTCGAAAGGTACCATCTCAGGAGCGCTTTCAGCGCGTCGATGATAGTGCATTCCTGGTCCGCTGAAACCCTTCATGCCCTGTGCACTATGCAGCTGCCGCTTGGTAGAAGCTGCAGCTCTCTGGGCAGCGTCCCATTCCGGATTGTTCGCCAGAGGCGTGTTGAAAGGTCCCAGTGCGGCATCCAGATCAATCATGGGGAAAGATGTGTCGTCATGGGCCGAAGCAGGCCGCGGCTTCCACTCCTGCAGGCTCTGTGGCTGACTGGAGGTGTCCGTTACCATGAGTGTGGGTGTTACTGGTTCAATGTTGACTTCTGGCTCCACCAAGAGAGTGAGGGTCTCATCCTTTTGCTCGACTGTCTCAAATTGACGTGCAGAATCACCTGTAAGATCCAGATCTTTGCACTTCTTATTCCGCGGTTTGCTCTTTCGTGCCAAGATAGATCCGGCCCAGTTTTTGACCTTCTTCTTTTTCTTGGACTTCTTGCCTTCTGGTCTCTGACCGGCTTGGTTGGAGAATTCTGACGTAACAACCGATTCCGCAATGTGTTCCGAGGTAGACGACGAAGACGAGCTGGTTGGCTTGGATCCGGACTCGGAAGAACTAGAGCTCATGGGTCTCGTGCGGAGTGGTGACGCAGCCGCGTTGAAAGGGTCCAATCCGAAGAATGACCACCTCTTTGGCGTCTTGGTTGGGCTTGGCATCGGGGGCCCGACAGACCCTGCTTCGGGCACGTTGATTAGGGTGGGTATGGAGTTTCTCCTCCTTGGTGATGCCCCGACTGATTGAATGCTCTGGGATCGTTCCAAAACCGCCCCGGCAGTGCTGGGCCTCGACTCGTTGTTTTGGCGTGAAGGGCTGAGCACAAGGGGAATTACAGGCTCATTATCCACATGTGTAGCTGTCGTCGGGATGGAAATGATGGACGAAATGCTTCCAGATACTGAATGGCCTCCGGGGCGGGCTGTAACTGTACTAGAAGTATCACTGGACACCATTGATAGCGGGCGCGGGATAAACTCGAGAGTATCAGAGAAGCCAACCCGAGCACGTGTAATTGGCCGAGCAGCAGGAGAAGCCCTGCCACTCGAAATGCCCGAATCCGCAGTGACTGGCCTGGCGAGTTCCGTGGGTACCCTGAGAGCTGGTTCAGATTCGACGCCCTTGAGAGTCTTCTCGACTAAACCTGCATTGTGATGGTCTAGGCGTCGATCGAATTCAGCCGGGCTTGTAGGTGCACTGTTTCCCCTTAGGTCTCCTGGTGTTGAAGGCTGGACAATGAGAGATAAGTCATGGCTTGAAAGCGCAGCCGACCGTCTGTGTTTGTGGCCGCGTCCGCCGGGGGCTCTCGAGGGTGGTAGCTGGAAATTTGGAGACGCAAACCCACTTTCGGACCTCGTGGGACTTGTACCGGTTACTGTGATCGAATCTCCGGAACGAATGCTTCCTCCCACGAACTCGCTCCCTCCTCTCCTGTGTCCGACTCCAGTTGGTCTTGCAGGTGATGCTGCTAGTCTTGGGGACACAGGCGGAGGGGATAAAGGAGGACTGAGCAGAAGGGAAGTCTCCGGGGACAGCGAAGCACCAGGGTTGAAGGTGAAGTTGGGAAGCGCGGGTGATTTCGAAGGTCGATCTGCAGCGTCAGAACTCAAGGAAAAGGTCGATCGGTCTTGGATTTCAATGGCAGACAGCGGCCGTCGTCCAGTCGCTCTCGAGAAAGATGAGGGCGCAGAGGCCGATGAGGGCCTTGCTGGGAAGACGAATGGTGGATTTGGGAGTGGAGGCATCGTACGCGGAGATTGTGGTCCGGAGAAGGATGGTGTTGAGGAAGTAGAATTATCCAGCATTACCGGAAGAGAAATCGCATGCATCGAAGGCTCGTCCAAAACCTGTGTGCTTGTGGCTATCATCATACTCTCAGGTCCGACAGTGGTTGCCATGCTTTACTGAGCCGCTCTGCGGCTACAGGTTTGATCAGCAACTAAAAGAAGGACATAAAGAGGGCGCAAATGCGAGATGGTTGTCGTTGGGTGAGGATAGAGGATCGTTGGGTACTCGATGTAGACGACACCTCAGGGGGTGGCTTGCGAGGCGACAGCGGGTATGTTGATTAATTCTGGAACGTGCGAGACTTAGGTGAATTAATTCTTTCTCACGTCGTGCGTGTCGCGAAACGGATGGAAGGGTCGACGGGTGAATGAACACCTGTTGGAAGAAGTCGAATGCGGCGCGCTGACGATGGGAATTGGGCGAAATTGGCGTTCACGATTGCGTGCGTGACAAGACCGGTCGACCAGGTTAAGACAACTGCTATTTATCGAAGATAAAATTTGAAGGGATTGTTAAGGAGCGGACGGCACAAGACCAGAAGCAAATCTGCAAGATCTACAACTAGAATTGGGCCACGAAACAGAAGTCAAAGAACGACGACGGCCTCGAAGGGTTTTGGGGGGAAGGAGAGTTGATAGGAAGAAGAGGGGGGTTGCGACGCGGAAGACTAGAGAGAGGATGGGATGGATGGGTGGATTTGGGATTAGAATTGCGGATACACACACACACACACACACACACACACACACACACACACACACACACACAACAGACACAGCGAAGAAGCGACGAGTCGGGTCCAGCGGCCGGGGTGTGTTGGCGACGGGAGAAAAGGGGGGGTGTAATGACAGGGATAAGGAGGGTGTGTGGAGGGAAGTCCTCAGTTGGGTTTGGACTGGCTCGGGGAGAGGGGGCAGAGAAGGAGGAAAGCCCAGGGGAGAAAGAGGGAGGAGCAGTGACCCAGTGGGTAGAGACGAGGACCAGGGGGGGTGCGGTTGTGATTCCAACATGGAAGTCAGTCAGGGCCCGGACAAGCAAGGCAGAGACGACCAGGGGCTGCTCAGGTTGATGGGGCAGCAGCCGTAGCGCACTCTCATTCATCACGCAGAGGCCAGGTCTACCTTAGTGTCCCTACGGATACCTTACTTTGTACTCTGTATGGGGCAGGGCAAACAGACAGCAAAGAGGCACCTCGCGTCGCAGGATTTTACAGGGCGTACCTCTGCTTGAACCCAGGCAGGAGACAAGTATTAGTCTCCCATTACATTAGGTAGGTAGTTTTCCAGATAAACAGTACCTATAGGTGTATGCTCTTCATGAAAGATACATCGAGAGTCGCGTCGAAGCGGACTTGTGATTGTGAGGCGATAAGAGCTGTACAAAGTTATCGACTGTTTGTTCGTTGAAACTCGCATGCCCGGATATTCAGTTTCCTAGTTGAGGAATGACGCGCCGCATCCGTATACCAGAGCAATACCATACAGTTCCATAAACGAAGTAGTTCAATAAGAACAGCAACTCGGGTAGCAGAGTCGTATCCCATCGACTACCTAAGCCCCCGGTTCTCAAATCACCTCGACGCATCCAGATAGCATTGACTGCCTCCGTACCGCTCTTGGTTGTGTCTGTAACCAACGTGCAGCAGTGTCGCCTGCGCTGCGCTGCATCCTGCATCCTGCATTCACGCACTCACGTCGCAGCAACCAGATGGGCCCTGACAGGTTCGTGTTTTGCCCTGCAGCTATGTCTGCACTGAGTTGGGTTCGCCGAGCAGCCTCCCTCTAGCAAATCGTCCACTCAAAGCCGCTCAGTTCCTTGGCAACCTGGCCATGAAGCCCAGGATTGGATTCTCTAGCGTATCGTGGCACGCGTCGTACTTCCACCACCTGTAAGGCGAGTAGCCCTACCTAACCGTGAGGTGAGATGTTGGCTGCCACACCTCTTCCTCCCGCCTCCATGCTAACGAGTTCTAACACCCGTACCAGTTCGCACTAAAACTCGGCCGTCGTTAGGCGGCCACAGCCCAGGCCCGTCTTCCTCTCTTGGGTGACCTTAGCTGCAGACCAGTAAGACGTTGGCTTGTTTGGCTGGGTTGGCTCGACGAGGTTGCCAGACAGAAGTTGGCACAAGAGCACTAGTAGTAAAGGGACCCGCGGAACTGCCCATCAGCCGTCGATGGCAATGTCTTCACCGCTTCCTGTGGCCTCAAACACACGTTAACTATTGGTTTCCTTTGTCTCATGCGCGTTCCCTTTTTGCTAAGCTCATGGTTTGGGCAAAGGGAATCTGACTTTTATCGAAATGTTTTGCCATAGTTCTGAGACTGGAACAGTGGATCTGGCAATAGGTAAGTCGGCTTGCTGCAAGTCAAAAGAGAACCTAGAAACGGAAGTGGACTAAAGGCAGGGAATATAGGCGCTGAGAGTTCAGTGCGCGCTGTGTCGTGCATTGTGTAAGGGACAGAGACCACGGTACCCTGGGACCCAACTACTTGCTAATTTGTACGGATACTGCTGGGTGCACTGTGAATTTTCTGTTTGCCTCCACCGAGGGTTGAGACTGAACCTGATTTCCTGGTACTTTCCCATCTTACCTAATCCTAGGTGGCCGGCCTTTGCACCTCAGGCAGGCGGGTAGAAAACAGTACGTATCTTTCTTTTCTCACCTAGCAGCAATTCTTTGGAAAGCGCAGTCCGGTGCCTGCCGCAACTTGTCGACGACGAAACGCACGGTCAGAGCAAGAACCTTCTCCTTCGTAGAGCAGCAGATGTTGACTTTTTGTTTACGGATACATGGACAGCAAGGACTGAACCCAAGAAGGCTTGGTGACATCGTTCGGCCGTCAACTAGTATAGCAGCAGCGCACATGAGCTCAACCACAAGCACGGCACCTCCGGCTTCGGGGCTAACAAGGTGCCGATGGGAGCAAATCCAGACCGGTGCTATGATGGACGACCGGACGACCAGCACATGGCAATTGTAAACCAGACGAATCATCGCAACGCCCTGCCCCCGACTAACAGCACCAGAGTAGCGATGGCAGACAACCGTCTCTGCAGGTACAGCAACGGCGTTGGCTCCTTTCAACCACGCCCCCTCCATCTCCATCGCTGCCATCCGCCCCTTGCGGCAATTCTGCGAGAAAGCCACCAGAGAGACGAGACGGGATGAAGAGGCACCCAAAGTTAAGCCAAGTCATGTCATGTTTTGGCCAATACATACTTCCCAAGGCACATACCTACTATGGTACGCCCAGCTCCCTCCCGAGTCCCAAGCAGTGAGCACCACCTTACCGGGGATTACACTTTCGCTTCGTCTTCTAACCTAGATTCAGTCCCGTATACTAAACACCTTCTTTGCTTCTTTTCCCCGACCCGAGCGACCCGGCATGGTTTCAACCCCAATCAAAGACACCGGCGGCCGTACTTGCTCGCGGGGGGGGGTGATCGACTCGATTCGAATCGGCCGCATCTCGAGAATGGGCCGACGCCTCGGGTTCTACCTCCACGTCCAAAGCCAACGCCAAAGCCAAAGCGGTCAAGCAATGTGTGTGGGTTCACTGCAGCGTCCAAATGTGGCTTCTTCGATGGTAACGTGGGTGCTGAGGCGGTAGTGGAGCCGAATTCCCCCTCCACGTCCAGGTCCAACGGCGGCCTCTGACTGGCTTACGGTCCTGAGAACGAGAGAGACGGTCAGGGGTGTAAAACATATGTGCCAAGGTCCCTTCGTCGCTCCTTATCCACTCTTTATTTCTGGGCCTCAGAACGCCCGCGCACCCCCAGGCCCAGAGGAGACGATGGCTCCCCCTCCAAGCCTCAAAGACCCCCTCCCATCTCCATTTTATTTCAATCGGCCAGATGAACGATAGCACCTGGGAGATCTGCTTGCTTTTTCCTTAGTCTGGAAAGGGAAATCTCTGTATCCACCGGCACTACAGGTAGGTACTCGGTCTTCGTACAAATACACATTTGTTCACGACAAGCCACCAAGTAAAGTAAGCGTGCGTGCAGCGTAAGGGCCAAGTACCTCGCATGGCTGGGAGAGGCGTTCCGAGGGAGATGGATGCCGTCGTTGACGTTTGCCTGTTTTTGCTTTTGATTCTCTGTGTCGTAGGACGGCGGACAGACGCTCGACTCAATCTCGTCCGTCTCTTCGGTACCAGTCAGCAGAACTCATCTCTCAATCATCGTTCTGGGACAGCAATAGCGACATGATGCTGGGGAAACATTCTGTCTCCTATTATTGGCAACCACCACACGCGTTCCGGATGGAATGGGATGGGATGGGATCCTTACCTTATTTCTCCCATGTTCCCGTATTTGACGCCCCCGTTCCCTAACCCCCCCTTGGCCGCCTGGTGGGGGAGCATGTCACAGTCGGAGCTGATTGAGCATGGAGGCAATACAACCCCACACAGGGCTATGTCTTCTTCTGTCACTAGCAGGCCAGGCCGTTTGCACGGAGCGCTCGTTACTAGTTACGAAGCACAATGGCACGAGTCGATCCCAGTGCTTGTAATGCGTAGCGGGCCATCATGGCACATCTTCGGCGGCGCCTTCGACGTTGAGAAAGCCATGAACTATGATAAAACCTTCGAGGGAGGGGGTTTATCGAGGCTTGCGACCGCTTACATCGGAACAAAGAAAGCATCATGCGACATAACTCTAAAGTCTGTTTTCATTCTCGTTGCTACGGTCGGGAGCCTCATCTTGACTCAGTCGCAAGCCCGGGCTTCGGATCCGGTCAGTAGCTTTCTTGATGGACCGACTCGCTCTGATCAACGCTCGCCAGCCCGATACAAGATAAACGGATTCTTCGTGCGACGGCGCCGTCACCCCGTGGCATCAAGGTACAACAAAGAGGCGACGCTGCCTCCGAGGCTCCAATTGACTAGCTTGTTTAGCGGCCTGGTCATCAGCTCTTGACCCTTCAATTTTTTCCGAGTCGCCCATCGCGACGACAAGCATCAACAAACAGGCGGCTTGCACCCGTTGCTGGCCTACCAGGGCTCCGATGCTTTTCCCAAGCCGCTCTCCTGCGCCTGCTGCAAACTCACCCTGAGAGTTGCAGATACACCTGCAGATGCAGCAGATGATAAACTTCGCGCCTCTTGCGTCGCGCCAACCAATCTGGCCTGTCAATCACCATGTTGCATTTGAACCCACTATACGAATTCAAGTCGCATAGTGCACAGACGGACCTGCATAACGCCACGTACCAATTGAGAGAAGAACGAGACATTTCGACATGATAACGACGAGGGAGAATTGACCATGATTGTTCGGCACATTGGTCGACACTTATCACAACGCGGTACTGAGTACGGCATAGCATATTATCTATTTGCACCGGTACAGCGAAGAGGGCGCCGCCATGTTGAAACCCTGGGTCGATGACATGCCGAGTCTGATGGTCGTATCCAACCCTGCCACGGGCAGAATCCTGCATGAGCAAATCAGGGACAGTTTCTCCTTTCAAACACTCATCTCCCAGCAGGGAACAAAACCCATCCTCGTGATGGTGCTTTGCCTCCTTGGCTGACGGCCATCTCCACCCGACTGGGATAATCAGTCCCCATCAGTTCCCATTTCGTCCTCTTCCCTTGTCAAATTGCTCTTCCCCCGAACTCCCACCAATCTTTGCAAGCGCGGCTCCGGCCCAAAACATCCTGACTTGCATCATTTCATATCCGATCCGATCTGCCAACTATTCTAAGAATACCTCGTCCAACTTTCTTCCACGCTGCTGCCATCCCGCGGCCCTCTGTCAACTGTCAGCGTTTGTTGGCGGCATTTCAAAGTACGCCGGGTCCCGTCAAATTGTGGGCGACCCAAACTAATCTCGCCTGCAAGATGACCAGCAGCCGCTTTCAGCATGACCCCACGCCTCGGTAATCAAATGAAGTGGTGGCCAAGTCATCAGAAATTTTAGGTGCCGCCGTTGTACAAAAATTTTGTGCCAGCTGTCTTTACCTAATTCCCCGTCAATATTCGCTCCGGCATCCCTGCTCCGGCCAGACAAGAAATCATCATCGAGGATCATTAGTAGAGGCTCTAAACATCGGGAACCTGGGGTTTGATGCCTGGGATATCCAAGTTTGACATGGCAAAGCACGCGTTCAATAGGTTCCGTTGGCAGGGATCTCGACTTCAAAATCTGATATTTTTGACTGAGTTGGCAGCTGGGGGAAGGAGAATGTCTTCTCTGTGTCATTTCGGCAGCCTCGCGCGCCGCCACATTGTCGGATATGAGCTTGCTTATATGCCTGGATGCGGTAAATCTCAACCACAATTTGATTGATTTGTTGTTGTTGTTCCCTCCGAAGACAAATTTTCAACGCCATCCATCTCTGCCAGCACAGCGCTAGTCTTTCATGCCAGCTCCCGGTCGAGGCTGCGTTTCCTCGGGGCATAGAACGATATGATGTCTCAAAGCCAGGCCCAACCATGAGCCACAACCGTTGAACGACGGTGCAGAGAGAATGATTCAAATTTCTTGGAGACGAGCCCCGGGCGTCATCTCAAACGGCGGAGACGTGGGGTTGATGGCAGCATACGATTGGAAGATTTCTCGCATACCTTACGCAACAATGTGGCGCGTCAGCTTTAGGCGATAGAACAGAAGCCTATCGCGGAAACGGTTGATCATCATAATCTCGATCATAGATATCGTATGCCTTGTCAGTATTCCCATTCTCGAGAGTCGCATCAATATTGCTTCTGTCACGAAGCGGTGCATCTCACATGGTCATGTGGCTTCTGAGCGGAGCAAGAACCCTTCCTCAGCCACATGGACGGTAGCTTATTCTCTGGGGACACGCACCGCCACAAGAAAGCATGCAGCCTGACTGGTTGGTTAGCAGCCTTGCGCCCCACCCGCCACATTCCTCGCAGCGCAAGAATTTTTTTGTTCGGCGCCCAGGACTTTCAAGCCGCCCGCTGGACATTAACTCTCGACTGCGCAATTTCACGTTCCTCGTAGTCTGCAATTCTTCAACACCTGTCATCATGTCAACTGCGGAGCCCCAAACTGCTACTGCCGCTGTCGACAAACCGCTTGGCATGCGGAAGAATGGTACTTGATCAGCTCCATTCTTGAGCTAATTAGACAGCTCGAGCTAACTCCTCTCCCTTTAGGCAAGCAATGGCACGAGACGAAGAAGGCTTTCAGGCCGACATCAGGCCTGACTTCTTACGAGAAGCGCGCCAAGGAACGCGTTGCAATGGCGGCGATGAAGGCCAAGGAGAAGGAGATGAAGGACGAGAAGGAGGCAGAGCGCAAGGTACGATGACTCCCGTGCCTTCTGCTCACATGCTGGTTAGCTAACAACAATCACAGCAAAAGGTTCAGGCTATCAAGGACAGAAGAGCCACCAAGGAAGAAAAGGAGCGGTACGAGAAGATGGCCGAGAAGATGCACAAGAAGCGCGTAGAAAGGCTCAAGAGGAAGGAGAAGCGAAACAAGCTCATCAACTCATGAGCTGCACACGGGCAGAATGCTGTTGGAGCGGGCACTACGATCGGATCTCGGCGCCGACAAACGTCAGGAGTCACGCCGGTCCCCCGTGACAAATTCCGAAACATGCATCGGGAGTGGAGGAAGGAGTCGGGCCTAACGCGCCCGTAATTGCACAACTCAGTGGGCAAACGACTCGTCACACGGGCTCATGCGAGGCCGAACGCTGTATTGTCGAGCAGCACCCCGCGGAGACATGAGGCTACAGCGAAAAGCAATCAACGGGGCAACCAGCAGCGACAGGGAGGCGGACTCGGAGCCGGTGGGACGGAGAGGAGATGAGCGGTCGATGAATCTGAGATGATTTACGACGTATACTACGACGAAAGCCCAAAGAGGCTACTCATCCGAGCTTTTTTGCTTGATGAAATCGGATCAAATGGCCGAAAGGCGGCGATGGTGCCCAGCCGACCGAGGCCGCGATTCACAGTTAGATAGAACCAATAAGCGTGTGACTTGGCCCTCATTTTGGGGTTCTGGACCAGCAGTTTGCAAGCCCAAGGAAAGTGCTGGTTATCTTGTTCAGACGACGTTTCATGGCAAGGAACCCCGAGGCGCATGTGAAAGTGCGTCATTGGCCGGAGAGAGGTGTGCGGAAGCCCAGCTTTCACTGGGAAACTCCGTGCACACTCCACCTCCACCTTTCCCGATCTTCCACACTGCGACCTCCCTTCTGCAAGGAAACAGCCACACAAGTCCAGTGTCTTTGCCCCCAAAGCATTGACCGTTCCAGGCGGAGGCAAAAGTCTAAGTAGGCCGTCCCAACCAAAGAAATCGTCTGGCTCGGAATTTTGGCCCTTTCAGCGGCAGCAGCGCACTCGCTGGCGTGTGCGGCTTTGCTGAGCGCGGCGGCTGGAGCGCCTCTCTCTCATCCAATTCTTGAAAGGGGTGAAAGCAAAGGAAAAAAGACAGGGTGAGACCATGTCAGCCAACGGCGACAGTGCCCACGGCTTCGAGCTGCCGTCGGCATTGGCCTCGACACTGGTGACGGCAACCGCCATTGCCAACTTCTCTTACAACCAAGATCAACAGCAGCAACTACATCATCGCCACGGTGGAAGCAAGAGCAAAAGCAGGAGCAACGACAAGAGAGCATCGGTCCCGAGCTCGGCGCTCGCCCCTCCTCCTCCCGCTACCGCTGCTACGACCGCCACAGGCACCGCCGCCGCCGCCGCTCTCCTCCCGGCCCGACGACCGCGGCACCAGATCACGCGCTCCATCACCGAGTTCTCGCCGCCGCTGAGGATGCATCGGCACCGGCATAGTCACCACCACCACCCGACGCAACACGCGCTGCACCTGAACGCGCAGAGCCGTAAAGATAGGGACAGGCTTCTGCTGTTGGATGAGAGGGCATCTGGTCCCGGCGGTTTGGGTGGGCGGAGCTCGCTCGACATGACGCGTTCGGAGTATGTGACGCCCAGCAGGAGCCCGGATTCCAGCCGGAGAACCAGCGCACTCGTTGGTCCAATGATTGGGGGCGGGGAGAATCCAGCTGCTGTCACGCCGGCTTCGAGGAGGCAGAGGAACGCCAATAACGCGGCTGCATTGGTGGAGGAGAAGGGTAGGACCGCGAACAGGGTCGCGTACGTTTTCCCTATGCTCGTGAGAGTTTCAAAGTTGATGACTGACCTTTGTGGTTTTGCGTTTCAGGGGCTTGAAGAACTCGCTAGTCGAGCTGAGCGGGTTCTCGACGGCGACGACCCGACGGCTAGACGAGACGTACTACTCGGTGCTGGAGAAGAAGAGCATGCTGCAGAACACCATCTCGGCGATTCGGGAGCTGGCGGTGGCTTCGCGGCAGATGACGGGCGAGTTCGTGTCCGAGGCCGACGAGATGGCGCGGGACGTGGCGGGCCAGCTCGACACGTTTGGGCAATTCGGCGAGCAGGAGTCCCGCATCGAGGCGCTGCAGGGCCGGATCGAGTCCGGGAGAACGCGGATTGCAGGGTTGAGCGGGCGTGTCGACCTCGTGAGGAGGCGGATCGAGGGGTGGGAGAGGGCCGATCGGGAGTGGCAGGAGAAGACGCGCAAGAGGCTGCGAGCCGTGTGGATCGTCACGTCGCTCGTGTTCGCGCTGCTGATTTTGTTGTTCGTCGGCGCGCAGTATCTTGGCGGGCCGGCTGATCTCGAGGGCGCTGCTGGGAGGGCGCTGAGAGGTCTTGAGAAGGGGGCGAATCGGAGCGCGGGGGTGTTCCGTGAGACGGGAGTGAGGGAGGCGCCGAAGCTGCCGCCTCTGTGGGAGGATGGGGGAAGGAGGGAGGAGGAGGAGGATCGGTTGAGGGTGTTTGATGAGCTGTAAAAGGCCTGTAGGTCATATACACTGGTTTGAACTGATGGTTATTTTTGACTTTGACCGCCTGGTGAATCCCGAGTTGGACTCGGACTCTTGTTCATGTCGCCCCTATATCGTAGCTGGCACTTCCATTCGGCACTTTGGGGAAGAGAACTGCATCAGGGTGCGGCTGACCATGTGGCTCATTTCTGTGCGGTACAGAGCATGGGTTGAAGGGGGCTGGATAGACTTCAAGCTTCTGGGAGGCCTGTCCACCTACATCTACAAACGCTGGAGTTTTCCCGACGTCATGTGACACACCTCGAAGCAGTAGGGGGTGATGGACCATTGACTACGTCTCGTTGCGCTATCTAGAGGTCTTGTAATGGAGCGTATTCTTGGTAATCGGCTGGAATCCTGGTCACTGTTGGTCTCTACCTAGCCTGAAATCCTTTCCCGTATTGCACACACAGTTCACTGAGACTTCTTTCTCTTTGAAAATCACCAGAGCCCATTAGTGTGAGGCTACGATGTGAAGAGATGGGAGGCGGGTGGCAGTGGAGCGCCAAAGAGAACACGTCAGCTGATGGGTTTGCTTCTTTCACCTGCAATCTCGGTGCAGACTGTGAGCTCGTGGTAAATTTTGATTCAAACGTCTCCTGCCCCCTAGACTGTCGATTACGGCTTTTCACTTAGGGTGAGAGTGAGGGTGAGACGCGTTGCGTTTTCATTCGTCTTGATTCGATTTCTTTCGATCGTTATTACACCCGCTATTTTTGTGATCTAAACTTGGCCGTGGAAATGTACAACCCATATGCTTTAGTACAGTCTACAACATTGCTTACATCAATCAGGCCATTCCGGTTGGCATAATATACTGTAGATACATGGCTATCAGTGGTTCATGAACACTCGCCCCGTGGAGCCATGTTCTAGTAGAAAGTCTGTGAGATGCCGAAAAGCACGACCTAGAACCAACGCAGTGCGGTCCCTCCTGTAGCTACTCTAATAAGCTACGAATAGTTGTCATCGTGCTGTCGGGTGTAAGTGGCATACGAGTGTACGGCACCTAAATTGTGAAGAAGATAACAACTTTGTAGTCGGAAAGAAGAGGCAGGACTCTTCCGAGCGTGGAGAGACAACGCATTGTGCCTAGATACGTCCACTTCCCGTCTGTAATCAGTTTATGCTTCATGTTGCCTAACTGACTGCAATCAGGGGCTAAAGTTGAGCAGCAGGTTCCTCGGTCAGTTTGGTAAACTTCAATGGAACCTGTCTCGGAAGTCCCTTCTTGAGCCCTATCTGGACCATCGTGTTGGGGGTTGAGAGCATGGTGCCTCTTGTTTGTTCACATACATACCTTTACATGTCATTGTGAGAGGGGGCGAGGGCTTGAATGATTCCGGCCCAAGTTTGCCGACGCTCCCCTGTATCTCGGAACGTCCATACGATACACAAAGGGGTGGTCCAATGATGAAGGGACGGCAGGCATACAGGAGTCAGGAGACCAAGAGGTGTAGACGAAGTTCCAACATTAGCCTCAACGGAAGCTAGTCGAGATGGCTGTTTCTGAACGCGTCCGGGGTTCGTCTCAGTGTATGATCAGAACATGCTTGTGCGGATTGCTGCCTTCGTTTAGTCTCACTTTTTCCGTGGTTGAATTATCTGTGAAATGAGATTCGAGCTCTGCTACAGTTGTGCTTTCAACACTTGTCTGTCAGATCCAAGACTGCTCAATACCAACTGAGCAACACAAAACCATCAAGCAGGTCCTTGATATGTAATGGAGCAAGCCGGTCGTGCGAAGTTGTGCGACAAGTCTATCCCAACACAGGCCTAGCCGTCTGCCTCACACCTCCCGAACACTCAACGACGGCGCTCTGGGGTTTACGTTTTGTCACTCGTCAACACGCTTGCGACCTACCTGAAGCCGAGGTGTCTGACATGATGACTGATACGGTCGTGTGCTGCAAGTACAGCTTTCTCGATACAAAACATGATCTTGTTAGGATGCTCATCACGAGAAAATCGCACATGGCGAAGCATACGGTGAAGTTTCATAGTTGGTCACCCTACGAGCTACTACCGCATTTCTCGTTCGTACATGCTCGATGGGGTCTATTTGCTCTGTGGACTGCCTCTTTGTCTGCGTTGACCTCAAATTAGCCTCATCTACGAATGAGCTCTTGATTGCCCTGCGCCACCGAGGCGCCCGATACTCCTGATGAGTTTGAAATAATTATTGTAGGACAGACGAAACTAGTCTCGCTCGGTTGGCTTGGTACCTATTTTCGCAAACCCCGTCCGGCCCCTGAAAACAAACACAGATGTATCAAAAGCCTTGTTGTGCTTACAAAATCACAGGCAGTCAGCAGTCATCAGATCGGTAGTTGAGTGAAAAGGCCGGTGGCAACCCGAAGCGACGTGACATCCCGCCGCGGCAGCCCTACGCAATCGGGCATGCTGAAGTGATTGCGTAAATGAGAATTATGCATGTTGTTAGGTTGACGATCACCGAGTGGGCGCCGCTCCGAATCCCGACGGTGGCCCACACCCGTGCGTCCTAGGCTCCCGGCACCGTAGCCGGGTGTGCGCAGGGATTGGTGCGTATTGAAACGGAGTCTTTTTTCTCTCTCGCTTTCCCTGATTGGCGATCTATTTCCTCATAGCGAACGTACAGCGTACTTTGTACAAAGTTAGCCAAGGTGGGAATTTAGCATGCCTCGTACTACTCAAGGTAGATCGTCTGGATGGGTGTCCGCAGGCCGCGGGTTCCCAGAAGCCGTCAAAGTTTCCATGCTTCCGTCGTATCACGGCGCCGAGAAAGTTTGGCGCGGGTGGGAACAGACGGGTAAACAAAACACTCCCGTCTTTGGCGAGCTGAGCAAGCTGCAAGAGTCTAAATGCGACTGCACAGTGAAAACTGGGAAGAGCGAACGTTTGGATCTCTCAAAAAGTGGACACGGCGGGGATTGATGGGACAATAGGGCGAGAAGGGCCGTAGAATCTCACGAAGAGTACAGTAGGCATCCGTACATTGTCGAGCGGGTGGGTAGGTATCCGTATGGTGGGCGCGCTAGACGTCGATTGCCCCATAAGGCGATTCGGTCTCGTCCGGAGCCAAGGAGGCTGATGGCGAGAATGATTGCGCGTCTGCAGCCTTGGCCTTTGCACAGCTTCGAGGCTGACTGAGTTAACAAGAAGTGTTTTTGGTGGGGTTCCCTATTTGCCCATGCTTGACTGGGGGTTGAAGGTGGCTAGGTTGAAGAGCTATTGGGGCTGAAGTGTGTGAGTCGTGTCGAGGAAACGGCGGCTGGGCAGCTTGGAAAAGAAGCTCAGTGGGCGTTGCGTCCGTCTTGCCGTGTCTCTTGTGTCTGGTTTCGGGACTCGGCTCCGTGTTGTTGGGGCGGGGGGGGGGGGGGGGGTGGTGGTGGGGGGGGGGGGGGGGGTGGTGGGGGGGGGGGGGGGGGGGGGTTGTGGGGGGGGGGGGGGGGGGTGGTGGGGGGGGGGGGGGGGGGGGGGGGGGGGGGGGGGGGGGGGGGGGGGGGGGGGCTGTTGGTCCGTGGATGAGGAGAGGTGTGCTGCGTGCTGCCCTACAACGTCATGCATCCCATGGCCATTTTCGACAGCAAAGGAGAGGCAGGTCAGAGTCACCGCCACGATTCTCGGCGTCATTTGGGCCCTCGAGTCTCAAGTCTTCAGACTTTATTAAGGTGTTGCGCCTGGGGGGCTTGGCCCGCTGCGGTGTGGCTAGCGCTTTCGGAGAGAAAACAATACTATGTACGGATGGTCGACACAGGTGACAGTCAGGCGCAGCAACAAGTCATCGTCAGCGAGAAAAATACCTTACAAGGTGGGCGGGACGGTGGACCAGACAGTTCTCTATCCATCCCGGGCTTCCAGGTTCCACCCAGCGGTGACTAACAAGACATGCACGGAGGGGATGCTGCGCAGTGACAGCACCATGGACAGATCCCTGCTGCGAGCTCCTTCGTCTTCGTTCGCTCTTATTCGCACACACCAAACCTCGCGTCGCTTCGCTTCGCATCGCTGTCAGGCACCCGGCAACAGGACCCTGGACTCTGAGGTCTGTCTGTGTGTTCTCTCTGTGCGGGAGTGCGGGAGAAGCATCAGAGCTTGAACACAAAGTTGAGCGCAGAAGCCTGGACTGGGATTGGGATTGGGGATTTTGGGGTACTTCCGCGTGTTACGGAACATGCTTCCTTGCTTTTTGGAAACGACCCCTGCCTCGTTTTATCTGCTTTTGTCAAGTTTTCTCACCCCGCCAAACGACGCTTGCGTGCCGTCTCTCCGTGCTAAGATATCCAACGTCCGGCCCGCCGGCCTGAGGGCGACTCGCGACATGAGAAAGAATTTAATCACCCCGATAGTTCCCCCCCCCACCCATTTGCTCCTTCTTCGCCGCTCGCACAGCTGACCTGATGCACTGCACACACCTACGCGCTCCCCTTCAACATCCAATCACACCTTTGCACAGCTTCACCGAGCTCTGAGCTCATTTCGTCTCGTCTCGTCCCGTCCAACCTGTTGGGTGCTACGTAACCTGCCGACCTCCCGCCTTGTCTTGCTGTTCTACGAGGAGTCACTTTATGGCAACAACTATGAACACCTGGGAGGGCAGCATCTGAGGCAAGACCAAGAAAAAGAGGGCTCTAGGATTGATAGTAGATACCAAAGACGGCGAGAGTAACGAGAGGAAGAAAAGTTTCGTCGGTTTGATACTGGGCCTTAAAAAAAGGGCCTCAACCGGGCTCCTCTCGAACCCAGCAGGGCCCCGCGACGAGCACCTGACAGCATTGACTTTTGGCCAAGGGAAGATACATTGCCGGACCAGCCCAGTACCTCCTTCGCTGCTGCGAGAGCTGCACCGCAGGTACCGTATCCAGTGGGCAGCGCCTGTAACTACCCCGCCACACGCGCGTAACTTACAGCGTCCCTAGGTACGGCCTACCGCCTGCGCGCCCCCACTGAGATCTGGACCCGCTCCCTGCCCTGCGACAGCAACCTACCCACTAGGATCTGCCGCGCACTATTGAGACCCGGTTCGTGCCCAGAGCCCAAGGTGCCCTGCCAGCCCCCAAGTACCCAGTCCTCCCCCTCCAGTACCGCTTTACCGTCGGTAAACTGATTATTACGTCGCGAGTCCCCAGCTGTTGCTCTGACGCCAGTCAGCTAGCCCACCTCCATCAACCCTTTCTTCCTCCCGCAAATCCGCAACATCTCCCTCTCCTCTCTCCCACGATCTTGGCACCGAAAACAAGGGCAATCTAACAGGCCCTGCTAGCCCCAAGAACGGTTCAAACACACGAAACCCAAAAAGCGACGCTGATGGCTTCGACAACCCAAGAACAACCGCAGAATGGCGCTGCCGTAGACCCGGTCACCAGGACCGAGCTTCCCCTTCGCTCAAAGAGCAACATGTCCATCCCTCCGCCGGGCCAGTCCTTGACGGGAAAGCAAGAGCATTGTATGTTGACCGTTGTTGTCGACAACATCTAAGAAGCGGAAGCGATGCTAACATATTCCTGCCAGACCTCAAGCGCGAGCTTGTTTCCGAGCAAGTCAAGTATGAAATCTCGGAGCTCAACTCCCCCACGGCCCTCAAGCGATTCGGCGCCCCTTTCAAATCTGATGTTGGAGAGGTCTCCCCCCTCGACTCGGAGCTCCCCATCTTGCGCTACATATTCGTACACCATGTTCGCGATTTCCCTTTCCTTGACAAGGCTAGAGAGAAGGAGTTTTGGCAAGACAAACTCCAAGTAGTAAGTGCGAAGGCGCACCCCGCCGCTGAGAAAACGCCCATCTCCCCACGGACTAGCTGCGCTGACTCGTTTCGTCCCCCCACTGCAGTTCCTCGAATCCTTTGCGACGAAGAACATTTCATCCTCCGAAGACAGACTCGAAGAGACCAAGCGGCGCAAGTTGGCTATAAAATGTCAGAAGCTCGTTGAGCTGATGATGGTGTCCGGTTGCAAGACTTCTTCCGGCTTTGAGGAGAGGATACGTTTTTCCGAAATTGAGGTCGTCGACAGCAATGCCATCGACACGGGCGTCATGCATGCGTTGCCGGAAGGCAACTACATCAACGGTTGGGATGTGAACATTGCAGCCGTTCGAATTACATTGGAGAGAAAGACGATTAGATCTCATAAGCACGCTGTAAGCTTATTCTACTGTCTAGTCCTATCTGGCAAGCAGGGCAGACACTAATGTTGAGTTTAGGAGTTCATCATGCGCATCCACCGAAAGGGCGAGCTCGAGTTCTTTATCGGCAGAAGATATAGCGATTTCGCCAGGCTACATAAGAGACTACGCCTCGAATTGCCGGGCAAGGTTCTGCCCACTCTGCCGAAGAAGAACAAGTCGGATACGACGACTACAGGACTGTTCTCTTCTCTAACTGGAGGTGGAAGCCCAAATTCTTCTGCCTCCTCAGTGTCTTCTATTTCGACCATGATGACTGGCCTTCCTCCTCATGAAAAGGATACTCATTCCAAGCTATCGGTGCTAGGTCAGTGCTTCTCATTCTTCTGCTGTGTGCTGTGACGCAGATGCTTACAGAAAAAGGCCACAAACGTGCCAGCTCCACTACCTCAGGTCTCAACTCGCCTCGTGTGTCAACGGACAGCAGACCCAAGAGCCCCCTGCCAATCCTTGGAGGAAAGAAGAACGAACAGGTGACGCTGTGGCGTGAGAGCCAGCGTGTGTCTCTCAGAGCATTCATTCGCACATTGCTCTCAAACCCCCAGATTGCGCAAACGAAGGCCATGGAGGAGTTTCTCACCAGGGACCAGATCACGCCGACGGACGCTGACATTGACGATATTGAGCGGAGAAAGGCAGTCGATGCGATGCGTGTGGAAGAGCAAAAGAAGTTCTACGAGGTTGCGAGGAAACGCGCTGCCGAGCTCGACATCTACATGGAGGAGTACGTAGTATTGCAATCTGCGTCCTCTACTGAATACTGACAGCTTCTAGGTTCCGTCAAGAGATCGTTGAGCGCAATGGCCTCACGTCACTGTTCAAGGAGATCAAGGAAAAGGAGACCATTCAGGACTTGAGCATCCAGTACCGCAAGTTCGCCGAGTGGCTTCGGATAGAGGTCGCAGCCACGATTTACCATCTGTTCCTTGCAGAAGACAACTCTCCCGAGCTTTTCGCTCAAGCCAAGAGGATTCACTCACTCATTCCCTACACCGTCATCAAGAACGTCATCAGAATCGCGAATCCGGCTGCTGTCATGTCCGGTGTTTTGGACGTGTTCCTGGCGCAACCTTTCGGCACCCGCTCACTCCTCCAGCGTATCTTTTCTCTCACTCTCAATGACGGCATCAAGAGCTTCCAAAAGTCTATTGACACTCTCGGCGCTAAGATCGGCGATGAGGCCTTCACTAGCAAGTTGAAGATGTACACTGAGGCCGAGGAGCACATCAAACTCGCGATCCGGGAGGAAGCGGCTGCTGAGGATATCGACTTGATTGTCGTGATCCTTCGCTCGGATTACCTCGAGCCTGGCCTGACTTCGGAACAGATTGGTCGACTTTACAACGCCTATGTTGCTTTCAACAACGCCGTTGAGAACATTGACGAGGAGTTGAAGCAGGGTGCTCAGCTGTTCTCGTACCTCAAGCAGTACCTGAAGCTTTGCACGAGACAACACGACAAAGCCATGATGCTGCAGTTGGTAGAGGAGCCCGTCACACTCCAGCTGTTCCGAGACCTCTTCAGCATCTTCTACGAACCCCTCGTTCGTGTCTACAAGTCGGCCAACGTTTACAGCAGTGTCACTGACTTTGCTGTGTTTATTGACGACATGATTCAGGTAAGCAATATTGCGAGATATTCAAGCAACAAAACTGACACGCAACGCAGGTCGTTGAGAAATGCCAGGAGCAGGATGCATCGGCAGACCCGAACCAGACTGTGCAAGCCTTCATTGATCTCTGCCAGAGACATGAACACAACTTCTACAAGTTTGTGCACGAGGTCCACACACACGACAACGGCTTGTTTGATCAGCTGATGGGCTGGATCGAGGATATTTTGGAGTTCTTGAGAAAGGGCCCCACAAACGGCACCTTGAATGTCAATGCGCTCTTCGAGGGAGGTGTAAGCTCCGGTGCCATCGACAAGGCCAAGGTCATCGACGAGGTTAACCAACTCATCTCATGGCAAGAAGCCAGAAAGAAGTGGCACCACGACAAGACGCGGCAAAAGATGGCGGCTGAAGGAAACGGAGGTCCCGACTTGGTTCCCACCGGTTTCTCGTCCTCCGACTTCGGCCTCGACCAGATGGACCTGGAGGACATGGCGTATGACGATGTCGACGAAGAGGAAGACGAGGCGGAGGAAGAGGACGAGCTCGACCCTATCGAGGCCGAGCGCCGTCGCCGGGCCAAGAGACGCGATAGGCTCCGTCGGAGCGCCGGCGAGCCGGCCAAGCCGCCCGTGTCCGAGGTTCACAAGCTCAAGGATAACTTCCTTGTCATGTTGCGCGAGGTTCTTGCCCAGTAAGCTTTTAGAGAAAGCATGATATCCCCTGGCTTGTAACTTGGGTTCACATACATGGATGGGTTGGGAAGGTTCATGGGTCTGGCACATTTGAGGGTATCAAGCCCCGCAACTCTGGCGTTTTATAGTTTTCATGTCTCCAATACCTAAATTACTTTGAATCACTTAGAACGTTTGCTAGTTGAAAGTGCTGTGATGCTTGATTATCACCAATCATCTACTGTGTCCCACATAATGGGAGTATCTACGATGCCAATCCCCAGAAAAAGCGCCCTCGTCACAGGAAGGTAAAGATGCAGTCAAGAAGAAACCGTCTTCTTCGGTATTGCTGTCTACTTGCACGCCATGAACCGTAATGTGATCTGATAGCGCGCGGGGGGGTATATCCTCAATTCCAAACTCCGTCAGAAGAAACCTCTTCATCCAACATTACAAAGCCCCCCTTATGGGTTCTATCTTTCTCTCTCTCTCCATCTATCTCCCTCCTTGGCCATCTAATCCCAATAACGCCAAAAATACCGAAGCAAAATAACGCCCGTTGCGTTATAATCAATGCTTCGAGTACAAATCCATCATGCCGGCCTTGAAATCCGCAATCTGCTCCCTCTGCGTCCTCGCCCTGGCCTCCAGGCTCGCCACCCTCTCCTGCAGCTCCGCAATCTTTTCGTCCTTCGCCCTAAGCGCCGTCCGAACCGTGTCCCGACCCCGTGCCAATCCTTTGGCCTTCATCGAAAACCGGCCCAGCAACTCCCTAACGGCGCGCGCAGTAGACTCGTCCATGATACCGCCGCCAACGCCGCCGCTGCCGCCCTTTTGCTGACCCCTGAGTAAGGCCATGACTTCCTCCGTGGGATCGAGCTGCTCCTCCTGAGGCGTCGACGTTGGTGGCGAAGAGTTGGGGACCGCCGCTGGGTGGCCGATCGTCGCTGACGACGCGGTGCTTGTCGAGAAGGAAACATTGCCGGGAGATACGTCACCGACGCCGGTACCGCGGCGTTTAGCGTCCGGGAAGAGCGTCCGGGTGACGGTCTGCGGCGTAGGCAGCGCGCTCTCCTTTAGCGTACGCTGCGCCGCCGGGGTAGTAGGAGGCCCCTCGACGCGAAGCTTCTTGGCGCTGCGCTCCATGGCCTCGGTCATAGCCCTTTCCTCCCCCGACGAGACGTCGTCCAGACCGTAATTGTCCTCTCCCTCTCCCCCTCCCTCGTCAGAGTCGAAATCGAAGAGGACCCTCTTCCTCTTCCTCGGTGCAGGCGTGGTGGTAGTCTCAGCCTCCTCGTCCGTGACCATCAGCTCGTTGGGTTCCTCCTCCGGTACCTGAATGGGTCGGTTCTTGAAGTAGGTGTCCATGAATTTCTGCTTGGCGGCGCTCCTCTGCGCCGTGGGCGACGGAGGCGGCTCTATTGCGGCCGAGTGAGCCGGGGCCGTGGCCCTCGCAGCAGGCTTGATGGTGGAAGCTGTACTCGGCGTCGGAGCCTGAGCCAGGGAAGTCGTCCGCCTAGGCGTAGCGGCGGCGGCGGCGGCGGCGCCGTCGCCCTGGGGCATGGGCGGCAACGTCATCGTGGCACCTTCTGCTCTGTTCTCCGCGTCCTCCGCCCAGAGGAAGAAATTGCAACCGCCCCGCCTCTTTTCACACGTGTAGAACCACCGTCCCCTGTTGGCGGTCTTCTTGCTGACCTGGAGGAATTTTGCAAACTGCCGCGGCTGGCAGTTACAGTACCAGTTCCCCTCGAGGAACAGCCCGTCGAGGCGCTTCTTCTGCGAGGGAGGGGGCGAGGGCGAGGATGTCCGGCCGCCTCCGCCGTCGCCGCCGGCGGGGGTGTAGGAGGCCGTCCTGCTGCTGCCGCCGCCGCCGCCATTGTACATGAGCCGTCGGCCGCCGCTGCGCGGGGTCCGGGAGACCATCTTTGTGGTAAAGTAGCTGCTGATATCGCGGGTTCCGGTGTCGATGCCGTTCTTGCTGGAAGTAGTAGCGGTAACGGTAGCGGTAGCCCGCGTCGTTGATTTACTTTCGGCGGCGTGGCCGGCTTTGAGGTGTGGATGTGTCCACGGGAGGCGGCGGACCATGTGATTTTTTCGGGGTCGTTCAAGACGTTGGTCTGTGGTCGGTCGTCGGGGAAGCAAGCGGTTTGAGGGCGGTAGGTGCTCACGGAGGTGATGTCATACTACCGGCCGATCTCGAAAAACCCCCCCTTTTTTCTTTCTGTTTTCTCCAGCCAAAGACCTCGAAAGAATGTCAGATCGAATTTTTCCTCACTTCCGTTGGATATGGCTTTTCACCTTTCAAAGGCTGAATAGTGTGCAGTCCTGGTTCAATCTTTCCGAAAACTGGGAGATCTCAGAGCGGGGGGGCGGGGGGTAAAGTGTTAGCTTGGGGAGCTGCCCCACGACTGCAGCTCCAAAATTGGAGGGGTTGGGGGAGCAACCGAGTATAGTGGATCTTGAGGCCGGTACATGGGGCCCCGGGGTGGACGTGACGGAAGCTTTCCCCGGGCGTCAATCGATCCAGTCCAGCCCTGCCGCGCGTTACCCGCCGTGGATACTGGAACGCAAGGTAGACAGCACCTCTGTTGGTTTTATTGATTTATTTCTCATAGTCGATGTCATACCGAACGGAATTTGCAGAATGTCGCCTGCAGAACTGTCCAATTTATTGAACGCCACTTCCTCTAAAGTCAACCCCCCTAAACAGGAAGCAACTGTCAACGCAACACACACCAACACCGGGCATTCCAATTTTATCCTTGAGATGTGGAATTGGTATTGAATTATACTCGAGCAAGTCTTCAAGACCTTGCTCTCGAGACCATGATCATACATGAAGGGACAGAAAGAGAGAGAAGCCATGCCAGCACAGCTATGAACACCCACCAAAATCCATCCATCACATATATTTGCAGCTTCCTCTCCAGCCGCCTGATCCGCGGAAAAGTGCCTGCCAAATCCAAGCCTCTCATGATTACCTTATGACGCAACTGACCGCTCGCTATGCTCATTGTAGGCAGCCAAGCCAGAAACTGATCAAGAGTTTCCCCCTTGGCTCCATTCGTTACATCTCTGACTGGTAAAGAGCAAGAGAAGAACGCGGGTATATGTAAACCACAAAAAAAAAAAAAAAGCATCAGAAAGGAAAATCAACGATATCGAACACCGCGCGACCCCCCCACCTGTCCCGAGCCCTCCAATCACAAAAAATCTCACACGTCGTAGAAGTAGTCTTCATCGAGACCGTCCCTACTGGGTATCAGTCCGGCACCCGGCGGTGGCCCGGTGTACGCAGCCTCAATTCTCACGTTGAGCAGCCTGATCTTGAGCCCAAAGTCGCTCACAAGATTCACGAGCTTGTTCGTCTCGGCAGTAATGGGAGCTTGGTTAAGCAGCATCAGCAGACCATCGAGCCATTCCGACGCCAGGCTGTGCGTGACCGGGTTCAGAGTCAGAATAGCCTGCTCCTTGGCATCACCGCCATTGGCAGCTTCGGCAGGATTGGCGTAGCTGAAGATGGTGATCTTGGTTGTTGATTTGACCGTCACATTGTTCTTGAGCGTCGAACTACTAGTCGCGCTGCGGCCTTCCTCGTTGGAGGCTGACACATTGGACACAACCGAGCTGATGGTGCTGAGGTCGACCTTTTCTGTCAAGATGTCAAGGCCCGGGTCTTGGGCTGTCTGTACCTCGAAATCGGCGTAGTGTAGGTACCGGCGATTGTGCGAAAGCTTAGCGAAGCGCCAAGGTCGCGGCGTGTACAAGCGGCGTTTGATGTTCTCCTCTCTAGGATTGGTATCTCGCCGTGGTAGCGGCTTGGAGAACCAAGATCCCTGGAGCAAGCATCGGATCCTTTGTTCCTTGACGAACTGAAGGGCCTCTTGTCTCAACTCCTCTCGGACTTGATACAGATGCTGACCCCACTGATCTTCAAACGACAGTTCTAGAAGCTCCATCTGGAGCTCTCGCAGCCTGGTACAATCGTACTCCAAGAGATCCTCCTCAACCTCCAACACATCTTTGGTCCGGCTGGCCTGGCCGACAACTTGCTCGATCAGTATTCGGACCAGCTCTGCCACCTTTTCGAAGTCTAGATGCTCTGCGGCAGTGGACTTCCACACGCGGAAGAACGCTTGCAGTCCGGCAGTGTGAAGACGCGACCACTGGAGGAGGAGGGGACGGAATAGCTTCTCGTTGTTTTTGATACCGTCCAAGCCTTGGTAACCCTTAATGTCCTCAACATCCGACTTCTCCACCTCGAAGTGATCATACAAGATCATGGTGACTGCGAGACTCGCCCTGGCGACCGGGCATCTTTCGTTCCTTGGTTTTGTGGATTGTTCCAGCAGCATCTTCTGGAAGCTGTCCTCGTTCTTGCGCACGTAGTCTGTCAAATCCATCATGCCCAGGAACCCAGGGACCTCGAACTCTTGTGTTGGACTCTCTGTCTCGAAGCCCAGTCTCCTCCATTTCTCAGGGTTGTGACGCCGGCTCCCCTTCTTCCCAAGTTCATTGAGCTCGTCCAACCGTTGAATGCCATTGACTTGCTTCTCCGGGTTGCTGGCGAGGTGAAGTCCCTTCAATCCCCGTCTGTGCTCGGGCCGCTCGAGGTCAACCCTGACCTCTCGCCACTTTCTCAGCAGAACCTTGGTCAAGGACTGGAACTCAAGCAGAGGATGCGCGAGATCCTGGAGTGACGAGCTCTGCATCAGGTTGTACACCGCCTTGATCAGACCGAGGTCTTGCAGGCGCTTGATAAACTTTGACCACTCCTCCATTGCAGGACCGTTCGCCTTTGTGATGCTGGTGTCGCTGGAGACAGCGTCGCGGATCATGGCATTGATGAGCATGAGGGCATTGGCACACAGCGCGTGGTCGGCGGACTGGAGCTGGGCAATAACGAGCTCGAAAAACTGCGGGTAGACTGCCACGGCCGGTTTCAGGGCCCTGAAACCAAATGAGCCCGGGGTGCGAGGGGTCGTCGGGCGAGAAGACTGCGTGTGGCCGACGAGGGCGACCAGGATCGACATGGCACCGCGCAAAATATTGACAAGAGGATTCGTGACGATCAGTTCGACGATGCGTTCTACGAGATCCCCTGACGCTGATCCCTCGAATATCTCCCAGCCCATGTCCACCTCCAAAAGGCGCGTCAGACTCTGCAGCGAGTACGCCAACGTGTTTCCTCCCGCACTCATGATCAGGCGTCGTAGAATGACCAGTCCTCCCGAGGATATGAATACGTCGGCAAACGCAGGGTCGTTTATAGAAGACTGCAGCTTGAAGACGGCCATCTTCCTGGCGGCGTCCTCATCGCTCGCGAGGCGTGACAGAAGCGCGGGGATATCGGCCTGGTCCATGGTAGCGGCGTCGGGAGAGTATGTACAGGTTCGGGACGGACAGGAGAAGCGTCGGCGCTGTGCCCGGGTGTCGAACAGAGGGTCGTCAGCAGGTGGAAGACAGAGTCGCGTCCACAGTCATGGCCCGCTGCTGAGAGAGGAAGCGCTCGGGTCGGGCTATATAAGGCAAAAGGCGTCGGACGGAAGATCTTCGAGGAAGCGCGGAAGAGGGTCCGTGTCAAACAAGATGGAACACGGGCAGAAGCTTCTCTGCAGATCCCTCGCAAGCGTGGGCGAAGGGAATAGCGTCGATCGTGGGTATGAAAATTATAATTTTAGGACGTTCCGTCGACAAGGGGGGGAATACACAGAAGGGTCAAGGAAGGAGTGTGAGGGTGGTGTACTCGTGCACTAAAAGGGGAGAGAAAGAGAGAGAGAGAGTCTTGAGGAGTTTGTGCGCGAGGGCTGTCGAAGCAACAGACCAGATGTGTTGACCTTTGGTCCGCGTTAGATGCGCACGGGCTGGAAGTTTGCGCATGTCCTGCAGGAGGTGGGAAAGCACAGATGCAGCGACAACGGGGCGGATCCCAGCAAGCCTCCAACTGGTTTTGGGCCGTTTGGGGGTTCACTTTCACAATTCGGAGGGGGCCAGTCGCTGGTGGTGCACCAATGGCGCTGCATGGCTTGGTGTTCAAGACCCGCCTTTCCTCTCGGGGAGGTTTTAGTGGATTTTTTTGGGGGGTTTTGCTTGACTTCGAGTCCGAGAGAACTGGGACGGCGGGACTGCGCCGACTGGTCGGCAAGTGAGGTAGCACGTCCAACGACTGGTTTCACCATGTCTTCCCACCGGAGACCATGGATATTTTCATCACCTTTGGGTAGAAACCTTATTGAAATTGCTCAGCGAAGCGCGTGTTTGTTGATTCTCCATCAACATGCGGTCTCGTGACCGCGAGCTCTGACTATACACTTCGGAGTTTTGACTCTGGTCGACAGGTCATTATCATCACCATCATCGGATGAGTGAACCTTCACTCGCGGTGGGCAGAACATCAACTAGTTGCGCAAACGCACAAAGGAATATGCAAGCCGGCCCAGAGTTTTAGACTAACATGTTAATGATCTCTCAGTCGGCGTCAGGTTGATAGTCTGGTGTCATTGTGGTTGAGTAAGCAGAGCCTAGATTTCAATTAAAGTAGCTCAAGAAGCAAGTTATTATGGTAAAGGTTGCCATGGTTCCGGGCAAGGAGTTTTACATTGCGGCGGCCTCTGTAGTGAGAAAGACCCGAATAGCTTCCATGGGCTTATTAAGATAGATGAAGGGGAGAATCGAAATGTACCTTACCAGCGATGAGGAACAATGCTTGACGCTGGAATGACGGAAAGCCGTTGTAAGGCTGACCTGAGAATGTTTGTATTCCACACGGCGAGAAACAACAGTCGCAAAACGTTCTAGACCGTTGGATCGCAACGCCGGTACGTACACTGTTCATCCAGTCCCTGAAATCCCGTCAGCCAGTGGGGGGGCTCTAGAACCCTCCACTGCTCGAGCCACACAGCTCCAGCCACCACGTTTGCCACAGCAGAGCCTTAGCCTCAACATTAGTCATCAGCGTGGCGCGCGAGGCTGCTAGAAATTCCTACCTTGGTCTGCCGCATTTGTCGCGATGAAGCAAGCCCGTTCCGCAGCTCCATTAAAACGCGGCCGCCAAAGACAATCGGATTCTCCCCCTCCCGACGATCAATCAATCAGTCACCGAGAAAACGTACTTGTATCTCACGAGGGTCATATTTAGAAGACGTCACACTCGAAATAACCTCGTTCCGCTAAAGATTTTGAAGCCGCGACAGTACTCGAAACCGCAAACATGGCCAACTTCCTTGCCTCCATCTTCGGCACCGAGCTCGACAAGGTCAACTGCTCCTTCTACTTCAAGATCGGCGCATGCCGCCACGGCGACCGCTGCTCCAGGAAACACGTCAAGCCCAGCTACTCGCAGACCATCCTCATGCCCAACCTCTACCAAAACCCGGCCTACGATCCCAAGAACCGCATGAACCCGTCCCAGCTGCAAAACCACTTTGACGCCTTTTACGAGGACATCTGGTGCGAGCTCTGCAAGTACGGCGAGCTCGAGGAGCTCGTCGTCTGCGATAATAACAACGACCGTACGTCTTCCCTTCCCCCGGAATTCCAAACCCAATGTTTTGAGGATGACAAAATACTAACCGGACACTCAAAAAAACACAGACCTCATAGGAAACGTCTACGCCCGCTTCAAGTACGAAGACTCGGCCCAAAAGGCCTGCGACGACCTCAACTCGCGGTGGTACGCCGCCCGCCCCATATACTGCGAGCTCTCCCCCGTCACCGACTTCCGCGAGGCCTGCTGCCGCCTCAATTCGGGAGAGGGTTGCGTCCGCGGCGGATTCTGCAACTTTATCCATCGCAAGAACCCGTCCGAGGACCTCGACCGCGATATAACCCTCAGCACCAAGAAGTGGCTCAAGGACCGCGGCCGCGACGAGAGGAGCCCCTCGCGCTCACCTACTCCCGAACCCACGCGTCGTCGGTACTAGCAAGAGGGATGTATGGGGAAGTATGAGTCGAGCCATGGCAACGACGAGGAGTCCTGTCGCGAAGCTTTTCTGAATTGAACGGTCACAGTTTTGCGGGCAGGGACGATAGTCTCCAATGGCGAACGAAGGCATATAGTGATGGACTCTGGGATAGAGACCCGGCCGTCCTTTCGCTGTAGTACCAGATTGCTACCCCGAGAACTTTGACCAGGAGCGGCGGGCCTCGACGAACCACATCGTATCAATCCCGATCTGGTTTGTAGAAGGAGGAGGAAGAGGATCAGAGAGAGGAAGGCGAAGCCCCAAAAAATTGAGATTTGATATGTTACCCCCGTACTTGTCTCAAGGGGGGAATTGGAAGTCCAACCAAAACAGAGGGTGAGAGTGGCGTTCATGGCGTTTCCAGGATGGGTTGGTTCTATGGGAGAAACTTTTCAACGGGCAGAGCATCATGTACAAAACATGTGAGAATAGGCAGTGCCTCCGACGAATTGAAGAGCAACTACAAACCCTGCATCGCCTTCAATCAACTACTGTCTCGGTGCCGGGAGCAGACCCATGCCCGAAGTTCCGCAGTTGAATGCAGTAATTATGTGCAGAAAGCAATGCTATACATATCTACAGAGGTATCCCTTTTCTACCAGACCACTCCCAATGTTCGCCAATGCAAAAGATTTATAGTGTACCGCGCCCCTTCCTCTTCTCCTCTAGCCAGAGGGTCCGCCTCCCATGGTGAATGAAAGTGATATTGGCATAAAGGGTTGCCAGATTTGGGGGGGAAACGAGAGGGACGTGCGTCTAGCTTAGCTTGACTCCTCCTACTCCAAGGCGTCATGGAAGCTGTCGTTGCTGGTATCGGCTCTCTTGAGCGGCGGGACGCTCTTCTTCATTTCCGTGAAGTCCATCAACGGTCCCTCTTTTGCTTGCGTTCCGGTGCTGTTGAGCATCCCCTGGATATCCTTGGATCCGCTTCGCGACTCCTGACCGGCCGGAGGAGTATTTCTTGGTGGCTGAACCACAGCCGCAGCCGCAGTCGCTGTTGGGGCTGTCGAAGTGGTAGCTGGCGCATCGCGGAAATCGATCAAGTCATTTCCTCCGTCGTGCTGCTGAGCGTCTGGAGCTTGAGCAGGGGCCGGGGCCTCTGTTGTGGCCGAGGGCTTGTGAGGAGGGATGGTATTTGTCGCAGAAGGCTTCTGGCCTGGAAGAATAGGGTATATGGCCAAGATCTGTTCAGTCTGCTTCTCTGGGCTTGTGTTATCGCTACTTTGTGTCAGTATGTTTGGGTACATTTGGGTTTGGTGACAAGCTGTGGGTACTAACATGTGAGCGTTGATGATCCACTCCAGCTCTTCCTCTCCCTCTTCAGGACCATCAGGGCCGCCCTGAACGGCCCTGAAAAGCCTAGGTTGCCAATCAACGCCTTCACGAGCTCTGGTCTCACGTTCCTCGCGTTGTTTGTCTTCGACTTTGGTCTTTTCGTCAGTCGCAAGCTCGTGATTGCGATCCTTCACAGCCTGAGCTGTCGGCAGCCAAAGCTTCTGCGATTCGCGCTCATCCTGCTCTTCAACAGGCCGCACTGAGGGGGTGCTCGGCTTCGATCTTCTGGCGTTGAAGAACATCTCTTTATGACCAGTCTGGGGTTGTTAGCAACGTGTCATAGCTAGAAGGCCACTTCGAGCCTACCTTGACATCTTTAACAAACATCTCCTCGCTCCAAAGCCCTGACAGCTCGTAGAGAACTTCGCCTGTGCTCTCGTGCTTGATGAAGCCACCGATCGCATTATATGTACCGCTGACCCAACCTTTTGTCTTGAACTCAATGTCTGCAACTAAGTCAAGCTCGGGGCACCGGACGAAGCTGTGGTCACCAAGCTCATACTTCATCTTTCCAAAAAGAATGCCTCGAGCGTACATGTTTGGCTGAGTTAAGATGCTGGTCTCACGGTTAGCGTACTCATACAGCCAATGGCTTCCAAACCAACTTACTGTCGTTCACCCCTTGTCTTGTCTTTGCCCCTGTTGAGCAAGGACAAGACCGCCGTACCTTCCATCATGCTCGCTGCCGAGTTTCCGAGGAACTTGCTCCTGGGCTTGAGTGTGCCATCAACGCGAATATTGTGCTCGGGGACCATGTAGAAGTAGCTAGACTTTGGAGGGTGATGCGATGTTTGCTCGGAGATGTAATAAGCCCTTGTTTTATCGGGTAAATCCCAGTAGCAGGAGAAAACCTCGCCGAGGATGGGGTTCAGGGGCTTTTTCACTCCTCTGGGCTCTGGTCAGCAACGCATGGGGCTTACACGGGTAGCTCGGAAGGACTGACGGCGGTCTAATATGCCATCCACTCAAGTAGAATTTGACAACGGCAACGAATCGTAGTACGGGGTCGTCAATCTCGGGTATAGGTAGAAGCATTTCGGGGTGGCACATGAAGCTATGACGAACACAGAGTCAGCAAAGGAGGCCCGGGAAACCGCGTCTTTGCCTAAGAATACTGACTTGGTAATTCTTTCGAGCATGCTACGGGGCTCGAGAATGAAGGTCGGCAGAACGACGCGACTTAGGTCAGCTCCAGGGCGAAGCTGGGAAATGATGTGGCCGAGCACTGGTCTCCATGTTAGCCGAGTGTGTGTGTATGTTTGTGAAGCATCCCGCGAGCAGGTAGATGCGGGCGCAACATTTCTCGTGGAGGCTTCACTCACCGTTGCCCTGATCGGCCTCGACCACCGTGGTGTCGTCATCTTCAGCAAAGGCAGATCCCCTGCCCTCGTCGACACTCGAGCGATTGCTAGCTGGTGGGTGGGAAAGCCAAGAGGTCAGCATGGTTGGAGGCAACTTTTTTTTTCGATTCGCGCGCGGCGGAGGTTTGGAGAGTGGAGGTGGAGGCTTTTTGGCTCCCGATAGACGCCAAAGCCCAAATACGCGACAAGGGAACAGGGCAGGGTGTAAGGAGATAGGCAACAGGCCGTAGGATATGGAGTGGGAGGGAGAATGGGTTCAAGAGTGCGCGAAGTTGTCGCTGTACAAACTCCCTGAGGGCGCGAGGAAGAGGAAACGACTGCGATTATCCTGACACTGGGCCAGGCAGTGACGCTAGGGCAGGTAAGACTCACTGAGGCTGGACGCTCTGGAGCGTCTTCCTGGCACATGGACCAAACCCATGACTGCGACTGGCTCTCGGTGGGCGGTGGGTGCAGCAATGCCCCTCAGCTGTCTTTCAGACCGCTATCGGTCTTATCGGAGCGGTGCCCGGGATGTGCCTTCTTGCTGGAATGAGGGGCAGTGCTCCCCTAAATGGCGCCTATGGGTTGCTTGAAGCTGCAAGTAGGGGTAGAGTCGGTAAATAAAGGATGGGGCCTCGCAGCCTGGTACGTAGTCGTACGTAGTCGTATGTAGTCGAACAGGAGTGAGAGGAGGGAAGACTGGCAGCAGTTGAACAGTGGACTTTGTGGGAATTTGTCGTAATAAAAGGAGTCGGTGGTTGACAAAGCCGAAGATGGTTTGACTTTCTCCGGAGGGGCAAGGGCTTGCTGGCGAAGGAAGCGTCGGGAGGACGAAAGTTGGGGCACGTATGAGTCGGATGCAAGTGGGAAAGAAGTCGGGTTTGATGATGCTGAGCTCGGAGAAGAGAGAGAGGCCCGCTTGCCAGAGGTAGCCGGCGGGAAAAAAAGCTGACCTATCTATGTTTCACTTGCTTGCTGTTTTCGATGGCTGTTGCCGCCTCTAGCAAGCTGGAACGTAAAGCAGAGCTGGGGAAAGGAAATGGATGAAAGGCGACGGGATGCCAACCGGGAAGAGGCTGAGCGAAGCGGAAGGGTGGACGTCAGATGAAGGTCAAAGTGGTAGCTGTTCCACCTCAGGTTGCTAGTTAACCAAAGAACGGTCGGAATTTGAGATGAGACTGAGGTTAAAGATGGTTTTCCATGTCAGAAGTCGCAAAGAAGGGGCATAAGACGGTGTGCAATATTGCCTGTGACACAAGATGATGATGATGATCTGGTAGATTCCTTAGCGATTAACAATGACGAGAGCAAACTGGTGTCAAGGCGAGGCAACATTAGGCATGGTGCAGGCATGGTGGTGGACGGTAGCTACCCTAGCCATGGTAGGTGGGTAGATCACCGGTTCAGCACCAAGGTCGCCAGTCGCCTGGGCTCCCCATGCCGTCCTTACGTACCTTGGTACGTCGCTGGTATAGACCCCACAACGGAGGACGAAGGAGGGGTGATGACGTCGCGTCATTCATTGGGAAACTTTTTTTTTTGGTCCATTTCTCCAATGCCATCATGTCCTGGTTCCGTGCGCTACCTACCTTGCCTTGCTACCTTACCTGAATCGCCTTAGGAGCTACCCAGGTAAGCCGTCATCACCTCTCGAGTCCAGCGCAATGGTACACAAGAAGAAGCCTAAATTAGCCCGACAAATCCGACGAGAGTCACTCAACCTGTTCATCTGCACTCACACAATGTAATGCTTCCCGACGGACGGGAGAGAGAGGATGGAATGTCTCTCAGGCATCGAGATGCAACCCGCGCATCCGCATGTGTTCGCACGGGAGTGTCACCCCAGCTTTCCCCTCCCTTCCGTCCCATCCCATGTCAAATACCGCAAAATGCTGTGCGACCCTGCACCCAATCACATGCCCGCCGGCTTCTTCTCACAAGCCAATCAGCCAGTGAGCGACTCCCCCTTCCGTTCAACGCCTCACCCACCAGGCGGTGCGCCCTGCTGCAGGGCACTAATTATTGACATTTATGCGGTATCCATTGAGAAAGGTATCCATATGTCGACGTTGTCCGTCACGTTTTTTATACTCTGAGGAGCTCGGGGCCTCACTTGTTGATATCAAACCGAAGAAAATGTCATAAACTACGCCACGTGCCTCTACTACTTTGGGAGATGGAGAGGAGAACGCCGGGCAACGTCTCAAGGAGACCGTGTAGATATTTGACGTGCCCAGGCTAGGCATCTCACCCCCATTATGCAGGTCAATTGTGGCAGTGCTGGTACTTCCAAGCAATATTGACCGCTTCGACATGCAGCCCAAGCCCTACTAACCCCAAAGTCCCCCATCTTTCGGCCAAGATATCCACGAGTTTCCAATAAGTTGGACCAGTGAATGAACAGCTTTCTGAGAGTGCAGCTTATTCGGGTAAGACCCACAGGTTCCATAAGTCATGTCATTTGCGTCTTTCGACACCTTCGTATGCGCCAGACACATGGTCGTATGTCACTTGATACGCGTATCATTATCAAGCTGCTGTCCTGTCTACCTAAAGCACGTTGCTTGTAAGCGCATGCTTTTGTGCCTGCCCTTTGCTCTGCAACCAACAAGTTATCCTGACAGGCAGCAAAAATCTGACTGGGACCTGAGGACCTGGTCTTGTTTTTGCTCAACCACCTAAAACCACATCAAAAAAAAAAAGGGATTCCCTGGGGAGGCTCTCAATGATGCTTAGCCTCGTAACCCATGGCTTCTGGCCCGAGTCTTCCGGCCAAACATGCCATATCATCCGAATGCCCAGACAATGATCATTTCGGTATAAACCAAAGCCAAATCCACCCGCCATCTTATGGCCGCGGGTCTCGCCTTTTCCGTCGCCGTGCTTCATCCATCTCTCCTTTCTCGTTATCCGTTGTCCGCGAAGCAATGTGAGGAACCGACTAGTGGGTATCTTGTTTTTCGAATGACCAGACCTTGCTTCCAACCCACGACAATACTTTGGATAATTCTTCGCTTTTCGCACAGCTCGTCACTTGTCAATATGATGGATCCTTGTGGGCTCATCGGCCTCTCAGTGACCTGGAACCCTTGACCGTCGCCGGTAGACACTGTGTCAGCCGGTCTCGTTCTGTTCGGAAGTTAGCATGAGCCCGGGTCCATTCGGCTATTGGAAAGCTTACCCGCTTCATTATCGAAGAGGAGCGAGATGTCGTCGTGTTCACCCGGCAGGTCCGGCAGGTCCAGGCAGATGAATCCCATGTCGTCCGACGGTCCGTCACTGCCGTTGGGCATCCGCGGCATGGGGAATTTAGCGTCAACAAACTTGATGCCAGCCTTGCTGCTCCGCGAAAACGTCTCGTACACATCCGTGCCCTTCAGAACGAAGTTCATACACTGGCCGTGGTGAAAGTCTGGGAAGAACGCGAGAAGCTGGATGATTGTGCCTTGTTGCACCACTTGGATTCGAGTCGATCCCGCCTCCCATTTCTTGTGGATCGGGACCACCATACGTCGTCGAGATATGGCAAAGGTGGCTGCGAGGCCGTCGAAGATGACGCTGAACCCGGTCAGTGCAGCCTGGAACGCATGGAGATCTTTCTGAGTCGGGAAGCTGTAAGTGCGAATTGTTTGAGTCGTCTGCAGCATTTGAAGCATGTCCGTCAGAGCCTTGGGAATCTCCTTGCCGACAGTGCCATCCGAGACCGTTGAAGTCATGTCGAACTGCGGCTGCCGCATCACCACTATGGACTTGGTCTCTTGAACCTCAAGCCTCAGCCGCAATTCGCCGGGTTGCAGATTCACTCGGTCAGTAAGTGATCCTTGCTTGGACTCAACGATAACCCTCAACCTATCGGCCAGAACCGTACGAGGATAGTCGTCATCTGCATCTTCGTTGATGACTCGAAGGGATGTCCAGGGGATCTGGCTCACGCCTGGAAGATACTTGCTATCCTGCAAAGACGTCGACATGGAGAATCCGATGAGAGGCACATCTGCATAAATCGTTTCATCCTTTTGCACAGAAGTGCCGGAAATCAAGCTGTTGAGCTGTGCCCGCTCCCTCTCATCACCGAACGAGAGCACCATGCTCACCTTCTGACGACCGTTGTCGTACTTGAGCATCAAGGCCGCATCACCCCCGTCCGACCTGAGGAAACTGATGGGGATTGGCATCTGAGGCGTGTATGTGTGGTTGACACCACTCAGCGTTCTTGTACGAGGACCTGTCACCACGACGATTCTGTACCCCCTATGGTAAGCGCGTGGGCCTGCAGCAGCATGCTCCTTATGAATCTTCTCAAACAAAGCCACGTCGCAATTGGGCACAGATTCTTTGGGAAACGCTCGGCCTTGAGGGTCTGAGTCAAAATACTGGAATGACCGAAGGCTGGAACGAAAGACGCAGTGCTCGTCGGATCGAGGGTAGAGAGTTGCCTGAACCTTGGCACCAAAGTCATACATGCTCCAAAGCATTCGGTAATCCTGCTGTGAGCACCGGGCAACAATCATGAAGCCTCTGGGCAGCTTGATCTCGAGTGCGCAAGAGTCATTGCGCCAACGGACATCATCCCAGGTCGGACCCGAGTTCTTGTTTCCTTGAATCCGTAAGTTGACCTCTCCGTGTTGAGCAGCAATGACAAAGACCAGGTTGGGCTGTTTGTTAGGTCGAACCATGGACAAGAGACAAGGGAAATAGAATCTCTGGGAATCCATGCCTTGTTCCATTAAGAACACGTCTGTGCTGATCCTGCCGAATGTGAAGTTCTCAGCCGTATCATTCGGGGGAAGAGTCTCTAGGATTTCGAAAGGGGATGGGGTGCGAATAACACCAGTCATGGCCGCAGACGAATCAGCAGTGAGCAATGCAATCATGTCAACGCTCAGTCTGGGGTACTCCACCCATATAGACTTGTCGATAGTCTGAGGCAAGAATGCCTCCTCAGGCGGAAGAAAATTGTTTCTCTTCATTGAGACAGTGAGCTTCTTGAGAGTGGTAACGACTGTAGAGCGGATCTCAGAAATGCCTGCGTCGGGTGCAAGGCGCTTGTTCTCCAGCATCTCAGGGATGGCTTCCTCCACCAGCCAATAGCCTTTGGCTAGGTTGGCGTAGGCCTGCTGGCGATCATTTTCGTTTTGCATCTGGTCCTTGGGACTACCAGGTCGTGCGCGAACAGCAGCCTCCAAAGCCATACGTCCTTTGAGGAACCACCACAGTGCAGCACGCGCTAGCTCAAGCTGTGAGCAGGCTGAAATTGGCTTAATTGTCTCAGCATGCAATCTGAAAAGCTCACTCAGGTGCCGAGTGCGGGTGACAAAGGTGTTGAGAGCGTCATCGCCGACAGCGAGAACTGCATCATGCATGTTGAAAGATGCCTGTCTCGAGGCGATCGATGCGGAGGGGGGCGCCATGTTATACTGGGAGCTGACAGACGGCTGTCGAGAAAAGTTGGCAGCTGTGTTCTGTTGGCTGAACTCAGTACTACTCGAGTAGATGGACGAAGGGCTCTGATCGGGAGGCTTTCTGTAGTCGTCTGGGGATCTCGATTGGAGAGGGACCTTGCTGGGTGGTACTGGAGATCTGGTTGGTGATTCGATTATCTGGGGTATAAGAGGCGTTTGACCTCCATGCTCCTCCCGCTCGGCTTGGCGCGCGGCCTCCGCGAATGCCTTGCCCTCCGCTTGTCGCATCTCCGCCTGCTGGTGCTCGATGAAGGACTTCCGATTCTCGTTCTTGGCGCTGGTTGAGGTGTCCAAGAATGGCGCAGAAACCGCATTGCCCTGTGCCACCTCTCTATAAGCAGGAGGGAATTCTTTGGGCTCGATAGGGTCGTTGCTGATAGAGGAAAAGCCCGTCTGTGTTCGTCTCAGGCGACCTGGCATAAAGTCTGAGTCTTCCTTCGGCGCAGAAGGCGCTCTCGTCGGGGAGTCGTGGACAGCTACCACAGGTGTACGGCGAGGAGATGGCGGAGGTCGCTGTTTTTTGCGCCTCGATACCTCGATTGCTGGAATCTCCGACTCGTCACCACCTTCGCCAATGATGTCGGGGTCTTGATCCACAAAGCGAACGGCCAAGCCCTTTCGGTTGCTGCGCCGCGGGCTCCGAGGTGGGATGCCCGGGCTTTGCCCAGGGCTGCGGGCGGAGTATTGGTTCGGGAGATTTAGGCTCTGCTGGGAATGACTGGCGACAGACAAAGCTTGAGGGTAGCGGGTAGCTGATGAGATGTCGAGCTTCGAAAGCTGGGGAATAACGGAAGAGGGTGACGCGTGATTGACCTGCAGGGTATCGGAGGGGCCGTTGAGGAAGTCATTGATGCTGGTGCCCGTCTCCTCAGCCGTCGGCCTGCGATCTTTCTCCTTCAGGGCAAAGAGCTTCCCCATTAGACGACCCCGCCTCGAAGTTGCGGAAGGCGGTTCGTTCTCCATAATTTGAGACCGTTATCGACGTGCGGCAATATCGAAACCATAGGCGTAGGTGGGACTCTGTGTAAAAAAGGCGGCGTCAGCAAAGGTAGTTGGGAGGCGTGAGCTGCTTCCCCGGTGGGATGTTGTTGGAACAGGTAGGAAGTATGGGTATCAGCATCTAGGCCAGAAAATGATTTACCTCGGACAATTGCAGCGTACGCCTCACTCTAGGCTGCTAACTGATTCCCGCAATCACTCGTACGCGGAAGGTGCGGTTCTTGGGATTTCGAAAATGGCAGGTCGAGTTGGGAGAAGGATGCGGCAACCGGGGGGATTGGGTGAGGTGGGCTACCCAACGTTTGGCAGTCGGTTGTCGTCGTCAGTCGGCCAAGCGTGTGCAAAGTAAGGTAGTAACAGTAGCAGTGAAGATTTGAGGTTGGGAGGAAGTCTGGGTTTGGCAAGGCGAGCCAGACGAATCGGTATTGTTTGCCCTGCAGCAGGTAAGGTGGTGCTTGCTGCTGGTGACAGAAGGTAGACTGCGACCGCGACTGTGGAAGAAAGGCGGTCGGTGGCTTCTGCCCGAATGGAGTGAGATTCGACGTTGGGTGAGGTAGGTGAGGTATTCGAGAGAAGCAAGGGGTTTCAGGTTCGGAGAGATCGAAGGTACGCGGTGGTATTGTATTGGAAGGTGCGGAGCGGCACGGTAGGTAAGGTACCATAAGGTGCAGAGCAGTGCCCGCAGTTAACTTGCGGGTTTGCAGGTGCGGAGCTCAAGGACGACCTTGGGAAGGTGCTGCTTTGCGGATAAGGTACTTGACGAGGGACGGCCACAAGCACCACGTTGAGGTAAGAAGTTCCGGTGCCCTCGACAAGTTGCAATAGACGTAGCAAAAAGCATGGGGGGAGTTGCATGTGGGTAGGCGCCCGTGAACTACAGATACGTGAGATTTCCAGGTTGTCTTGGACCGACCACCTCCAAGGTTCCTTGCCTAGGAACTTTACTCCTCCCCTCATGCGTGGACCCTTGAAGACTCCAGTTCGCCCTGTAAGTGGCCAGGGGCAGTCACTTGTACAACGAACTCAACCTCCCCCCCCCCCCTTTCCGGTTCCCGCTCTGTCGAGGTGGTTGCACGTCAAGCGAGACAGGTGCTCTGACCCAGCGGAAGGCGTTACCTTACAGCAGGGCGGGCACACCAGATGGTGCAGGTACGTACCGCCCTGTCAGGTCAGGTTGCCCCAGTATCAGCACCAATCTCAAGTGGAGGGCAACCGCGTCGTTTGCAAACCCCCAAGAGGAGTCGGGTGGTATCTATTATTCCCCACTAATTCTGATTGTGGTGTTGATTTCCCCCCAACTCTAGGAACTTTGGCTTACGGCTCATTTTGCCTGCATGAAGGAAAAGAAGGAAACGAAAAACAGTGGCAGCAAGGTGATTGTCGATGTGTTCGGACGTGGGTCTTATCAGGGAAGTCGACGTTGGCAGGAGGCTGCTCTACACGATCGGCAACGCAGACGAGATATGAGGGAACAGGTGTCTGTCAACTTCAGTGCACCTCACGCCATCTCCATGACACGGGAGAGGAGCACATCGCAGCACTTCCCTTCTCATCAGTGAGGCTTGATTCCACGTCCCTCCCTCACTGGGCTGTAGGGCGGCCATTCCGGGTCAAGTGTCCGGTGAGGATTGGAATCCTAAGCCCCAAGAGCACGTAACTTCAAGGGACCTTGTTCCTAGGCGTTCCTGGGTATGATACCGTATGGAGCACCGCACTCATCCTTAGACGCCGGTCGAAGGTAAATTCCACACTATTTTTGGGGTCCCATTCTCCAGCCCAACGCCCAGGGTGCAGGAGGTAGGTTTGAGGGGCCCGTTGGGGGCTCTGCTGGACGACTGAGTCGGGGCTTGGGGAGCATTGGGGGGAGACCTCTTGGTCTCACTTTCGGGGTCCTCTCCGCTGGGCGAAAACGGGACTGCTTATGTACACAGTAGGTAGTGGTGAGAATGGCATAGTGGCGGGGACAGCAAAGAGCAGGCACTGCCGTCATTGGGTCGTGTTTAAAATAAGAGGGAGGGGCCGTTCGGCCTCGAGCTCGCCGTAGTCGCCGGTTGACCGTTCTACCTTGGGTTTGGCGAACAGCCTCATTCGTCCGCCGATGCGCGCTGCGCCTAATAAGACCCTTCCCAAGTGGTGTGGGCTCGTATATTCTCCTTCGTGTTCACACTCTGCATGCGACCCGTTTCTATAAAGTATCCGTGAGTCCCTTCGTATCCATTTTGATTCTGGGTCACTGCCTCGCTACAGCCTACGACTCAACACGGGCTTGTCTGCTAAGGTAGCTTCAGTTACATCCAAGATATTTGGTCAGAAGTCCGTAGTCGGTCGTCTGTTGACTTTTCGTCGCGTCTAGCACTGGCCACTGGTTACGGAGCAGGCAGGATTCCAATGCAATGCAATGCGACGCAGTCCCATGTAGTACTCCTTTTGTCACGAATTTGCATACACATCGGACAACCCAAAGTTCAAAGTTCAGAGTTCAGACGCTACTTACATGATGATGTGCAGCCCTTGGATTTCGGACATGGGACGAATCTATCAACTGTCCGAACCTTAGCCTACTTGAGCAACAGCCTCCTTGGCAACTTGGCCATCCCATCTAGGAAGTTACGCTGCAGCTGAACTACCTTGCCTCTTCCCTCAGAGCTAGAAGGCCCCCAGAGAGGCCACATGTCGCGTGAGCAACACCTGAACTTTCCAGGTTAGAGCTGTTCCCTGGCAAAAGCTTCAGCGACAAACAAGCAAACACCACATGCAAGATCCCGTCGAAGCCAAGATGTGGATATTTACAATCTCTTCGACTCAAGTTCACCGACTGAAGTGCATACAGCACGTGGCATTGACATCGCTAACCGTTCCCTACACAACTCCCACGAGGCAAGAAACCTTTTCCCTGCCTTCACAGGGCACTTTTTCGAGATTATTGCTGAGGAACTGAGTTTGGTTATCTCGTGAATGACGGTATGGCGCTATTTCGGAAACTTCGCAACTCATGCAAGCCGCCCGTCGAACCGCTAAAACGGCGCGAACCGGCACTTGTTCGCCTCAGCATACCGAACTACGAGTCATTGTTGCTCTCTTTTTCACGGACACAATACAAACAATTGCCGTCAACTCCACCGCCTAAAGTATATCGAAAACCAAAACGCTTTCATCATTTCATTTCCTAATTGTCGGCCGCACCGCAATTAAACCATCCCCAGGGATAGCCACCCGACCGTGTCTGCATACAATGTTCAGACTCGCCTCGATCCAGCAAACCACGTACAAGTGCCACAATATTGTCAATAGAATCACGCATGGACCATCTGTCGAAGTCTCTTTTCAATCTTTTGGCGTCCATCCAACGTCTCCCATACATTGTGAGGCGCGTCGTCGACCGTATCCCAATGCTTCAAATTTTTCGTCAGATGGCTAAAGTCTCTCTGCTTCTCCTCCCATTCGCTGTCCTTGCGGATATTGACGCCGGAGCTAATGACCACTAGAGGCGCATCCGGGTACTGGATGGCCTTGCTACTAATCACCTCACGCTTGGTGAGTGAATCGGCGACGAGACTCTCCTGCAACTTTGAAAACAGGTACTTTCCACTCTGTCTGGCTGAGCGACCCCAGACACGATCTGCGCTCGTGCGTCCTCGGAAGATGGCGCCTGGGAGGCGTTCGAGTCCAAGAGGCGAGAAGACACCGCGAAGCCAGTACGCAAAACCTCTGCCGGGGTCCGAAACGCGGTGAAGCAGGTCTTCGTGCAGAGGATCGATCAAAAGGAGGCCGTTCACTTCCCTGCCATGTCGAGAGGAGAAGATCTGAGAGTAGACAGAGCCGATTCCAGCGCTAGCCAGAATCCAAGGGCCCTTCTCGCCAGCTCGTGCGAGAGCCTCGCTGAGGGCATCAGTTGCCATGCCAGCTGACAGAGGACTGGGGGCGGTATCGCTCCATCCGTAGCCCGGACGGTCAGCGAAGCAGTATCTCGAGATGGAGTCATTTTTCAAGGCGTTTTGCGCAAATTGCCAAAGTCCATTCTCAACTGGCAGATCGCCCCCTTCGAAGAAAACGGTGGGTAGCTTGTTGCCGGCGGCGTCGGTGCCATTGCCGTCGCAGTAGACGTGGATCCGGTATTGGTCGCCATCAACCCAGTATTGCTCACCCGGCGGGCCGAAACCGGCATCGAGCGATCGCAGAATCAGCGTGGCAGTAATCAGAATGATGATCAAAGACAGGATGATATAGGCCACCGTAGAGATGAGCACCTCGGTCCATTCCCAGACTGTGCGCCTGGTCTCGACTCGGCCAGTGAGTCGCTCTTCTTCTTCAGCTTTACCCCACTTTACAGTGCGATCGCAGGCGAGCGCCCACAAGCTCACTACAAAAGCCCCTTGGTTGAAGTTGTCAGCAGAGGCTCTTTCACTTGAGATGAAAATTTTCAACTTACAGACAACACTCGCAACTCCTACTCCGGCCTCTTCGTAACGGTTCTTCTGCACCGCGAGGATGAGGATCATGTTGACGAGTAGCATAACAGCCATAAAGATGGCCAGAACCCGGACGGCTTTGGACGGAGCCGCAAAGAACACGAGGGTGAATAGCAGAGTAAAAAGTGCCACGCTCGAGTAGCTAAAGGCATAGAACCCAGAGCCGCGGGTATGCATCCCAGGCGGTGTGACGAAAGAGGAAACCAAAGTCAGGGTCCACCATGTGAAAGTGAGAGCCGTGAAGAGAACAGTCACCCATCGCAGCACACGGACCGTCCAGAGGTTGTACGGAGACACTGCCGGGTCATCGGGCGTCAGGTACTGGCGGTTGTCGCTGTCAAGCCGGTTTGGAAGGAGTCGGGTGTGTTCATCGGGTTCCCGTGCCGCATATTCGTTCGACCTCCTCTCTTCCGGTGGCCCATCGCGGACCTCGTTGTCGTCGTCGTCCTTTTTGTTTCTTGAACCCCAAAGCGATGACATGATGGCCGCTTATCGGAGCTGTTGTGGAAGAGGAGCGGTTGATACTGTAACACGGGAAACTCGCAGAAAGTGCCACAAATGATAGGCGACAGGGTATCTTCGTAAATGCAACCTTGACCGAAAAGTAAAGAAAATCGATGAAGAGAAGGAAGAACACGAGGGAAAGGGGAAATTGAGAACCGGGGACACACGTCCAAGTAAAGGGTAGTCTGAAGCAGCTAAGACGAACGGCAGAGAACTAGGACTACTTACACTACATCCTGCTCACAGACGTCTCAATGACGGCAGGGGGGGTTGACGAGGAGGGCCCAGAGCTTCATCTGCAACCACCAAAGGCGAGAGCTTCCTGGTCATGTACGTCATCCGCTGCAATTGGGCGGTGTCACCGAATGCGGAAGGGTGGGGAATCCACGGCGCTGGCGCCGTGAGATCGCCGATTGGAGGCCCCATTCTCAGCACATCATTTCCACTGTCCAGGACTCCAGTCCACGACGCGACGGCCCTCCGAATCTCCACCCGACTCGGAGCTAAGCTCCGGCCTAGCGTGGGGGATTGACAAAAGGGCAATGCGAAGAGCAAGCGAACGCTCGCGCCTCACTGTCGGCAGCAAGGAAAAAGCAGGGAAACCTGACAAACCGTGATCCAAGCCAGCTGCCGCTTCTTGGCTGGGAAAGTACGCGCTGCATATCGAGCGTCGACGACATTTCAGCTCCATAACTTCCTTACCTGGGCTCGTCCAATATCAAGTGGTGGTGTCGGCAGGCCCCAGGGCGTTCGAGCGTGGCCAACCGCATGCGATCGAGTTGTCTCCCAACGCAATCTTTTACCGGTGCACGTCCCCCACACCACCATCGAGCCCCCTCCATCGCGACCAGTGTTTGTCAACCCCAATCTGTCTACAAGTCATCGGCAACCTTGACGAAGCCCTTTGTGACCTACAGCAAGGTTAGGGGTTATTTTGTGACTTGAGATCGAAACTAACGGCAGGCTCAATATCTGGGCCCATGACCTCTCCAGATTTACGAACTGGAGTTGTTCATCATCAAAGTATCTTGCAAGTTCCATTTTTCAAGTTTCCCTACCGGTCAACATCAATCACACCAATGTCACGGCACTGGACCTTTGTTAACATCCACCTGGTCCGTAAACACCTGTCAAGGAATGGGAGCGTCTTGGTGGCATGTGAATTGGCACTCCAGAACATGGTAATGGTGTAGAATTCTTCCGTTTTCATCAGACTTTAATGGTACTCGTACAAGCAGGCGTTTCAGATTCTCTGTTCTGTGGCGCACAAACGGCAAGCAAGTTTGAAAATTCCAACGCAGCTTCTCCGACAGGCTCGATGCCTTAGCGTCCAGAAGCGGGTATAATGCAAAAGTAATATAAGCAAACCGCCATCATCTTCTGGTCATCGTCTTATTCATCGACCAAGACCTTCTCGCATCTGCCTTATCGACATTAAGGAGGTGTGCACTCCCCTCCGACCAAGGCCGGTTGATGTCCGCGCCTATGCCCATGGGGCAATGGGGTTGACCTCCCTGCTGCCCGCCGAAGATTCAGAGGAAAAAGAGCCGGAGATCCTTTCGCAACCGCCATAGGCTTGGCGAATCTGCTTCCGGTTTGAGAACTTTTTCTTGGCAATCGTCTCGGGATCCGGTCCGCTGGAGGGCTTAATGGCCTCTTCGGGAATCGCTCCGATGGGGGCGTGCAGCTTTGCGCTGGCCTCGGGATCATTCATTGCGATGCCATGCTTGTGGTACTCTTGTTTCTTGAGCTGTTTCCAGTCTTGGGATGATGGCTCTCCAGTACTGAACCAGTCTTTGAGCTGGTTGACCCAATGATTCTTGCTGTCTTTGGGTTTGATCTTTTCGTCATGTCTCTTCTTTGTTGGACTTCCACTGCCGCCAGCTGTAGGAGCGCTGTAATCTGATGGCTGCGACTGGTCGGAGAGCATGCGTCTCGGAGGGGACATTCTTAAGTCCATCTCCGAGATCCTGCGTCTGAGACCCATTTCTTCGTCTGAGAGGTCTATCAACGTTCCTGGATGATTGTCTTCTTCGTCTATCGCCAGCCCAATTTTATGAGGGGCTGTTCGTGTGTCAACTGCTGCTATTCCTGAGCTTGAAGCCGGGCGAGGAGGGCCCGGCGGGCGTAGGTGAGTGAATGCAAGATCGACCGACTTAGCGAACTTGTGGCCGAGGACAAAAGCGCGTTTTTGAGGAGAAGCCTTCTTAGGGAGGCTTTCAAGAATTCCCTGAGCTGATGGATGAGGAATCTGAGATCCCGTGCAGAAATCTTGATCAATATTCTGGTGCAGACTCCTATGGCTTCTCGGCACTTCGTCGGATTCGAGTGTCCTCTTGCTTCTTTGCGGTGTTGTAATTCCGAGAAGACTTCGCCGTTTCTTCTTTATTTTCTCCGGAATCGGCCCCTAGCCGTAGCCGAATGTCTCTGGTGCAGTGTTTAATATCGAAGATCGAGAGTCTGCTGAGGTTGTGGTGACTTTTGCCCTTATTGGTTTGTACGAAGAAGCCCAGTAGAATGGGGGTTCTGTGTCACGACTGAGTGTAGATGTTTTTTGTGCCTCTCTAAAGGCGGTAGGAGGTAGGTGTGCAGCCGAAGAAATGGGAGGTGCCGTCGGTGATTGTAGAGCGGTATTCGGGTATGAGAAGTTTCGAATGGGTGGCAGTGGTGCTGATGAGTTGAAGGGTGAAATCAAGTCTTCTCGGTCAGGGACAGGTGAATTTTTCTTGTTTCGATGCCGATGGAAGAGCCGCATTGTTCAGTAGGAAAGAGGTAGACTAGTGAGACTGCTCTTCAAGCATTCAAAAAAGAACCCTGGTTTCCCCCCAAGTTGGCATCAGATGTCCGACTGAATTCCTTGGCATGTAAGGGTGTGTATTGTCGCACAATTCTTGATAATGCAAAGGCGATGGTGTGTTGTAGGATATGAATATGTGTGGAGAGGGCGGAAGGTAATGGAAGCGGTTGATAAGTATTCGAGGTAACGGAGGCGGATATTTTGGAAATGGGCGATGATAAATTGTATGTTCAGTCAACTTGAGGCAGTGTTGAAAGGAAGTGGACGTGGACAGACTGGCGAGCGAGGAGTAGAAGTAAAGAAGATCAGCAGAGAGAGAAAGAACAACCTCGTGGCAGTAACGTGTAAAGTAACGCCCCAAAAGAAGCGGAATGGAAATAAGAGCATGGGGCGGAAAGGTCTCAGAAGCCATGCATGCTCGCTCTTCCGTTCTTGCCCCGCTCGTGGTGGCTATCTTACCTCAGGAAAGAGCAAGCGGAATGGCTTGGCCTGTACCTCCCATGTTCTCTTTTGGTGGGTGCCATGCCTTGTCCCGCATGCCCCCCCAGCGCTCAGTACCTCGTGCCATTAGCTCCTGCCATGTTGAGGGTAGAAAGAGCAAGGCATCACGGACACCATCTTCCCGACGCTGCCCGTAGGACAGCCTTGCAATACGAGTGGACGCCACATTTCACTAATCATACGCTAACGCCAACGTTGGCAAAGACTCTGCGGGACGGACGACGGATGATATTCATTGTTCGGGCACCATCATTGGGTCGGTGACGTCTCTCCTGGGCACTCTGCTACTGCGGGATCGTCGGACCATAGCCGGTGCCCTTGCCAGTGGTTGTTCGAGAGCTGGGACGATGCAAGGAAATGGGAATTCCATCGCCGGGCTCCTCGGTCAACCTCACTATCCCTTGAGTTGATGTCTCGTAGTGTCTCAGGAACGAGACCACAAGACTGGCTCAGCAAGGAAGAGTACTAGCTCTTGGACGGCGTCGTGTTTCGCCCTTTGTTGACCATCTTAGGTAGGAATGCTGTGCTGTCAGCTTCAAAGCCAGCTACCCAGCTGTCTGGTACAAAATCAAGATCCGTCTTGCGCACACCAGGCTTTCCGCATCGAGGCGCAGCGTCCTTTGTCCGCTGGTCGGCGAGTTGGGGAGCCCGTTCGTGCGGCAGGCGGCAGTTTGAAAGGAGGAGGAGACTCGATGCTTGCCAACAAAAGGAAATGAAACAAGACTTTTACCAACGAGGTTCAATATTCATGACTGACCGAGGTCATGCTGGAGACCGGCGAGTCTTCTGCGACAAGTTTTCCTTTTTCGGACGTGTGTTGCTGGGCAATATCGAGAATTCGATAGCGCGTGGGCTGCTTAAAAAGAAGCAAGTTTTTTACTGCAGCCACAATCTGATAAATCACAGATTCGGCTTGTAGCCCACGATTATCGTCCTCTCCGTATCGCGACACAGGACATACCCCATAGAAGACCATTTATTCTAGGCGCCGTCGGGCTTCTCACTAGTCTGGGCAATTTAGGAAACTGTCCATGGGCCATGCGAGAAGAGAATACGGACATACGGCAGAATAACGCTGTGCGGAAGCTTTGGAAGCTGGACAACCAGGGTTAAATCACACCGGCGCTTTCTCGACATAACTGCTAGACGACCGAGATTCAACAATACGCTCTTCTTTTGCCTCAACCGCAATTGCCCCAGGTAGTCCTCGTCGGAAGAGGTTCCGGCTTGCAACATCGTCGATTCCCACATCGACATCTCCCCTCGCAGGAGCGGCTGAACAGAAATCTCGGGAAGTCTACCAATCACGGTGGCCCACCTTATTCTGCCATTCGGACCCTGGCGAAAATGAATTGGGCACTTGGCACGTGCGGCCGTAGGGAGGTCGTGCACGGCCTGCCTCGGCGGCCTGTTTTGCTGGTTCAGATCCTGAAAATCTTCTGCAGGCACCAATCGAGCTAGCCAGTGGCGAAGGTGCCTTTGGACGTTGACCTTTGGGCGCTGTTTCGATTCCCAGGGCGGTCTTTCATCCAACACTGACTTTGGAATCCGTTGAATGACCGTGCCGGATCACAGAGGACGAACAATAAGGTAATTACGACAACAACATCGACAACTACAGCAAACAGAAATCGTCACGTGTCGCGCATTTTGAGTTCACCCGACCTCTACAACCGTTGGCTTGCGCACCTGGCAGACATCCGCATCGCCTGAACTATCGCAACGCATTTATTCTCTAGAAGCTTCTCACAAGCACCCGCTTGAGCCTGATTGAACTGAATGCAGCCTTCCCTGCACGCGCTAGCATCCGAAGCTGACAGAATTCCCGAGCCATCTGCACATGCGGCAAGCCAACGCACGGTGCGCATTCAGCTCCGATTGCCTCCAGTTCCCCTCATTGTCAACCCCACTACTCCGTACAACGAGAGCCATTCCAATCTTCAACATACAATTCTCCCGCTCACACACCAGATACCGCTACAAACAAACAAACAAACAAACAAACAACACTCGCTGCTCCGAGAGCGAGCCGCCAGCCTTCCCCACCATGCCCGGCCTCACGATATCAACAGACGCGATTTCGCCGCGCACATCGAATGCGCCGGCGCCGGCGCCATCTACGTCTGCGGCTGCTGGTCAGACAAACCCACCAGCGCAGCAGACCCCTCCGCGATCCTCTCGCTCCTCTTCCCCCGCCCGGCCCCCCATCAGCCCTATAACCCCGACTCTACCCCCGGCCCGCCTGCCGGACCCTCCCGCCCCTTTCGCTGCCGACCGCCCAGTCCTCACCCACTCTTCCCAGCCGTCCGCCGCTGCCGCCGTACCCCCTCCGCGTCCGGAACCCATCGACTTTGATTCTAATCCCGATGTCCTCGCTCTCAAGTCAGCCATCTCCATCCTTCAGATGCAATCAAAAAAGGCCGCCGCGGATATCCAAGGGCTCAACGCCGCAAAGAACGCCGCCGTAGATAACCCATCCGCTTTCCTCGCCGACCTCGGAGCCGGCAAAGTGCACACACAAGGCGACAAGCTGTTTGCAGAGTCTGACTCGGATTCGGATGATGACGAGACGGAAGGCAAAGCAGACGGAAGTGCTGCGCAAGGCAAGGCGAAGGAGCCGCCACAGCCGTGGGAGTCTCTTCCCAAGCCCCAGAACGTGGTGCGTTGTCCTCCCATCAACTGGTCGCAATATGCCGTCGTTGGCGAGTCACTCGACAAGATTCACACGGACCAACTTGCCAGACCGAGTCAAGGCGCTCCGGCAACTTTGGGACCCAGCGGGGCATATGAATTCAAGGGAGAGCCAGGAGGGAACCAACGGCCTTTTATTGGCGTCGCGGCCCCTTATGCACCTGGGAAGGATAGGATCGAGAAGAAGGCAAAGGGGGCCAAGCGATGAAACATCTTGTCTGTCCCGGCCGAAGAAGTTTGAGAAAGCCGCTCAAAGAAGCAACGTTGCGAGGAACAACATCCCGGGAGTGGATGTATGATTGATGCTTTCATACTGAAATCATGAGATTACGAGGCGTTATGCATGGATAGGCGGCATGGGAAGGAAGGCGTTTTGATCAACGGTATTAGGCTAGAGAAGTGTAAGCCGTGGTCCGTGTTTCCGCATTGCTTTTGGAAAAAACAATGAGATCAACTTCTGAACATTGCTACTTTCGTCGCGTCATTATTCGAGGTATCTACTGGAGTCTAGCGGGACAATCCCAAGCCCGTTCCTGGTATGCATGATTCCGATGCCGTTAACGCCGTCCAGCCCTTTGAAAACAAGTTGAACTTGGGTCATGAACCAAGCCCAATTACCACTGACCATCCTCATTGCAACCCAAGAAAAAAGTCAACCTTTGTACCGAGGTGGATGCGTAGTGAACACACGTATACCGGTGATAATGTACCGGTGGTTTAAGAAGTAGTATCAAAAGTCGCTGAAGAAGTTAGCCGAGTGACAGAGGAGTAGAAGGTGAGATTTTGTGAGTGACTTACTCCATACTCTGCTGAACAGATCTACGGAGACGCCTGTTGTAGTTCTTCCGCGCCTCGGCACCTCCCCAGTAGAGAGTGTGGGCCTCAGGGTTGACCAAGGTTCGAGGGTCGTAGGCCGGGTCTTCTTCCTCTAGTGCCGTGAACACAGCCTCGATGTGAGTTCGCACGTCCTCCTTTCGCAGTGAATTCGGGAAATAGCAGACTGTTCCGTCCTCTGCAATGCGATGATGGAAAATGCGTGTATGGAACCTGACTCGAGGTTGCTCCTCGGGGAATTTGGTACTGAAGTGGATCTTGAAGCGGAACAGGCCACCGTCAAGGTTCGTCATTGGACGTCCAAAGTAGGTAATGACCCAAATGAAAGGATTGTTGTCCTCCAACTGGACATCATGGGGAATATCCTGACGTTTGAATGCCTGAACCACTTGCTCGTACTGGTGCCGCAAGTTCACAGAAAGTGTGAGCTCCTTCTCGATCGCAATCTGGCCGTCCTTGGCCCACTTGATGAGCTCGTTGTCAAGAGCAGCCTTGACATTGCGCAAACGTCTCTCCAGTTCCGTGTAGTTGAATTTCCCATCCATGGTGTTGCTAGCGCCTTCAAACGGCATTCGCGAAAACGCCTGGTGGTCCCTGACTTCGGCCTTGGCCTTTTGCACGGCGAGGAGGTAGTTGTCGTAGTACCATAGGAAACGCCGCTTGCACAGATCCTTGAAAGGTTCGAAAGGAACGTTGGTGTCATCCATGTCTTCGTTGTCCATGTCCAGCTGCTCTCCGTCTGCCGCAGATTGTTGGGCAATAGCGTTGCCGTCGGGTGTAAGACCCAGGTAGTCCTCCATGCGTTGGATGACGGAGACCCGGAGTGTTTCATGACGTATCTGAAGCAAGAATCAGCACTGTTGTCTCTCACCATTCCAAGGCACAAGCGTGGCTGTCCACCTTCTGGACATAGTCCTTCTGATTCTTCTTGTCTGATGCCTCATTTGCCTCCTCGAAACCAGGCTCGTTCTCGTAAGGATTTCCAGACATTAAGCTTTGTATAGAAATCAGAATGGATTCGAGGCCTTGGGCTGCAGACCATTCCTCGCCGCGCTCTCCACGCCATGTGCTAGATCCTGTTAGTAAATAGTCCGATGACGAATCCCACGCGCCTGGCTGTACCCGAGGATGGACCTGCAGAACGTTAGTGCTCCTAGCTCTTAGCATGCTTCGTTTCGAAAGGCAAACCCACAAGCAAACCTTGCCGGATGAGTAGATGTTGGGGTTGAATCGGCATCGGCCTCCGTTCGTCGTGATACCATTGACATTGGGCGACTTTCTAGGGTATTCTGCTCTTGTGTCAGTCCAAGGAATAGCCCGCCGTTGCCAAAGTATCGTGGGAGTGTACCCTTATTGAACCTGATCGCAAACTGATTATCCATTAGTACTTTGTGGGGATCGGGACCACCAAAAGCAGGTTATTACCTCGAAGAAACCAAATTCGTACGGAGTGTCGTGAGGTCCAATGATCAAGGCCTTAACATTGCGAACATCGACGTCGCGACAAGCGACAGCTAGAGCTGACAAGCAGGTCAGCGCAGGTTCTCAACCATGATTGCGGGGGGTTGTACAGAGATCCGACGTTCGCTGGATGTCGCCGAGTTCCTGTTGTGCGATCAAATGTCAGCCTTGCGATTACTGCCCCTCATGCATCGCTCTGGTGAGGGGCGGAGCGGGAGAAAGCTGAGGTACCTTGGTAATCCGAATGATGGATTGATCCGCCATATTGCCAGCTGGGTCAGGCGCTGTCCCGTGACAGTCGGTCGGCGTGCTGTAGCAAATGCTTTACTGTAGAACGCAATCGTAGTTTCTCCTTGACGGTGGGTTGGTGGTTGATGGAAAACCGAAAAGATGAGCGCGGCCTGAGGGCCTGCAAGAGTGGAAGATGTCAGGTCAGTAGGGTGCTCTCTGCGACCGGGCAGGTGCGCCTTGGGTTCTGTTGGCTGCTTGGTTGGTGGTAGGAAACCAGGGTAGGCAGGAGTGGAGGGCACAGGGTGGCACGCTACCTTACGGCAATACCTCGTTGATAGAAGTAGTCCCGGTCAAGAGGTACCTGGTAGAGACTCAGTCGATGGACGTGGGCTGCCTAAAATGGCAGTTTGGCGGGGCAGGAGGGGTAATTTTAGCGTGCGTTGATGCAGGTGAGCAGCTTCGCTGTGGTTTGGTGAAGGGGCCTCTTTCAACTTCACAACCAAGAACTCCTTTGAGTACCAGTGCTTCCAACAGAAAGGTCCACAACGGATATTGGTGTTTGGATGCGGAGTGGACGAGATATAACCAAGTTACAAACTTGAAGAACCTAGTATCAGCTAGGTAGACTTATGAGAGACATGATTAAAGGAGACAGAGGTTACCCTGCTACACTCAACATAGCCTGCGTGCCTGCTTTGCCTGTGGAAGCATTGATGACACTGGTTGGGGTCTGAGACTTGCGTTAGGCCGAGGCGTTCACCTACCAGGTATTTGTCAAGGGGTTTTTTTTTTTTTTTTTTTTGCCGCTCCTAACCGTTGAAAGTCCAACCTCTAAGCTGGCTGTGAGTCTTCAAATTGAGGTATCTTATTTGAGAACTGACCTGAGACCCTATGAGGCTAGAAAAATTATATGATACTTGCCTTTTTTTTTCTTTCTTTCCTGTCATGATGGACTCATCCAATACAAAGCCTAAGTGTATTCCAAGGACAAACAATCGGTCTTGCTGCATTTTCAAATTTCTAGCACGCTCTGTTCCCAAAAGACGTACCTAATTTGATAGTCATCTTTTCTTTCCTGCCCATGTGATTGACGGAAAACCCTCCATGTTGCCTTTTCCTGTTTGGTTTGCCTGATCTTCGTTGTCTCAACCGGGAGTCTTTGTTGATTCTACAAGGACTTAGGCGACTGAACATGGAGTCAATGGAACCATTAGGAATGAGACTTGAAATAGGTGGTGTCAAAATTGTGCTGTTTGTCTAGTAGGTCACTGTTTACCTGTATGTTGCTTAGTCGGAGCGAACATCCGGACAGCTAAGGTAAGGTACGTACCTGCTGTAAGGTTCCGAAGGTACCTCGAAAGTGGGACGGTCGCGGGGTTCCGTCGACGCGGTGGATTTACACCCCTGTCCGCTGAGAAAGCTCCAATACGCGTCAAATCGACTGGGCACCGCGTCTGGCAGTTTAATTGATTTTCCACGACCGTCACTACCAACACATATCTTACACAGAACAGCTGCGATTGATCGAATCAAGTAAAATCCCACAACCCGCAAGAACGTATCTGCGACCAATATTACCCGAAATTACATATGGCGAGCTTTTTCGACCTCAAAGCCAGGAAGGCTGCCGCTGCGAACGGCACGTCAGCCCAGAAGCAGGAGAAATCTGCGCAACCGCCAGGAGCACAGCCATGGGTCGAGAAATAGTTGGTCTTCTCGGTCATGGACTTATGGGAGTCGTGTGTTTGAAGCTCGCTGACATTTCTTAACAGTCGCCCCAAGACTCTCAGCGATGTCACAGCACAAGACCACACCGTCACGGTCTTGCAGAGAACGCTGCAAGCCTCCAACGTACGAATGCTGTCGCATGCACAAAGATGTTGCTAACCCGAAAGTAGTTGCCGCACATGCTCTTCTACGGCCCACCAGGCACGGGAAAGACTTCCACAGTATTGGCTTTGGCCAAGGAGCTCTACGGCCCCGAGATGATCAAGTCGCGCGTGCTCGAACTCAATGCCTCTGACGAGCGTGGAATCTCAATTGTCCGAGAGAAGGTGAAGGATTTTGCTCGCATGCAGTTAACGAACCCGACGAACGAGTATAAGAAGAGATACCCTTGCCCGCCCTTCAAGATTATCATCTTGGATGAGGCCGATTCCATGACACAAGACGCACAAAGTGCCCTGCGCCGCACCATGGAAACATACAGCAAGATCACGCGATTTTGTCTGATTTGCAACTACGTCACGCGAATCATTGATCCTCTAGCCAGTCGTTGCAGCAAGTTCCGTTTCAAGAGCTTAGACCAGAGCAACACCAAGAAGAGACTGGAGGATATCGCAGAGAATGAGGGCGTGGAGCTGGAGGACGGCGCTGTGGACGCCCTCATCAAGTGCAGTGAGGGTGATCTGCGAAAGGCCATCACATTCCTGCAGAGTGCTGCGCGGCTAGTGGGTGCGGGCGATAAAGATGCCGCCAGAGGTGATGCTATGGACGTTGACAAGAAGCCCGTCACGGTGAAGATCATCGAAGATATCGCTGGTGTCATTCCTGACGATACCGTTGACACATTAGTCTCTGCCATCCGACCGCAAGGTGCCGGGGACACATACGCAGGGGTGGCAAAGGTGGTCGAGAACATGGTGGCAGATGGCTGGAGTGCCGGACAGGTTGTCACCCAGGTGAGCCACTTTTCAATGCTTGACAGCCCGTGACTTTGCTGACATATTTTCAGCTGTACCAGGCCCTCGTGTTTGATGAGACAATCCCGGATGTACAAAAGAACAAGATTGTCCTTATCTTTTCTGAGGTCGACAAAAGACTTGTAGATGGCGCGGATGAGCACTTGTCTATCCTCGATCTGGCCCTGAGGATATCGGGGGTTATGAGTGGTCGTGGCAATTAGTTTGTCAACAGCTTGGCCCGTGGACTTTATGAACACTGAGCGGCGTCCGGTTTGGCAAATTAAAGGCGGCGTTGATAATGGCAAAAATCCTATCTATGAAGGGCATGTGCCAACTGCAGAGGCTCTTCAAATATGATCATCATGACCAATGAGACCGAGCTTCCCATCAATGGCAGACCAAATGTCATCGTCTTTGGCTGTGGACCCCGTACGCTGATGTTTGATGTGCTCCCTTGCCCCCGACTTGTTTGCTGATCCTTGCGTTAACCATATGTCTTCCTCCGTCGTGTCTCCCGCCTCCATCTCGGTCTGCTTCGGTCCGTGGCTTAGGAGCTTGTCAACTTCCTGAAGCGCCGTTGTCGAGCCTTCCAGTGCGACCTGTCCTTCCTCAATTTTCTCTGCAACAACCTCCAACGTCGCAATCTTTGCCGAATCCGCCGCGAACACCCAGGACTTGACTCGGTTCGAAGGCACCGGCTTCTCAGCCATGGCGGTGGAGAAGTCTTCTCCAAATCCTGATTTGGGTCGGCCCGCTCCAGGCATGGGATGTCCTGGAAGGAGCTGGCTTTCTTCGGCGAGATGGTCCAGCGTCTGTTGAGTTTCCCTGGCCTGCTTGGCTAGAACAGTGTGAATGTGCGATTTTTGGGTAATCATTCCATTTTGTTCTCGAGAAAGTGAAAGGAGCTTTTCGATGTAAGAGAGCAGAGAGTGAGCAGTCGGTGATGGTGGGGTGGCCTGGCTCTGACCGGCTGTCGATGAGGCTTCGCCACCGGGTTTCAGGACTGGTTGCGTCTGCTCAGAGACGATGTTGAGCAGCGCTGTCCTCGCAACTACGTATTTTTTGTACTTGCTCTTGATTTCGCCTAGATGCTCGTCGATAGTGGCTTGTTCAGAATGGCCGTCGTATCCATTTGCCTGGTCGTCTGATTCCCCCGAAGCCTTACTAAGCTCCGTCTCGATCCAGTTGATTAATTCAGCTCGAGTAGCATCCAAAGCATGTGCCTTTGCCTCGTCGCTTACTTGGCCTGCCAGCGATGTTGTATTCTGACGAACTCCGTTGAGAAGTTGCTCTTCACGCTGGAGTAATAGTTTGGCTCTCAGCACGACTTTTTCGAGCTGATCAGCCAGAACCCCCAAGTTTGTCTTTGTTGTGCTGGCGCTGACGGAAAACCCGTTGACAACCTCTTTTGGAACCTCCGGTAAGGACATGGACTTCTTGAAAATGTCTTCCAGGTCGAGAAAGTCTGGTGATGCTGCGGGCTGGCGTCCCAGGATATCCAAGTACTTCTGAACCGTCAACAGTCGCTGTTGCTTCTGTCGTAGTTTGACAAGAGCCACGTGTTGCTCGATCTGATCCCTGGGGTCAAAAGCCTTTGGCCGAGAGGGGGCTGCCGCTACCGCTGCATCCCGCGTGATCTCGTACTCATTCTGAGCCTTGAGGTTTGCATTCAAAGCTTTGAGATATTCCTTCTGTAGGCCTCTAACCTCATTCGTTGGTGTCAGTCTGCAGGACGCATCAACGAGAGACAACGGTTCTTGAAATGGCCCTGGCTGACGGCAGGCCTGAAGGTGAAGAGCCAAGGCGCGCCGGATGTATGCTACCTGCTCCCGTGGTTTGACGTAAGGTTCAAGTGATGCCTGAACCTTCTGGATAGATTTGGGAACTGCATCCATGTCGTTGACGGCCTAATAACATGTCATGTATGATGTTGCAGTTGCGTTGAGGTAGAATGTTGCCGCCTAATCGAAGTTTGGCCTCAAGTCTTCGCGTGTTAATGTTGATGATTGCTAGCACACCGTGATTTACACAGCTCGGTGGTTCAGGGGTGGTGCGGATTCGCAAGACATCATTGCTCCACCCTGTGTCGATGTGGTGACAGGTGGGAGCCACGACGTCACGTGCAGCTATATGCTCGAACTGGACTGCCACTAGCGCGTTGCCGCTTAGCGCGGCCTCCCGGGTTTTGCCATTGCAACCAGCAGATGAAATTTGTTCCGCGCGACAGGCGTCGAGACATCTATTACACACCTCTGGCCACCTCAGCCACATCGCCACATTTTTCTCATTAAGTTACCTGGACATTGGGGCAATACGGAATCGATACTGTAATATTGGGAGGATCATCAAATTTGAGATCAACACGGCGTAATAAACGGAAAAAAGACACGGCGCGAGCTGCTCGCTGCTGTCGCTCGACAAGCTCCTGCACCAACTAGATAATCGGGCGCGAACGAGATTATACGATACCCTCCAATTCATCGCCAAAATGTCGAACCAGGATCAACACCGCGATGTATCCCAGTACAAGTACTCGGCCATGTCCAACCTGGTTCTCCAGGCGGACCGTCGTTTTGTTTCAAGGCGAAATGACGAGGCCACGGGCGATCCTGAGTCTCTCGCTGGAAAGCTGAGTATTCGCGACATGGGAGCTCGCGTCGCTCGCGAAATCGCACCGAAACAAAAGAAGTCAACTGGTCTTACTGGTGTGGAGCGTGGTAGCTTACAGGAAGGCGAGGACGTGCTCGCACGCGAGCAGAAGAAGAAGAAGGGTGAAAAGGCGCAACCGAGAGGTGCTGGTGTCCTGGGAACTGGAGACCTGTTTGTCGAGGGCATCCGATATCGCCCGCGCACACCGGCAACACGAGCGACATTCGAATTGATACTGAAGATCGTTTCCGACAATCTTGGTGATGTCCCCCAAACTGCCGTGATCAGCGCCGCCGACGTGACTCTGGAGTTTCTGAAGGACGACGATCTGAAGGATACAGAGAAAAAGAGGGAAATCGATGATCTTTTGGGTGTTTCAATGAGCGCCAAGGAATTCAACGAGCTCGTAAATCTCGGGAAGAAGGTCACAGACTATGATGCGCAAGACGAGGATGAGGATATGGACGACAATGCAGACGATGCCGACGGAGCCGAATTAGACGAAAGACAGGGTGTCGCAGTCGTTTTCGAAGATTCCGATGACGAAGAAGCAGGCATTGTGAACGAAGTCAGGGAAGAGTCCTCCGAGGACGAGGAAGCGGATGAGGACGAGGACCAAACCGCCGCCGACGCTAACGACGCGGTGGACATGGAAGACGACGACGCCATGGTCATTGACTCGGCCCCTCGGAAGCAAGCACAGGAGTCAAAGCAGGCAAAGAGCGTCTCTGCTAGAGAAATCGATGCATTCTGGCTGCAGCGACAGATCGGAAAGCTCTATGCTGATTCCCATGAGCAGCACGACAAAACGACAGATGCGCTGCGTATTCTCTCCGGCGAGCCAGATGAGCAGGGTGGTGAGGACAAGTCACTCAGAGAGATTGAAAACGATCTCATGGAGCTCTTTGACTACGAGCACCACGAGCTAGTCCAGCTTCTCATTGAGAACAGGGAAAAGGTGGTTTGGCTCACTCGCCATTCAAGGGCCGAGACGGACGAACAGCGAGCTGTCGTGGAGCGGGAGATGGCTTCTGAAGGTCTTCAATGGATCCTCAATGAGAAGTTTGGAAAGAAGGGCGATGGCCAAAAAGGACGCAAGATGGAAATCAAGATGGACCTTGACGCCCCGTCAACACTCACAAATGCTCCTCCTGCAGAATCCGACCGCCCTCAAGGACTGGTGGGTGGTCTACAACCGCGGAAGCTCATCAACCTGGAGAACTTGATTTTCGATCAGGGCAATCATCTCATGAGTAACCCCAAAGTTAGGTTGCCAGAGGGCTCGACGAAACGAACCTTCAAGGGCTACGAAGAAATCCACGTCCCTCCACCCAAGAAGCGCAGCGATGCCAGCGACACCCTGATCCCCATCACCGAGATGCCAGAATGGTCTCGCCTGCCCTTCGGTACCACCAAGTCCCTCAACAAAATCCAGTCCAAGTGCTATCCGACAGCATTTGGTGACGATGGCAACATGCTCATCTGTGCCCCGACTGGTAGCGGAAAGACGAATGTAGCGATGCTCACCATCCTCCGAGAAATCGGCAAAAACCGGAATCCTGAAACTGGCGACATCGAGCTGGACAACTTCAAGATCGTGTACATTGCGCCCTTGAAAGCGCTGGTACAGGAGCAAGTTGGCAATTTCGGCAAGCGATTGGAGCCATATGGCGTCAAGGTTTCTGAGTTGACTGGTGATCGCCAGCTCACCAAGGCACAAATAGCCGAGACCCAAATTATTGTCACAACTCCTGAAAAGTGGGACGTCATCACTAGAAAAGCCACTGATCTATCCTACACGAACCTAGTGCGCTTGGTCATTATTGATGAGATTCATTTGCTCCATGACGACCGTGGTCCTGTTCTGGAGAGCATCGTCAGCAGAACCATCAGGAAGACTGAGCAGACTGGAGAGCCTGTCCGTCTGGTCGGATTATCCGCTACGCTGCCCAACTACAAGGATGTTGCCAGCTTCTTGCGTGTGGACATCAGTACTGGTCTCTTCCATTTCGATGGCAGCTTCCGTCCTTGTCCCTTACGCCAGGAGTTTATTGGCGTCACGGATCGCAAGGCCATCAAGCAGCTGAAAACTATGAATGATGTCACATACAACAAGGTCATCGAGCATGTAGGAGCGAAGGGGAACCAAATGCTCATTTTCGTCCACTCGCGCAAGGAAACTGCCAAGACTGCGCGCTACATTCGTGACAAGGCTCTGGAGATGGACACGATCAACCAGATTCTTCGTCATGATGCAGGGAGTCGCGAGGTTCTCAACGAAGCGGCCAGTCAAGCCACCGACAGTGATCTCAAGGATATTCTGCCTTACGGTTTCGGTATCCACCACGCTGGTATGAATCGTATCGACCGTACGGATGTTGAGGACCTCTTCGCCCGTGGTGCTATTCAAGTCCTTGTCTGTACCGCGACCCTTGCTTGGGGCGTCAACTTGCCAGCGCATACCGTTATCATTAAAGGCACTTCAGTCTACTCCCCAGAAAAAGGTAGCTGGGTTGAGCTGAGCCCTCAAGACGTCCTGCAGATGCTTGGCCGTGCCGGTCGTCCACAGTACGACACCTACGGCGAGGGTATCATCATCACAACCCAGAACGAGATCCAGTACTACTTGTCGCTCCTAAATCAACAATTACCAATCGAGAGTCAGTTCGTCAGCAAACTCGTCGACAACCTGAACGCCGAGATTGTGCTCGGCAACGTCCGCAGTAGAGACGAGGGTGTCGAATGGCTCGGTTACACCTACTTGTTCGTCCGTATGCTACGGTCGCCCGGCCTCTACCAAGTTGGTGCGGAATACGAAGATGATGAGGCCTTGGAACAAAAACGAGTCGATCTGATTCATTCCGCTGCTTCAGTGCTTCGGAAGTCAAACCTTATCAAGTACGACGAGAAGACCGGGAAGCTCCAGGCAACGGAGCTAGGGCGTATCGCGTCTCATTACTATATCACACACGGCTCCATGGAGACCTACAATAACCTTATCCAACCCTCAATCACGACCATCGAGCTGTTCAGGGTATTTTCCCTGAGTGCAGAGTTCAAATACATCCCCGTGCGTCAGGACGAGAAGCTTGAGCTTGCCAAGTTGTTGGGCAGAGTGCCTATCCCAGTCAAGGAGAGCATCGAAGAGCCCCACGCGAAGATCAACGTGTTGCTGCAAGCCTACATCTCACGACTCAAGTTGGATGGCCTTGCTCTTATGGCTGACATGGTTTACGTCACTCAATCCGCTGGCCGAATTCTCCGCGCCATCTTCGAAATCACCATGAAGAAGGGTTGGGCGTCTGTGGCGAAGACCGCATTGGACCTTTGCAAGATGGCAGAGAAACGCATGTGGCCAACCATGTCGCCACTTCGGCAGTTCCCCAACTGCCCAAGAGACATTGTGCAGAAGTCCGAGAGAATCGAGGTGTCTTGGAGCAACTACTTCGACCTTGACCCTCCCCGAATGGGAGAATTGCTTGGCATGCCCAAGGCTGGCAGAACTGTTTGCGGCCTGGTTGCTAAGTTTCCCAGGGTCGAGGTTCAGGCTCAAGTTCAGCCACTAACCAGATCCATGCTTAGAGTCGAGCTGAGCATCGCCCCAAACTTTGAGTGGGATGCCGAGATTCACGGCCCAGCGGAAAGTTTCTGGATCTTCGTCGAGGATTGCGACGGAGAGGACATTCTCTTCAGCGACCAATTCTTGTTGCGCAAGGAGTACGCCGAGTCTGAGTCGAATGAGCACATTGTTGACTTTACCGTGCCGATCACGGAGCCAATGCCCCCGAACTACTTCATCTCAGTCGTCTCAGATCGCTGGATGCATTCCGAAACAAGATTGCCAGTATCCTTCCACAAACTGATACTTCCTGAGAGGTTCCCTCCCCACACCGAGCTTCTTGAGCTTCAGCCTTTACCTGTTGTGGCACTGAAGGCCAAGGAGTATGCAAAGCTGTACCCTGACTGGGACCACTTCAACCGCATCCAGACGCAAACCTTCAATTCCCTATATAATACCGACCAGAACGTATTCGTGGGTGCGCCAACGGGTAGTGGCAAGACAGTATGTGCAGAGTTTGCTCTACTGCGACACTGGTCTAAAGCAGACGCTGGACGTGCGGTCTACATCGCTCCGTTCCAAGAGCTGATCGACTCACGCCTTGACGACTGGCAGAAACGGCTCGGCGGTCTCCGAGGTGGAAAGACAATCGAGAAGCTCACAGGAGAAACCACCACCGACCTGAAGATCCTGGAGCGCAGTGACCTGATTCTTGCGACTCCCATCCAGTGGGATGTGCTGTCCCGCCAGTGGAAGCGCAGGAAGAACGTTTCCACCGTCGAGCTTTTTATTGCAGACGAGGTTCATCTGCTCGGCAACAATATGGGATATGTCTATGAAATCATTATTTCGCGGATGCACTACATCCGAACCCAGACTGAGCTGCCGATGAGAATCATTGCCCTTGGTGTTTCCTTAGCCAATGCTCGCGACCTCGGCGAGTGGATCGACGCGAAGAAGCACGATATCTACAACTTCAGCCCGCACGTCCGCCCTGTACCCCTCGAACTCCACATCCAGTCTTACACCAACCCTCACTTCCCTTCCCTGATGCTGTCCATGGCGAAGCCGACGTACTTGGCCATCACGCAGATGTCCGCTGACAAGCCCGCTATCGTGTTTGTGCCAAGTCGGAAGCAAACGCGAGCGACCACACGCGATCTTCTGACTGCTGCCTTCATGGATGACGACGAAGATCGTTTCCTGCACGCTGAGGTAGAGCAGATGCGGCCCCTTCTTGACCGTATCAGTGAGGAAGCGCTGGCCGAGGCTCTTTCTCACGGCGTGGGTTATTACCACGAGGCTTTGAGTCAGAGTGACAAGCGCATTGTCAAGCACTTGTACGAGCACGGAGCCATCCAAGTACTCGTTGCTTCTCGTGACGTTTGCTGGGAGCTCAACAGCACTGCTCACCTTGTCATCATCATGGGCACACAATACTTCGAGGGCCGTGAGCATCGCTATGTTGATTACTCCTTGAGCGAAGTCTTGCATATGTTCGGCAAGGCACTTCGACCTTCGAAGGACGGTAGAGGTCGAGGTGTTCTGATGCTTCCAGCGGCGAAGAGGGAATTCTACAAGAAGTTCTTGAACGAGGCTCTCCCTGTCGAATCACACCTCCACAACTACCTTCATGATGCCTTCGTTACCGAGATCAGCACAAAGATGATTGAGTCTGGTGACGATGCTATCAACTGGACAACATTCACCTACTTCTACAGACGCCTCCTGGCCAACCCCAGCTTCTACAGTTTGACCAGCACTACTCAGGATGGTCTCAGTGATTACATGTCTGATCTCATCCAAACCACCCTGCAAGAGCTGAGCGACTCCAAGATCATTGAGCTCGACGAGGACGATGGTTCAGTCGCGCCGCAGAACGCGGCAATGATTGCTGCGTACTACAACATCTCCTACATCACTATGCAGACATTCCTCTTGTCTCTTAGCGCCAAGACCAAGCTCAAGGGTGTCTTGGAAATCATCACGTCGGCTACCGAGTTCGAAGCCATCCAAATCAGGAGGCACGAGGAAGGCATTCTCCGCCGCATCTACGACCGTATTCCCGTCAAGATGGCGGAGCCTGTATATGACTCGGCCCATTTCAAGGCCTTTGTCCTCCTGCAAGCACATTTCTCGCGAATGCAGCTGCCGATTGATTTGGCCAAGGACCAAGAAGTCATCATTTCCAAGGTCCTCAGCCTCCTGAGTGCTACGGTCGATATTCTCTCATCCGATGGTCACATTAACGCCATGAACGCTATGGAAATGTCACAGATGGTCGTGCAGGCAATGTGGGATCGCGATAGTCCCTTGAAGCAGATTCCTCACTTCTCACCCGAGGTTGTGAAGGTGGCAAACGAATTCGGGTACGTGCCACTTTCATCGACGTTTGTTTGCAAAGCTAACATCAAATTCTCTCACAGCGTCAAGGATATTTTCGACTTCATGGAAGCCATGAACCCCGAAGAGAATCCAGATTACGCTAAACTGGTCAAGCGTCTCGGCCTCTCACAGAAGCAGTTGGGTGAGGCTGCCGCCTTCACCAATGACAAATATCCCGACATTGAGCTTGAGCACACTGTCTTGGACGAGGACGATATCCGGGCCAACGAGCCAGCGTATCTTAGTGTGCAGATTCAAAGACAAGTGGACGAGGATGAGGAGTTTGACCCGACTGTGCACGCGCCGTTCTACCCAGCCAAGAAGTTGGAGAACTGGTGGCTTGTGATCGGGGAGCAGACGACAACGAACTTGCTTGCCATCAAACGTGTTACGATTGGACGCGAGCTCAAAGTCAAGGTTGAATTTACGGTGCCGGCAGCTGGTAAGCACGACCTGAAGCTGTTCCTAATGAGCGACAGCTACGTCGGAGTGGACCAAGAGCGCGAATTTTCCGTTACGGCCGCGGAGGGTATGGACGTGGACGACAGCGAAGAGGAAGAGGACGACGAATAGACGACCCGGGAGACGGCAGAACCATCTCGTCCGTACAATATCGCAATGTGTACTATATCGATTGAAAGAGGGGTTGGAGGGTAATAGACAAACATTTGGTCAAATTTTATTCTTCACCCCGTCAGCGATCATCACCTGGCGGTTCTTGTCCTCTTTCGGCAGGGTTGAGTGGCCTGAAGTCCGGTTGTGCAGACAGTGTGTGAGGCGACAGTGGTTTCGGAGGGGGTGGTGGTGCCCCAGCGGCCAAAGTTGGCAGATGAACCCTTGATGGTCGTGGTTGAGAAACCTAGTATCTCAAGTGGGAAGAGCATAATCAAAGTCAACAGCTGACGTTGGTTTTTTTTTTTCCCTTGAATGAACCACGATGGGCCAGCTTTCCTGATCATGGAGTAGTTATCTCTTCAGGAGGGGCCCAACATGGGTCAAAGTGATATTGAAGTAAAGGAAGCGTGGCTGAGTCGAGGCAGCGGACGTTCGGCGGGCTGGGCATTGACCGGGCCACGTCCACGCTCCTCTCACAGGCGTCGCGCAACTGAGACTCCGCGATTTAACTCGTCCCTTGGTGGATCAGCGCTAGTCACGTGTCTCCGCCGTCATCCGCGTCCAACTCCAAGAGTTTCTGCGTTCATCTTTTTCCAGGCCATTGTCTTTTTCTGCCACCACAACACGGGGAGCTCCCAATCGCGCCCATCATCCTTCTTGCAGCCAGATTATCTTCCCCCATCGTCGCGACAACAAAAATCACGAATCGCGCGTATCACGACGCGTGTTTCTTCCTTTGATCCATCGCCAATAGTCTTTGGCGTCGCGACTTGCATATTTACCCCATCCGTATCCTTGCAACCCAGCTTCCAAGCTATCGCCACATCACTCGCCATGTCTGACGAGCCGACCAACAGCGGTCAATCCGCGCCTGCCGCGACTGATGAGGTGGAGAAGAAGGTTGAGGAAACCTCACCTGCTGCTGAAGCTTCTAAGGCACCCGCGACTGCTGCCGACGACGCGAAACCCTCTGAGTCTGAAGCAGCTGCCAAGGAGAACACCGAGGAGGCGCAGAAGGAGGACACCAAGAACGAGAATTGTAAGTCACTCATCTGTCACAACTCAGCCTCAGCATCAGCACTTCCATACTCAATTGGCCATCTTGCTGACGCATTGCTTGACAACAGCCGAGACCAAAGACGCGGAATCATCCGGCAAGACAGACGAAACATCCAAGGACGAGGACGCGGACGTCGAGATGAAGGACGCGGCAGATGGAACGGAGGGGAAGGAAGCCTCTGAACCCGCTGCCGATGACGCTGAGCAAGCGCCTACTGCTGACGCTGACGCGATAGCTGATAAGTCTAAGTCGCGTCGGAGATCGTCCGGTATCCCGGAGCATAAGGGCAAGAAGCTTAGCAAGAAGGCATCGAAGGCGAAGTTCTTCAACACCAATGCGCAACCCGGCGACCACTTCCTCGTCAAGCTTAAGGGATACCCTCAATGGCCGGTCATTGTCTGCGATGAGGAAATGCTCCCTGAGACCCTACTCAAGAGCCGTCCCGTCACGGCAAAGCGAGCCGACGGCACGTATCGCGAAGACTTTGCCGACGGTGGCAAGCGTCAAAATGATCGCACATTCCCCGTCATGTATCTCCGGACGAACGAGTTGTAAGTTAATTGATGAAGCAAGCTCCCGGACCGATCAAACGACCTTGATTGCTAACTAGCGATTGTCCAGCGGCTGGGTACCAAACTCTGCTCTCCAGGAGCTGAACTCCGAAAAGGCGACCGAGCTTCTCACCGACAAAGTCAAGAAGGTCGAGCTGCGTGATGCTTTCGAGCTTGCCATAGAGCAACACCCACTTGATTACTACAAGGACGAGCTTCAAAAATACCAAGATGAACTGGCTCAGAAGCAGGCCGCCAAGGATGCCAGAGAGGCCGCAAAGAAGAATAAGAAGAAGACTCCTGCAGTCATCGAGGACGATGATGTCGACATGGCTGACGCTGCGGATGAGGAGGATGAGGTCTCCGAACCCAAGGAGAAGGCCAAGTCTAAGAAGAGAAAGGCTGACGAAGAAGCCATCAGCGTGAGTTACCCGAGGACGCGACTAACCTCAACTCAAAACTGACTATTCTCTGCAGACTCCGGCACGGACTGATTCTGCCAAGAAGCCCAAGATCAAGCTCAACACATCTTCCACTCCTAAGACGACGAATGGAACAGCTACGCCGAAGTCGGCTAAAGAGTCAGCAGCTAAGCCTGCGAAGTCCAAATCGTCAAAGAAGGAGGGTGCTGAGAAGAAGGCGGAGAAGGAGGTTCCCAAGGAGCCCGAACTTACTGCCGAAGAGAAGCACCAACGCAAGGAGGCAAGTCAAGATCATGACACAGCGTTCGGCCCCTATTCTAACAAATATCACAGAAAGAGGTCCTCTTCTTGCGCCACAAACTCCAGAAGGGCTTACTCACGAGAGACCAAGAGCCCAAGGAGGAAGAGATGAAGATGATGTCAGACTACATTACGAAGCTCGAGAGCTTCCCAGATCTTGAGGTCTCGATTATCCGGGCGACCAAGATCAACAAGGTGCTCAAGGCCATCCTGAAGCTTGATTCCATTCCCAAAGAAGAGGAGTTCAACTTCAAGAGTCGTTCGCAGACGCTGCTGGACAAGTGGACTAAGATTCTCAGCGGTGGTGATGCCGCAGCCGCGCCCGCTGCGTCCGCGACTCCGGCACCCACCAACGGTGTCAATGGCACTTCTGGAAAGACGGAAGAGAAGAAGAAGGAGACTCCTGCTGCTCCCAACGGTGCTAAAGAGGAGAACAAGGAAGCTGAAAAGTCCGAGGAGTCTGAGAAGCAGGCCGAAAAGGAGGAAAGCATCAAGAAGTCCGAGGAACCTGAGAAGGCAGAAGAAGAGCCCGAAAAGGCCGACAAGCCTGTTGAAGACCCCACTGAAGAGGTAAGTGGAACTGTCTTTTGAATATGGCGACGGAAGCTTACCAGATTCGTAGCCGGCGTCTGCGGCTCCGGAAGCGGTTGAGGCTAAGGCCTAGGCAACCCGTTCACGTTCCCGAAAATCTCGAAATTAAAGACATGGCCCAGCCGACTATGGGCTTCTCGGGCCAAATGGGCCTGGGCTCTTGCGTTTCCTGGCGTATACGGTTTCTCTCGAATCGCATAAGCGATCTCAACTTGGTTTCGGTGTAAAATTACTTGTTCCCATGTTTCTAAGCGGTGCAGCTGGCAGTGCCGATCTCAGACGGCATGCGTCGTCTTCGTCCAATGAAGCGGGTTCAGTGTACAAAGGGGCAAAGGCGCCCCCAAGGGAGAGGAATCCTGCTTAGAGGGGACAGTCTTGGCATCCACGGATGCTCGCATTGCCTGCGGCGACCGTTTGTTTGGGTTATGATGATGCAGGTGTGGGACGGCAATAGCCTCAATTTTTTTGAGGTAGAATGAAGCTCGCCTCAGGTCAATGGTTTGCGATGGCAGGAGGGCGAGGAGACTGGTAGTTACTAGTTTATCACGGCCTAGGAGAATTGGTTTAATGTCATTTACAAGGAAAATACTCAAATTACATGCTTGCGTACCTGTACACATCGTCTGCCTGTTCCACGACATCCAAATTTATGGCAATGAGATAGAGACGCGGGTTTTCCAAATTTGTATACACACTGTGCATATGACCAGTCCTAATGCACAAATGTGTAGTGCTCCACGTGTCTGACACTGTGTAAGTCCGTGCTCTGAAGATGCAGACGCGTGCCAGTCAGAAAAGCGCGACCTGCATTTCAACGACACATCTTTTCTCTGCAAAACGTTCGCAACACCCCACAAAAATGAGTGCCGAAGATGATCAAGAACTTCAATTTAGACCGGAGGACCATCAGGCGAGTGGTTCTGGTCCCCAACTCGGGAAATCAATGCTGACCTCCGTCCTCAGGCCGCCTTCATCTTTCGGCCTCCAGGTGAGGAAGCTGGAGTGGACCGACCCGCCAAACGACGCCGGTTGTCCAATACGGCTGTTGCCGAAGAGGCGAATGTGGCACACTCGCCCTCGTTTGTGTCTTTGCTGAATGGTGGAGAGCTGGCCGAGTGCGTGACGCTCCGTGAGAAGCAATTCCAGATGAGCTGGGACCATCTTGAATCCAAAGCTCAGGTTAGCAGAACTTCGTATTCGATGCCAGATTCATGTCCTGACCACGAAACTTTTTGTAGAAAATACTGCGTGATGCCAACTCGGCCACGTTAGACCAAGTGACTGCTTTCATTCGTGATCAGTCTGATTTGGAGTAAGTGAGCACGGCGTAGGTTTGACTCGCATTGCTAACAGCAGTATCACAGGAGCAAAATCCCGACTGCCTTTATCATTACCGGCCCGAACATCTCATCTCAGGACCTGCTGTTTGAGCAGTTATCTGAAACGCTTGAAGAGAACACGCGGAGCAAGTTCGTTCGGCTCAAGTCGTCGGAAGCGACCAATTTGAAGGCTGCTCTCAAGAAGATCATAGAGGATGCCACATCTCGGGGGTCTTTAGATGACGACGATGTCGAAGTTGCATCCGGCCAAGATGTGGGTTTTTCTTTCCTTCAGCTTGAAAGATGCGACGAGAAGCTCACAGAAGACTTTAGGGTCGAAAGTATCTGAACTATGACCTCGAGGGTCTTTACGCATTTTCAACGGCGCAGAAATGCGATCATATCTTTGTCTCGTTCCAGGACAGCGAAGGTTTCGACAGCGCTCTTTTATCTGACCTGATCATCCTCTTCAAGTGAGTCATCATCGCGAATGGACCAGGAAGTGAATTGACGTCTTGAAACTAGTTCTTGGCGGCCCAAGATTCCGTTCACCCTTCTATTCGGCATTGCAACATCGGTAGAACTGCTGCAGGCGCGATTACTCAAGTCCGCGTGCCAATATCTCCACGGTGCCCAATTTGACGTCGTCCAGACTGGAGCAATTTTGGAGCAGATCTTCAAGCCGGCCATTGCGAGATCGGATACTGCTCTAGTTTTGGGACAGAATCTGTTGCAAAGTCTGGTGGGGAGGCAACAGGACCAGGTCTCTAGCATTCAATCTTTTATTGCATCAATCAAGGTAAGGCTGGTTCCCGTTTTTCACTATAGTGACCGGTCTGACAGCTGAAGTATGCATACATGTGTCACTTTTATGCAAATCCGTTGAGCGTTTTTGCTGTGGAGGACGACGAGATAAATAGCGAGCTTGTCCAGGACGAGCACCTCGAGTCGATCCGATCGCTCCCTTCGTTTCGGCGCGAGGTTGAGAGGGCCGTTGAAGCGAAAGATCTGAGCTTAGCGAGGTCTTTGTTAGAGGACGATAATCTGCTGCGCGAAAAGATTTTCGACATTCCAGAGAAAAAACGGGACTGGGTCACCCGTCTCCTCCGCTCGCTTAAGCTCGTCCAGGCAACGGGTGTTGCTCAAGATGACTTTTCCTCGATGTACATGAAAGCGGTAGCCGAGGGCATCTCCCCTTCGTCCGAGGGCTGGGCCATTGTCGAAAGCATCAAGCGGATGCAACCGGATGACTTTGTCTCGATGCTACAACGTGTTCAAGACGCCGTGGTCAGCGGCGATGTCCAGCTGTGTCTCACCGGATGGGAGTCCGAGGCCGGGGACCTCCCTTCTCTTGTAGAAAGCCTTTTCCGCGACTCAAAGGATCTGGTCGGTAGGGCAAAAGAGGACGGTAGCACTTTGCGGAGCGCCTACAGTGGTCACAGCCGAGTCCTGCGCACAACCGTTGTTGCGCAAAAGGTCCAGCTCAGCCACGATTCGGCAGCCCTTTCCGAAGACGATAAGGCCTTTACCATAATCGTGGACCGTGTCGCGGAACTATTTCAAGACGTCATACATTGCGAACCGGCCGCAGAAATTTTTCTGCACGAGACATGGCTCTACGATTCCAAGACACCGTACCGCGACGTTTTCGTCCCCCGACCCCAGGATGTCTTTGAACGGAGCCTGAAGCGACCGCAAGACTACCTCGCGTGTTCGTGCTGCAGCACCGATGAGGGCATCTCGACAACGATGCCCGTCACATCGTTGCTGTATCATTTGTATTTGGAAACGGGTAACCTCATCAACGTCGCAGATTTGTGGTCCGCCTTCTACGCCATGGTTGCCGGTGATGCAGAGAACGAAGGGGACGCCGATGAGCGGGGGGCGCTGGTGTCCTTTTACCGGGGCCTGGCGGAGCTAAAGGCCCTCGGCTTTGTCAAGATGAGCAGGAAGAAGACGGATCACATTGCCAAGCTCAAGTGGCTGTAGGAGCTGAAAGGCTTGTCGACGACGGCCTGGGACTGTGAAACGAGGCCGTGGCTTGAGGTTGCACGTCAGACGCGTAGTTCTAAGAGAGAAAATACGGGGTTAGTGTTTTTTTTTTTTTTTTTTTTTTCAGTATCAGCAACCAAAATTGATTCTTTACCTCTGCAGACCACTTTTCGCATGACCTAGGAGACGGACCTTGAGCCTATTTTGGGGGGGGAAGGTGTCACTTTGAAGAAAATTTGTCATTGACTCTTTAGGGTCGAGAACAACATTCTTCGGGTCCGGCCCTGTCTTCAACAAGGCCATTGTAAGTTGACTTCATCTTTGTCTCTTAGTCGCCCGGACCACCACGGATCCGATTGCTCAGCCCCCCTTCACAAAACCTCGCTCCGTCCGCAGGCCGCTGAAAGCACGGCTATCCGACTTACCGGTCTATGGGTGGGAAAAGACTATGATGAGAGGAAGGAGGGCGAAAGGGAGAGGAGGGCGGAGGGAGGACTGTGTTTAGGGGGGAGGGAAGGGTGGGATGGGCGGATCTTGTCTCGGAACCTCCATATTCGGGGCGGAGCTGGCTTCTTGTTGCGGCCGGCACGCGACTCGTTTCTAGCCCGGCCGGATTGAAATTTCTCAGACATTCATACGCAAAGAGAAGCGCAGCCCACCACCACCCTTCTTTCCTCTCTCCAACCTGTCACTTACCCGACCGTCTCTCTCTCTCTCCCCCTCCCCCCGCCCTCCGCCATGTCTTATGCTGTTGTTTTGGGCGCATCGGGCTAACCAAAAAGAGGCAAGCACCAGGACTCTCTCTTTGCAGTCCGAAGAGAGAGAACCGGCAGTCTGGGTAGGGGGGCTTGTCCAGCTAGGAGAAAGCTACGCCGCATACAACTCGCCCACCTTACCCAGGATGGCAAACTCTGGCCGTCAACGGACAAAGCAGTCGTGTCTCGCCTGACGTATTAGTCGCCCTGCGGTAGCCCTCCTCGTTGACTTCGGGTACCAGTCGGTCGGGTCGCCTTTGGTGGAGAGTCTGGATTTCTGTTGTGACGGTTTCTTTCCCGTCCTTACTTTACTGTCCAGCTGCTTGTGGCCCCATTGGACCCCATCATCTTTTCTCCTTTGGGCCCGTACTTGTTTTGTTTTTTGTCTCTGATCAAGGTTTCTATTCCGGATCAAAGAAAGGATGTCAAAAAAGGGGGAACGGTGTGGGAGGGTCATCGGCTAGTGGCCAGGCCCCGTCCTTTCGGGGGTTCGGTTGCTCGCAACATACAAGAGACGCAGTCTTCCGCCCTCGGTGTAGTTGTTAAGAAGAATTCAACATCATTATTTTTCAGACCTCATTACCTGTTTCCTATCTCAAGAACCTATAGACTCAGTTCACACACACGCAAACATCCTCTAATTCACTCTCCCGTCTGTGCAGGCATAGATCTATCCTCAAAAGCACAGAGCCTCTTTTCAAAGAAACCAAAAATAATACGGGGAAGAACGGCATCAAAGCTGAAAGACGCCAGTCTGTTCCCCCGGAGATCGTCATTTTATATTTCTCAAAACACTTCACTTCATCACTTCGCTTTCTGCTGAAATCCCACCTCATCACTTAATCACTACTTCAAAACCATATTTTCTGATCATTGCCTCTCCAACCGTGCTGCCGGTACATTGAAATCCGTAATACTCTTTTTCCACAAACCCAAAACACAAAGCTACCGCACTTGAGAATCTGCCTACCCTCTGAAGACGACACACACCCCCGAAGAGCTGAACGGGAGGGAAAAAGGGACTTTCAAAAGGGCAGCTGCAAGAAGAGGAATCACAGAACTCAACTCAAGGAAAGAAAAGATGGCAACCAGACACCACCACACCACCAGCGGTGGCATCGGCAACCGGCGAGCGGCCCGCAACGCGGCCTTCCAGGAGAAGATGCGCCAGATGCGCCTTCCCCTGGCGCCCCTTGTGCAGATGTCGACGGGCGCCGTCCACCCGGCCTTCCCCGCGACGCTTCTCAACTTCTGGCTCCTCACCGAGGACCAGCTCGACGACTTGGCGCGCTTCTACCACCAGCGCAGCCCCTCGCCCTGGTCCGGACAGTACCCTTGCCCCATCTCCTGGCAGTCCGGCCTCACTCTCGAGGAGAAGCGCAGGAAGATTGGAAAGTTTATCGGTCTCAGGTATGTCGAGAGAACGAAGACGACTGGCGAAGAGCTGGCATCCCGCCCCTTTGGATGGAATCCTTGACTAACCTGTTACGCGCAACAGAGGCTGTGAGACGCCCATTCGGATTCGTATTAAGACTGAGGAGCAAATCATGGAGGAAGCGCGGCAGGCGAGATTAGCGGAGGACGACGAAGCCCTGAGAAGGAAGATGCCGTGGTACTCATAATGCATGATCGGTGTTTGGATTTACCTTTGGCTTCTTTGCTTTCCTGCATGGCATTGCGTTGATATCACAGCACATTAAGGCGTTGGTGGCACAGCTTTCCCACATAGAAGTAGGCCCCCTTTGGACTCAAGTCCGGGGATTGAGGGGCCAACCAAAATATTTAGAATCTCTCAATCAATTCATGATGCAAAACTTGCCGACTGTGACCCTGAACGCCTAAAAACCCTGAAGCCGTTGAATGCTCTTTTCCATACACCGGGGGGATGAGGTATCTAATGAAAATGTGGACGGTGCGGAGCGCTGAAGCCCATATGTAAATATGAACGGGGCGATGTCGCATGATGCGTGAGCGGGTGGATTTGTGGTAATTTAGAGAAGAAACATCTATATGTCGCTTATTTTTTGCCCTTCTTCTTCTTGGAGGGCGTGCTGGTGACAGAGGCAGTCGAGTTAACGACAACGGCGTCGCCGTCGATACTAGGCGGAGCGGTCGAGCTCTTCTCGGACTCGTCGAGCTCCTTCATGAATTCAGTCTGGATAGTCGATCTACGCTTGTCCCACCACGCCTTCTCCTGCTCGACGGTGTTCTGGACCTCCTCGAGTCGGTTGCGCACGATGGTGTTGGCGGCAATCTCGTTGGCGGACTGGAAGATGGACTGACCCCAGTTAGGGGCAAGGGCGTTGGCCTGGTTTTTCATGTTAGGAAATACTCTTCCAAACTGACAAGAGCCTCGGGCTCTGCTGGTGAGTAAGTAGGTGTACGTACCTCCATCACGACGTCGCGCAGCTCATCCTCCATCTCCTTCTCTGCGCGCTGGAAGCGCTGCCACAGATCATCACCGACGCTTCCCCGCTGCAGCAACGTGCTGCAGGCTTGCTTGGCGGAACGAATCTGGACCAGACGGTGGATATCCTCAACGGCGCGGCGGAGGAGAGCGGCCTTGATGACGGTGGAGGGGATCTTGGGGGCCTTTTCGGAGCCCTCTTCGGGAGATTCGAGGTGCAGCAGCGACAGGTAGATGTTGCGCTGCAGATGGGGGCCGAACCAAGGAGCAAGGTTGGCGCTCTGAGCTGTAACAAAAAAAAAAGAGCCTTGGTCAGTAATCTTGTTGGATCAAGCGACTGTTGGCATCGCGGACTGCTTTGCGTTTGGGGGGGGCGGATCGGTACGAAAGAGGTGGGTGGGACTTACTGGCTTTGCGCTTTCTGTAGATTGTGGAAAAGGTCATGAAGACGCCACCGAGAACTGTAAGGTAGGCGAAAGGGAGCACAAGGCTCATCCAGTCGACATCAAACATGGCTGCGGTTTACTGTGCGCTCGTAAGGATCGTGGTGGGAAGGTAAAGAAGTTGAACGAGGGACAAGGAATTTGCGGTTGCAGGCGATTCGTCGTTGGTGTTGATGAAGCGTGTCCAGTACTGTACCCAAGTGACAGGACAGCTTGCTGGTCGCATTGGACACTTTTTTTGGCTGCCCACTGCAGTTCGAAGACCGCCCCGCTGCTTTACTACGGACTGGTTCTAAGCCCTTACACTTTTCATTTGTTTGGACCCGAGCATTGGTTGCAACAATGCGAGTTCTTGGAAGACAAACAACAATATCAATGAGATGTAATAATACCCAGTTGAATCTACTTAAAATACAAGTATCAGTCCCTTTCCCATGGTCCTTTGCGTGGTTGACAAAAGCAGCTGGTAAAGCGGCAGCTTTCTTGACCAGGTACAAGGGTACAAAGACACCATAAGCAGGGCAAGTGTGGCTGCTTGTCCGGTCGCACCTTGCCTCTCAAGCCACCCTAGCAAGGCCGTTCCCAAATGCCCCTGCTGGGTGGTGAATAAGCTATACCAGGGGCCGCTGAAGGAACGTGCAATCCCTCCTCCGTCGTTTTGCCGGTCCCACAATAAGGCACCACCTTTGATGACGCTGTTCCATGCTGCGGCGAAGTGGCTGATATCGGAGCTCTCACGAACCCATCCCATCCCACTAAGCAACGGCAACAGCAAAAGCTGCCACAAACTAGAGCTTTCTTTCCACTCCCATACTCTACTACACCGTCTTTTTTTCCAAGCACCAGATCCGGAACGACATATGCAAGGGCATGGGCGCTCTCCTCTGAGAACAAACTTATAGATTTTCCTATTTAATCACTATACCCGTCGACCTTTCCTCGACATCGAACCAATCTCTGCAGCTTAGACTTCGCCCCCCAAGATGCTTCTGAGACTTCGAGGGCCTGACGGCATGAGCCGTCTTACCATCGACCAAAACGACACATTCGGAGACCTCGGTCGCTTGGTATGAGATCAACTCTACAAGCTGTGCAAGGCCCGCCTAACTGTTCTAGTTGCTTCCGAACCTTCCACCAACTGTTGACCCGAACACCATAACCCTTTCGAACGCCCCTACGGGCGGCGATGCAAAAAACTTGGTTGAGATTGCCTCTTTCAAAGTTGGACAGATCGGGTTGAAGTAAGCCGGCGTCTAGCTTCTAGCCCAAGTAAAATTCTAATTGTCACAGGCATGGCGATCTCATCTTCATAAATTACAAGCTACAAGGTGGTCAAGCCAATGGGGATGCCAACGGCACCGAGGCACCCTCTCACCCTCTGGCATCTTCAAA